AWCTCGAACCCTCATCCTTTCAGCCCCTCATTCCTCAGTCTCATCTWCTCTCACAGTCCTCTGCATTTCAGCACCTTCCCCTCCACCACCAGCACCCCTCGCCACACCCATCGCAGGCCAATCCTTACAAATATCAATCCCTTCCCTCGGCCAGAAGATCTCCAAAGCACAATAAATCAGATAGTCCACCACGACGACAATCACAAACAATTTCCCTGCCCAAACTCCACATCCATAATATCGTTTCAATCGATCCATCAAACTTCGACTGCGGTCTTTATCGAGGGGTGCTCCATAACCTTCCCACTCTCCAAACTCTCCAATCTCGTCGAGTGCCGAGCTTGCTTCGTTTCGTTCGCCGGTTATGAGATCGTAGACTCGTTCAGTTCGACGGGCAACATCTGCCCATGAATACATATTCTTGACCAGGCCGTGGAACTTGTCTCGACCGCCTCCTCTCCCTGTTCGAAGGACGGAGATCGCGGATCCGACTCCGCGGACCACGTCGGAGACTTCGGGTAGGACAAAGACTGTCATGTTTCCTGGTAACACTTCTGGCACTCCTCCCACGCGAGTGGCGACGACCATCAACCCGCAGGATGCTGCTTCTACGAGGACTGTTCCAAAAGCTTCTGTTAGGGAGGTGGAGAGGAGAAGGTGCCCGCGGACCATGATATCACGGACTTCTTCATGGCGAACGCTGCCTAGGAGATTGACTCGCGGTGCTCCAGAGGCCGTGAGGATAAGATTTTGCGGGAGCGAGTCGAGAGTTTGTTCTAGATCTATCGCTTTCGGCCCGGATCCGGCGATGATAAAGTTCAACTGTGGGTGGTTTGCCAGTAGGAGAGGCAGAGCGGAGATGAGCAAGTCTGTGCCTTTGTTGTAGAAGAGGCGGGATATTACGATTATCGTTATTGGGTCTGAGGGTCCGATTGGTAAAGAGGGGTTTGGGGGAAGGGGAAGGTTGTGGCCCGAGGTGGTGAACTTGGAAGGTCGTTCCAGAGACGGGTTGAAGGGACGAAAGTTGGATGGAACTGTGATGACGTTAGCGAGGTGAGCCTTGATTTGATCCAGGACGACTCACCGACTGCGTTGGGTATGACAGATACCGCCAGAGGATTGAGACTTGCTCGAAGGGTCGTATTCTCTTTGCTGGGATACAATTAGCCATGAAGATGATAGAGAGGATGAGAGGATCTTACCAAGTATGGCTCACACAAATGACATGATCCACGTCACTTAGGCTGAATTTCAAAAGCTTGTTGGCAATGATACTTGATGCATCGCTGAAGCCAAATAAGCTGTGATCTGTGAAGACGGTGTGCAGAGACATGGTCCTCGCATGTAAGATCCCCTCATGACACAGATTTGACAAGGAGGCATGCCCGTGCACGATTTGAATCTTCTCCCGGATGAAGATTTGGCGAAGGATGGGAAAAGAGGAGAAGACGGTGGGAAAGGTGGTGCTGCGGTATACGACCCAATGGGGAAGATGGTATACTTTCAGTCGGTTGGTCAAATATCGAACGCCGGTTCTTGAAGGAGAGTCATAGGCGTGTGTGATGATGATGACGTTGTGCCCGCGATCGATGAGTTTCTACAGATGAAACATTAGAGGATGAATTGATACTGTCAAGTTGAGACGGACCGAAGAAAGTTGGTAGATGTGCGATTCGACTCCACCAGGCTGAGGATAGAAAAAGTCCGAGACCATTCTTGAAGATGGTCAGCTCCATGTTGAAGAAGAGGGCACGAGACTCACGCGATATTGTACGGCATCTTGTGGAAGTGATGGCACGGATCGGCCGGCTCGGGAGGAAAGTGAATGTTATCGTGGCTCAAGTGTGGACATCTCCTCCATCATTTCTCATCTCAGCGATGTCTCAAAGATTTCTCCGAATATGTATCCTTTCAATGTCGGTGCTTGAGCGCGAGAGAGATGCGGAGGACGTGTCTCCAATGCCAAGCTTTACATCCCGTCGGCCCGCTTCCCCGATCGCCGACGCCGACTTGCCGATCTCTTTGAGATTCACAAGTTGGGAACTTTTTTCTGGAGCTTTCGTCAACAACCCGGCCCGGCAAGATGGCGAGTCTCTACAAACGGTATATCCCGCCGAAGTCCGCAGCTCCACTTTCGACAGCAGTATCACAGCCATTTGTCCCGGTGGAACCCCCGAAACGAAAGCGGGAACGAAGCGAAGAGGAAATCGCAGAGCGCAAAGCCAAGAAAGCGAAGAAGAAGGGCGTTCCTGTTGAGGATGTCACCAAGCCTGTGGCGAAGGATACCAAAGCCACTGTCGAGGCAATAAAACCGCCACCCACGAAGCCTGAGCCGAAACAAGCGCCGGAAGTAGTCGTGGTGGAAGATGACAAGCCCGAAGTCCTGGAACCGGGAATGGTACCCTTGCCAGATGTGGAAGCAGTAGAAGAGGCAGCTGCGACGGGCGACTTCAGCCACGTGAGGAATAAGAAGAAGCGGCACAAGTTGGAAAAAGAGGCGAGGAAAGCGAGGAAGGCCGCGGGGAAAGATGGGGRGGACGATGAGGTGGACGTGAACAGAGATGCGGTGGAGCATGCTCGAAAGGAGAGTGCTGAGGACAGTGAGATGACAGGGATGGGAGTAGGCGAGGCCGTAGTTGAGCAGGAGGATGAGAGTCACGCAGAAGTGGTGGAAGAGCCGGCGGAGGTCAAGGTCAAAACGAAAAAGGCGAAGAAGAAGGATGTCGTGGAAGATGTCATCCAAGAAATTTCGGGACAGTCCAACGACGCGACCGAACCTCAGTCAAAAAAGAGACGACATAAGCTGGAAGCTGTCTTGAAGGAATCCTCACCGGAGGTGGAAGCGAAAGATACGAGAGACGACGACGATGACGGCGACTCGCACCTCCGCAAGCACGGCGCCATCCTCAACAACTACCAGAAAGCCTCAAAACGCTCCCAAGCTCAGCAATCTCAAGCCAAAGACGAGCTAGAACCAGAAAAGGTGCCCATCCAACCCATCGTTCAGGATTTGGAAATGCCCGACGCCGATCTTCCTCCCGAAAACGATGAACTTGATGAAGCAGAAGAATACTCGTCGAATCTCCCAACCTGGCTGGCTCAACCGATCGTCATCTCCGCCGACAGCAAAGCAACCTTTGCCTCACTCAATTTACCTCAAAAGACTMTGGCTCACCTCTCAGCGCTCAAGTTCGAGGATGCACTACCTGTCCAACAAGCTCTCCTACCCATCCTCCTCCCGCCAGGAACTCCTGGATCCACCTATTTGCCCGGAACAGAGATGATTCTGCCAGATTTAGCTGTCAGCGCCGCCACTGGAAGCGGAAAGACATTGGCGTACCTCTTGCCAATCATCGAGAGCCTGAAGCTGAACGCTGCAAGGGGAAAGTTGACTGCGTTGGTCATTGTTCCCACGAGAGAACTGGTACTGCAGGTCGCAGCCGTCGCGGAGAGTCTTTCCAAAGGGAGTGGATTGAAGGTTGGACTGGCCACTGGTACTGCCAAATTTGCGGACGAACAGCGAAAACTCATGGGGAATTCCTACCGCTATGCGCCAAGATCGTCTGCTGGAGAAAGTACTGAAGAAGTGATTCATACCTCTGAAAGCATCAACCAAGACTTCCTGGCTTGCCCTCCTAACCACAAAGTTGAGTACTCTTCGGCGCTGGACATTTTGGTCGCTACCCCGGGAAGATTGTTGGAGCATTTGGAACACACCAAAGGTTTCAACCTCGTGCACCTCCAGTGGTTCGTCCTCGATGAAGCTGATAAGCTGCTGGATCATCAGTCTGCGGGAGAGATCTCGAGTCTCTTGCAGCACATCTCTCGTCCGAGATCGATTGACGAGCAGGATGCACGTGAGAAATTCCTACGCCAGCAATTAGAATGGGATGAACGGGAGGAAAGGAGGGTGAGGAAGGTGTTGTTGAGTGCGACTATGACGAGGGATGTCCAGCGTCTGGTGGGACTGGGATTGAGGTTCCCCAAATTAATCGCTGTGCAGCAGGAAGTTGAGGAGAGGAAGAGTGGTTTCGAAGTTCCCGAAGGGTTGAGGGAGTATGTGGTACCAGTTGGAGATGGCAGTGAGAAGCCGCTCGTTGCGTTGGAGTGGTTGCGGACTAGGGTCTTCGGAGAGGAGGAGGATGATAGTTCTGACGATTCTGATTCTGACTCCGATGACTCCGACGACTCGAATGGAAGTGAGAGTGAAGACGACTCCGCCTCCTCGTCCACTGTAGACCATGAAGTCCTACACAAGAGAAAGACTCCACCACCAACTGTGCTGGTCTTTACAGGCACCTCGGAATCTGCATCCCGGTTGGCGCATCTCCTTCGTGCTTTGAAACCTTCGTGGGACAAACACATTTCCCTCCTTACAAAAACATCGAAGACTCCCCGCTTCTCCTCCACTTCCGGCCCGATGGTGGTAATCTCCACAGACCGGGCAGCTCGTGGATTGGACTCCCTTTCCGGTCGTCCGATTTCCCATGTTCTACAATATGACATCCCGACATCTCTTACGGGCTATGTACATCGTGTGGGAAGGACGGCAAGGAATGGAAGGGAAGGGGAGGGTTGGACTTTGTATGCGAGGACTGAGGCTGGGTGGTTTTTGAAGGCTGTTGGGGTTGAAAAGGGTGGCGATGGAGAGGGCGTTAAGAGGAAGCTGTTAGTTGAGAGGGTTAAGATGAGGATGGAGGACGAGGAGATTAGAGGGAGGTATGCGGAGGTGCTTGGAGAGATGAAGGGTGAGGTTCTTGGTGGCGGTAGACCGAAAGCTCAAGGCGAGTGAGGATCTGACGTGATGGCTTGTGGGTTTATATACTAGGCCTAATGTTTCCGAGCTGAGTTGCAGAGTTGCCCAAAGCTTTCAACATGAGATATTCCCGGCAAGAGCAGCGCTCTCGGCTTCGCTCATCTCATGACAGCCCGCTTTGATAGTAGTAGCGGTCCTAGCAGCTCTGTGTGGTGAGCAAGGCCTTGAGACGGTATGAGGTTGTCCTTCCTCACCCCCTTTTCGGAGGCTTCTCCTTTGACATGCCTTCTCGCCCGTGTATATCACAAGTCCGCTGCTTGGTACGTCGCATCGAATCCTTCTTGTGTTACTCCTACTGCTTCGCAGGTAGCTTCCTCTCCTGTAAACATGAAGGTCCTGGAGGGAAGCCTCTCAACACTATCTCTCACAGTTTGGCTACCGACGCCGTAATGCACAAATCTCCGTTTCCTCCAGTCACAGAGGCTATTTCGAGAGATCAATCTCTAAATCAGAGCGAGAGTACTTGAGAACTCACGATCTATTAAAGCATCGTCATGTTGAGAATGATGCTGATTTCGACCATTTTGAATAATTTTGTCACCCATTCTCCGTTTCGGGTATACAGACCTGTCGATATAAGGGTGCTTCAGTAAAAATAGCTCTCGTCAGACTCAAAGAGAGCTGCGTGCTCCGGCTTCAGTCTTTTGTCCCAGCTAATAACGTCGTTGAGCATTCAGTGAGTCCTGATGGAAACCTCATCACTGAAAAATCCTCATATCCACAAGTCTGCGAGTATAATTGCATTCCATGCTATCACCTCCCTTCTTTTGTATATACTCGCAAGCCATCGGCTTCGTGGAACAGTGTCTTGCTTCTCTTCTGCGTACGAGCCCAATGGTCTACTGCTGCGTCACGTAATCCTTTATTGTAATCCGCCACCTCGTCTATCCTTTTCCGCTTCTTTCCGGTCTCCTGCACGCTTCCACTGTCAAAATCGCGAAGTGAGCCGGCATTGTCTGTCCAATCATCACAGTCGGGTACAAAGGTAAAGCTTTCCTGATCCGCGAGGATGCCGTCTATCAGATCGGGTAGAGTTTCACACCTTTTTGCAGACGTTAGCATGCCATGTGTCAGATCTGCATCCATCGCTTCACTTACCATGCAATAATCGCCGGAGCGTTTCGATTCTTTTGTCGCTCATCTTGGAATCCATCGCTGATACGGAATCCATCCTGGCTGGTGCCCGGGAAGACGGATGAGAGATCATCATCGTAAGTGATGTCCAACCCAATGTCCTGACATTTCCTCTTCGTGGCTTGGAACTCAGCTTCTGCGATTATGAGTTCTCGAGTCAGGACCTGCCCTGCTTGATAGGCTCGAAGATCCGTGTCTTTCTTTACGACAGCGTTGGTGTTTTCTTCTCCGGCATCGAGACGCTGCTGTATGGCCATTTCTCGCTGCAAGCTGCGTCGGTCCTCGAATCGATCCTGTGCTCTCCTGAGCCTATATTTGGCATGGTGGTATGCGTCTTCTGCGAGACTGCGCGGTGATTGAACGGGGCCAGCATCAACTGCTTCATCTAATGTCTCTTCTTGGGTCTGCTGTTCGGTACTTCCAGCTGTCCACTCGCGCCGCACGGGGAAACCATCTCCCCTGCCACGATCTCCCGGATGATTATAGTCTGGTATTATCCCCGAGACAATGCTCAGGTCCTCCCCATCCCCAGGGACGCGGGATACCCGCTCGAACATGGGCTCTTGTATGACGAGGTCTGCATCGTTTCCAAAGTCAGAGCGGATGAGGCTTGCCGCATCGAGTGATGGGAAGATCAGCAGACAGAGGGCAATAAATTGGTTCAATCCAGACTTTCTGTTCGTAGCGACCTCCTTCGCAGTATTTTCCTCGTCGCGCCTAAGCCATGCTAGCCTCGTCTCTAACTGGCGAAATCTCCTGGCTGCAAAGTCCATTTCATCCTTGCGCCCCGAATTCATTCCATCCTCGAGCTGTAAATCCTCCTGCGCAGTCTGAAGGATTACGTCAAGTCTTTCTTGCTCCTGGCGAGCATAATCGCGAAATTGTTGTCGCTTGTTAATGCGACCGACGAGCCTTGTGGATTCATCGTAGTATTTTATGTACACCTCGGCACTGTCCCTTAGCGACTCGGTCACATTCTTGTCCAATAAAAAGATAGGTGTATCCATTCCGTCGAGCTTGAGGGAGAATATTCCTGGCGCCTGGTCGGAATACCTCGCTGCTTTGGGATTCGTAAAGCTGTATACCTCGAAGTTCTGCTGTACGCCTATCCGCTGTACGTGGGGCGGATAGAAATTCGAGATTAGTCGAGCTCGCACCCTCGAAAGCCATGAAATTCGCACTTCGGCCATGTTATGGTGATATTTTGTGCTCCTCCTAATGGTGTGGTTCATGAGATAGAAACACTGGGTGTCTTGATTTTCAGATTTCATTGTCTTTAGTTTGCTGTGACGAATGCAGTAATCGCAAAATTTTCCATTGTCATAATTTATTTCTTGATGAACAATGAGCAGAATGAGCTCACGTGACGCTGTGGAGCCCCACTTTTTGGTAAGTGAATGAGAATTTGCGTTTCGGTTCGCGCTAGTCGTGTGGGACAAGAGATAATCATCCACGCCCAGACTCAGAACACTCTCCGAATCCGATTCAACGACACTACATGCAGCATCGCGGGATTAGTCAACGTCACACCTGGAAGCACTTTTCGAGGCAAGGAGGGGTGATTCTTGCTGACCTCGCGTGGTCCACCATGACGGCCAAACTCTCGGATGATAGTGAAGACTTACTTGATTCGTGTGCCATCTCCGCGGCCATCTCCTTGCCCGATGACGAAGCAGCACCCCCGCGCGCAACTCGCGCTGCATCTACAAAACCTGTAAGTTTCGTACAGCAAAAACAGCTCGCGCACGACCCTGTTGTGGGTAGAATCCAGACTCTACACACAGTCTAAGATCAGGAGCAGCGCATTCCACTTCCTGTGCGCGCATTCCACTGACCGGAGCAAAACAGGGCGTTGTACGGCATAGAAGCGAGCCCGATATTGGAGACAACGTCAACGGTGGCATAATCGATGGTCGCGGGTCAATCTTGAATGATAGCTCTGAGAGAGAGCGCGCGGCGCAATGCGTTAGCCAGAGCAGCTCTTTAGTGACGGCTCGAGACGACAACACCGCTTCTCCTCGCGATGATGCGTCCGTTCGCACTATACCCGTAGACCTGCCCGGTGGAACGAATCGCTGCGCGAAGCACGGAGCCGAAGAATCCAATGACTTCCAAATTGCCAAGAAGGTTCGTGCCGCTACGAGAATGCAGCACCCATTGCCACCAAGACCGAGCAGTCCTGAACCGAGTACGCCAACTATCTCTCAATCCTTCTGGAACACTCATGACAACGCGCACGCCTTACCAGCCAAGCCCGAGCAACGTACTCTTCCACCTCTTGATCTTCCTCTGAAGCCACCTCGCTCCGCTTCATTATTCTCTCAAGATAGTGGAAATCGCTATAGGTACCGTGGTAGCTCGAACAACGAATTGCCATACGGGGAGCGCAGGCACGACTCCAGAATGAGATATAATGCACGACAGAAAGCATCCTCGTATATTTCAGTACAATCAGGATCCTCTTCGCACTTCAGTCCAAGCCATTACGATTCTCCCTCAACATGTAACGGCTTCTTCTCGGTCATAGGCAGCGTAGCTTCTTATCTTCGTCCTGACACAAATCACCATGTGCCATCCGCAGCAGCAGAGCAGGCTGCGAGGAACGGGAGACACGGCATCAACACTACTGGACGTGCCGATCCACCAAATCGACCAGAGCACTTTCGAACGGGTGACCTCGTTAAAGCCAACTTCTGCGAGTTCGCTTTGAACCCAAATGCCGACCCAAAGACTGACTCCAAGTATACTCAGACGCCTCGAGAGATAGTGCAAGCGGGAGAAAGACTTTTCGTGGCCATCCGAATCCGGACTACGGGGGTTGAGTGCGTTCCAATTCAGAGTGCTGACGGGAAAGGCCCACACAAGCCACAAGACACGCATGTTTTCCGTTTGATCGATGAGTTTCCGGACGACTATAGATCGAACGACGGAAACGCTCCAGCGCGTGTCAGAATGTTCGACCGACCGCCGATTAAACAAGGAAGCAACATCCACACTGAGGATGCCAGGATTATCAAGTACGAGGCAGTGGCTACCGTGGTTGGGGCCGTGCGATACAAAGATACGTGCCGGATACTAGCGGCAATGAACATCAGAACTGATAATCGCGAAGTGCGGTGGCAATATCAAAGTGGCTGGAATGGAGTGTAATCGCTCAGTCTGTAGAACGGCGACGGGTGGTGGCAATATGGATGTCTTTGGAAAGCCCTGTGAGAATTGTGATCTCTGCACGTAAAGTCGATGTCCTTGTGATGCTGACTTTTTGCCACGAGATCGTTCATAGTCGTTGAAGCAGCACTGTTGAAGTCTCTCCAGCAAAGTGTTGGGCATAGACTTACTTCCACCCATAGTTCATCCATGTAATAGTTTGATGCATTGCTCTGCCAGCTGGTTAATTTAGAATCCGCGGGCATTGGCTATCTTCTCACTTACTTAGTTCTACTCATGCCGGACAACGTGCGAGTAGAGCGGTCGTCATGAGAATACGTTTTAGAAATAGGCGGCCTTGATAGCTCTCAACTACTTCAGAGGCGACTCTGGTAGTAGAGGGGGTTCCATCAGGTCCAGATTGGACGACCCCGGCGGGACCGACGCTTCATGACAATATGGAGACGCCCGGAAGTTTCGTTGAGCGACTTTCATATCAAACGGTCTGCGTGGGAAAGCTTAGAGGGCAAACCTGCGTTGCTAGCTAACAATGCAACATTTGGACAAAAGGGGGAAGAGGGTTATTGAAGGACGCATACTCGCGAGAGAGCGACGTGCCGTGTAGGACCTGCGCAGCTACCAGGAAAAGTTCCGGAGTCCTGAGCATGCAGGTGGTCAAAAATTGGGTTCGGTGTTTTCCCGCTCGACGGAAAGCGGTGGTAGGAATCACACGGCATTGCTGCACTAGCTCTTCACCACGCTGTGATATGTCGCTCTACGCTGAGTCGCAAGGTTTTGCCACTGCAAGTCGGAACCCAAGCATTGACACTCGCCAATCAAAAGCCACCAGGACCACAGTTGGAAGTACTAGAGTAGGTTGTGCTTCAAAGGATCTCTACCAAGGCTGGGATAACTCTTCGAAGCCTGCACGTGCTCGGAGGGAAATGTATAAATTTACAAGGCATAGTGCAATTGAGTGCGAGCTTAGCAGACGAAAACACCCGATGTTCAACGACATGCATGGAAGAGAAACCTCATACGGCCGAATATCTGCATGCAGAAACTCGTGTCTGATTCGTGACACCGGGTGATTGAGGAGGCGTAGGAGTACTCTCCACCATGCTTTCTTCACATCATCGGACAATGCCAGTGGGTTGTTCACACTTCGTGAATCGTGGGAAAATTTGATAACCACGTGTAGAATTCGCGTGCCTGGCGGCTATATTGGCCACCAGGCAACACAATTATCTCTACGACCAATTGGGGAAGTGCATTCGCTGAAAATGTCATAGCCGAGGCTTCCTGTACGGTCGATCGCGGTGGCGAGATTTCGTGAGACGAGGAACTATCCGCGTTCTGAGCCGAAAATGGTAATGATGTGCAAGATAATTCTGCTGCCTCAACAAGWGTTGTAAGCGAACATTCTCCGAATAGGACAGAATGAATTGTTACGGCCGACATGTATTCCACGTTGGGATCAGTTCGCGAGAATAATTCGGGAGCCTGGAGATGGTATCTGTACACGGCGTCTCCWGGAGACAGATATAAGTGACACTCCCTGACCAGAGTATTTGCTTCCATCATCAGCAGCAGCAACATCAACATCAGCAGCAACATCAGCATCAGCAGCAACATCAGCATCAACAGCAACATCAACATCAACATCAACCATCCTAAGCATTCAATCACTCCATCAACACTTCAAAGCACATCAACTCAACCCATTCCTCACACAAACCACCTATCCATCAACATGCTTCCAGCAATCATCGACTGGTCCGCTGCCGACTTCCCTGGCGTTGCACTCGGCGACAAGCTCCGCAACGTGGTCGGATACAAGTCAACATCCCCAAACTGGGGGAGATCACCAGCTTCTTCACCCAACGTTTCCGAGGCCAACACACCCGCATCATCTCAGCCCGGCTCCCGATCTGCTTCCATCTCGCCAGCGGAGCGCAAGACCAGCTCTCCACTTTCTCCCTCTAAGAGTCTGTTGTCCGGTGGTTACTTCGCCTTTTGATTGCACCATCTTCTAGCCGGTGTGGTTGAGCCCCTGGGCATGGAAGATCATTAAAAACTGGATGCTCGAGAATGGTCGGCCGGGGACGAGCAATGTCTGTCCACCCGACAACATCGCTTTTTGCGGCGACAGAGTGTGGGGAGCAACTTCGACAAGAATTCAAAAGGAGATGGGAGGTGTATGAGACTGGGTCATGTCGGGCTTCCCGTGTTTGATGCAAGGGAGTTTGTGGTTGTGGACGATATCTGAGCGAATTTTCTTTATTAAATACCCTGTTGCGCGTTTGATGCTACCTAATGATGAATTGAATGAAAGAATCAAGTCCGAAACATTCAAAGATTTCACTCCACACACCACTTATATCGTCTTTGCACTGCGAGCAAGCGCCGTACTGTAAGAGAGGGACTCTAGAATACCAGTAAGTGTCGAACCTTGGGAGTGGTAATTCTTTTTCAATCTCTGTACTGCTCTTTGAAGCCTTGGCGTGCTCAGGGTGGGTTTTTGTTCGAAATATAGATTCGTTTCGAAGAGCTACGACTTTCAGTACCGCGCCATTCGCGCGGTATCTCCGACATGGAGCAGAGTCGCCCGTTCTCCGTCTGCCTCTTTTACACGGTATCTTTATTGAGACATCCTTCTTAGTCGCCGTACAGTCCAAAGTTAGGAGCTTCATATGAGCAAGACCTTTTTGACGCATGGAAAGCCGTCTGCACCCCTGAACGCTGGCATGATCACAGTAATTTGGACCTGTGGGAGAGATCTGATCTTTGCATTCGAAATTGGGCATTGACAGCATAAGTAAACGTGAATACATTAATCGCGTGCGAAGAAGAATAACACCCGTAGTTAGGTGAATCCATCTCCAATCGCAAGAATTGTGCACGGCAGTCCATGCACCCATCTAAATGACAATCAAGACAACGAAGGATGAGCGGCTGATGCGATGTTCTGCAAATCTCGCGTCAGACACAATACTCCTTCTCTCCAGCAATCTCATCAGCCTCTCCCAATCGTAATGCTCCCACGCACCCCTATCATCAAGCCTAGAATATGAATACCGTTTGGAACCATCCTCAATCCTCTACCAACAGCACATCATCGTTGCCTTTACTGTCGACGAGCTGCCTTGCGCTTTTTCCAAACTTTTCTATCATTCCAAAGTGGGCACGGACATCCGCGATCCCAAGTCCACTGTCCACCACAGCGGTAACACAATTCTGCTTCACATGTACATCTGGGGTTTAATGTAAGTCGTTGCATGGTACAATGGCCATCTCAAAGGGAAACACGTACTTAACATGGAAGCAGCCTTTTTCGAAGATACATATCACCGCGCGACAGGACCAGCATTCCTTCCATCCCATTTTCTTCGCCAGAGCTCGAGTCTGTCGAATGGCTGGATCTTCGGGGCAATCGTCGTCTTCGTGTGCGTGGTTCTTGCAGACAGTACAAGTGATGGCCTCACAGGCTGTACATACTGCAAAGCCAWGTGCTTTCGAGATGTGCTTTGGACCGATGAATGATCCGCAATCTTTATTGCTGCAATAGATCCTATCCAGGGTCAGATTCTTCATTTGGGCGACCATCTTGTTAGCCATTTCTTGGTCGTTGATCACAATGTGACGGTGCTCTCATGGGTAAGTGTGCTACAGTAATGAAGCTGATGGTAGAAGCCTCAAGATACGAGACAAAGACGGATTCGACCAAGTTTTCCAGGCGCCGCTTTTGGAGGCTTTGCCAAGAGCTTTGATTCATTGTCCGACCTAGAGTATGCTACGCTTTTGTCACAACGCTCTTTATATAAGGAAAGTGAGGACTCCGCCATTGTATAGTGCTGCATCGGAGAATTTTGCGAGAAGTTGTGGAATCTGTAACCATTTTAGACACCTTGAGACCGGGTTGGCGTCAAATTTCACGTGCTGTGAGGTTGGCAGTTGAGCGAGTGACGAGAGCGGTCGTGCATGCAGAAAAGAACTTCTCCTGATTGGTTTGTGTAGGGCTTAGCCGACAAATGTGGTCGTGTTGTTGTGCAGTCGTGGAAGTGATTTCGTGGCCTTCTGGTGTTCGAACATCGTCAGCAGGCCGTCCAAGCGCGTCTCGAGGAGGTACCGAATGGTTTGGTGAGTGGCGGTTCAGGGGCGGCAGGTGAAGGCTGTACCGATTCGAGAAGCTCACGCTGGGCCATCCTGGCGGTGAATGGTGACAGATTGCGTGAGAGTGCGTATTTACGAGGAATATTCGAGACGAAGCATTTTGAGCAGCAACAGGAGCAGGAAGCGAACGTGAATTAGCACAGCACGTGATTCGTGGAACCCCTGGATTCGTGTCCTATGGACGACCGTCCTAGTTCTCATGAGAGTATCATTATTCGAAAGATGAACGCCTTATTCTTGCTTCTTAGCCCCATCGAGKTGAAGCTGTGGAAAATCGCTCGCCGATGCCCATGCTCCAAATCCAACCTCACAAGATCATCCCAAAGCCATGATTCGCCCCACCCAAAACGCTGATCCTTCTGTCATATGCGGCATAGCGGCGGAAGAAGTGAGTCTTGGTACGACACTCACCATTGTCGTGGATATTTGCTCGTCTGAAAGCTTTGCTGCGGTCAATTTTGAAATGATGACGCGAACGATATCGCTTGCTTTTGACATGGGCACGTGTCGCAAACGACTTGGCGAAGCGACTCATCATGCCGCGCACGCATGAAAGTAGGCCATGTTTGCGGTCGGTCGTGGATCTCTCTTCTGGTGCATCTGATGGCGTGAGTGGAGTAGTTTCTGTGGGTGTATGCTCATCGATAGGGTGGACGGGTGAAGCAGCTTGTGTGGGTGGATGCTCATAGATAGTGTTGACGGGTGAAGCAGCGGCAGCTTCGCCTGCTGCGGTCGCGAGATGAGCACACTGAGAGCGCACTGAAGATAACTCGACTCCAATGTCGGACATGGGCAGGTGGCTTGGGTGTGTTCTGAAAGGGGATCTCTCCTTCATGCTGGGTTGATGATCCCATGGCCCGAATTCGCCGTCTTCGTCTTCGTCTTCATCTTCATCCTCCTCGTCCGACCCGCTCTCGCTATCAAGTCTGCTGCTAACGTTTGAATCCAAGTCTGCGCAGCTCTCTGAATCATCCTGCTCATCTTCACTGGATTGGTAGAGTGACTCGACCTCGTAAAGCCTGACTTCAGAAACTGGATCATCCGGGAAAGAAATAGATCGAGACTTGCGACCCTTCGAAGCGACCGAGTCAGTTGGCTGTGGCCCCGTATTCCTTAGCGGTACTTTGTCCGCGGAATCGCGGTCGGTAACGGCGAGATGATTGACCGCTGCATCCAGTAGCGCGCGGAGGGTGTGGACGCCCGAGTCGTTGTCCATGTCATCCGCATCTCCCTGCTCTTCATGCTTCTCCAGAGCGCACCATGAAACCTTGAGCTGCTGCTCTTCCTTATCTCGGTCACACTCTTGCTGCGATATCTTGAATGCTCCCCACGCCTGGAGAACCGTTAGTTCGAGGCCAGAGAGTGGCAGTGAGGATCACCGGGACTGGCAGTTTACTTACCTGCTCGAGGTACTTGGACCCTTTTGCCTTGCCTACCGCCTCAAGCCTGCGCGTCCCCTCCAGCTTTCTTTCAGCTACAGACTCAACATTTTCTGCAATCAGGTCATCGACTGCCTCTCTGAGATCGGGAATGTCGTTGTTGCCACGCATATCCCAAACATGAGAACATTCGGCGTAGATGTTAGGATTTCTGTGCAAGGTGTCAGTCCTGATCGATTGAGGACTATCCTAGGACCACACAGCATACCTCAACAAGCTCTGCGCTTGATACAGACGCTTCATGCGGGCTCCGGGATATGGGTCGACAGCGGACAAGCAAATATGGTACTGAGCCTGGCACAGGAGAGGGATTTCATCGGCTCGAGATAATAGCTCTTTGTATTCTGCGCGTACGACAAGATCATCGAGATCCCAGGCATCGAGAAGCTCCTCATCAAGTTTGATCAAAGTTGCCCAGTCGGGGAACTTCCACGCCCGAGCGCGCTCCAGGAACGTAGGATCGGACATTGTGCGCTTTGGAAGTCGAGTTGTTTGAAGCCTTGGTGTCAGAACTCAAGATGGAGTTGAGAACATGACAAGGCAAAATGGTCGTCATGTCAACGGAAAGATGCTGGCGGACCATCGTTTTTCCGAGACCAGGGTCCCCCGTCGGGCACAGCCAGACTTCGCGCCACCTCCCGGTGAATGGGATAATTTGGTCATTGAATGATCATTGACCATGGTTCGGTCCATTCAGATCACTGGCGAGGAATCCATGGGCATCAAAGGCTCTCCGCTCCCCTGCCCATTGCTTCAGCTGGTCATAACTCCGGCACGTTCGCGATACATCCCATCCGAGGAACTCCTGACCGTCAGTCTTTTTGACATGCGCAGGCTCGATGCTTGAGTCCGCGGAACACATCAGACTTTGCCGGAGGTACTCAAAGCAGTGGCCAGCATGTTTATTCCGCTCGAGGCCAAAATCAAAGTCTTCAAGGCCGTCATGGTCGCTTTGCTCGGCATAGTACGCACGACGGAGGGTGTACAAGCAATGCAGCTGGTGAAATACACTCACGACAGAGAAGTCGGGTGCCAGCTCGGTGTTATTCACATATCCAAGGCCGTCTCGAATGGATGTCAGCATTCCCGATTGAGTTGTTGATGAGCACAAAGACGCTTACTGGGCAGCAAGGAATCCCATGCAGGCTCGGTCTTGCCATGCTCCGGTACCGACGTGAAGGATGTATCAAGCTGAAAGGTCTTTAATTCAGTTCTGACGGGCACTGTACACCACATGTCAGCGCACGATCTGACGCTCGCAAATGACTCCTCACCTTGAGGCACTGCTTGAGCATTGCCTGGAGAGCCTTTTGCTGAAGATGTTCTCTGCGCTTGCAGACCAAAGAGCAGACCGGCCGAGAAGCTGACAAGTCCTACACAGAGGGCTGCCAATATCACAAGCAATATCTTGACTTTGCCACGGTGTGCCCTGACATGTGCCCTGACAGTCTTATCTGGGATCACTTCCGGCTGATGAAGCAACTTTTCGCCTTCCTCTGCATCACCTCTCTCAATACTCTCACTTCGCACGGCTGATGACATTTTGAAGATGCAGCCACAGGAAGGGATTGACAAAAGCAAGCTCTCAGCTCAGTCAGATCGAAAATGGATATTGCCGGAGAACCTTGTTTGTCAGCCGTCAAGGCGTCCAACAGGCTGAGCGGCTGCTCCAAAAGTGGTGTACATGAGACCAGGGTTCATGGGGCCAATCTCAAGACAGCGTCACAAGTGGTATCCCATGCCGGAGCGGGGATTCTCCGCAACACGTTCCTCGCCATGATGACGGATGAGAGCATGATTGGTGCGAGACGAAGATCTTTCCGGTCTCGCAAGGAACGCCCTAAAAGTAGCACCAATTCCTTCGCGTGGCTTGAAACCCAAACTTAGTAGCCGTCCATGTTGATCTTTGCGTGGCTTGTTGGATAAAACATCCGGCTACTGCACCACCCTTCATCCTCTTCGCTTGATTTTCAAACTATTGCACATACAGACACAAACAGACGAGCGCCATCAAGCCACAAGCCACGACACCAGCAACTGCCCTTCAAAAACACATTGGTCGAACTCAATATGAAGCTCTCCATTATCTTCACTATCATCGCGACTTCATTCGGCGCAATGGCCATTCCAATCGCTCACGAAGAGATCGAAGCTGCACAAAAGGCAGGAAGCGCTCGTAAGTTTGCTCAACAACTCAACTAGAGGTGTTGCTAACATATCGTAGCTCATCGAGTGGATTCAGCGAACAGAGTCGACACCGTGCTTATCGGTAATGGATATTGAAGGAAGTGGGTGTGTTGGAATTGAAATGTTTGAAATATTAGCGAATTTGGCATTCGGCATATAGCGCCACGGTGCATTGGGATGCCAATAGGGCTTCTGCTGGCAGATATTGAGACAGCAGTAGGTCGCCCGTCGATGCTGTTGACATGGTAGCAATAGTGTGGAGGAGCTGTACACAATCAAGATCACAAGAATCGCTCGTTCGCTCTTCATATTTGGTGTCTCGTGGAACCCGTTGGGTCTCTTCGGTGAGTGACCAAATCTCACAGCCTAGCACTGGTCAGGTTACACGGTTACTTCCTCAAATAATGAAGTCAGCCAAGATTGATCGGTCAACACGGAGGATGTGGTCTGGATCTAGCAGCGGAATACCAACGAGATCCGGAATGAAAGTGGACAAGCGGTGGCTTTGAAGGATGGGCCGGAGTGAAGCTTATCGAACGCCACCCCTTTTTGAACCAGGCAAACACGCAGATCTTGAAAGCACGAGTTGAAGCTGTGCGCAAAACTCCAATTTTGATATATTGCTCACATATGATAGTTGAAGTTGAGAGCGCTACCTCTCGTTCCTATTCACTTACTCACCCACTCAAATTGATATGTCTGCAAGAAGTCTAAAAGCTTTGGCTCAGTCCATACTCGCCAACGCCGAGAAGTTGGAGAGCTATTTCGAGACCAACAACCTTCCTCAACCCTCATTCGACGAGCATGCTCCGGCTGAACTTCCTCTATCGAGCGAGATGTTGGTCGTCCGGCGTCAGGCAGTGGACGATGCGATCGAGTTGCACGACTTGTTGATCGGACCTGCCATGCTATTACGTCCTGTTGTATGTAACATATAGCAAAGATCAAGAATAGGCCGACTGAGTGTTGTCAACAGCTCAATGGGACTTCTCTCCAAGCAATCTGGGAGTTTGATATCCCTTCGAAAGTACCACTCGACGGATCGATCTCTTTCCAAGACCTCGCGAAGAAAGTCCCTCTGAAGCAAAGTGACCTTCAACGAATGCTGAGATTCGCAATGGTGTACCATCACATCTTCCAAGAGAAGACCCCTGGGATCGTCTCTCATACAGCAGCCTCACGACTACTTGTGGAAGATCGGAATGCTCGAGCTGGCCTTGGATTCATGTTCGACGAATGCTACCAATCCTTTGCACACACCATCGAGGCGATTAAAACCCGTGGGGCTGAAGAGCCAGGCGATAGTGTAAGCTTAGATCTATATCTTACTTCCTTCCATCCTTCAATCACTAAAAGAGCTTCTTGTTCTAGGGTTGGGCAGTCTCTCGGGAAGTCAACGTCCCACTCTGGGAATACCATACAACTCACCCGGATTTGGGAGAACGAGCTTCCGGTGCCATGGTAGCATTCACAAAAGGCTTCAATCTCGATACAAGAGCCCTTACCAATGGCTACGACTGGTCTACAATCGGTACTCTTGTCGACCTCGGTGGAGCAAACGGTCATGTAGCTGTGGATCTTGCCCGTGCGAATCCAAACCTCCGCTGTATCGTCCAAGAACTTCCAGAAATCGTCGAGAAAGCGAAGAGTGAAATTCCAGCCGATATGGCGGATCGAGTCTCTTTGGTGCCTCATAGCTTCTTCGATCCCCAGCCAACACAGGCAGATGCATATCTCTTCCGACAAATATTCCACAATTGGAGCGATGTGTACGGTTTGAAGATACTGAAGGCACTGGTCCCAGCAATGAAGAAAGGAGCGAAAGTCATCATCAACGATAACATTGTCCCGCCTCCTGGAGTATTACCCCCAATGCAGGAGAGAGCTGTGAGAGCAATGGATATGATCATGTTAAGCTTGTTCAATTCCAGGGAGCGAGAAAAAAGTGACTGGGAGAACCTTTTCGCAGAAGCTGATCCTAGATTTTCGGATGTGAAGGTCTGGACGCTGAAGGGATCACAGTTGGGTCTGGTGGAGGCTACGTGGAGCGGATGAGGCGGATGATAGTACTGTTCATCATGACAGATTATGGTGCGTCATGATCAATGCTAAACTCATTCGCTGGAATTCCATCCTCTCCATCATCGCAAAAGCCGAAATGCTCACCGAGAGGGATGTCCTTGACAGAGTCTTTGTAGCAGGCAGAATTCGCACTGGTCCAATCTCTGAGTTGTTCCCAGCTGCGGCACTTGTGTATCTGGCCATCCCCAGCTGTCATATCTCCGAATGTGTAGAGAGGCGTGCTATCTGCGTTGCACACTGTAGACTGTGAAAGGATCAGCAAGGGCAATTCGCTTTCAAAGGCGCAACTCACCTGTCGTAGCGCGTCAAAGCAATGCTCAGCATGATGCGGGTCATAAGTGTATGGTCGTCCTTCCACAGCTTCGTAGAATGTTTGCCTGACAATTTTCTGTCCAGAAAGAACAGTTAGTAACGAATCTTGGGACCGGAAACCTCCCTTTGACATACCAGACAATGCAATTGATGGTAAGCCTCAATCAAATACACTCCTTTCGAATGGTCACTGGGCAAATACATCGCCTCCGGCCATCCATCGTTCGCGGCTTGATCCCGATCAATAGCCACGAAACCATGTGAAGGCTTGATATTGTTCCAAAGTTCATCTGCTGCTGTTCGATTCGCCGAGTCCCATCGGCTATGCCAGAAGAATCGATTCCAGGCTGTATCAAGAGATTTTGTCTTCGCTGATTAGAAGTCAGCATCGGAACTCGGTTCAAAACCTGCTCATGACTGACCATATCGTCCGTGGGGTGGTAGCTCCGGCGTCTCGCCCTTCCATACTTGCAATGCCAGAGCAATATTCAACAAGATTGATGCAGTTACCGACACGATGAGAAGTAAAGCGCCACTCCGATGCCATCTCCCCGTAGGCTTTGGTGCGTACTCCGGCAATGCCTCTCCTTGTGATAGCTTGCTATACTCGGCCATTTTTTTTTTCGACTTTCGTTGGAGTCGCTCGAACAACACAATCGTCCGCTTGGATGTCCTTACAGGATCCACCGACGACATCCTCGCAAGATCCTCCCGATCAATCATCATCAGGCCTTCCGCGTGGCTTGCGAAGATCACCTCCCCCAAAAGCCTAAATCCACATGTACATCGCCGGCTGCAGCCACCAAATCCTTCCACTGCCGATCACTCACGAGCTTCGTTCTATTTCGGTTTAGTGGGATGTATGCCACCTCAGCACCGTTGCGATGAAAGCGGGGGCCAACAAAGATCAGCGATCGCACCGCGGAGAGCCACGCAGCAAAAACGTGTTCCCCGTCCATCACATGGGAGACTCGAGGTCGTAAGCTGGCAAGGCGGCCGAGCTAATCCTGCGTGCTTTTGTGCGAAGGATTGAGCTATTGGGAAAGTCAATTTTCTGGTCGAGGGCCGCTCTCGTACCAACAGTGGAAGGGAACTCCGGTAGTTCCTCTGAAACTAGGTGGTGATAAGCGGTGGTACGCCCTATCTTTACAAACACCTCCGGCGCTCCTGTTTTCTTCAATCATATGACTTTTCACCGGCAATCATGTCGTACGTGACCACTGCCAGTATCATGGGCGTGGCCATCACGTTCATCATAACCAGTTTGGCAGCTGTGGCGACACGCTTCTCTCTACGGCTCAGAAAAGGTGGACAGGTCGGTGCTGATGACTGGTGCGCATTAGCCGCGATGGTGAGACATCCATCAATCAATACGTCTCATGGTGTTCGCTTGGCTGACAGAGACATCAGACACTGGTAATCGGAGCGTGTAGTGTCTGCATAGCTGGGGCAGCAACAGATTCCATCGGAGGCCACTCCCCAGACATTGGACTCGCGATCTTCACATACCAGGACGCTCGTCAATCCCTGAATAAGAAGGTCAGTCAGCTCATTTTGATCCACGAGAGTCGGCTAACATCCCTCCAGCTCGAATTCGCCTTTTACGCCCTTCTCATCCCAGCTTTKACTCTCCTCAAGCTCTCGGTCCTCTTCTTCTATCGCCGAATATTTCAAATCAGCCAGACTTTCCAAGTATGCTTCTGGATCTTGACTGTTGCTTCAATCGCATGGGGCGTATGTGTCTCTCATTCCCAATCCATTCCGGCTCTTACTGATGGACAATGATAGGTGGCATTCTTCATAGCCTGGGCGGCTCTTTGCGAGAACAACTTTGACAACCGTCTCATAAGCCTGATGACTTTGACCACCAAATGCGGAGATACATTCACCATGCTCGTCTGTCAAGCTGTGATTGATGTGGTTGTAGATTTGGGGATCATCATCCTGCCGATCCCCATTGTGTTGAGGTTGAAGATGTCGTGGAAGAACAAGTTTGCAGTATTGGGTGTTTTGCTTGTCGGATCATTGTGAGTGTCACCATTTCTTCCAATTGCACCGTCACTGATTATCGTTTAGGGCCATTGGCTGTGGAATCGCTCGCGCAATAATCGTGGGCATGATCCTCGGCMCACCAGTCCTCTCCGTCCCATCCATCGCAGGCGTGGCAACAACAGACTTTATTGGGATTGTCTCATTGATGATCTTCTGGGGTCAGCTGGAGTTAGGTGTGGGCATGGTAGCCATCTGCCTCCCAGTAATGCGTCCAATGTTGAAGGGCGAGAATGTCATGTCAAAGCTTCGAGAGCTCAAGTCATTCATCTCCTTGAGTGGTAGTTCGAGAGCAGGATCATATTTTAGTCGAAAAGGTTCGAAAGCCTCGAAGAGTGAAGATAGTGATGGTGCGACGTTCGAGGAYACGGATACGATTGAGAAGAAGATGGAGTATAAGGTCACTAGTTCGAGAGCGGATTCGGCGGTCGACAGGGGGAGGGAGAGTTGTATCTTTGATGACGAGAGATTCTCCCCGCTGCAGACTGTTGATGTCTGAATGAAATGATGGCTCTTCAAAAGAGTGCCTCTGGTTCTTTTCCGTCTCTTCATGCAAATCTGGACATTTGGTCAAACCGCGCCAGAGCGTCGTAGTTGAAACACGGGAGCTACTTGCGGGCCGACAACAGACTCTTCCTTCACTCTGCAAATGCCCATTTCCTGATGTCCTCGCTACTTTCTCGCCTTGACAATTCATCTCGACCTTGGCATCAGCGAGCGATTTGGGCAAAGGGTCATTACCCGCATCACCTAGTATCTTCAGTGTAGTGAGCCAACGCTCCATCATTAGTAGCCCTCATATACGTCGTGTATAGAAATTGGTGGCTGGCGTGGTTTGTCAAAAACGCCCGCATCCCAACGAGTGCACGAACCCAAGCTGCTAGAAGGCTCACACCTTATGCGATGAAGACATCCATTCGGTCGTAATGTGACATTGCACAGAAGACAGGCCGTGATGTTTGACCGCACCGGTGCAATCGTAGCCACTGATGCTGGACAAAGGCGGTCCCAACGCAGAGAATCAGGGCGACTTTGACCAGAAAGGCAAAGCCTGTACTTATTCGTGGAACCCAGGCTTGAGATATCTTGGCCTCGGAGGTAGCTTTTTCCATCGAAAAAGACGCACATGAAGTGTTGCACCATAGCGAAGCGATTGCAAGTCCAAGAAAGAGAGCACACAACATCACCATGGGGGCCCTCCAGCTTTTTCTTCTTTCGGGAGTGTGATCTCGGGTCTATTTGCGAAGAGAGTCTGCGCCATTCATTCTTGAAGGCCACTGATGCATAGCTGAGTTTGTTGCCATTGGAGGTTGACATTCTGCTATGTGGGTTGGGTGAAGCAGGGTAGAAGTGATGAAATGAGACGAGTCCACCAACATAATCATGTTTCCTAGGTCTCTGGCAGTGTTGGCTCCGCCATGTAGTTTTGAGGTGCAAGTGCAGAGCCCTACTACTACCATTACTTTGTAGGATTTGCAGAGGAGCGATTGGGAGTGGCGGATGGCGGTCGGTCAGTGTCGTATTGTTGAAGCTGCAGTCGCCTTCAGTTTCGTTCGGAGAGTAACAATGAAAATGCGGAAGAGAAGAAGACGTCCAACCGTTCTTTCACCATTGAAAATGATATTTCCTGCCGCCTTCTCACAATCATAGGCAATTCATCGCCTTCAGCCGATGCGCTCGCCATCTTGTTGTAATGTTGAAATAAAAAAGATGTTTGTAAGAAGAACGTCAGCGGCGATTGAAGGAAGGAGGATTCCCGTCCTGCCAGCTGTTCACCAACACCTTTGCCGCTTCCTGATGTGATGACATTTCGACGGAGCTCAGGATGTACCATGTGTTAAAATGCATTTCAGACTTTAGCTCTTTTAATTCTTATGCTTTGCATAGCTCGAATACGCTACGAACAACCTACGAACGCATTATTTAGTAATATTACCGCCCTTAGTGTTATCCTTTTCCTTCGTATTATACGCTAGGCCTATAAAACGCTTAATCTTGCCCTTTAGCGAGTCGAAGGTAGTAACGAACTTCTTTAGATTGCTATCTAGCTTACTAACCTTCGTAGTTACTTACTCTATCTTACTAGCTAAAACCTCTATATCGTATCTTATATCCTCTAAATCCTGCTTAAGCTAAGCGACGCGCTTTTTATCGATAAGTAGTAGTAGTAGTAGTAGTAGTAATAGCTGCTTAGACGCTTTATAGGCTAGCTTTCCCTTATAGCGGTAGTAGGCGTATACTTCGCCCTTACTAGCTTCGACTCTATATAGCGAATTTAGTAGTTCTAGACGCGAGCACCTATTAAAAAGTTAGCGAGTATAGGCGCGAGTAAGGCACGAATACTTACTAAGTGCACTTTTATGTAGCGTTAACACCTGTATTTATTTCTATAATGCGGCTAGTAGCGTCGAATTTACGGAGGTTCTATATAGCGCTCTTACGTAGTAAAGGGGAGTCGGGGTCGACGGCATTATTAAGCTAGCTATTCTATATACTAGCGGAAATTAACTAAAACTCGCCCTCGTCGTACGGGCGGACGAGCGTTTAGAGGCGTAATTCGATTAACGCGAGCTACTTATCGGTAAGKATGTCTATTATAATCGCGGTATGTTCGTAGCGGAGTCGCTATCGCGGAGGGGGAGGTAGTAGTAGATAAAGTTAAAGTAACGGACGAGATAAAGTTTTAAGTACGGAGCGCTAAGGCGGCGGTAATAGTAAGGGTAACTTACTACCCCCGAGATCTCCGCCGAGACGTTAGGTTATTATAAAAGTAAGTGAAATTAAGAGCAATTAAGAGCGAGTATACTACAAATAGGGCGCGAGTAGCCTCCTTACCCCCCTTAATATCCTTCCTAATATATTTCCTATAGCATTATCCTTACTAACTATTACTAAGCCCTTTTACTACTGCTTTTACTACTACTTTTGCTTCTACTTTTATATACTAGTTTCCTATTAATATTTCCTTAAGGTCCTATTAAAGGTCCCCTTAAAGTCCCTTTTAAATGTCCTAAATCGAGGGAGTTAGAGGCGAGTAGTACTACGAACGTAGGGCGAACGAACCTACTACTAATCCCTTTCGTAATTACCTTATCTAGCTAACTGCTCGAGTTCCTTAATATCCTCTAGTGCCTCTAGTCCCTTAAATAGATCCTCGTTTACTTCCGTATAGATACGGGCATTAATTAGATTAGTACGCTAGTATCGAGAAGTAAGCGGCTTTACGCTTTCTAGTAGGTCTCCGTAGGTACGAAAGTATATTCGTAGTACTACTCGTAGGTGTAGATAGGCCTATATATGTACCCTATCCCCGTTTTCGTCGACTGCCTCTTCGGATATAATACTAGTAGTACTATCGATCTACATTATAGAGGCATTATAGCACTAATTAAGTATCTCTACTAGTAGGTATTTATTAAGGTTAAAGCTACTAATATCGTTATGTATTAGTAATAGCAACTCTTCCGGAACCGGTATGCCTTATTAGGTATATAGACTACTAACTAGCTCTAGATAGTAATAAAGTATAAAAGGGATGCTACTAACGGTATGCGGTCGGTTGTTCTACTTCCGGATACAGTAGTAGTTCTATAGCTCGACATACTTAAGGATAACATCTCGAATAATTAGCATATATATAAAGAGTAGTATAATACGATCGGCCTTACTCCCTTTTATATATAGCCCTCGGCTATGTAGTTCTTTAAAGTGTTCGCGCTATCGACTAGTAAAGGCCTGCTATTAGTTCTACTAAGCCTTAATACGCTAGTTTATCTTACTAGTTCCGTAACGAAAGCAGTCCTCGAAAGTAAGGGGCGGCTATGTTCTTGTTATTTATTATAGTAATCGCGGAGGTGTTCGTAACGTACTTACCGCCTCTTCGGGTCTATAGACTTATTACCGGAGCGTAAGATGTATATCTATAATATAACGAGTCTCCGCACCTCGATTAGTTTAAAGAATATAGGGCCTAAAAAACCGTAAGCAGCTACTCGCTATATATTCGTACCTATATTCGCCCGTATATTACCCCTAATACTTATAAAGCTTTAAGATATTAAGCCTAAATAGAGAGCTATGTACGGCTAGTAATACCGATATAAATCTATACGATGTATCTCGAGAACACGTTAATATAGCCGTACACCTAGATGCTAAAGTACTTAAGTTTAWAGTACGTATCTATCGACTAAGCGTAGTTTAGCCTATAAGCTGTTCGTAGGTTACTCGTATGCTACTTCCGTCTTATTCGCCGCTCTTCTACACCCTTAGGGTTAAGAACTATTAACACCTTATATAGCCGGTCTCTATTAACGATGTTATATCGACTACGGAGCTCCTTATATAGTATCCGTCTACTAAGCTTAAGGATATGTCCTTTATCTAGCTCCTTCGCTAATATTATAGCTATTTTAAGCTCTACTACTACCTAGTCCCTAGCCTCTACCCTCTTATAAAGGCCTATCCTCCTACGTATTCGTACTACTATTCGTAGGGCTACATTATACCTATCGACCGTAAGCACCCTACTAGTCTCGCTATCGGTTAAGCGTATAATATAGAAGCAATATGTAATACGCGATTATAGTAGTAGTATAGTATAGACTAGGGGTCGTTTTATACCGCGAATACCCTACGACTTTATACGCCGGTTTAGAGTACTTAGCGAAATATCTATACCGTAAATGTCCTTTAGATCGCGGAGCATTTACTATTAATCGACGCCGGTATACTAGCGGAGCTCTATAAGAGTCGGAGGTTATCGAGAATAATAGGGGCACGGCTAAGGGGGGTCTAGTTCTAATCTATCTATAGCGGTAAGGTGTCGGTAATACGAATACGTATACGAATAGTATACGATCGCGATACGGCTAGCTCTATAGTGTAGAAGGATAGCCGCGGTGCTATAAAGGATTTTCGGATCTCCTTAATATTTGTTATAGGGGGGGGGGGAGCGGGGTAGGGACGTACTCGTACTATATTCGCGCTACGACTCGATCGGCATCGAATTTATTAGTTGTTCTTATTTTTACATTTAATCGCTCTCTTTCCCGTATCCGCGGTCGTTCTAACGACAACATATTTACTAGTTATTAATTATAGGGTCTAGTCGCATCCTCTACTAGATCGAAGATCTACTAAGTAGCACCTCGCTATTATATCTGTAATCGCAACCCTAAGAACTATCGAACACACCTACGAATATAGCTACGAGTATATATACTACTATATTAGGAACGGCGCTAGTATAGTCGAAGTTCTGCCTAGAGTCTAGCTTATAACACGACACGACGTACGGTGCCTACGATTACTACTCGTAGTATAGTTAATACAATCCGCGAGCGAAATCCCTTATACGTACCGAAAGGGCGTCTACGGTAGCGCCTCTAAGCTCTAGTATAGCGGCGAATACACCTACGAATATAAGAACGAATACGCCTACGTATATAGCCTTTACTTTAATACCCGATATTGCCGAGCGACACCGAATGCTAGTAGCTCTATCTACGCCGCYAGATTATAACTAGTACTCCGCTAGTAGACGTCTATTATTATATCGCTAGCTATCGAGCAGCTCCTCTACTTAAACCTCCTCTAGGACGACCTCTACCCCGAGGAAGCGTACGACTATAGTTACGACTACTTAGCGAATATAGTCTACCGTTAAGGTATTTGCTTAATACATTAAGGTTTTAAAAGAAGGTATAAAGGAATACTAAGAGCCTTTAATTATACACGCCGTAAGGGATAGTTAGATAGAGGATCGTTTTATATAAAGCGGTTAGAGCCTTCTAGACTTCTTACTTAATCGTATAAGCTCTTAACTAAGGAACATAAGAGAGATAGAGGACTTCTTTAAAGTACGCCTTATTACTAGCTTTAATAAGCTTACACAAACGCCGTCCTTTATAAGCGACGTTACACTTAAAGTAGACACGTTAAGTAAGAAGCTTATTCCCTTTAATATAACTAAGCCGAAGGGGTAGTTAATGTAGCACGAGTTCTTTATTATTACGTTTTAGATAAGCTCTAATTCGAAAACGAAGCTCTAAAGAGAGAAGAAAAGATTAACGGCTAGGGTAGCGAGTATTCGAGTAGCGAGTGTTACTACGAATAGCACTACGATTAAGTAGGAGCCTACGATGCCTTTTAGACAGCGTCCGCTTAAAGAGGCCTTATAGACTTAACGTGTAATCGATCTAAAGAATCTACTAGATATGCTTAACCTTACTACGAGTAGTCCTACGAAAGGCATAGCGAATACGATTAAGGTAAACGAGGACGAGGAGGATAGAGGGCGAATTATACTAAGGCTATCGACGTCGCTAGTATACGAAACAACTCTATTACTAATACTATCGCTAATACGACTAACGTAGTAACTAAAGAAGAAGAAATAGAAGACTTACGCCGCTACTACTATTAAGCCGTTGTCGATAAACCTACGTAGGGGTAAAGGGGCTAGTTAATTCGCTATATGTTCGTATAGGTGTTCGGCTATATAGCCTAGGCCGCATTAGTTAAAATAGCAAAAGGGAAGTAGTTCTTTTTACTAAAGATACATAAGAATGTTAGTAAGAAGAACTATTTTATACTAAACTAAGGAGTTAAACTAGAGCGCAACTAGTAGGCTACGGTACCGACGTTTAATAGAGTAGTAAGAGTTTTGCATATATATAAAGCCGTTTATAGTCGCCTAGTATTCGCATAGTTATTCGTAGCTGTACATTATCTTCTAGCTATATTAACGATGCTAAACTTCCTTTAACATTAATAAGCGGTCTTATAGCTAGTTAGTTACGCTATAGTTCAACTCTAGGTATTAGTATTTATCCTAGTCCTTATCGTTTAAACATCTTTATATGTCTTTTAAGGGACATAGACTAGCGTGATTTTTTTTGCTACGAATACCCCTACGAATAGGCTACGAGTTCGGATATACTTAGTAAGTATGTAGTATTCGTAGTCCGTTCGTGTTAGTGTTCGTTAGTAGCAATCTATAGTTTTTCCACGCTTTTTTTAGACGTTTATATAGCGATAACTACACGAACTCTAAAAGGATACCCTTTAAACGTAAGGATACAACGCTTTAAACATATTATAATAGATTCACCGAGTCCAAATGTTATTACCTAGTGTGTGTATATAGTACGATCGCGAATACCGCGCGAGTGGATGTGAAAGTTGGGATTTCGAGTTTTGAATTCTGACACATGGTACATCCTAAGCTTCTTAATTTCCAGGGTCTCAGCTTAGCAACAATCCAATCCAATCCCTGCCCGCTTGCTTGCTCGACCTCCATCTCATCAATCTGGAACCTCGACCCTTTCTTACACCACAACCACCACAACACATCAATTAATCATGTTACGAATCGCACAACTCTTCTCCGCAGCCCTTGCGGTCGCAGGCGTTTCCGCCTCGGCCGTCATTGACCTCAAGCCATCCAACTTTGACTCGATTGTTCTCAAGTCCGGCAAGCCCGCGCTGGTCGAGTTCTTTGCTCCTTGGGTATGTACAGCAGCAATGCGTACAACCTGGCTGATCAATGCTTAGCATACTGACGTCAATCTTTCCTAGTGCGGACACTGCAAAACCCTCGCACCCATCTACGAAGACCTCGCCAGCTCCTTCGAATTCGCAAAGGACAAGGTCACCATTGCCAAAGTCGACGCCGATGCCGAGAAGGAATTGGGCAAGAAGTATGGAATTCAGGGTTTCCCAACATTGAAATGGTTTGATGGAAAGGGTCTTTCCGAACCCGAGGACTACAAGAAAGGTCGGGATATCGAGAGCTTGACGGCTTTCATTGAGGAGAAGACGGGATTGAAGCCAAAGGGCGCCAAGAAGGCCGCCAGCGCTGTTGAGATGTTGAACGATGCCACATTCGACAAGCAGATTGGTGGGGATATGCATGCCATTGTTGCTTTTACTGCTCCGTGGTGTGGACGTGAGTACAATCCATTGCTTGACATGTTGTATCATGCTAATGCATGATTAATAGACTGCAAGACTCTCGCTCCTGTCTGGGAAAAGGTCGCTGCCGACTTTGCATCCGAGCCATCCGTTCTCATCGCCAAGGTCGACGCCGAGGCACCCAACGCAAAGGCCACCGCGGAGAGGTTTGGAGTCAAGTCTTATCCGACCATCTTCTACTTCCCCAAGGGATCTTCGGAGAAGGTTGCCTACAGTGGTGGTCGCTCTGAAGAGGACATTGTTTCGTTCATGAACGAAAAGGCCGGCACTTTCCGCGCTCCAGGTGGTTCCCTCAACGCCCTCGCCGGAATCATCCCATCCCTTGACACTGCCGTCTCGAGCCTCAAGTCTGGGGGAGAGGCAGCATACGCAGAGCTTGCCAAGCAGGCCGGTGCGCTGCAGGGCACTTATGCCGAATACTACGCCAAAGTCGCCAAGAAGGTTGAGGCCAACGCCGATTACGTCGAGAAGGAGTCCAAGAGATTGGCAAAGATGATTGAGAAGGGTGGTCTTGCGCCAGAGAAGCTGGACGATCTCATCAGCCGGAAGAACATTCTCAGCAAGTTCATGGGTGGCGAGGAGGATGGTGTGAAGAGCGAGCTTTAGAACAGTCATCTGAATAGTGCGGTTGCGTTCGTGCTGCATTTTATGTCGTTATGGAAGCTGATAACGGGACGCTGATGGGGCTGCGGCTCGAGCAGCAACAGTCGTTCCTGGGACGCGAGCGAAAAGCAGGCGCAACACGAATCATTTATTGATGAATAAGAACATCCAAGCCCTACGTACCTGTTCTCATGGAGGTACATCAAAGATTGCAGAGTGATACGGTACAGCTATACTCCCTTATTCTCCTCCACCTTCCCCTTCGTCTGCACATTGTCTCTCCTTCGCCGTACCCTTCTCACGATTAGGTAGACAAGAACGGTGAAGAGCCCACAAACTCCCAGCGCAACCAAGCAAGCCGACCACCTCAGCCTCGCATCTTGAGTGATCTCTTTGATATTCATGCCGAAGATCCCGGTGATGAGCTGCAGAGGCAAGTATACCACAGCAAGCGTAGTCAATAAGGTCGTGCGTGCGGCTTGTTGCTTCATAATCCTCGAGTCCTCTCGCATGACCTCGGAGTCCCGTGTTGAGATCAAAGCCATGAAGAGCTGGATCTCCTCGTTGGCTGTTCTGGCAACGTTGCCGAGARTCGCCTCGAGTTGGGTAAGCTTGTCAATCAGCGACAATGCACTGATCCCTTCCTCGGCGGATCCAGTAATGTTGAGACCACCTTGGATGGTGACCGCGCCTCCATTGTTCACGTTTATCACTTGACTGTTATGTGATAGCTGGCGTATGTCAGAGAATTTCAAAGGCATATGGTCACAATCACAGCTTACCTTCCCGTCTACACGCCTGAGGGGCGCCATGCCGGCAGCAAGAGAGAGTTTGGCTCCAACGCCAGCCATGGAGCCCCTCAAGTACGCTAGAGTGCGTCGAAACTCGCCCAAATCTTGCAGTGTTCCCTCTTCCAACGCTCGAGATTGAAGATGCMTCATATCTTTCTCGCGCTGGGCAACGATTGTCTGCCACTCGCTAACGGTGAGTAGGGCGTGGAAGACTGAGTTACGTTGCGTCACTTGTTCAGACGTATTGCCCATGAACTCAACCACATCTCGATGGGCGAGATTCGCAAAAGCCCTCCGAAGAACCTTGTATGGATCAAACAAGCGTAGTTTTCTATCAGGCTGGACTGTCATCGGACGTGGATCGTCTAGTCTTGTGTCTGGTATTCCGAAAGCGCATATAGGTGCATCTAGTAGCACAAGATCTGCACTTCTGAATTCAGTAAGGGCCACGTCTTCGACCCGAAGGAAAACGTACACAATCCGTCTCTCAGCATACAGCATGAGATACGTGTGCTTGTACGATTCCACTTCGGAGCAGTCCCTCTCGAACCAGACTTAGTGAAAAGCTCAGTCCTGTAGTTTTGATGGCTGGTCAATTGCTTCGTAAGAGCAAAAGAAAAGGCTGACTCTCCGCCATTGTTCATTCCGGCATTTGGGACCGGCAAGCAGATCCCATCGAAATGTGAACCATAGCATGAAGTGGCGGCGCCTTCCCTCGGGCTCCAATGTAGTTCCTGGTTGATATGTTCCAGCTCAGTATCGTTTAATGAGCTCTGGGGGTACTCTGAACGAGCTGTATGTTGGTGAAGAAATGCGAGCAGGTCAGGGTCTGGGAAGGTATCTTTGATCACAGAGACGACATCATCATTGATCCCTTGAACTACGACTACACTCCCTCGCGCATGCTGCTGGCCACGGAGCCGCATTTTGAGTTCGTCGAGGTTAGCCATCGCTTGTTCATGGGCCCAAGGGTTATACCAGTATCGTGACCTTTCCACATTCCGCGGTCTCCTTGGAAGACTTGGGTCGTTGATCAAAAGTGAATAGAAAGGATCCAGAGGGTCCATATCTTCGTCCGGTATGTGGTATTTGTGATGCTGCGGAGAGGGTATCCCGGGCGGATCTGTTCCACGCCCGGATGAAGGGCGTCTAGCTGTAGATGAATCCATGGCGAGTAGCTGTTCAGCCTGTGTGGTAACACTCCTAAATGTGCAAGTACCCTTTTTAAGGCTTTGAGCTGAAGTGTGGCGTCCTCAGCTGAGCGCTAAGATTGAAGGAGTGCATGTGGGCGCTGTTCCAGACCGCGATGCATGTTCTTAATCGGAGGGCAGTGCTATCATTGCATATTCATGCAAATTGTGATCAAGGTACTTTTGTGAGCAGCGACGCCCTCAGATAGGTAAACAGTAAATGCGTTAGAAGCTGCTAGCGTGGTATGGTGCTGATGAGCTTGAGCTTACAGCGCCTCCAGCGAGATGGTCGAGCCTCTGCCGGAAACGCCAAGGCCTGACCAAACAAGAGCTTCTGGAAGGCCTTCATGATCATATGTCGGATCTGTTGGGTTGAACTGGTGCTGCGAACGGAGACGCGGAAGCTAAAGGCCAGCCTGAATCTGCGTGGTCTTGGCGCTTATGTCATGCCGTTAGTGTCGATGAACTTAAGCACCCTCGTACCTATCGAGCAAGACAACAGCATTCGAGCCCTTCTATCATTACTAGCACCGTCACAACGAATTAGGCGAACCCGACGAACGACACTACGGAGGTACAGTGCTACCCACGCATCGAAATGATCTTGAGTCCGGTCTATCGAAGCGTCCAGAAGGTCGTGATGGGCTCGGGTTCCTCGTGAGTTCGGTGTCGGGTTGCAGGTCATGGTGCGCGGAGTACCGCAGCGATTAAAACGATCATGATCGGACAAGGCGGTAGCTCGCCACATTCGACCATAGAGCCATCCGTATATATTCAACGCTCTGCCGAACTAACCGTGCCGAATCTCGACCGACGACTAGGTAAACCGACGACCAGGTAACCTAAAATGCTCTGGCCTATTGAACCATGTAATCGTTTGATCAGTACTCAGGTGGGTGACCACTAGGGAATCCCAAATGTTGAATGTCTCTTTTTGTTCCTCTTTTGGCCTGTAAATCGGACTTTCGCCGGCTTCTCAGGGGCGTCCGGCCAACTTCAAGCCCTAATTTTCGTAATATTCTTTATATTAGTACCTAGCTTTAAGCTCCTTTAACGAATCCTTAATTAGCGCTATAGTTGTAGCGTAATAATTCGTCGAAGTTGTAGTATTATTTGGCAATTAGACGGAAACGAGCGTTTTGTAGACCGTGCGTAGTGTGTATCTAACTTCTATAACTAAAACCATCTTTTCCACTCTAAAATTCTTCGTACTTCACTTCATAGACAACATCAATCACACTGACCATGGCCTCTCAAGTCCATGACGACCAAATATTATCTTCTCCCCGAGCCTTATTGCCTCCGATCGAATCATTATCGAAAGCCTCTCCATCTTCCAAAAACAGGCAGTTATCTTCTTCCCAGGACGGCAGGCCACAGGACGGGACAGTGGACTCGAATGACCTACCGCAACAGGAGAAGCCTGAAGTTCAGCAAACACCTAGAGATAAGCGTAGGACATACGTCCGACCGAACCTTCAACCAAATGAGCATACCCATAATGCGGACGGTTCCTTGACTAAGTTTGGCATAATGATGGAAGAGGTGCACGAGCGACAATGGGCTTTGGTCAGGAAACCTCCAGATAATCCACCTCGGAGAACTGAAATTCAGTATTCGCCTGAAGATGCGCTTAAGAGATTCCATCACGGACCGATTCAGCTTTCCCATCGTTCGGACGGCAGCTTGACTGATTTTGGCAAGAGATTAGAGCAGGAGAAGGCGGTGAAGAGCAAAGATTGCTCAGAAGGGTGAAAAAGCAAGAATCCGAGCTAACGGGAGCTTTTTGCTCGTACAGTGTCTTGACCCATCCGATCCACAGTAGGTCCTCTCGGTTCGCTGTCTTTGCAACTTTGATTCGTTAGGTTTGGTGAGGAGGATGCGGGGAGCCAGCGGGCGCTATCGTTCGCATGCAGGAAGACGCTGTATGCAGGAAGACAGGAATGTTGTCGTTGTTGCGAGGTCCGTCGCTCCTTTCAGATCGACCATGGACTCTGATCAACTCGTCGACTGGGGCGATAGGCTCCCGATCGGCCAGGTGCAGCAGAAGAGACAGCACTTTCTTCTCCTCACGCGCATGCATGCATAATCTCACCATGCTTTTCGCAAAGGTTGCAGTAGTGGTGTGTATGCAGGCCACACTCTGTCAATGCCAGGGGCCTATCTTGTCATGAAAGTGCAGATATATGCCACATCCCGATCGCTTACTCCAAACCTTCTGCTCTCTTAGGAGCTCCATCCCTGACAAAGTTCTCAGCAGGTTCGGTTACCTAAATCTAATCTCAGCGTATACGTTCACACTACCACTTGTCAAACGCCTGAAAGCAAAGTTTTCACGCTCATCCGTAGTCATCACGCCCAGAACAACAATACCGAAACTTCCGCGAAGGGAATTCCATTGCAACCATGGACATGCAGACGTGGCAACTGGAAGACGAGGTCGATGCCATCAATCTTCAACTTGGCTATCTTCATCTCTACGACGAAGAAAAGAAGGGAAAGTACTCACCTTCGAACATACCCGATCCAGAAGTCGCTTACGATGATTTCCGTACCTATCTGCAACTTCGTTTGCAGTCCCTACAAGACTTCAAGCTAGCCCGCAGCATCGCCCACGCCGTCAGTGCTGATGCTCCTATCATTGCGGAGTTGATAGAAGCAGAGAGAGTCGCTCACCAAGATCGTCAGCTCGCTTTTCGGATGAGCAACGAAGAGCCCGATCTCGAGGCTCCGCCGCCATATACTGAAATTGGCGACGAGGCTGCCATACTGGATGATTCAATCACACGTTTAGGCCTTCAAGACGAAGAGCCTGTCGACGCTGGGCCGTCCGGATATGTTAGGGGTCAAGTCGAGACTCTCGAAAAGCTCGCGAGCAAGTCATTCCAATGCTCGGCCTGTACAGAGCATTTCCGCCTCACCGAGACGTCCGAATTGCCCTGTGGAGACCGATACTGTGGAGATTGTCTTAAGGATTTCATCATGCGCCCAGTCCGCGAGCACGACTTCACGCTTCTCCCTGCTCGCTGCTGTCGCCTTCCAGTCCCGCAAGGTGTTGTCGCCACAGTGCTGAACGAGCAGGAATACCAGGCTTACCAGTCCACGGAAGAAGAGGCGGCGACGCGGGACAAGACCTACTGCAGCAGTGCAGAGTGCGGCCAGTTTGTTTCCCCCAAATACATCGTGGCTGATACTGCGACCTGTCCTCGATGCAGAGTAGGCACATGTATCATCTGCAAGAATACTGGCCACGAGGGAGATTGTCCCGCAGACCCAGCTCTACAAGCAACACTAGCTCTGGGAAATGAGCATAATTGGCAACGATGCTTTTCTTGTCGTGCAATGGTAGCCATCGAGTGGGGTTGCAATCACATGAGGCAAGTCCGTTCTCAAAAGCTCCAGGCTGCATACCGCACGCTAACTCTGACATATAAAGGTGCCGCTGCGCAGCAGAGTTCTGCTATCAATGTGGCGTTGAATGGAAACAATGTCGCTGCGAAGTATGGAACGAAGAGAACCTTGTCCAGCGGGCGGAGGAAATTGTTGCCCGAATTGCTGCGCCCAACATTGCGCCTGTCGAACGTCAACGCCGCGTCGTCCAGATCCAAAATCAGCTCCGCGACACCGATGAATGTGAACACCCTGGCAAGTTCCAGAAGATTACCGACCGAGCGCGATTTCGTTGCGATTGGTGCAATGACAGGCATAAGAAGTTCATCCTCCAGTGCCGCCATTGTCATCTGGAATTGTGCAATGATTGTCGCTCACACCGTGTCTGAAACCGATGGGGTTAGCATACGCTTTCACTGATCAGGCAGGGTGGCCTGTGTATGCATGATGTACTCCCTTTCTATGCTATGAATAAGATCAGAATCGTCTCAACACTGCGATCGAACATCACTCGCGTAGGCGCTTTCAATATTTCAAGAATATTTAGAGCTCTCCCTACCCTCCTTTACTCGCATTAACGCCGCCGATATGACAATTTCTCCTTCTCCGCCCGCATCCAAGCCATGATCTTATCCAGAGCAAAGACATCGTGCTCTTTTCTGGAAACATCAAAGTCCTCTTCTATCCATCCAGGGGTTCCAGCTGAAAGAAGCAATTCCCCGAACTTCTTACACGATCCCCAGTCGATAATCACTGGATCGTCTTGACTGTCGAGTGCGATGTTTGAGGGGTTGAGATCGTTGTGAGCGAGACCAAGCGAGTGAATGTGATCGATAGCATCCCGAAATTGGCGTTCAAATCGGTCAAGATCAAGGTCGGACACATCGTTGTTAAATCGGTGATCCAGGATCTTCTCATACCGCGTGAGCGTAATTCCAGTAATGTAACCTCGTTTCATTACACAGCCATGGTATGGCACAATATTCGGGTGCGGGTGTCTAGCTAGAAATTCCATCACTTGAGCCTCCTCCAAAAGCATCCGCGGAACGGTTTTTCCGCCGAATTCGTCGAGCAAGCAATGTATTTGTGGTCTCTTGAAAAAGAGCTCCGTGATGTTGGGATTTGGGGGTAGCAAAGTGATTCCCTGAATCATCTTAGGGAAGACGTCTTGGTCGGGAATCCTTCGCAGATTTGCTTGGATGTCTTGCGCCGTCAGATCGTACTTTCGTGTGTTGTGGACTTCGCCGGCCCACGCTTGCTCACTGGCGTCGACGTAGGTGAATAGCGTGCGACGGAACACTCCAGTTTCTGCTGCGAAGACTTCGAAGAGGCTGACATCATGCTTAGTTAGAGCCGTCGACATAGTTTCAGGCGCATCTTCGAGCATCTYRGAACGTGGAAAAGAAAGTATGCGACCTTCGAGGCGGAAGAGTCGACGTTGATGCTCACCGACAGTAGACCGCCAAGCCCTAGGCATTGTACCAGCATGCATGCACCACCCCCGCACGACCCGCCGGTCTTCTCAATGCGTTTGGCTTTCGCAGTACCAATCATCACCCACGAATTCATTCTTGTTGAGCTCTCTGGAGTGGATCGTGAAGTTGTCGTGTTTCTTCTGCACCGATCGACAACTCTGTAGGGAGTCAATACCGTGTGCAYGCAATCAAAATGTTGGCATGAGTGATTTGTATCAGGGACTGCGATCAAGTCACCACCATCTGGAATGCAGAAGAGTCTGTATTGCTTGACTATCTAGCGAGTGAATGGCCACCCTTAGATACCTCCAGAGCTCTAATGACAAATTTGCGTGAGTGAATCCATGCAAGTGAATGTTGCCGAATCTTCTTGACTCAATCGGAGTCTATTTTTGTGGAGAGGGCCGCCGTAGCACACACACGGACCAGTCCGTTGCGATTGAGGTATTCAACGGTGACCATATCACTCGAATGACTATGCGAAATAGCTATCCCATGCATTAGATGATTTTCAGAAAACCTGCTGGATCGAATCAACGTATGTTGGCATAAGTCGATTTTGCCAGATGTTACCAGCAAAACGAGCTGGTTAGGAGATTTCCAAGGGCGGCTATACCACTCCAATGACACTGCCAATCGCCTTTGCTCCATATACATTCAGTCTCGGAACACTTAACATAGAGAAACAAGACCTACTGGAGTGAGTTGAAATGGCCCCCTAGAATGGGCCAGAAAGGAGGCATTGAGCCAGCAAGGAGGTATCCAACGGTGGCTACATCCCCTCAATGATGGCAACTTTCTCCGTGGAATAAGAGACATAAACTTCATTGAATGGAATCAAATGGGACCATCTGGCGGCTAAATTATGTCAGATGTAGCGGGAATGATCATATCGTCTTTGTCTTCGTCCGAGGGTGATGTGAACTGTYGACTTTTACCCACCCGAAGCTGCGAAAACTGAATGAGACTCGATTCGACTGCCTTGTCTGCTTTGTCCTCTGTTCAAAAGCACTGCGACTTCAGCTGCCAGCTGCGTGGGCATTGTCCTGTTGTAATCAACATCAGGTAGTGTTCTTTGTCTGCCGGGTCTTGTTCCTACACAACAGACGTGTACAACATCACCATGCAACGAGAATGGCATTGTTCCATGAAAGAACAAGGAACATTGTGCAGATGCCTCTAGCGTTTGGAAAGGAGACAATGCTTGGAAGGCTACATTGTGAGCTTTCCGTGTACAAAGCTCTTTGTACTCTACCAGGAAGAGATCTTCTCCGCCAATGTATATATGTGCAATCAGTTGGCAGTCCAGCCAAACTCCAACTCACTTCACACGGCGTTCGCTCGACCATCTGAGAACAAACACTTCAGTACATTTACACTGCAGCACGTACTCAGATCGGAACAGCAACGCCAAACCATTTGAAGTTCAAGCACGGAGCCGGTCTCCCTCTTTCCCCTCCAAAACATCATGCTTCCAATCATCCTCCTCCTCGGCCCAGCGGGCTGCGGCAAAGGAACCACCGCGAAAAAGCTCATCGCAAACTACCGCCTCTACCACCTCTCCGTGGGTGATTGGCTTCGCGCACAGGGCAAGGCTCCCAWCATCGGAGTCTCTTCTCCATGCATCAACGACTACGTGTCGTTGAACTTTCCCGTCCCTCTTCACTGGCTCGTCAAATCCTACGGGGAGAACTGGATGGAAACCGCACCTCCGGCACTCATCCTTTACGTCTGCTCCAAAACCAACTCCTCAACTCCAGACAGCATGTGGATTCGCTCCATGGCTGGACTGAAGCAGGAATGTCTCTCGGTAAGTCCCCAGTCCTACGACGCCATCCTCCTCGATAACTTCCCCAAACTCATCTCCCACTCCAACGCTCTCGATCGCTGCTTCGGGACCACCCCCGTCCTGGCAATCTCTCTAACCTGTCCCTCTGACATCAACCTGGCGCGCTTCCTCGCTCGCAACCGCGGCTCAGACGATGCGAAAACTTTTCGCAGACGTCTAGCGCGGTTCGACAGGGAGTCTCCGGCTGTCATCGGGAAGTACAGGGGTGCTGGTAAGTTGGTCGAGGTTTCCACGTTGGGCACTCCTGAGGAGGTCTTTCGCAAGGTGGTAAACGCTTGCGAGGAGACGGAGGCTTGGCGGGCCATCTTTACTGATGTGTCTGCTTGCCAGCCGGCTGCGGAGTGAGTATTTAATCATTGGCCGACCGGGCTGTAAAGTAAGTATCTGATAATTAGCGATCATTTTGCAAACAAATCTTCTCCTCTCCTTTCCTTGTAAATTCAATGACTTCGTATGAATTTTTCATTCAACATTGTGTTCGGCCATCCACTCTGTCGTGAATGCAAGTCTTCGCTCGATTATGTCGATGATTCCATTCCAACCAAGCGGGAATTCCCACTAGTTAGGGGTTTCACATTATTGTGAACCGGCCGGTACACAAGCTCGCATTCCGAAGTTCTGGAGACAGTTCCACGATGATGTCTGCCCATTTCTTGTAGCGTGATCATGCACACGTCAATCCAGACTGGAAGGAATTCATCTTGATCTCGCCATGAAAGCCATTTCCAATCAGATGCCAGAGTGCTGAGAAGGCATGGCGATGATGGCCCGTTGAGTGAATGTTTAGGTAACGAGACCTTCCCGTGCGGTTGATTGATGGCACGCCAAGTCTTCCATCGTTCCCATCGCGAAACTCACACGTCGGAAGCATTATGTAAGCAGCCCCGCTTACCTTACCTTTCATCATGCCCTCTCGCGTCTCACCCGCCCTCCACTTCCATCTCAACCTAGGTATCTCCTTCTCCTCCCCACCTGCACCATCTCACGTGAAGAATGCCGCCCCGAAAGCGCACTGCCGCTGGACCCGCGGCCGCTTCTAATAATGTAGAAGCCGGGTCATCTACACAGGGGAGAGCTGCGGGAAAGCGGGTCAAAGTCGAACCATCGGGATAATCTACCAGCAACCACCCTATGGTCTAGCAGCAATCACCATAGCTGATACGAGGCTGTCCGAGGCYGACACACCTGCCCGATAATTAGCTCATATCACACTGTAAATGAGGCCGTGCGCGGGCGCGTCCATCTCTTTCTTACGGTCGCATGTAATAGCCGTCTGAAGTGAATATTCATCCATCTTATCCTCATTGATTGCTCACCACTCAGTCGATGGCGTCACTCCTTTAGGCCTATTAGGCCTCACTGCAGAACGAATGGCCCTCGCTATAACCGCTACCGCCCTCGCCGTCACCGCCACCGCTGTCATCTTAGGCTCGTTTCGAACAGTTCGTCCTTGGTTAATGAGAGCGTGTGAATAGAGCCTCAATTGATTGAATTGTTCGAAAACCCCATTTATGCACTCACCTACGAAGAAGCACCTCCACCCAACACCAGCAACACCAACTACACGCGAAAAGCCGCTGTGTATCGTGAGAACGTCCGTGCGAGCATACTAGCCATCCTGAGTGTGGGTGGTTGCTGCTAGACTATAGGGTGGTTGCTGGTAGATAGTCCCCGAACCATCCCTCCAATCCGATGCACTTCTCCACACGGTCGCACCCACATCCGTCGCAGCCGAGACCGCTGTTCCCCAACACGAAGTGGCACCTACGCAAGCTCCCAATCAAAGTACGCTTGCATTGCTGTAGTTTCGACACCAAGTCTATCAATATTCCAACTGACGTCCGCAGATCCCCCTCTCATCCCAGCCCTTCAACTCGGCGGGAACGAACTCCGCCCGGTCAATGGTCACGAACAGGTTGTAGTCAGCGAAGTAATATTGCTTCCTTCCAGCTTTGTTTGCTTGGTTGCTAGATCGGACGCTCTCTTCTCCATCAATTGCACCCCACAACATTACCCTGTGGTTCCGCCACGCACCGTGAGAGCCATTTACAACGGGCACTATGGAACGCCATGTCCGGCAAACCTGACACCTTGCTACGTCCACATTGGCAGAACTAACATTCTGGGCTTCCCCCTCCATTTCTACGCCATGCTAGCCAACGTACCCGAAAATTGGAGGATCTATGGTAAAAAGGGACTGCCGGACCATGCATATGCCGATTGGTTCGACCGCTCGGTGGCGCCAACACTCCGAAGAAGTGCTTCAAAGTATGGCCTTCACTGGGGTTCATGGCGTAAGTACTCCGAGACTTCGGCCACCACGTCTCACGGGCGACACGACGCGCCCATTCCTGTTGAGCAGAACCTGCCGGCTGCTGGTGTTTGCGACCTCTGAGCTAGGCTCAAAGAGGTTGATGRTAATAGATATTTGGACCAGGCTACGCTGTTTGCTTATGGCGATATCTACAACAACGCGGACGAGATCCAATGGGCCGACTTTTCACGCGCCTGGACGAGATATATCGAACCCGAGCGTCTTCAACAGGGTAGCAGGATCTTGACCAGCGCGGCTTTGGACGTGGCGGCATGAAAGCCTGGAATACTCCATGGACGTTTTWCTGCTGTAATGGGTCGAGGGCGTTCAGTACATGCAAATTGTGCTGCCCTCTTGAATGGATGCCCTTTACTCCTCGCATCTCCACATCATTATTATGGAAGTTATTCATCTCCTGCGAGCTCGACACGCTCCCGATCATACAGAAATTGATTATTCGAATGTTCAGGTGTATTGTATTACCTCTTCTCCTATCGTATTTCTTATCATCTTTCCTATCGTCTTCGTCTACTTCCTAGCTGATACCCCTGCTAGTCTATCGGATGCAGCTTATCGTTCTTGGCGCTGTGGTGGAAGGTTACACATCAGCGACTGCATCTCACATCAACGTCTTCAAAGGGACCGCTGTAAACGGACACATCAGCTCTCAAAACCTTCCTGTCACAGTGCGTTCTCGGATCTCTGCCTTTTTTCTGCTCCTGGGTTCCAGCCTGGGTTTTGTAACCTCCGAATTCGAGAGGGCCATCCTCAAAGATGATGAATATCAAACTCTGCAAGATCCCTTCCCATACGAATTCCCCGACCAGCGAATGGCTGACAGTTCACACCTCTTCCCAATGCCTCCTTGTCAAGGTATCGATATTGATGAAGCAACCATTGACACACTTCAGCAACATCTCACACAAGGAGCCTTATCGTCGCAACAGCTTGCCGTTTGCTACCTGCAAAGAATCTGGCAAACTAATGATTACATCGAAAGCGTGCTGGAGATCAACCCGGATTTCTTGAAAATCGCCGAACAACTGGATTCTGAGCGTCGTGCGGGTCATGTTCGAGGGCCACTTCATGGTATTCCTGTGAGATTTTCAACCCGACATTGAAGTTCAATCACAGACTGACATTGCACAAGTTCGTGATCAAAGACAACATCGCCTCCAGAGACAAAATGGAGACAACAGCAGGCAGCTGGGCCTTTTTGGGATCCCTCGTACCACGAGACGCTCACGTCGTGGCAAAACTTCGACACGCCGGCGCTCTACTGCTCGGCAAAGCATCACTCAGCGAATGGGCTGACATGCGAAGCAACAGCTACTCTGAAGGTTACTCAGCTAGGGGCGGTCAGTCCCGGTCTGCATACAATCTTACACAAAATCCAGGCGGCTCGTCTTCTGGCTCCGCAATTGCCGTTGCCGCCAATGTGGTCCCTTTCGCACTTGGAACGGAGACAGATGGCAGTGTGATCAATCCTGCAGAGCGAAACGGCATTGTCGGTATCAAGCCTACTGTCGGACTTACTTCTCGAAGTGGCGTTGTTCCGGAGAGTCTCAATCAGGACACTGTTGGTACGTTTGGAAAGACAGTTCGAGACGCTACGTATGCTCTGGATGCAATCTACGGGCCAGACTTGAGAGACAATTACACTTTAGCTCAGATTGACAACACACCCGTTGGAGGTTACGCACAATTTCTCACAAACAGCAATGCCTTGAAAGGACGACATTTCGGTTTTCCTTGGAACTCTTTCTGGGTACATGCCGACGAAGAGCAGCAGACGGTGCTTCTGGCGATTATCGGCCGCATGCAAGATGCAGGAGCGATCATTGTCAACAACACYGAGCTTTTGGACTACAAAACCATTGTCTCGCCTGATGGCTGGGACTGGGATTATGGTGAGCATTCCCCAAACAGAGATGAGTTAAGCTGATGTGAATAAAGGCACCAAGCGAGGTTACCCCAACAAATCTGAATACACATATATCGCCGTCGACTTTTACAACAACATCAAATCATACCTCYCCGAGTTGAACAATACCAACATGAGATCTCTCGAAGACATCGTTGCCTACAATTATGCAAACGATGGTAGCGAGGGAGGCTACCCCTCCCCGCGTGGCCACCATCCAGCGTTCAAGTCCGGCCAGGATGGGTTTCTCGCCAGCTTGGCAACCCAGGGAAATATGAATGAGACGTACTGGCAAGCCTTGGACTTCTGTCGTCGAAGCACCCGCGAACGTGGAATCGATGCAGCTCTTTCGATGGGCATCAACGGCACGAAATTGGATGCCTTGATTGTTCCGCCAGATGTAGGCCAGACTTACCAAATCGCAGCCCAGGCTGGGTATCCCATGATCACAATTCCAGCCGGAGTGCACAGTTCCACTGGAATGCCCTTCGGAATCGCTTTGATGCAGAGCGCGTGGCGAGAAGACATACTGGTCGGGATGGCTTCTGCGATTGAGGACCTTCAGCATCGTTCGAATCAGTTTCGAGATTTGCCAAAGTGGTTTGGTTATATGGAGAAGAATGTACCCGTGAATTGAGAGGCAGCTGATCTTCCTACCTTTACACATGCCGCAAACTTTATATCCGTGTCCACATGTTAATGCTGGATGAGATATTTACGCAGCTGACTTCGACGACTTCAACGAACATATGCATGCATTCACTCAAGGTTTGCGCCAGTCTTAACAACACAGGCTTCATTTACGCTTGAAGACTATCATCAGCTTTCACGAGAAGAGTCCTACGCCCGGACCACCTGGCTCGACATATACTCACCGTCCACTTCCTTCCACCTCCTCTGCTCTTACACATACCAACATCTTCCTTCCTCAACGCCGTCCACACCCACGGATTCCAGCCTTCCACACATCCTTCCCTCGCCACAACACAATACCCGCCACAAGTTGTCCATCAACATGGACTTCCTCAACATGCTCGCCTTCCTGCTTCTCAGCAGCATCGTCAGTCTGACATTCGCCGGTGATCATACTACTATGAGCATCGTTGCGCCCCCAACCACCGACATTTCCGGATGTACCGAGTGGAGCATTTCGGCTGGGACGCTCGTCCCTGATTGCTTGACCGCCACAACTACGGTGATGGTCACCTCAACTGATATCCTGACTACCGCGTCTCTGAGGCCATTTGATTTCAGCAACGAAACGAGCATCTCTACGACAGCCATGACAAGCAGTGCCGCTTCAATGGTTGATTCGAGCACGGCGTTGTCTGTGGCCGCAAGCACAAGCGCTCTCGAAGCGTTCACCGCCAGCAGTGCCAGTTCCATGATCGGCACAAGCACAAGCGCTCCTACAGCTTCAATCGCCAGCAGTGTTAGCCCAGCGGTCGACATAAGCACAGCGCTGACAACCTCTGCGAGCACAACCGTTGGGGCCCTCGATGACACCCAAAGCGTTCTGGATAGTATCACGGCTACTGCAAGCACGACTGGTGCGGCTTTCGGGGATGTCGAGAGTTCTTTCGGCGATGTTGCAAGCACTGCCACTACTCCAAGTCCAACTGACGGAGTTTTTGGTGATCCCACAACCGGTTCCGACGATGTCGCAAGCACCGCCACTACTCCAAGTCCAACTGGCGAGGTTTCTAGTGACGTCGAGAGTTCTTTCGGCGATGTTGCAAGCACAGCCACTACTCCAAGTCCAACTAACGGAGTTTTTGACGATCCCCTGACCGAGTCCGACAGTCTTGCAAGCACTGCCACCGCTACCGACACATCCAGGAATGCTCTCGATGTCCTCGAAAGTGCTTTGAGCACCTTTACAAAGGGCAACGCGACCATTCCAAGCATAACTGGGGATCCTCTCGATGTCCCTGAAAATACCCTGGATGGTTTCACGAGCCCTGCTACGACTACAAGCGAGACAGCGCTGTTTCCAACTCCTGCCCCATCCTCAACCTCGTGGGTTACAAGCACATTTTCGATCCTATACGTGGCCGATTCAACGAGCGTTGCCACACCATCTTGGGCAGCAAATCTTGCTGTCAGATCGCTGTCGCCAGTGCTTACCGCTCACGAATCGGTTGCGTCGTCGAGCGACTCGCCAGAATCGATCACAAGGACAGTTTCCGCCACAAAAGCGTCAAAATCATTAACTCCTCAGGAGTTTTTGTCGCGTTTGGGCGCTGTTCATTCAGCTATTGTTTCAAACACGACTTCCCTTCCGACGTTCACACCTGTGATCATTTCGACCACGCTGTCTGGCCCACCTCGGAATTACAACTCTACATTGCCGCTTACTGCTTCTGGAACGTTGACTCTCCCAGTGATAAGTTCTTCGGCAAATGGAAGTTTTCGATCGACTACGACCGATATGTCGATGTCAAGCCTGTTCAATTGCTCGACCAACACTACCGGGATCACGACGATGAAGACAACCAATTTTTATCGGCCTCCTCCCTTCTCAGAGGCAGCGCCAGCAATCATCCAATCATCTCAGGCTTCTCCTTCAGTAGAAACCAGCACGATGATGATAACAGTGACGAGCACAAGCACGGTATTCGTGACCATGTCGACGAGTAGTGCGATGAACTTCACGATGGCAACGACTTCTGCGACCTCTTCCCGGAAAAGCACCTCCACGCTTTCCTTGACAACGACAAGGACCAGCACAGTTTACGTGACAGGTAACGGAACTTCTTCGACTCTGGCATTGAGCTCTCTTGCTTTCTCCTCTCTGGCACCAGCATTGAGCTCTCCTGCTTCTTCCTCTCTGGCACCAGCATTGAGCTCTCCTACTTCCTCCTCCCTGGCACCGACATTAAGCTTTGCAACTTCTCCGGTCTTAGCCACGACGTCGAGCTCCTCAACTTCTCCAGCCTCGGCCACGACATTGAGCTCCTCAATTCCTCCAGCCTTACCCACGACGTCGAGCACGCTGTCTCCCTCCTTGGCCCCGACATCGAGCTCTCTTTCTGTCCCATCCATGAACAGTACATCAAGCTCCCCATCGTCTTCATCCCTGGCCATGACATCAAGCTCCCCATCCACCCAATCCCCACCCATCCCATCAACCTCAACCCCGACAACTGGATCTCCCTCCCAGATGAGCAACGGTAAGTCCCTCAACCCCTTATAACCTCCCACAACATCACTAATCATCAAAAAAAAAGAACAAACCCAAAGTCCTATACCAACGACATTCATCACCTCCCCCATCCTGCCTACAAGCTCTGTCCCTGCGCTTGAAGCAACCGTTGGAATCAGTGATGGTAAGTCTCCGTAGCTCGATTGTGGAATCGCTGATGATTGCTGACTTTTTTAAAGGAGTAGGTGAAAGTTCCTCAGCTTCTGTGCCGGCCACGTCGGCTTCTGTTGGGGATATTGAACCTCCGGTTCCTCTGAACCGCAGCGTCTAGAGTTGATATTGGGGACTTGGCATGGAGGGTAGGTAGATCTGAGAGCTCTAGTGCATGGATATATGTATGGAGATATGGCAAGGTTTGAATTATTTCTATTTCAAGAATTGGGGACGCAAAAGTAGCAAGTGGTAGACGAGGATTTGATCATCAATTCAAATCCTTCTCCAATCTTCTCATTTCATGTTTTATTGCATAGGGTATCACCACGGCATTTGTTTTGCGCYTTTGATACATAGACACGCAGCAGGTGAGAAGCTCATGATTGAAACCCCTCGCCCAAGGCACAAGCAGGTTGCTCCCTCCACGACGCTAAAAGTCACCGCCCATATCATCACCACCACCAAAGTCGCCACCATCATCCTGCTGCCCATCCTGATAACCATCCTGATAAGCCTCCTGCTGCTCATGCTCCTCATGATCATCAAACTCATTCATCAACATGGCACCACCCAACAAACCCGCACCAGCACCAAGCGCAGCACCGCCCGCCATACCCATACCACCGCCACCCGTTCTGCGAGGCGGCATGCCTTGCTGTGGGTAACCTCCATAACCTTGCTGCGGGGGGTATCCGCCGTAGCCGCCCTGCATGGGAGGATATCCCTGCTGCTGACCATACATGGGTTGTTGGCCATAGCTCTGCTGTGGTGGTCGCGAACCTCCACTGCCGAGTTTACTTGCGAGTTTGCCGAGTAGACCACCTCCGCCGCTCTTCTTCTGATCTTGTTGGCCATATACCTGCTGCTGCTGCTGCTGGCCGTATTGAGGTTGGCCAGTCTGGCCGTATGGACTGCTACCCGTTGGCGCGCCTCCTCCATAATAACCATCAGCCGCGCCTCGGTTGGAGTCACCCCGTCTCGCATCCTCTTCCGCTTGAAGTTGTCGAGCTAAACGCTCATCTTCGGACATGCCACCGGAAGCTCCCGCACCACCCGCACCAGCGTACGGGTTGTTGCTATGCAGGCCAGTCTTCTCGTCGCCGCCGAATCGTGGCTTGGTGGAAGTGTCATAGCCTGGCGGAGCGCCTGGAGGAGCGCCATCTTGTGGTGGAGGATACACGGGCTGTGTCGGCTTCTCCCACGTCGAGGTTTTGGTGTAGATGTTGACAAAGAACCATTCTTTGTACTGCTCGTTCCACACTGCTTTCCAGCCCTCRGGCACTTTGGGCGGTGGGGGACCCGGTGGTGGTGCAAAGTCTGCCATGATGGTGATGTGATGTGATTTGTTGTTGTGGTGGTGGTGAAAGTGGAGGAACAATGATGATGCTGATGCTCGAGTGCGGGCACGTGGAGGGGACTGGAGGTTCTTCTTTCATCCGCGGCTGCAGAACTACGTCACTTCAAATCATCATGCTCTTGGTCGCCACTGGCCTCAGCCACAGCCTCCTCATCATCCGCAAGTGAATGAAATGCCTCGTTTCTCGCCTCTCGCATTCGTTTGCATCGATATGCTTCGGCGTCCATGAACTTTGGCCTGGCTGGCTGGCTGGCGTGATTGGGGGCGTGGGGGAAATATCACCCCACCCACCCAAGCCGCTGGCTGAGGAGAGGCTGTTGGGAAGAGGCTTCTTTCATCTCCATCTTGTCAGTTGATGATGCGCCTTCAATTCCGTCGCCAGTAAATGGCAGTACCTGGAGTCTGGGATTTGCCATTTGCCAAGAGAAGAGGATTGACGCCATCACAGCCTCCAGGATGGAAGCGGAGGTCTCCTCGGTTCTGAAGAGAGATTGAGGTTCAAAACCGCGAAACAGCACATTATCAGCACCGTTTCAAAGCAGCAACCGCCGTCCCCCTTCGATCTGTTAAAGATCTACGCAGGTCATATCTCGGAGATCCTCCTTCTCGGTTAGGTTAGTCGGGCATGGTCAATCGTGTTCAACAACGCGGCGACCAGGATGTTACCCTGGCGAATTCAGGCACTAGCTCCGGTCTCTTCGTACCTTGCAAGGATCCTCTCGGCTGAGAACCGTATCCAGATCAGATTCACCAGTCATACATATCATCTACGCCCTCTTCTTTTGGTAGGATCGAAGAGGATTCTCGTGCTGATGCTTGCTGCTGGGATGGATTTCGTCACCGGACTTTGGAGAAATTCCCTCTCCTGGCTTCCACACGCCCTATTGTTCCAAGGTGGTGTGACGTCCGCCACCAGCCACGCCCAGCATCGCATCGCATCGCATCGTATTGCAGCCTCATCTTGGATCACATTGGTACCGCCGGCGGACTTCCACATCCTCTCATCATCAGCGGATGTAGAACTTTCCGGCGCCTTGGAGTCTTGGAAAGGGCTGCACGATCTGCGCCTCTCCTCCACTTCACCTCTAAGAAGTAAGAACCAGCTCGCCCGAATGATGCCTGATCCTCGGTGACTTGGCATCTACACCATCTTCGACTCTCTCACACCCATTCTTCGAAGATTCCAGTTTCACGTTTAGTTCTCCAAGAAGTCGACCAATACGTTGCATCTCGTCAAATTTGTTCACTTTACCCCAAACTGTACGGACCCTTCTCCAAAAGTAGAAGTTTGATCTCTTGATTCCAGGGACCAGCATCCTAGCATCGATCACCCGCTATATCATTAGCACCTTGACTAGGATCGTATTCTTCACCGTCATCCTCTTGAGCGATAGTCTAGATGCACCTTTTTGTCCCCTGTCCGCTCGAGACCTTTTATACATCCTCAACAACATCTCCCCTCACTTATTCACACCATTCATTCGTTTCAACATGCGTCCCTTTGTTCCATTCCTTGCCTTTGCAACGGCTTTCGCAGCCGACATCGATACTGAAGGACTCCCCAACACAGGTCTCGACACATCTTCCTGGACAACAGGCACAGCTCCACCAATCACCTCCCTTGTCAACCTCCACGACATCCAAATAGCCGCGAAGAATACCCTCTCACCTCGCGATTACGCCTACTATCGTACAGCAGCTCTCGATGAAGTCACCTATCTGGCAAATCTCAACGACTGGGCAAAGATCAAGCTCAATGGATTCAGCTTTCAAAATACGGCAAATGTCAACATGAAGACTAGCATGYTGGGATATGAGTTCGACTCTCCATTTGTGGGTGATGAAATCAGTCGACGACGAAGACGACGACGAGAAGAGAACTGATCATCACAGTTCATCGCTCCAGCAGCACAAGCCGGCCGAGCCAATGCAGGAGCCGAGACAAATCTAGTCAGAGCAGCGGGAGCAGCCAACATCCTCTACGTCCCTTCAATATCCGCAACGCAGTCGACGCAGGAGATTGCAGCCGCAGCAGTACCCGGCCAAGTCATGTTCCATCAAGAATATGTCTGGGCTGATAGTTCCCGTGTCCAATCCGAATTAGCAGAGATTGAAGGTCTGAATATCCTCCTCCACTCCGTAGATGATGTCTATACTAATTCAATCCCAGCCGCCGGCTACAAAGCAATCTTCCTAACAGTAGACAACACAGGCGTCCAAGGCATCCGTAACCGCCAACAACGCTACTCAGCCGGCGGAGACAGCGGCCACAGCCTCAACTTCTCCATCGCCTCCATCGCCGAACTTCAAAGTACCCTCTCCATCCCCATCATCCCCAAAGGCGTCAAAACCGCCCACGACGTCAAACTGTGCGCGGACTTGGGATTTCCAGCCGTATACATTTCCAACCACGGTGGTAGAGTCGTGGATATGGCCCCTACAGCGGTGCAAGTCCTCCTAGATACAAGAAGATTGTACCCGGAAGTTTTCAATCAGATTGAAATTTATGCCGATGGAGGCGTGCGGAGGGCTTCGCATGTGTTGACTTTGATGGCTTTGGGTGCGAAAGCTGTGGGCGTGGGGAGACCGGTCATGTTTGCGAATATTTATGGGCAGGAGGGTGTGGAGAAGGTTATTGATGTGTTGAATGTGGAGTTGGAGACGACGATGCGGTTGATGGGGGTTGGTGATGTTGGTGATTTGGTGGGGAATCGGTCGTTTGTGAGTATCTTTCTTCCTTCCAAGTATGAGAGGGATACATGCTAATGGTTTTTTTTTTCTGGGGCAGGTCAATACACGGCAGATTGAGTACGAGACTTTTGGTATGCCGTTGATGTATTGAGAGGGAGAGACAGATGAAGCTTTACGAAGTCATGACATGGCATGAAGAGAAAGTCAAAAAGCTTTTGGAAGATAAATTAATCGTATAGAGCTTCTTTGGAATGGGAGTAACAATAATAGATATAGATGAGAACCCTTACCACACCTAAATGCTTCATTCGGGATTTTAATTACGATGCTGATACGGCTTTCATGTGCATGCACAGAGGACTCGGATAAGATCGATTACGCCAGAGACTCTTGAAATGTTCCTGGCGGGCAGATAGATGATGTCGCTGGTTTTGTACAAAGGGGAGGGAGCTGAAATTCGTACGATGGTCTGGATGGAATAGAATAGTACGACCCGTAGCATCTCACTCTTTCTAAAACTTGAATTATCCCCTGATAGTATTCTACAAGCTCTGTCTTTAGTTGAAATTAAAGGTTTCTGGCAGTAAACAAGTAACCTGGGAGATCCTTGTCGCCGTATCTTGCTATATCGCAGGATATCATGCTCGAGCRAGCACAAGCACAAACTCGAGCATATATATCTTCACGACTAAACTTGATCAAGACGAAGTAAACCCTTGCTCTCCAGGCCTGAGCAGAGCTGAAATCACACACATCCACAATTACATACAGCACACATCTCCCGAGACCTATATGCTAGCATCTACCTACTCTAGGTAAAACACCAACCATATCCCTCCGAAACAATTTCCCATCAACAATCAAAATCATTCGCGGCAGCAATCTACCAAGCACTTTCATCCTCCTCTTTCGGCTCTTCTTTGATAATCTCTCCCTCTTCATTTTGCCTCCCTGTAGCCGCCCCTCAAGGTTAAAGGGAAATTTTCTCCCCTGCAGTAGATAAAGTCAATTAGTTGTCTTCTACGAGTCWGGCATTTCTTTCCCGGCACATACTTTTTTGAAGAAGAAGAGCTGCGTCTAAGTGGCTAGCTTGCTCTGGTTGAAAAGCCTGTCACAATCTACCGCAAATTGCTCGTTGGCTCGACGTACGATGGCTTTCGTGAGGACGTCGATAGAGCGATCAGCTGTCGTTCTGATCCCGTGTGTCCCTGGATGCTTCGCTTCGATCACTCTGCCAGCTTCTCCAAGGAGTCGCTTATCGGTTGGATGTAGAGAGCCTGTTGGTCRATTGTTACGACCATTCAACCAATCATCCTGCTCTAGCGTGAAGATGTTGCTCTCTACGTTCGCAGTCAAGGGTTCGAGATCTCTTAGTGGACGAGTGGCTCTTAGGGTTTCGAAGATATGTTAGGCGTGGAAAGCCGTAAGTTTTTAGAGTAGTGTAGAAAGTAGGTTCCAATTTGAACGAGCTAATCGCGAGCGAAAAGATGGTAAGCCGAGATGTTGCTACTTGTACTTCTCTGCGGGCAAAAAGATGTAGTTGGAAGCAGCTCGGGATTTCTAGAGAGTCGTTTGCTCTTCAAAAACGGTTTGTCTGTCCAAACCATGCAGTACATGAAGCAAATAGAGATGGTATTGGAAGAGACTCATAGGGTTCCAAACAATCAAACCATCCTTGGAGAAGCGCCCCAACCTTTTACAAGAGAGGTGACCATATCAGAAGGTAATAGCTCACGAACACTTTGGCGTTATGATGATACTCCACATCTGGCCGACAGTAGAAGCGAAAGATATCCTGGCTCATTCTTCCCTGGCTACTCTCCATCACCACATGCCTTGTTTAACAGCTCGCCCAAGCGCATCTTCAAGGGCCTGTGAATACAGCATTCGAAAGGTAGATCATGCAGTCCGACTATTTCAGATTGCTCGTTTGCAACTTGAATCTCATCTGCATCCTGCATGAATTGCATTGCCTGCAGATGTCATGGTCAGTTTGGTACATATGGTGAGACAGATGAATCTAGCGACCCTCCTTTTGATCATTCGTGAGCTCAGTCAGCCGTTTGTGGACTACTTCAGCCTAAATTTTCACCTCCTGAATAAGTCGTCTCCTCTCTCGTAGCGAGCGGATTCCCAAAATCGCAGAGCCTTGCATTCACCCAGAAAGCTGTTCGAACAAGAGAATCATCCATCGCTACGGACAAGCACAAGCAGACTTGGAGACTCTGGTGAAAACAACAACCACAATCATCACGAGTGCAGTCACCAATCCTCCAACCCAATACTGCTCCCTGATAATCTTCTCCGCGGCTTCTTTACCTTCCTCACGACCTTCTCGACGACCTTCAAGGAGACCCTCCTCGAACACCCGTTTTTCCCCTTCTTCGCCACCTTCTAGACGGCCTTCCCGAAGACCTTCCTCGAACGCCTGTTCGGCCTCGATGGAACGATTGATGAAATCCTCTGCCTGTGGACAAATCGATCAGCTTATTTCCATGATGGCGTAACAGGATCTATTTTACCGCTTGAGAATTCTCCACCATTTCAAACAAATCATCGTAAATTTGTCCTGCTTGTATTGTAACATCCTGGGTAAAATCCAATGATCCTTCTGTCATGTTATGGGCCATGTGCAGAATACCATTGCTGACGAGCTGAATGGCGCGTTCCATCTCGGCACCTCTTTTAGGTTGGGATTTCTTGGAAGGGGCCATTTCGAAGTGCTTGATGTGATGAAATGAAAAGCGAGATGCTGTGAGACCTACTGGGGACTTATACCCTCTTCTCACAAGCGACAAATTTTCCAGAAGACCTTTACTCTGCCATGAACTCGTTTGGTGCACAAAGAACAGATGTACAGAGGTTTCCGACGATACGTCGTCAAAGGATTTGTTTGCCGATAGCAAGCAGAAGTCTTCCAGGCGCATTTTGGACAGCTTGGTCTCGATGCTTCGAATGTGAGCTATCGCACAAACTACTCGGTGAACGGGAATGTCTGTCCAAGCACGCCGTTGTCTGAACGATATGCTATTGGTCGGTAATAACATCCAATGATAGACACATACTTGAGGCACCTCAAAGAGGCTCCCTGCCAAGCCACATCTCTCACCCCTTTTCCCTACCGGTCAAAATTGGATTTCGTGCGCCACACATTGTACCACGTCCTTCATTCGCTTCCCTTCTCAACTAGCCACCATACTATGAACTCAGACTATGAAAAATTCGCTTCCTCATACCAGCAGCGAACTCATCGCAAGATTTCTTACCAACAACCGGGCAGTTCTTCGCCAGTCTCCCAATCACAACTACCACTCCTACAAAAGTTCCCAGCATACTCCACTTGATCCTTGGAAACCCAGCCAGCACATATGAAGTTGCTCTCCGTCGTTCACCTGGCCTAATGCGAGGAATCTGCTGTATGGCTCGCCGCCTGATCCAAGCAGTCTACTCTCCACCGGGCCGGACTCGAGACATCTTCAAGGCCAGCTCACCAGTGTTCCTTACAAAGTACTCGGCCTACAATTAACATCACATCAGTCACCATCATCTCGCTCGTCACTCCTCARCACCGCAGTACCTGAACATGAATCTCGGTTAAAGAACGCAACCGATTGCCGGCTTACTCCGACGATTCACCCTGGGTGTGATTGAAGGTAGTACCATTCTGTTTTACCATGTCCCAGATTGCTTCTACAATGAGCAAATCCAGCCGCTTCAATTAAAGTATTGGCTTGAGTAATACTGCCCATGTCACTCCAGTGAACGTCATAATTTATGATGGCGAGTTTGGGTTGGSGGAGGAAAAACCAATCTCAGCGTCTGCTAGTTCAACTGTATACGCACAATTGAACAGCAGTAGAACGAACCAGATTCGAACTGCACTTTTCTTCCCAAAGACGATAGACGCCCGACAAAGACTGGGTGCACTTAGACACACACCAACAATGCAGAGAAGTCAGCATTCTCCTGGACTCGGTAGCCTCTTCCATTTGCTTTAAATCGCGGTATAAAAAGCATAATGGCCTAGAAATACGATCCTACTATCCTCTACCCCTTCCTATACGTAGGACTTATCTCTAGGGTTAGGGTTAGTGTAGTTCGAATGTAAAACAACGGTTTTATAACACTACTAATAATCTTCTACGCATACTTATAAGGTATCCAGACCTATAGATCACCCTACTAAATCTCAAACGCCATCGTCTCGAACACTAACCATCGCTAAGCTTTACCCGTTTACTCGCCCATTTACTCGCTAGAAGAAGAACAAGAAGGAGAAGAAGAAAAGAGTGGGCAAGGTAAGGTAGTACACAAAACCATCCCAAACCCACTCATCCTACATATCCACTCAATCGCTCGCTTGAGAAACAACATCCAACAGGAACAGTACAGACAGAATAGTACAATACACTATTGTTCATCTTACCTGATTCTTGTAATCTCCACATCACTCACAACCAACCATCCAAGTCATCCATCCACCCATCCATCCATCCAATCCAACCACCCATCCAACACAAGTTCAGCCAACCACAAGTCCAGCCATCCAAGTCAATCCAACCACAAGTCCATCCAACTAATGATCCAACCCGCTATGCATTCCGTTCCCAAAAAGTCATGATGCGTACATGCGTACGTCAGAGCTCCCCCAGATGATCCGCAATCACACGTATCCAAAAAGAAGTCCACTCCACCTCCCCCTGATTCTGTCATGTCCATCCATCCATTCCAAGAATCAGAGAGAGGGCGAGAGAAAAAGAAGAAGAAGAGGGGAAAGAAGAAGAAGAAAAAAGGATGCTTCGGGATGGGACCCAAGAAGGAGGAAGAAAGATCCAAGTCGCCATTGACACATAACACATCATCATCCTTCATGAACTTGATTCGTTTGGTGTTTGTTCAAATCCAACTCGTCTCGTCTTCACATGCCCATCATACCCTGCATGCCATTATTCGCATATGCCTGTTTCAAAATCAGTCAGTTTCGAAAATATCAATCATCTCTCATCTCTCGTTCGACTCACCATGGGCTTGATATCCGGATGCGGCACGGCATCAAACTTGTTGAACTGCAACTTCAAATCGCTCTCAATGTTGATGTATGCACCTTTATTCTCCGTGCTGTCACAATACCTCGGGGCGGAGAAGACGGTGATGCATCTTCCATCGTGTTCCACTTCATACCCCTCCATGCGCACTTCATGACTGCGGATAATGGCTTCAAGACCATTGTTCTCACAGAATCGCTTGGTGATGTCCGGGCCGAATTGCAGACCCACGCCACGCTTGGAGGGACCACGGCCGGGTTCGGGTTGCGGGTCGGTCCAGAGCATTTCCATCATGAGACCGGCTTGGCCGGGTTGGCGTTGGTTGTGGCGGTTCAATTTGCGGATGTCGTCGAGGGTGATTTTGTCATCGGAGAAGAGACCGCCGTGCAAGACGAGGTATTTGTCGCCGATGAGGGTGGCGAGGGGGAGGGCGGAGAAGGATTCGGAGAAGAGCTTGAAGACTCGCTCGTTGTATTTTGCCTTGCATTCGCCCTCGAAGCCGTACATTCGGTTCATGTCGTCGGTTTCGTGGTTGCCACGGTTGAGGAAGAAGGATTTGGGGTAGAGCCACTTGTAGCAGTAGAGGAGGATGACCACTTCCGTCGACCAAGATCCTCGATCGACAAAGTCGCCGTTGAAGAGGTATGCGTGGGATGCGGAAGGGAAGCCGTTCAGACGGAAGATTTCCAACAGGTCGTAGAATTGGCCGTGGGTGTCTCCGCAGACGGTAATCTTCTTCTCGGGTTGGACATGTGTCTCCACCATGGTCGCCTCGGCATGGACAATTTCCTTGACGGCGAGGATGATTTGGAAGAGATATTTGCGATGAATCCTCTTGCCGTCCTTGAAGCGTTGGATCATATCCGTGATGAAGTCCTCGGTCATCTCCTCCTTCAATGCAACACCATCATAACTCTCCTCGACCACCATATTCTCCACATCCAATCCCTCGGCGGCCGAAGGGGCATCGGCGACCTCAATGGCCTTGAGAAAGGCATCCCGCTTGACCATTTTTTGACAGGCTTCATACTGCGCCTTGGCCGTCTTGTCCGTCGGGTTCTTCCTCACCACTACCTTCCAATCGTGAATGGCATCGGCATGTCGGAGGATGGCGGTATTGGCCACTGCTCGGCGGTAATACGCCTTTACGAATTGCGGGTCGATTTCAATGGCTTTGGTGGCGTCGGCAATGGCATATCCGTACGACTCGAGTTTGATGTTGGCTTGCGCGCGGTTGGTGTAAAAGGATGGTTCTTGATCATTCAGTTGGATGGCCTCGGTGTAGCAGTCAATCGCCTTGGGCCAGTCGTGTGCTTTGAAGGCTTCATTCCCGCGGTTCTTGGCCGCAATCGCGTCTTCAGAGGCCGTCATCTTGATCTATTCTGTCCTGTATGAAGTGGACGGAAGGAAGGTATGCAAGAGACGGGTGAAATCTCCCAGAAAAACAGACGAGCGGCAGAAGCGGGCAATTCGAGATGCAGCGAATATTGAAGGATCGCGGGAAGCCCGGCTCAACCTTTTGGCTTTTGCCTTTCGTCATCAGATTTCGTCGAGTGCCGGACTCCACTCCGCTGCAATCCATCCATCAATTCCATCCAATCTCACGTGACGTTCAATCCATCAATCCATAGCCATTGCCATCTCTTTGTCCAAACAACACCACCATCATCATCATCATCATCAACAATAACAACACAAAATGTCTCACGTCCCCCGCTCCCTCCGCGCATGTCTCGTCTGCACCTTCATCCAATCCACCACGAGCTTCGTTAAAACCGGATGTCCCAACTGCGAAGACTTTCTCGAAATGCGCAACAACGCGGACGTGGTGACGGAATGCACGAGTGAAGTTTTCGAGGGCACCATTACGTTGAATGATACGGGTCGGAGTTGGGTTGCGAGGTGGTCACGTCTGGATGGGTATGTTCCGGGAGTTTACGCTGTCAAGGTTAATGGTTCGGTGAGTGTCTTTGATCTTGTCTTATTTTGAGGTTGATGTTTGTGAGGAGAATAATGCTAATTGATGGTGATGGGATTTAGCTGCCGGAGGAATATATCGCTGCCATGGATGCCGCGGGCGTGACTTACATTCCGTGAGTTGATGTTGATGATATATATATAGCTGCGGATGGATGACTGACTTTGTGTAGACGCGATGGAAGTGCCAGTACGGATGATTAGAATACCTCCGCGACCAACGACACGACAACTTCTGCAGATCAGACGCAGAGGCCGATGTAGACGCAGGTGCGTCGTAACCAATCTTCAGGGGAGAATGAATTGCAAGGATTCTCACGCAGCGAGGACTTTCCATGACTGATCAGAAGCGGGCCATTGCAGCGTGCAAAGCGCTGGTTCTGATATGGAATGGAGCAGTATCACGGTAGAGCACCCAGCATGCTAAAAGGACTGGCTGCATCACTTTGATTGTGGGGATATTCACAAACATCACTTTACTTGTGGCCTTTAATGGGGAGACATTAAATGCACGGACATGCACGTGGGGAACAGTAGCATGCGAAGCTTGACAGAAATCATCATCACATTCACGCTCAGAATGGCGTTTCAATCCTTTTCCTCTCAAAATGCAACGAGAGCATTCCCACTCTCCGTCAACATCCACAGCGTCCGATGGAAACCATACGCTCCTCCCACCAGTAAGATGTAGTACACGACCGTCCAGCCCATGCCCAATACATATCTCGGCCGATACATCTGCTTCTGCCTGCTGGACGACGACGCCGGTTGCTTCCCCTGCGCATCATACGGCGTGATATCCCCCACCATCTGCATCTCCACCTCTCCCACCCTCCCCCATACCCTTGGCAAACCCATCCAATTACAGAAAGTATGCGCCGCGACGGCAGCAAAGACATTTCCCGTGCGCAGAAACACAAATGCGGCAAAGAAGCCAAAGAGACTCGTGTAAGCGAATTGAAACACGCTCATCACCAGCACCATAATCACCACCTGTGCGGAGGGAAACGTCCTTCCTGGTGGGGTGCGCGAGGAGAGATTCTCCACCAAGTGATGAATATGCGCGACTCCGAAGATTAGTGGAGAAGTGAAGATGATGCGTGCCGGGGAAGTTCCGGTGAGGAGGTAGAGGGCTATGACGAGGGATCTGAAGACGAGTTCCTCGCACCAGGGAGCTATCACCAGGTTCCTATGACTGGTGGGAGAAGTCCAGAAAGTGGCGAACAGAGTGTCGATGTTGAAGGATTTCCAGGCGGAGTCGATGAGAAGGTGTTCATAGAGGGGTCCCGCGAAGAGGATGGCCAGGAGGGTCAGGATGGAGAGGATGTCGAAGGGATTGATGGGGTGGATTCCGAATAGGCGGAGGATTTCCTGGGGAGATGCTTGGGCGTATGTGATGAGGATTGCGACTGTGAGAAGGGTAGAGGCCAGGCAGGAGAGGAGCACGGCGCGGATTCGGGCGCTGATTACGGTGGGGGAGTCGCGGGAGTTGAGAGGCGTGGTACGGAGGGTGGGAGAGATGTAGAAGGGTGCGRCGTAGAAGATTGTAAAGGTGAGGCCGAGGAGGATAGCTGTGGTTTCCGAGATGGGCGGTGCTGGTCTTCCATTGAGAGGGTGTGTCTGATGGAGGATCTCCATGACGGCTGTCATGTCATTGATGTCGCTGGCAGGTTCCTTCAATATGGCAATCGTGGACATCCATCGCTTTCATGGTATGGGGGAAAGAAGAATGTTTGTTCCTTCTTTCTTTGGAGCAGGACTTGGCTCCGTCGGCGCGAGTCTCAAAGCAGCCGAGACATTCACGAGCGAGAACAATGGCAGGCAGGCATCATCCATCATGAACATTGAAGCACGACAGACCATCAAAATATCCCACACTTGATCCTACCTTGGACATGTCCATCCCCGTCAGCAACAGCAACAGCATCGTATAATCGGGATTCGAGTCATGTACGAACAATGGAATGCATCCAGGTACCTCGAGATACCTTATCTTAGAACTACCTTAGCGCCCAGCCCACGCGCCGGTCCAAGCGAGTACCACACGTTTTTTCCCTCCCAAGCGGCAAAGACGCGTCGACTCCCGACTGTTGATTTGCAGGGGAAGCTCGTGTTCTGGGCCGGCCACCGCTGGCATGTCAAACATGGAAGAACTGTGAGAAGCGCAAAGGTGTTTCAAAATAGAACTGTTCTCGAAGACGTTCTTGTTTGCCGGTGGATCTCTACCCGGCTTGAATTTCCYGTCCAACATCTTTACCACCAACATCTGCACACACACCATGATGGTGATGATGATGATGGTGGTGATGGAGAGACGCGAAGAACGCGTCCGTGAGGAGAGCTGAGCTAAGCTAGACTTTTCTTCAATTTGCTGGTGGGGCATGGCATGGACGTGAAGCTACCGAATAATGCATGCATGCATGCAGGACATTCGTCTTACCCTTTCACCGCGCATGTGCATGTGCATGTGCATTTGCATGTGCGTGTGTAGGTGGGTGTTTGAACGACAGACGACGGTGTTTGAAACCCAGACGTCCAATGCTTCCTCATCCTCCACCCAATCCACTTTGTTCGCGCTCGTGAAAGCAAAATCGGGCGCCACGTTGGAGCTAGCGGAAGACATGCATGCATGCTAAGGTATGCTAGTATCTTGGCCGATGGGGAGGCAATTTTAAGATTGACCGTCGACCTCTCATGCGAACATCCCTGCTTCACAGGCAAGATTCCACTGCCCGTCCAGTCAAGTCTAGGCTGGGTGGAGAAGTGGCCGAGGAGAGTTCAATGCGGGAAGAGGGCAATCATCAGTACGGTGATGAGGTGAGAGGATGGGCATCCTTGAAGATTGATGGATCCTGCCCGTCTCACTCAATTCCATCATTACTCCATACCATTCATTCAGTCGTTTGTTCGTTATTCCTCCCCACTATTCCTTAACCGTTGACTTATATACATACCACCGATTCTCACACACCCGTTGCCGACGCACTCTCTCTCTCTGCCGTCCACCCACCGCCACCCTGGATCGAGTGTGGGATTGGATTGGGTGTTGCGAGGTCCACTCTCACGACCCGCGCGACTCCTGACGCACACAAGTACATCATCAGCCGCCCGGCTGTGAGATTCTTGCTTGCTTGCCTGCTCTTACACAGCCGCGGGTCCGCCTGTCACTGTCACTACTGTCACTACTGTCCTGTCTGTCTGCCAGGGTCGCCGACCATCGTACCGCGAGTCACTCCGACTCTTTTCCCTCTCAACGCACCGCATTGCATGTGCACACGCTGTGGTGCGTGTTGCTATGCATTGCGATTCATACCTTCCTTTGCATCCTATTATCCTCGCTCTATAATACCGCTTCGACCTTGATCGCCCATGTATCTTGACCCGGACCCGCCCAAACCACAGAATCAGCAGAAACCCCAGGAAAACAACAAGACCACCATCGCCAAAACCAACACCAACACCACGCAATCCGCCATGGACGCGCCGCGACGAAAACCACGAGCTCCCCTCTCGCCGATAATCCGACAACGAGCGGAGCGATTCGAGTCATTATCCAATGAACATCTCCCCGGAGAATATCTCCCCGTACCTCCGTCGACGGTTCGGCTGGTGTCGACATCACCTTCTCCGGAAACAACGCCTTCGACAACACCCTTGAGAGTTCAACCACCGATACGAAGCAAGAGAGATCGCGAGGGAAATGTGAGACCGGTGACACCTCCTCGCTCGCAACCGCAACCGCAACCCCCTCCACCTCAGTCAGCAGTGTCGGGTAGGGAGACTAGCGTGTCAGAGGCTCGTCTGGGAATTTCGGCAGAGGGTCGGGAGGAGGAAGATGTTTCAGATATACCTGCTTGGACAACCAACAAGCCGCAGATTACGGAGCATGCCTCCAGTTTGACCCTAGTCCCCAATGATAGCGGCCATGAACTACCCAAACTACCTTTTCAACAACCCTTGGATCAGGATGACTGGAGTTTGTCCACGCCGTCCGCCGACTATTCCCGCCATTCCACTTTGAATGAGAGTGAATATACCCAGAGGAATCAATCCAATCGGTTTAGTAGTGTCGGCGCCGCTTCCACCCGCACCTTCACCCCCTCGACGGATATTGATCTGGATGACAGTCGAGACTTTGACAAGCAGCCTCACCATCATCCTCAATCTACAGGGTCGGGCCCTGTCAACACGTTTGACATACCCGCTCCGAGACTGTCAATCTTGTCAACCGTGCGGGAAGTGCCACCCAGCGACTCATCCTCGACCGAACGACCACCTTCCGACACTTCATCCGACCTGCCATCGTCGGAGCCCGCAACGCAGATCGTTCGTCGTAGAAGTTTGAAGCGTGCATATTCCACGGGATCATTGAGGAGGTCTCCCAGTTTTGCAAACCTGCGAGAAGTCAGCACTTCCCCCTCCCCCAGCAGTCCTCACGATTCACGACCAAATTGGGGTGCAATTTCGTTTGAAGCGCCCACCTCTTCACCCAATTTTGTCTCCTACAATTCGGGGCATTCGCATACCTCATCCTCCTCTCCCACCCGAAAGGGTCCTGCTATTCATAGCGCACACTCTATCGAATCCATCTCCGACCAGGGAGGTTCGCCCAACTTTCGCTCCTACGGCTCCGATTCCATCCACTCCAGTCCCGCGCATTTCATCAACACTGCCACTTCTATTGAGTCGATTAATTCGAGATTACAACATTCATTGAATCCCAGCAGTTCGTGGGCTTCACTAAATGAGGATAAGGATTCCCTTCCTCCGTTGAATATTCCCAAGAAGCGAGGCAAACAAACATACGCCCTCCCCCCAACATCCGCACCCACCTCCGCACCCACCTCCGCGCCGACATCCACCCCAATCTACACATCCTTCACCCCGACACCCGCCGCTCCACTCTTCGACCACTCCGCATTCGCAGGGGTAGGACCTTCCTATGTTGCCGGAGAAATGGACGAAGAGATTGATACCCTTCCCTACCCGAAGCGGCCTTTTAGCAGTCATCTCAGCACCATTGCGAGTGAGAGTGATCGTCACAGCCGATCGGCGAGTCATCATCTCAGTCGACTGAGTCACTTTTCTTTGGGAAGTGGGGTGATGACCGGGGATGAGGATAGTTTTGTCGCCACATCTCCCACGCTTGCTGAAAGAAGGAGGAGGGATGTTCCTACAGATTCCCTCGTCTCACAGGCCGCTTCATCCGCTTTTGAGGAAGATGCCGGGGAAATGTCCACATACCGGGAGGCGTCTGCCATCCCGCAACCTCTCTTCCGCGCGGGCCAACCCACGATGCTTCATAATTCGAAAAAGTATAATGGTCCTCTTCCCCCTCTTCCGCCCATCCCATTCAGCGCGAGTAATGAGGATATCGACACGTTATCTGCACTCCCTTCCCCCAGCTTGAAGACGTCCAAATCCAGCCGAAGTTTGAAGCACACCCGCAGCAAAAGCACTCCATCCCACTCCCGCCAACCCAGCCAGATCAGCAATGCCGACTCCACGAACCGACACAGTGCAGGAAGCAGCATTTTCCCCACCTGGGCGAAGCAATACTACACGGGGAATGCAGCGTTGAAGAGTAAAATCTCCCTCCAAAGTCTCCACGGAGAGCCATCCCGCAGTAACATCCACTCCCGGCACGCACGGAATGAAAGTTCCTGGACAGACCGCAGCATCACCAGTCGTTTGGGGACGGGATACAGCCATATGGAAAACGTCAGTCCCGTGAGCAGCCACTTCCTTCCTGCAATCTTCCGATCAGACAAAACCCGCCCCAAGCACGAACGACCGCGATCCCCTCAAAAGAGCCTCAAGAGTGTAAAAAGTCTCAAATCCGTCTTTAGCATCAAATCCCGTCCCACACCTCCACACCCTCATCAGAGAAACCACTCCATCCCAGACTCAGACATCATGTCCATTCGTCCGGATCCTCTCAACTACCACCCGAATGATAGTTATGAAGAAGAAGAAGTCCTCCCTTCCGGCCATCGAAAATGGGGCAAACTCAAAGGTGAAGATCCTCTGGAAACCAACAACCACCGTCCCAAACGTCTGCCACGGAAATACTCCAAACAACGCCTCTGGGATACCATGGAATTCCCCCGTCCGATGACGAAAGATCGCATGAGCGATAATAATTCCGTCTCCGCCCTTCCTCCTCTCCCTCCTCATCTAGGAAAAAGCGGCCGTGCGAGCCAGAGGAGTTTGAATGTCTATGAAACCCCTTCATTTGTGGAGAGTCTCGACACATTATTCAAATCGAGAGGAAACCGCCAAATTCTCTGTTTTGTCTTGGGGTTTGTCATGCCGTTGTTTTGGATGTTGGGGGCTGTTTTACCACTTCCGGAAATTTCTTCTTCCCCGAGGAGGGGTGAGGATGAGGAGAAAGGGGAGATGGGGATGGGGGAGATGGATGGAGGTGGAGGAGGAGAGATAATTGCTGGGGATGTGAGGGTCGGGGATATGGAGCGGTGGAGAGAGGAGAGATGTTGGGCTAAAGCTAGGTGGTGGAGGGTGTTGAATCGGGTGATGAGTATTGTGGGGTTGGGGGTTATTGCTGCTGTTGTGAGTTCGCCATACGTCAACTAGAGTTTGGTTTGGATGTGAGAGTTGCATTGCTGACTTTGTGATACAGATTGCTCTCGTCGTCGTAGCGACGACTTGATGATGATGATTGATGATGAAACTWTGTGCCTATTCATATCAAAAAAAAACCTCGATTAATTCGGATGTCGGATACCTTGGAGTCGCACCTCAGCTCCAAACGAACAAACAAAACAAAACAAACCATACAAATCAACAACTATACAAATCAATCAACTATACAAATCAACAATCATACCATCCAATCAAACGATACGATACGAACTATCATCATCCTCCACATATTATTTCTCACATTTACTGCATCATTTTTATCAGCCAGCCAACCAGCGAGCGCGCGAGCAAGCGACGACGACGATGAAGAACCATCCAATCGACCGAATCAACGGCGATTCCGCCCTTTTTTATTGTTTTTTTTTAAAGATCGAGTTGGCAGTTGTTATTTACAAACGATACCCCATGTCTGCATAAATGGTTTGAGTTGGTCGACATTTTTTACATTTTGTTTGTATGTATACATATATGTCATTATAGAGAGAGGTGGGAGAAAGAAGGAATAACGAAGAGGGCAGAGGGAGACGAATAAGGAGGGAAGGAAGAGATAGGAAGCCGGGATGGAAGGCTCTTCTCTAGTAGTAGTAGAAGAGGAGGAGGAGGAGGAGGAGGAGGAGGAGGATGGAAGGAGAGGGAATGAAGGAGGAGGAGGAAATGTATAATTTAGATATACATAATGTATGCATGTCTGTATGTGAAATTGAAGAATGTGAAGAATGTGAGTGAATTGAATTGACGGATTGTGAAGAATGTGAATGAATGAAATCTAATAAGTGTATCTAGGGCGAGAGGAGAGAGGAGAGAGCAGAGAGCAGAGAGGAGAGAGTAGAGAGAGGAGAGGAAAGAGTAGAGAAGAGACTAGAACTAGAACTAGAACTAGAAATAGAACTAGAACTAGAACTAGAAATAGAACTAGAACTAGAACTAGAACTAGAACTAGAACTAGAACTAGAACTAGAACTAGAACTAGAACTAGAACTAGAACTAAAAACTAGGGTTCCATATTCCTATTCTTTCGAAATTATACTACACTACACTCTACACCCGATCTCTTGGATGATAAATGTAAGTGTGTGAGGTTAATATTCATCGCTTACTTGCTTGCTTCACTTTAGCTTAATGAAGAGATCCTATACTGTCATATCCTATCCTGTCCTATCCTATCCTATCCCGTCCCGTCCTAGAAAGAGGAGTACAAGGAGGAGGAGGAGTACAGAGAGGGATAATATAAGGAGGAGGAGCATTAGGAGGAGCATTAGGAGGAGCATAAGGAGGAGAGGCATAAGGAGTAAGAGCACAAGGAGGAGGAGCACAAGCAGGAGCAGCGCAAGGAGGAGCATAGAGAAATAACGAGGAGTACATCGACACAAAGAAACAAGTAGACGACACATCCACAGTATATGTCATCATCACAGTCCCCGAGAAAGCGAAACCAGGAAAAAGTTGAACCATTGGCGTCACATTTCATCCACCCATTCATCCCCCCATCCCATCCCATCTCTCCATCTCTCCATCCCTCCTACTAAGTACCAGCCCTAAGAAAAGGATGCGCCTCAGTACTAAAAACCCACTCATCCAACCCGACCCTCCCCGTATCCTCAAAAACCAAATAAAAATACTTCAACGTCTCCGCGCCCCAAAAACTCTCCATACTATCCATTCGCACCTCCCCGCTGCTTCCCTGCAACACTTCCTGCTTTGTGATGGTGACATCTTCAATCGCGGCGTTTGCGAGAGATGTAGTTGTGACGTTGAGGATATTTTGGAACATTTCCCATGCCACTTCGAGGAGGTGTGGGGAGCCCGTTGTGCGGTAGAGGATGAAGAGGGATTCGATGGTTTCTGGACGGAGGAGGTAGCGTTTATCGTAGATTGCTGTTATTCCTTTTGGGGGGAGGAGGAGAAGATCTTTCATTTCRGGGTTTAAGCGATGGACCTCTGCAAGCCATTTCTCCTCTTCCCATTCACATTCCCCTCCTTCCTTCTGCTCCACACATGGTAGCATGTTGAAGATCTCCGGCATAATTCCCAACGGCATGTTTTTGTAAGCCCAGAGACATCCCTCGGTTAATTTCCGGCCGATTTCGACATGGGGAGGTTGTTGGAAGAGTTTGCCGCCCAAAGCGAACATCCCCCCCGCGAAACAGACGAGATGGGAGCTTTGAGGGGTTAATTTGGGGGGTTGAGACATTTCGACTTGGATGGGACCGGAGAGGAGGATGTCGGCTTTGTCGGGCGTCATGGGTTTGAAGAGGGTATGTTTGATTGCCGTGGCCGTGCTGCGTTTGTAGAGTTTGGAGTATAGAGGTTCCGTACCGCCGAGGAGGGCGTGCATTTTGGGGAAGTATTCATAGAGACTGTCGGACATGGCGCCGAGGGTGAAGAAGGTGTCGCGGGTGAAGTCTGCGTTTGCGGCGTCGATGCTGACGGGGAACATTCCCGGGAGGTGGGTTTCTTCTTGTTGGGCGGCGAGGAGGGAGGTGATGCGGTGGATGGCGTCGTAGAAGCGCATGTCGCCGGTTAGTTGAGAGAGGTGGGTGAATTCTAGACTTAGAGAGCCGATTTCGGCGACGAGGACGGTAGGGTCTGCGGAGGATTGAGGGCCGGAGAGGGAGAGTTGAGGGTTCCAGCGGGTGATGGGCATGCGATTGGGGGTGTCAAAGGCTTTGAGGAGCATTTCTCCGAATTCCAAGGCTTTGGTGAGGAGGCGGGGGTCTTGGGAGAGGTCATATGCGGAGAGGAAGCCTCCTAAATGACGGATGGTCGTTTCGAAGACATTGATGGTCTCGGTGGTGCAGGAGGAGAGGTCTATGGTGAGGCTGGCGTWGACTGCTTCTTGGAATTCCGAGTGCAGGCCCATGATGTAGAGGGTGTCGAGAGAGTCAACCAGGTTTGCTGAATGCATTGATGTTAGTGAGGAGGTGTGGATGAGGAGGGATGGATGGAAGACGTACCGGCCCAACCACCAAAACCATCGTTGAAGCCACCGGTTAAGGGTTCGAGTTCATCATGCATCCAGGCATGATCTTTGTACGCCTTCCATGCTCGGAGAAAGGTGGCCTTGACTACATCTCGCCTCTCCTTCCTCAAGGTGGCATCTTGGGCACTTTCGGGGGGAAAATCGAATTGCACTTTGGGGAGTTTTGTAGGTTTTGCTGTGGGAAGGGATACCAGCGTTTTGACGGGATAATCAATGGGCACATCTTCCCAGTGGAATTTGCCATCGCTATGTTTGGTGGGGGATGTTGGAGAGATGGAGGAATAATGAATACGAGACACAATCCCTTGGCGATAGTGAGTAATGGTCAACAGCAGCAAGAAGATGGCAATGCCGGCGTAGATGGCATAGCGGCGGAGGGTGATCATGATATGATGGTGATGATGATGATGATGATGATGTTGTTGCTGGATGGATGTTTATGTGATCATTTTGGATGATGTTGGGGGATAATTTGGAAGGAATGGCATGTGTGTTCGTAGAAAAGGGCTACATCTTTCCCCAATTGATATCCGATGGACATGTTCAAGCCAAGCAAGGGTCGAGACATGTCGTCYCCATATTGTCCCCGGCCTCACTCCGGCTAAACTCTTTCCCTCCAATTCCATCGCGTCCACCTCGTGTTTCTCGCATTTCACGCGTCTTCTCCCATCCCATCCATCCACCTGACATCCGCGACCATGTCTCCCGCCGAATCCTCCGCCGCCGCCCAAACCAATGGCACCCAATCTACCTCCCACACCACCCCCACCAACTACGAATTACCATGGTCAGTCCATCAATCTTAATCAATCCATCAATCCATCAATCCCATCAATCCCCTCTAATATCAATCCCAGGGTGGAGAAATATCGCCCCGTCTTCCTCTCMGACATTGTAGGCAACACGGAAACCCTCTCCCGCCTGCAAATCATCGCCAAGGACGGCAACATGCCCCACGTCATCATCTCCGGCATGCCAGGTATCGGCAAGACCACGTCCATTCTCTGTCTGGCGCGACAACTGCTCGGTCCCGTGGCCTACAAGGAAGCCGTGCTGGAGTTGAATGCGAGTGATGAGAGGGGTATTGACGTCGTGAGGAATCGCATCAAGGGTTTCGCGCAGAAAAAGGTCACCTTACCTCCAGGACGGCAGAAGATGGTCATCTTGGATGAGGCGGATAGCATGACGAGTGGAGCTCAGCAGGCGTTGCGAAGGACCATGGAAATCTACTCGGGCACCACACGATTCGCCTTTGCGTGCAATCAGAGCAACAAAATCATCGAGCCCTTGCAGAGTCGATGTGCGATATTGAGATATGCTCGCTTGACCGATGGACAGGTCGTTAAGAGGTTGAATCAGATCTGTGAGGCCGAAAAGGTCGATTGGACGGATGATGGATTGGCCGCTCTGGTCTTCAGTGCCGAAGGGGATATGAGACAGGCCATCAACAATCTCCAATCTACGTGGGCCGGCTTTGGACTGGTCAACAGTGAGAATGTCTTCAAGGTTGTTGATAGTCCGCATCCCATCAAAGTTCAGGCCATGATCAAGAGCTGTCACGAGACCAAGGTGGATGAGGCGTTGGATGCCTTGAAGGAGCTGTGGTAAGACATACTGATGACCATGACCACCCTTCCCTGCAGACATACTGATGATGATGATAACTCTAGGAACCTCGGATACTCTTGCCACGACATCATCTCCACCATGTTCAAAGTCACCAAATCCATCCCCGACTTGTCCGAACACACCAAGTTGGAATTCATCCGCGAGATTGGTTTCACCCATATGAGGATTCTCGAGGGCATGCAGACGTATTTGCAATTGGCCGGTTGTGTGGCCAAGTTATGTCGGCTGGGCATGAAGGGCCACTTGTTTGATTTGAAGTGAGCCAGCATCGATATTGGAGACAAGGTGGGGAGGATGATGGGAGGGAATGACAACAGGAACGGGTTGCTGAGATTTAGCGTGGCGTTCTATCATGGGTGCATTGTACAATGGATGTTCAAGGTGTGTGAGAGGAAGGTCGAAGAGCATCAAAGGATGGTGATGTGTGCTAGACAATGATCAAATGTCAATCAATACTTTGAGATTGCCTGATGGTGAGACATTCCCGACATTTGTGAGAACAGGAGAAGATTCCAAGAAGAAGAGTGAAGTGTTATAAATTTCGAGCGAAAAAATGTTGACCAGTATAGCATACTCACTCATCAACAGCATCCAATCTCCATGTCGACTTGGAATAATCAACAAATACAACAGGGGAGGAGGAGGAGAAGGAGGAGGAGGAGGAGGAGAGACTGGCTCGGATAACCAATCATCCGGCAAGTGGCAATCGTATGCATGCGATGTGAAACTTGGCTGTCAAGACGTGATATGAGCCCCCCCGGCCTCATTTAGCTCAGAAGAGTTAGACTATCGTGGTGGGTGGGTGTGTGGATTGAATCTTGAGGGGGGGTTTGGTATATAGAAGGAATATATGTATGAGTGTACTCGTATCGAAGTTGGTCTATATTCAAAACACGCACCTTGGCTATGCCAGGGTTTCCCAATGCCATTCACATTCAATCCCCCACTTCTATTCTTCTTCTTCTTCTTCCTCTTCCCACCAGAACCTCACGTCAGGCGTATCCTCAAAAGTAAAAGACCAATCATAATCCTCACTATCCGTAACCCTCCGAGGAGCAGGAGGAATACTTCCCACAGGACTCTGCAAAGGTAATAATCTCCGCTGTATGCAAGAATAAACACAACTCTGTCTCCCCCTCGAAACGGACCAAGAATTACTACATTCCGCATGCAACCAATGTCCTCCTTGCCTTATCCCCTCACAAGGCAAAACCCACACCTTCTCTCCAATTTTGTAAGTATTCCTACAAATAGGACAATTATCATCCCCTACATCCTCCAGCGTCGCAACACGTTCCATAGGAGGTTCAATTACTGCCCGCGGAGGCGGTATCCTCGGCCTCGGAATCCCAAAAACAGGATGCCTRAACTTTGGATCATGAAAAAAACACGGATGCCTTAAAGCAGGACCATAAGGAGGTGTCCCTCTACAATGTTCCCTCCAAACCACCGCACAAGCATGCCTACTCACATATCCCGAATAATTCCCAAACCGCTGCACAAGCTCTGCATTCTCAGGGATATGGATCCATTCTTCAAAAGTGCGAATCCCAAGTAATCGAGCTACGCGATTTGATTTTTGTAATCCAATGTTGTGGGGATTCGAAATTCGGGGGATGGATTAGGGGGATGCGGGTATTGCGGTCTAAGTGTACGGCGTATTCATCTAGAACGGGAACCTAAGGGTTCGGAGGGGGAGAGGTGGAAGAGCGTGCTGTATTCGGGGAATGTTAGGGGTTTTTTGTTGAGGAGGGATGGGGTGGGGTGGGGTGGGCTTGTGCGCGGGCGTTGTAGGCACGTACTGGGCCGTGTTCGTCGTTGGGCCAGAAGTGGGACTTTTTTTTTTTTTTTTTTGTTTTTGAGGGTGTTGGGTGGGTTGGTGATTGGAGGATTGGTTGGGGGGTGGTTTTGGGTACAGAACTAGTTTGCGAGGATGCGGATTGCTATGGCTCAGGTGGATGGGCAGGGCGGCTGATTGAAGGGACGAAGCAAGTCGGCTGGTCAACTATATACACGGGAAGAGCGCGTTGATATTGTGCCGACAGAAGTGCAGGCCTTGGTTGAGGTGAAAAGGGGTCAATTGACAAAGGGTCAAGCCGCCACGGCAATTATCAATGCGGTACTTTTTTGTTGGAGAAAGACGATACACGAGTTAGTGCAATGACCATATTCTTGTAGACACAAAGAATTTTACGCACTGGGAAGGCAGTTTCAGTATTGAAAGTACGATGACTGGTCATTCCCCTGAATTTTCACTCACCAATTCTCTTGTACGGAACACATGGTTCCACCACTCAGTTCCTAAGGCATTTAATCAATCACTTCATTGCTAATCATATTTTTTATTTTCTATGATGATGGCGATATAGGCACCAGAGCCCTAAGAATTGATTCTATTTTGTAACGGAATACTAAACCGCTACTGATTCRCCCAGGAGCGGCGTCCCTTTTGGCGTCTCAACACATTTGAAACTAATGCTAAAGTACATGAATTGGAATGATAAGAGCAATTGAAGAAGATGTTTCTGACTGAATGCTAAAGCAGGCTTACAATTTAGAGAGTAAACTTACATGCTTTACGACTAGTCATCATGACTGCCCCCAAATTCGTACAAGCGACGCAGAGGCACTCACTCCCCCTCACACCTCTTCATCCTCATCATCCAGAAGCTAGTAAAACATAACCATCCTTAGCGGATAAGTGTAGGGACCAATCATAATTCGAATGTCCCAGAACCTCATCAGCAATAATAATCCTCTGCGTACACCCATACCCACATTTCTGCCCCGGAGAAATTTCATACCACCCCACGAATACACTCCTCATGATAGCAATGCTTATCATTCCCACCTTCACAAGGCAGTACCAACAACACCTGTCCAAGTTGAAAATCCTCCCGACAAAAAGGACAGACATCCCCAATATCCCCTTCTTGCACATCCCGCTGAGCAGGAGCCTCAAGCGGTGGAGGCGGGACATCGAATCTCGCACGCCAGAGAATACCATGGCGGGGACGAGGACCACAAGGTGCTCCCAACACTACATGTGAATCCCAGATTCGCCCACAAACCTCCTCGAGAAGGAAATTCCTCCATTCGGAAATAGTACCATAGGGGGTTAGTAGTACTATTCTGCCGCACCCAGGAATTATACTCGGGAAGATCCATAAGGCGTGCTATGCGGTTCAGAGCTCTCTTCCAGAGGATATAGTGCCATAAAGAGACGTTAAGGTCGGGAATGCGAGTGGTAGTGGCAAGGTGGACGCAGTATTCATCTAGTCTACTGCCTAGTGGCTCTGAGGGGGAGAGTTGGTAGAGGGTGGAGTATTCGGTAAAGGTTAGTGGTCGTAGAGCTTTGAGGGGACTTATTTCTGGATGGTGCATTCGGCGAGTTTCGTACGCGTAATCTAGGCCGGAGATGGAGGGCATTTTTCGAGGGATGGAATTGTTTGTTTGGGGTGTGAACGTGAGTGTGATGAGCTTAGTCGGGTTGAATGTGTCTTGATTGAAGGGAGCGAATATTTTTGGAAGCAAAACTGGTTCGCGGATAGGACTTGCTGTGGTTAGGATGAATAGCAGATTGGGACTTGGTCGTACACATTTATACAACATCTGGTAGTGCCATTGTGATAGTGTGTGCTAGCCATGCTTTTGCCAAGGCAGAGAAAAGCTCAATGACATTGTCCACAACTGATAATGGAGTTCATTGTGATGAATGAATAGAGGCTTTGTACGAGGCGATGACAATCCACAAGGGCAGGCATCCTCTGGGTCCTCTGGGTGTTCAGGGACAAAGAGATGCCGATCCATGGTCTCGACCCATTGAATTCGCAATGCCCTTCACCGTGTCCTCTGATTCATCATTGACAACCGCCGAACGACGCTCCAAGCCCCAAAACATAGCAAGACAGCCTTCAAAGTAGGATCATGGATCATGTTGAAAAACTCGACTTGATATCTTGACCGACTACCCGCAAAGCGAGTGTGAGGATCCTCTTGAAACACCCCTTTCTCAAATGATAGGACTTCAATCTTACAAATCAATCAGAGTGTGTGAATGGTCTCGTATCCTCTACATTCCATTTCATGGCGTACCTTCAAAAAGAATGTTGACGAGATAATTCGTGTGAAAAAAGGGGAGAAAAGGGTTAATTTCAGGGGAGAAAGTTGTTGCTCTTACTCAATAAATATATATATAGTCGAAGCGAGTTTTGAGTCGAACCAGTGGACTTACGAGGAAGGTTAGGTCACTTCACTACGTTGTTTTATATGCACATACAGCGGAGCACTTCCACTCTGTAAGCATGCAAGATTTTAGTGAAGGTTAGAAATCACCATCAGAATGAAGTCTACCAATCTCTTCATTTTGACACGACAAAGTAGTCGCCTGTGAACAACAAACAAAGTAAGGCTAATTAACGGCCAATTCGACAGTTTTTATCGATGGATTGAATTGATCGTTCATCACTACAAGCGAAGGATTTCCAACTCGAATGCCCTCGAAATCTCAAATCTTCTAATCGCTCTGTAAAATGGAAGGCTCATAATCGGTCATCGACACGGCGTTCGAGTAATCCTGGTGATCAGGAATGGAAGTGGCTGAGAGGAACGCTTCCTGCAGCCATTCTTAGATGCGAAAGTGAGATGTAGCGAGGAAAACGTGAACACACCCACCCAGTAGCCGGGCACAGAAATCCCATCTCTGATCCACCTCTCCTTCATGAATTCGAGGCGTCGGGTCCATCGGGGAAAGTAAACGTGTAGTCGTAGTTTACATGCTCCGCCTGCAATGGTGGAAGAGTGCGCTGCGAACACTAATACACCTAGAATGACATATCAAAGGTAAGCGTGTGTCTCTTGTATCTCATTCAGGGGATGGAACGACAACTCCCCGGTCCGACTTACGCAACACTGCTCCCCTCTCGCCACAAACCAAGGATCCACACATGCAGGGTGATAAATATGGCCCTTTGCACTCCCACCTTTACAAGGCAAAACCGTCACCATCTCCCCGAGTTGAAAGGGGGTATAACGACAAATAGGACAAGGCTCCTCGATATCATCCTCCATCGCAGCACGCAGTGTGGGGGGGTTCAATTGCCGGTCCCGATTGATCCGGAAAGCGGTACTCTTTTCTCCCTCTCAAAGCAGGATGGCAAATAGGTGGTCCGTACGGTGGGCCTTTCGCCACATGAGCATCGAAAATCAGCCGACAAGCAATATAATTGACATGGACGAGGTAATTGCGTAGACGATCGAGGTCGTCATTCCAGCTCACTCCGTACTCGTCGCTGGCCAGTAAGATAAAAGCGTCGAAATCTCCTCCGTACTGTTGGGGTGATGAGAGAAGCAACTCTTTTCAATGCTCTTTTCCCTTCATCCAGTTTCTGTGCGAATTCCAAGGAATTTTTATCAAGGTTGAGGTGATCCAGGCCACGCATAAAATGTTCGGCAAACTCGTCGAGTCGAGAGCCCAATCTGGAGGAAGAAACAACAAGTTCAGCGAGAGAACTATTCCACATCCCATCTACCCTGCTGGAACACCTTACGGCTCTGCGGGGCTGAGACTATACAGCTCGGAGTATTCCTCAAAAGTCATTGGTCGTTGATTGACGGCAAGCGAAGAGTCAATCTCCGGGTGAGCTGCTTGACGAGCGGCTAGGGCGCGTTCATGTCCATAGACCATGTTGGCAGAGTGATGGATGGATGTTTGGTTGAGCCTTGCCTGGTGATGAGGCAAAGAATGCGCTGTAATCGAATAATTCTGAGCAGATTGATAGAGCAAGAAAGTATGTGTTGGTGGGCGAAATATACTGCCTGTTTCAATTAGTCTATTCGGGAAAGCCGTTGTTGATATCTACAAATGAGAAGGTACCCTCGATATTTATCAAGGGAAGGGACGGGAAGGGCCGGGCATTGACATGCAACATTGAGAATGGAACAAGAAAACAAGCAACGTCTGGAGTTCTGTGTATGTCGAAGTCAAGTCAAGCCAACWAGCTCACTGCCAGAAATCTTCACAAAAGGCATCCAACAAAAGGCATCCAACATAAGGCATCCAACATAAGGCATCCAACACATCGCAAKACTCGCCCTCGCCATCACCATCACCACCCAATGAAGAAGCAATTTCATCCACGGCTTCTATCTCCATGCAAACGACGATATCGTGCGCAATACTGTTGAACATCTCTCGCAGTCGGCCGATCCATCGATCGAGGCTCAAGACATTCCTCAATCCATTTGCAACTCGCATCATCAGCTATGCGACCGCGCAGCCAATTCTGCCGGTCATAGCGCGTGAGGCGCATGAACTGCCACAGACTAGGTGGGTCTTGAAACGGATAGGTTTTAGTCAGAAGCAGGAAACCTACCACACCCAGAGCCCATATATCCAATGCGTTGGTATATGAGAATCCGGGAGCGGGGAAGGGGCCTCTCATTTCCGGTGCGATGAATTGGTAGGTGCCATTTTGCATCTCCCAGGGCTTGACGATTTCACCAGTTCGTTTCGTCAGACCGAAATCTGCTATTTTGACGTGCCATTGAGGGCCCTGTTGAAAGACGAGTAAGTTCTGTTGGGAAATTCAAGTCAGTGTTTTGATGCCAAATGGGATATAGGATGTACATACTGCAGGCTTTAGGTCCCTGTGGACATAGCCGAGCTCATGCATCGTAGCCATGGCGTCGAATACTTGATCTGCTATGATGAAAACTTCATCTACTGGTAGAGGGTGGTGGAGATGATGGTGTAGATCTCSGAACGGGGCATATTCCATGTCAATGTGGACAATACCTTGGTCTTCGTACCATCCAAAGGATGTGATGAAACGAGCATGCCACTGTGATCAAGTGTCAGCTTCCGGTATATTTTCAGGGAGACAATCGTGTGTACTTCTGGTCTTGAAAAAACTGCAATCGCCTCAAGCTCTTTGTCGTGGTTGATGGGAGAGCGGTCGGTTTTTATCGGCAACTTTTTGACGGCTCTCACCTGACCCATTGCATGTCCTTTGATGCACACCTCCCGATACACAACGCCGAAGCCACCCWTTCCAATTGGCTTCAAGTCTCTTTCCCAAACATTAACGTGCTCCACTAATGTGGTGCCTGATGAGCTTTGGTCATGCTTGGCTAGGATTTTCGTGCGCTCGATATGACTTGCAGTAGAATCCATGTCCGCTGTCGATTGATGAGTGAGGGAATAGAAAAGGAGGATTTGATTAAAAGTGTACTGTTAAAACGGGATGTAAAGGAGTGACCACCAGGGCCTGCGATAATGAAAAGAAGCGGATGAATGAGGAAGGAAGAGCAGCAGATTGAAGACGTTGCGATTTCTTGAAGAGATTCAGTATGCCCGGCTTCGCATATGGGCCAGACATATTTCAGAAATGTCTCTCGGAGGTCTTGAAGCAGGACATTGTGGTCATTCTGTGGATTTTGCTTCCTCGAAGGCTGAGACGAATTCTTGCCGACTTTGGGGAATGTCTCTACGCCGAAATTGTTGATCGAGATGTSATGACAGCTCCGAATTGACWCTTCCACGAGGGAACAATAGGCCTTTGCGAGGAAGTAGGCGATATCGATTGCCGTCCACGGTCCCTCATGTTGGCGTAACATTGTCGTAGAATGGACCATATCAGCCGTGTCTAGCAATTCCAGCTGGTGAGAGCGCAAGTCTTGCTGAGGCCACATACCCCTCCAGATGGCTAAGAAGTGTGTCTCGGTTAGCTACTCACACCTGGACACTGCGTGAAGAAGTAGAGCTGTCGTCCATTCTAATGTCTCGACCCATGTCCCGGAATCATCGGGACGAAAAAGCTTCATTGCGGCATGCTTTCGATAAGGTCAAGGGCTGATGAGCTTGGCAGACCTCACCTTTGCTAAAGGATCATCTTGTGGCCATGTCGAACGCTGTCAAGTGTCTACTTCTTGCGAATCGCGTGCCTTTCAGTCATGGCTGAGCACTGCCACGCCCGATGAATCCTCCATGACACGATGCTCTACAAGGATGTACAGTCAGACACGCCGACATGTTTGCGATGCAAGCGATGAGACAGCCCGAGACGAATTGCGCAATGCACTTTCGAATGCAACGTGTTCGAGACACGAGGCAATGCAAGGGCTGACGTATGCATCTGAGGAGGCACGAAGATCCTCCGCGGGACCACACAGCCCTCTACCAACACCGTCTTGAAGGGATTGCCACACGAGGCTGATGAAGAGGCTGGTGAATGTTGGCTGACAAGCTTGCCGTCCTCCCACCAACTTGATGGGAATAAACGGAGATGATGAAAGGGAGGAGAGGATGGAGAGGCGAGACAAAGACGTTTCGCGAATCTCGCTGCTGTCGGGATCAACATCTCCGCGCCGAGCTCGATCTCGGGAGCGTCCGTCACCGGTTCGTGCTTGCCTCGCCTTGTCGGTTTCGCCACACTCCCTTTCCCGAGGACAGTTTGACAGACAGGATTCATGACTTGGACGGACACATATCATCATCATTGCGGTGGTATGGAGGATACATGCCCAGTCCATCTGACAAATCTGCGTGACATCCTTCCAAGTCCTCCATCCAATGATTACGTAGCCAACCCCGACGACATCTACGCCTCTCCACCAGGTACACACTAGCTCCATCTAGCATCTAGCCGCTTGTGGCTGCCCGCTACCGCCCTCGAGCCGCGTCATTTCCCGGATCAACGCGAACCAGCGTAAGGCTGCCTACAACCAAAACCTCACTTGTCGCCGCTTTGCAAATAAAACCTCGTCGTCCCTACTTTGCTCCCCCGTTTCCGTTTCCCCCGTTGCACCCTCTCCTTCCTGGCAGTTTCGACATCATCTCCCAGGACAACATCATGAGGTCCATCTCAGCAGTAACCGTAGCAGCCACCATTCTCACCACACATGCCATCAGTCTGCACAAACGTGCAGACGGTACACCTCCAAGAGTTGTGCATCATGCGATAGAACGAAGACATGTTCCAGATCCTCTTCGACACGACAGAAATCGACTACGCAGACGGGATGGAACCCTCACCGCCACGCTGGATAATGAGGAAACGCTCTACTTTATGAATGCCACGATTGGAACCCCTGCACAATCCTTCCGACTGCACATCGACACGGGAAGCAGCGATCTATGGGTCAACACCGCCGACAGTCAATTTTGTGAGCAGGATACAGAATGCGGCATCTCAGGAACCTACAACGCCAACGCCTCGTCAACATACAACTACATCAGCAGTGAATTTAACATATCCTATGTTGATGGGTCCGGTTCTTCAGGTGATTACGTCTCAGATACGGTCCGGTTTAGTTCCGTCACGCTCGAAGACCAGCAATTCGGGATTGGCTACATCTCTAGTTCGGAAGAGGGCATTCTCGGGATTGGCTATCCCATCAATGAAGTTGCCGTCGCCTACAATGGAGGTCAGCCGTACTCCAACATCCCACAGCATCTCGTGGATAATGGAGTGATTTCCACCAATGCATACAGTCTTTGGCTCAACGATCTCGACGCTTCCACCGGATCTATCCTCTTTGGTGGCGTCAACTCGGACAAGTACACCGGCTCGCTCGAAACACTCCCCATTCTCAAGGAGCAGGGCGTTTATGCAGAGTTTGTCATCGCATTGACGGCCGTGGGATCGAATGGTAACAGCACCGCCATCGCCTCCAACCTCGCCACTCCCGCTTTGCTGGACTCGGGCAGTTCGTTGATGTATCTCCCGGATGACATTGCTCAATCCATCTTCACCATGTTGAATGCCGATTATGATTCACGAGCAGGCGCTGCCATTATAGACTGCGACATGGCCAACTCCGACGACACCATCGACTTTACCTTTTCCTCGCCCACTATTAAAGTCGCCTTGAATGAATTGGTCATTGTGGCGGGCGAGGACCGTCGCGGGAGGGAGATCTGTATTCTCGGCATCGCTCCCGCGGGAGGTAGCACGCCGGTCTTGGGAGACACGTTCTTGAGATCTGCATACGTGGTGTATGATATCGACAACAACGAGATTTCCCTCGCGCAGACAAACTTCAACTCCACCACGGACAACATTCTGGAAATTACCAAGAGTGGCGGTATCCCAGATGCTACAGGTGTAGCGAGTCCCGTCACTAGTGTTGTAGTGGAGAGCGGTGGTGCGAGAAACGGTGGATTAACCACCACTCTTTCAGCGGCTGTCGCGAAACCTACGGCGCCTGCGGGTTACAACATGGCCATGTTGGGGGCTGCTGGTGCTGGTGTGTTGGCTTTGGCGCTTTAGATTGTGAGAGAATGGGGGAAGATTTGATTTTAGCATAGCGTGCGGAGTTTTCCTTGCTTTTGATGGGACAGTTCATATGTGACAGATCATGATGGGTCTTGTCTTATCCCTTGCCAGTGGGGATGAGATGAGAATAAGTGGGTGGGTGGATCGGATGCACTGTACATATTTCACGATATACTTCATGATGGGGGGGAAGAGGAAGATGAGGATGAAGATGAAGAGGGAATAGAACCGTGGCTCAGTCGCTGCGAGGAAGAGAATGCAAATCTTTGTGTGCAGAAACACCTTTTCAATCTTGTTCTTCAATGTGTTCTGATATTTGGATCTTCATCTTACTTCTACCTTCTCGTCATCGTCAACAAAGAAAGAATCACTCGACGGAGTGATTATCCAAGTGTTATTTCCAAGATCTTCTCCCATCGCGCTCCAAGTTATGATCTGATCTCTCACTACCAAAGACCAGCTTCAGCGTAAGAAGAGGAATCATATTCTCCCACGTCCAAGACCCCTCGATGCGGTCCGCCAGTCCGCTAGACCATCAATCACCTCATTCATTCATCACAATCCATGACATCCTCCTGCTCGTCGTGGTTTGTGATGATGGGGGAGGAATTATGTTTCTTGGTTTTGATTTCCTTGTCCTGTGTCGCCTTCTTCGTCTTCTTCTTGGTGGGTTTAGCGGCTAGCCAGTCTTTGAGGCGGAGGGTGTGTTCTTCGTCACTGTCGGCATCGGCATCGGTATCGGTATCGCCATCGATAGTCTCGATATCTTCAATGCTGGGGCATGGAGGAGATGACATTCCCATTCCTCTTCTTCTTCTTCTGCTCCTCGACTCTCTCCCTCGCCTTCTCCTCGATCTTAATCCTCACCTCCTCATCAAGCGGGACTTCCTCATCATCCTCATCAACAACACCCCTATGCCTCGCGCCCCAAACTTCATTCTCCCTCTTCTTCTTCGCCAGAAGATCATCCCCCTCCACAACAACCCCTCTCCGCAAACCAGCACCACGTCCTCCATCTCCACCCCCACCATCCCCACCATCCCTCTTCCTCTTCCCTCCTCCCCCATCCCCCCTAATCCCCTCCGCGTCCCTCATCCAAATCTCAGGATCATTCCTCCAAATCTGCAAAAACCCCTCCCCACCACCCCTCTCCTTCCTAGCAGTCCTCTCATTCCTCAACTGTAATTCCAATCTCCCGATTTTCGCCCCTGCTTCCTGTACTTCCTCTTTGAGATCGAGGATTTCATATTCTAGATTTTTTTGGCGGAGGCCTGTTTTGTGAGTGGAAGAGGAGCGGGCTAGAGTGAGGAGGTTGAGGGTTTCTGAGTGGGAGGATTTTTTCTGCGTTTAGGGCGAGGAGGAGGGCTTTGTAGTCTGCTTCTTCTTTGATGTTGGGGGGTTTGGACTGGCGGGCTGATTTGGTGGAGGGGGGATGCTTTTTGGTTGTGGGGAGGCTGAGGGGGGTTTGGTTGTTGGATTTGGAGGCTAGGGTAGGGCGCTTGCGGGGAGGCATGGTGATCGTTGAGGGATGAGTACCCGGGTGGTGAGTATGCTGGAGGGACTATGCCTCTGGCTCTGCTTGTGTCGAATGTACGTAGTATCGAGAAGTACTGCAGCAAAGTGTTGTATCCAATATCAATGGTTGTCAAAGGCAGTATTGCTGAAGAAAAGTATCGTGTAGAAGAAAGTGTTGTTGTTGTTGTCGTTATGATGAGAAGAAACCTTCTCCTCAGAACGAAGACGAAGATCCTCTATACACTACTTCCTCCGCCAGCTCTCCCTCGTCCTCCTTAATACTACGGTCACAAGTGAAGTCGATGGAAAGCCAACAAGGCCTCTCCTGCACCTAATCTTGACATTTTTTGGTGGGCTGGGAACTTCTGCAGCCGCGCTTCCACTTCACTTGCACCGTTTGTCTTTTTGAACGTCTTTGCTCTCCGCTGTCGTGGTGCTATTTTCCGGGGATGGTTGTTGAGTCGTGGGATTGGTAGACGCTGCAATGGTGTGATTGGCTGGATGTTATGATGAGGTGCTTGTTGGTCGTGGAAGCTGCTGCCTGGTATGTGAATTGGAGAGATGTTTTTTGTCGAGGTCAGCTGTATGGTGCTGTTTTGAGGCCGAGTCTCGGAGGTGTTGAGGTTGCTGATGTCCTTGTCCTGTCTTTTTCGGAGTATCCGCCGGAAGGGAATATTGTTTGCTTGCATTGGTGTTTCCCGGGTTTTAACGCTAATGGAATTGCATCGTTCATTCACTTACAAATGCCAAGAAAAGGTTTAAGCAGGGTTTCCCCATCGGAGGTCCATACAGACGCACCATCAGCTAGCTCCATTGTACTGCAATCCCAAACGACCCTTCTTCTCTCACAGCACGCACACACAGTCTCTCTCTCCCAGCCTTCCCATTCACCGTCCCTCGCCATTCAACTCCGCAACAGCCTCCTCCATCAACTTATGCCTCATTTCCCTAAACATCTCCTTCCCACAGATCTTCTCGCCTATATTCAGCACTTCCAAAGCATTTTCTGAATCGCTGGGAACTAGGACAAGCCATGCCGAGGCTAAGATTTCACCTGCTGTTGTACGCGTGCGTTTGATCCCTAGATGCTTGGCGATGACTGTGATGTCGCTATCTTTTGGAGGAGGATTGGGTGATGTTGGCTGTGGTTATAAGATGAGTTTGGATTCTCGAGGGGGCAGGGGGATGGAGCGAGGATCTTACCGCCATTTTGTAGAAGGTGGGAGTGAGGTCTCTGAGAGGCTTTGGTGGAGGAGTTATCAGATGTTCAAGAACGAAGCGATGATGAAGGAGATCAAAAAGGATTGTACAGATAGACTGAGATTGAGAAGACTTAGTTTGCTATTTGTTTGCTCCTGATGTTTCTCTACGAAGTGAGGTGAAGGATCAAACACAGAGAGAGGTAGCAACATGCTCATCACTACACGTTCCCATCAAAAGCATTGCTACATACATCTCTAGCGGGGATAACTCATCACAGTAAAACAATCACATGTCCGAATCAATTGAGAGAGTCTAACTCGTACCATGAAGCCATATATATCTGCACAAGTACATATCTCTTTCATTCATTCACTCACGAATGTCGAGACTAACACCTCAGCCCGTGTGTCCCTAATAATCGCCTTGAATTCATCTTCACCAGAAATCTTAGCGCCCGTGTTATGCACTATTTGAGCATTCACATGGTCGTGTATGTTATTGAATGCGAAGGATKCACAAGCGAGAATCTTTCCGGCATCTCTTTGAAGACGGCGCCATTCTGGTTGCGTCTGCGTACGATTTGGCTGCGGGTTATTCGAGAGTGGTTTGGCCTGTAGGCAGGCAACTGTGGTCAGCTTTGAGATTTGGTAGTGAGTACAAGTTGCTGAATCTTACCATGCTGTTCTTGTTTCTTGTTTGGTGGTGTTCTCAGGTGCTTGAGATAATGGAATCAGATGACATGGAGGAGTTGGGTCTTTTTAACCACTTTGAGAGTCTGATTGTTACGCTCTGCGTAGAATAACCACGAGGCATCCATGCAGTGTGTAGAAATCTAAGGACAAAGCATTGATTCGCCTGCTCCGTATCTGCACTCGTAGCGACCAGAACGTACAGCACCAGAGCTGTCAATATGAGAAAATCGTCAACCAAACCGCGCCCTCAACTGCCCTCTCCATTGGATAACAGGCAACTTTGCTGGCAATAAGGGCTCTGGCAGCTCCAGAGTTGTCGTTTCTGTAGAGAATAACCAGGCCTCAAGACGTTTTGCCCGACTGAGGGTGTCTTTTGTCTCGATGAAAAATCCTCATATCAACAGCTCTGAACATCATAGATACCAAGATCTCCTGAAAATCTTTGCCATTCACTCACACCCACACCTTTATCGCCTACAAATATGAACCATCCTCAGCTTCAATACGAAGCCATAAGTTGAATTCTTTGACAAGTCAACGATACGAAGGTGCATTCACTCACATGCGCCAAGGCCAGTCCTAGCCGAGTTTGGAAATCCTCGAAACTTCACCTTCAGCTCGTAATATCGACTCCCAACACAACCAAAAACATCCCACTTGCTCCCACCAACCTAATCCACCACACCCTCAACAAACCTCCCGTTCCCACCCCTTCGGATGAATCTGCTCCAACATCAAAGAAATAGCATTAGCCTTCCTCCCAACCACCTCATTCTCCTCCGCAAGCCTCAAAGAAGTAAACCGCKATTCCCCAAAGAGATCCTCACCCAAAAGCATAATTTTCACAGCGCTCGATGAATCTTTTGTTTCCAGAGCAAGCCAAGCCAGGACGAGGTATTTTGCTGCCAAGTCTCTTTGGTGGGCTTGTGTGAGATTTCGGTCTTCTGCTGCGATTATTGCTTCGTAGATTTGGTCTTTTAATGCGTCGTTTGATGTGGTGGACTGGGGTTTTCGTTAGGAGGGGGTTGATGTTTGTTGGTGGTGGATATTACCATTTTTGGCTTGGCTGTTTCTTTTTTTGCGGAAGTGTTTGGATCTTTGTTGCTGCTCTGTGGTGGTTTGGAGGCTCTTGAGATGCGGTGTCGCTTTAATATTGCATTCAGAAGAAACTGGAAGACATGGGGTTACTTTAGTTACGGGGAACATTGTTTGTGGTGTTCGTAAACGATTAAAACATATCTGTTTGCTCGTGTGAAAGCACACAATGCGACGACACAATTCAAATACGTCCGCAAACAGAAAGTTCGAGAACGAACCATCTCAATCCAATCTACTTCGGCAACCATTTGGAGAAGTCAAATTGCGAAGGAACACTCAAAGCCGCCTGAACAGCCTCCTTGTAAGCCTCCCAGTTCTCCTGACCAATACCAATCTAAACATTCAAAGTCAGCAAGATCCACACTCCACGAGAAAAGCCAAGATCATCTCACCTCAAAATCATAGTCACCACCATGCGGCACCGCATTCGGCACAATCTCCCAGTACATCGCCGGTAGACCAGCCTGGGCGATATTGTCGTAGTAAGTCTTGATTAAACTATCCCGGGTACCAGAGTCCTGCTTGTCACCCTTGAAGCAATTCTTGTTGTCTGTGTTGTAATAGCAAATACCCCACTCTTGCATTATGAGTTTCTTGTTATTCTTGACGGCATTTGTGACATATTTGGCGAGGTTACCAGTGGTGAGATCGTTGTTTGTGTCGTAGGCATGGATTGCTATCATGTCAAGTGCGTCGCATGAGAAGTATGCGTCTCTGACTGAATCTCCCACATATGAGGAGCCGCCGGTTGTGGTCAGAATGTCGGTACTTCCGTTGAGGTTGCTCTTGATTGCCCCAGCGATTTCACATTGCCAGGCTATTAAAGCGTCGGTATTCTTCTGTGGGATTGTCAGTTTGTATCTTCGAAGCATATTCTGTCATACACTTACGTCGTCGTGATCGGCTTCATTCTGGGTCTCAAAGGCAAAGATATACTCGGAGCTTTCAGCCCACGTCTTTCCATTGTTGGGGTTGACGTGAGACATGACATGAGCAATGCGGTTCTTGTAGTAGGTGATTGCCTGTGGATCGGAGTAAAAGTATCCAGTCCCTGATACAGCACGTCAGATTGATTTGCTCCTCGTTATAACTATCTCAGCATCCTCACCATAGTAGGTACCGTAGAAGTCCTGGTGGTTGCCATTCTCATCTGGTCTCAACGCATTGTAGCTGTAGAAGGAGACGATGAGCTTGATACCATAGTCGTGTGCGTTGGCCATGAATCCATCCAGGTTGTTCAGGACGGTATCATCGTATTTCTCGGGGTTCTGGCCCTCGAGAGATGGGTACGAGGTGAATTTGGTTCCTTTTTGAGGAGACGTTTCGCCTTGGATATGTTAGCTCATTCGGCAACTGAGGAAGCTCGGAGTGAGCATCGTCGAGGAAGACGGACCATCTAGCCAGACTCGGAGAACCTGAACGTCAGCCTCCTGCAGACCAGTGAAGAGGGTCTTTTGCTCATCGGTTGAAAGTCCGGCAGCATAGTAGAGATTGGAACCAGCAAAGCTCTGGTATGCCGATACTGAGGATGAGAGGCCCGCAAAAGCGCTGAGAGCGTAGGAGACCTTCATGATGCTAATTCAGTGGAGGTATTGCTGGATGAGGGTGTTCGTTGTGTCGTTGTCTGTTGTGATTGTGTCCAGTTGCGTGTGGGACATCCTTTATATGTTGCTCGCTGTTCGTCGACTTCGAACATCATCATGGGCAATTTGCATATCTTTTAGCACTGCTGTTGGTGGCGTGTACTAATGACATACACCATGGTGTACGATGCTTCGTTGCCGTGCTTCTGGTCGTTGGACGCCTGACAGACTTCTGGAGATACGTTTCTCAAAGCCACGCTACTACATCATCGCCACGAGGTTAATTGTCGATAGAATGCTGCTAGTTCATTCTGTGTTAGAACCAACACTCGAAGGATTTTCGAAACTTCCTTAGTCAACCAGATTGAGAACGGAAGCAGACTCCGTCTCTGAAGAGGTGCCGGAGGACTTGAAGCCGAAGGATTGCAGGATTAGCGAAAATGAAGCACCATCGTTTCTAATGCCAATTGTGAAGAAGCACCATGGCGATCTGCTAAGAATTCCTCAATGCGGCAGGCTGAGCTACAATCTGCGTAGCTATAGCTTCTATTGGACGGCGACGCGGCCTTCACCACGTGCACAACACGAGGCGATGGGCGAAATTGACACGAGGTCATCTACGATCAGCAACTTGTCAATGTCATCGACGTCGAAAGCTCGCACAGTGCTCACTATTGGGAGGTTACTTCCATGGCTATTTGCCAGGCCGCGTTGCGATTCCACAGCCAAGTCACGACAAGCAAGCTTACGGGATACCCAGTAATCTCTTGATCGTGAGCTTGAAGGATCCCCGAGATAACGGCCCATACATCGTAGCCAACGTTTGAGCAACATGCCTCTGACAGAGGTTACAGGTTGGAACGGTGAACGGCAAGCAAGTCAGCGGGTCCGCCATTCGATGCCGGCTCTACCTGATTCTTGCCAGCCCAGTTCATGAGAGCTTTGGTCATGAACCCATCCTCTACGCCCCTGGCATGGTCAATGACTGCTTGCACATGCACTGACTTGGGTGCTACTAGGAATTGCCTATCCGCAGTCTCATCAAGATCATCAGGAGCCTCAATAGAGACCAGCTTGGCGAAGGCTCGAATGTCGTCGAGATAGACTTCGTCCTCTCCAGCAATGATGAGCATCTTTTCCGCTTTGGCGGAATCTTCTTCAGCCCAGAAAGCCTTACCGCCACGATTGGCAGCAGCCCAGACATGATCACTCACGGGTTGCCACTTCTCTACGAATGCCGACAAGCCCGCGGCGTCGATGACATCCTTGCCGGCATTGTCGGTGAAAGACTGAGCTGTGATATCATTCGAGCAACGCGGGCTGATGCAGATCGCAGATGCCAATGGAGATATCATTTCGACAGGTGAGATGTCTGGATGAGCACTCTTCAAGTGAGCCAGGAGACCCAAAACCATGTTCCCACCTGCCGAGTCACCACCAATGGCGATCTGTGGCGGCGCGAATCTGTTGAGAAGACAGCGAAGACTTTCTACAGCCTGAGCAAGCTGAGTCGGATACTTCGCTTTGGGTAGAAGGGAGTATTGGAGTATGTACAGTTGGCGACATTGCAATTGTCGTGCGAGTCTGATGCTCAACTTGAAGTGCCCCGGTCCGGCTGGGTAGGTATAGCCTCCGCCGTGGAAGTACAGAAGAGCTCCTCCCGTTTCGGGCACATGACTTATATTAAGAGAATGAAGTTTGGCCGGCTCAAAAATGCTTGATGGGAGAATGGTCTCCGTCTGTAGGTTTAGACTGTGCTTGTTGCAGAAAGCTTGCAGATGCTGCCCTGTCGTCTTATTTGAAGAAGGAAAGAGATGAGCTCTGCTGGCTGACACATTGCTGTTGTGTCGATGAAACAGTCCCGTTCGAGGCATGTGCTTGGGTTTCGGAACATGGCGAAGGATGAAGAGGAACATTATTGGCGAAGGAGACATGAAGCGGAGGATGCCCTGGAAAGATGAGCTCGGGCCCTGCTTACGTCAAGGGCGATGATTGAAACGCGTCCTCTCCAGCACTTCTCGAGATTCTTCGTGTCAATCATCAGCACAATGGGGAACGTCGAAGCCGAGCATGCGGAGCGTTCAGAGGAGAAGGTATCTCCAAAGGTCAAACCTGATGAAGAACCCATCATCACGACCATAGACTGCTTCCGAATACTCTTCGGACTGCTCCTCCTCAACTCCCTCCTCAGCTACTTCATCACCGGCGACAGCTACACGTGGAATTACAATCCATACTGGATGAGACCCAAGGCTCTTGCAGCCAAACTGGTGCGCTGCAATCATGACATTGTCAACATCTCTCCAAAAAGCTAAGTACTTTGTCCACAGCGAGGACCCACCGTCCTCACTGATACCCAACTACTTTCATACTCCGGCACCGATCCTTTTCTTCCCATCCTCCTTGCACTCAACGGCACAATATACGATGTCTCCACCAATCCCTCGACATATGGTCCCGGTGGACCTTACCACGTCTTCGCTGGTCGAGACGCCGCTCGGGGCTTCGTTACAGGGTGCTTCGCGGAGGACAATGTCCCTGATCTCCGTGGTGTGGAATGGACATTTGTGCCTCGAGATGTCCCTCGATACGAAGAGATCTCCGACGAGCTGCTTGACGAAGAGAAGCGGCAGTACAGGAAGGACATGCTGGTCAAGGCGCATGAGGGAGTGGAGGATACCATCAAGCACTGGGCGAAGCTGTTTCGCGGGGAGACTGGCAAGGACTATTTCGAAGTTGGATATRTGAAGAGGGATGCAGAGGAAATGGCGAGGCAGCCTCTTCGCGAGCTATGTGGTCCTGCGGAGAGGAAGAGGCCAAAGAAGAGTCAGATGAAGGCCAAGATTGAAGGTGCAGCGCAGGCGAGCAGTGGTGGGAAGAAAGAGTTGTAAGATTGTGAATCATAATGCRTTTAACGCGGCATAGCAATGGTGTATATGGACTGGGTATCATGCATGGAAAAGTGCTGCAAAAAGAGTCGTGTCTGTCGTCTCGTGTCCAATCTCTTCCATCGTACAACTGGGATCGCACAGCTGTCCACTGTTGTGTTCATGTCCTCATCTGCTTTCCTCCCAAACATTGCTAGCATAGAGAATCATCGTAATCTATTCCGTTGAAAAGTCCAAGTACAACATCCAGCATGGGCCCTCGAAGCTCCGTGGATGACTGTGTTTCATATGCATCTCCGCCAAAGATGCGTCTGTCTCTTGTCTCGGCGCTCTCTTCAAGCCCCTTTGGTTGAAACTCGAAAGATCGTGTTGGGTTCGGGTGGTAATGATAGATGTTCGTCCAAGTGTCGGCTCGATTGTGACATCCCATATGCATCGTGGTTAAAGACAGAGGTGGCTCACCAGCCGGCACTGAAGCGTTCGGACGTGTCCTCGACTGTCTAGACCGATGCCGTGTACGTTTTCTGTTCTGGCCCATCGTTGTGCGAGGAAGTCGGTCCGTGGTGGCGTCCAAGTGAGTGTTCATTTGAAGGAAAGTGGTTGGGTGTGCTGAAGAAGAAGCATGGCCGACTTACACTTATACCCACAGCCTTGCGACATCGGCTATGAGTCTTTCTTGGTATGATATGGCGAGACATCTGCCTTGGTGGAGTCATGGAAGCCCAAAGAATTGAATGCAAAAAACTTGGGCGTAGATGTTATCTTTAGAGCGATGACTCAATCTGGAAGGACAGCATGTGACCCATAATGTCTGTCGATTGCGTGGCACGGTTCGCCACACTCCTGACATCCACTCCTGACAYCCACTCCTGACATCCAGGCAGGCAGCGGCGAATCCCTCCAGGGCATGGCTGATCCCAGGACGTGAACACGGCGTGGATGGAGTGAGTTGCAGGATGCGAACTAATCGTGATGGTGGTTCATGCAGGCCATCGGCAAACCTTCCCCGAACCTCATCCACCCAGCCGAGGCATTCACTCGGTCCCAATCACCCATKTCTAGGCGCAAACCAGTTGGTTCGCAATAGACGGCCTGGTACGCTCTGGTAGAAACGGTACAGATACATTTCTTATATCTCCCAAACCTCTCCATATCCTCCACTCTCATAACAACATCCATCATGTCAGCCGAAGCAGACGTCAAGCTCAACGACTTCTCCTCCCTCTTCTCCCTCAATGGCAAAGTCGCCGTAATCACCGGTGGTTCTCGAGGACTCGGTCTGCATGCAGCATCCGGGTAAGCCTTGCATCCTCCTCCCACCCACGCATGATCTTCCTTACTAACAAGAACTCCAGCCTCGCACAAGCCGGTTGCTCCAAAATCTTCATCACATCCCGCAAAGCCAAGGCCTGCGAAGAAGCATGTGCAGCCCTCAACGCCCTCCCTGGTAACTGCAAAGCCATCTCCATCCCCGCCGACATTGCAAAGCCAGGTGAAGTTGAGAGATTGGTCAAAGAGGTAGAGAAGCACACGGACAAAGTAGACATTTTGTTCGCCAACGCTGGTGCAACATGGGGAGCAGAATTCGACAGCCATCCTGAGGATGCCTTTCAAAAGGTCATGGATTTGAACGTTAAGAGTGTCTTCGTTTGTGCACAAAAGTACGTCTCACACAACATTATACAAAGGTCATGAAATTAACACAACAACAGATTCGCACCCCTCCTCCGCAAAGAAGCATCTATCGCATCTCCCTCCCGCATCATCATCACGGGCTCCATCGCTGGTATCGGTGTTGGAACATTGGGCAAGCAGGGTACTTACGGCTACTCGGCCTCCAAAGCAGCAGTCCTTCATCTGGGACGTAACCTCGCTCTTGAGCTGGGTCCTCAAGGTATCCTGGTCAACAACATTGCTCCGGGTTTCTTCCCCTCGAAAATGGCAAATGGTTTGATGGAGTTGAGTGGTGGACAGGAGAATCTGGCYAAGGCTCACCCGAACAGAAGGTTGGGAACTGCGGAGGATATCGCTGCGACGGTTGTGTTCCTGTGTAGTCGTGCGGGACAGCATTTGTGTGGTGGAACGGTTGTTTTGGATGGTGGTAGCTCATTGCAGGCGAAGTTGTAGCTGGGGTTGTATGAATAATGAGCGTTTATATCTGGCAGTCATGCTTGTTGCGAGGACTCCTGATAGTATCATCTTCTGTTGCAGCCATACCAAGTGCACTGACGTGTAGCACTGACTAAGGACGTCGTCGGTACGGATTCGCGTCAGGGTTAGGGTTGGGGTAGTGCTCCATGTCTCGACGATGTTGATGCAGCCATTGCCTAGTCTTCATTTTGTCTCCAGTACATGTTATGTCCCGTATCTCAGGAAGATCCCCTTCGATGTACATATCTGGTCGATCTCCTGACAAGTAATACGCTTCGATGCAGGCTTGCCAACCTTTCCAAAAGTGACCTGGCATCATTGAGCGAAACTCGTAGACCTTTAAGAATGCAATCCTTCTGACTACTACACCCCAATCACGCAGCGACCTTCCCAATCTCAGAAGAAGCAATCGACCAATGCAACCTCTTAACCGCAGTCCTCGCCGTACAAATCGTCAAAGTCCCCATCTTCATCCCATCCCCATGACTCCTATACAACTCCTCACAGACCCTCTTCGCCCCATTCCGAAACTCAATCAAACCCAACGGAGTATTCGAACTAGCAAACAAGGGAACAGCAAACAAGCCATGTAGAAAAATATCACGCTTGGTTTGGAAATCTGTTACTTCGTGCCAGGAACGGGTGAGGCCATTATATGCGTCCATTTTGATGAGGCCGCGACTTGTGAATAAGACGTCGCTGTATTCTTCTTGCAGCTGGTGGCAGGTGAAGAGAGTTGCTGGTCGTTGATTGGTGAGTGTGAATGTGTACAGGTCGTTTATGACGGTGTAAAGAAGGATGCTGTCTCGGAGTTCTCGGGGCAGGGAGAGGAGAGTGCTGGGTTTTGTTGAGGCTGTAGCATGGTTACCCTCTTCAGAAACGCTGTCCATTTCGGGGATTGGGATTCTTTCGGTCCAGCTGGAGAGTGGTGATGTTGATGTTATGATAAGTTATCTAAAATGTATTCCGAGTTGTCTGATCTTTGATGCTGACTGATCCAGTTCTACCTTACTTCGTTGTAGTAGCTTCGGGCATACTCCGTATCTCTTTTTCACTGTATCTCGATCAAGGCAGTTACTCGGAATATCTCAAGTTGACTATGATGACATCTTTTCATTCATGATCTAAACAAAATTTCCGCTAAAGAGTACGAGATTTGGGTCATCCAGATGACATTCAACTCCTCATTCCAACTCTACCTTATTCATGCACGCTCTACTGCTTAGCAAATCCGATCCTTGGACTACCAGTGCTCACATCGTGAACAGCAAAGACACTCTTCAAGAAAATGTCACCGAAGATGGTGAAACCAATCCCAGTGTTACGCTGAATTCCACCAAAGCATTGAGTGCCAGCGTCGTTGACTGGGGCATAGTTGATCAAGCTTCCAGGAACCGTGAAAACCTGGCTACCGATTTTGACATTGAAGTTGGGGAGAGTGGCACTACAGGAGAAAACGTAGCCGCCCTGGTTCGAGTCGTACTTGGCGCCAGAGACTTTGGCGTAGTATGCTGAAGTGACGGCGGATGGGAGGTAGAGGAGCGAGGTACCGGTATCAGCAATGGCACTGCCGACAGAGCCGGAGGTGGTGGTACTAGATCCGACAGAGTAACCGCCTGCGGTGAATTGCCAGAATCCGTTCGAGGTGTCGACGCTGGTGTATGCAATCGAGCCAGTGTACTTGCTGGAGTCGATGTAGCCAAAGTCGTAGGTACCAGCAGTGTTGTGCTTCAGGTCGACAGTGAAGAGCTGCTTGGCAAGGGAGCTCTTGACAGTATCGAAGAATGTGGTAGCCTGAAGTTCAACGTCAGCAATCAATGGTTGGAGATCATCCTGCCCGTATCTTACCTTGTCCGGAGAAACCGTGTTGATCGAGCTGAAAGCAAGTCCAAGCAGACCGTCATTATCGACATCCTGAGAGAAGGCTGCGGACACAGAGGTGGCGGCCTCGACAGCTTGAGACGTAGCAGTCACTCCACCAACCACAACCTTATCAGCGTAGACGACACCGGAGGCACCGGATCCGTCACCATAGCTGATGTCCCAGGTCTCGCCGCTTAGTCTTCTGCCAGATGTGCTCGGGTTGTAGACTGAGTGTCCACTTTGCTCGCTCGTAGCCATGAGAGTGGAGAAAACCCACCTATATAAGGTCAGTTGTCTGGATGATTTCTGTCGATGGAAGAAAACTTACAGATCAGCTGAGCCGGTATCAAAGTCGAGATTCAGAGTCCTGCCGCCAACAGTCACTGGGCAGAGATATGATTGATCGTATTGCTCCGGAGATGCGCTGACACTGCCAGTCTGGGAAGCGCTTGCGGCAGCAGCACGAACTTCTGTTGGTGCAACGGCGCCCACCTTGGCGTACTTTTGGTAGGCCTTGTTGAGCTGAATGGGTCCATTCTTCAAGACTTTGCCATGTGGCTGTTGTTGAATGCTGAAAGCCTTGCGTCCGGCAACCTCTGCAGGTGCAGCGAGAGAAAGTGTGGCAGATGCCACCAATGCGGCTGAAAGCAGGACGTTGTGCATGATGGAGAAGGTGAAGGTGTGGAGATGTTGGATGATGAGGCGAGTATTCACTATCGAAGTAGACCAAGATCTTATATCTGTGAACTTCAAACACTTACAGACAACGCTACACCAGTCTGGAGCACCACCGCAGTTGATCGGCAGAGTAGCAATCAAGAGCAACATCCAGTCATGCGGAGGGAAAGCATACCTCTGCGRCGACATTGCTTGAAAGGCGATGGTCCTGTGTTCGTTCGGCTTTCAAGGCGAAAGCATAAAGACTCGTACCTGATCATACCTGCCAATCCAGGCAAGTCGTAGAACTGCTGTGAGCAAATCACTCGCACGGAGAGTAGCGTTCGCAGAGTGCGGAAGTCGAACACCCACCACCCCGCTCCATCAAACAAGTTTGCAGCGTCGTTCCTGTGATTGCATTCCCTCGTCGTATTGGTCCGGCAAGTGGCCCGATAATTTCTGCTGTGTCTCGAAGTGTCATTTTGGTAGCTATCGCACTTGGGTTTGCAAGCGTAGTGTAGACTGCCAATCACAAGGTCAAAGAGCCGGCCAACTTGGCGCCGTCCGCTGTCTTATCCGCCTACGTGGGTCTTGAACACCAGATAATCGTTGCCAAGATAGCTGTGCCGGAGCTTGAATTTGCTTGGACTGGAGAAGCTTCCCCAGCCAACATCGCCATGTCGGTGTGTACTTAGCAGCTGGCGTGTGAAGTGTCTTTGTCGGCATTTGCTTCCGACAACAGATCAACGGAGGAATCTCGGTGGAGCCTGGAGAATATCATTGTCAAACTCTGATTTGGTAGAAAAGACGATGTCGCAGGTTTCAGGATCAGACACGACTTGGGATGAACGTGTAGTCAAACTGAGAGAGTGCGGTCCTCCAGAGGCCACCGCGAAGCGAGATCATTGGCCGCCTCTCAAACCATCAAATGTCCATGTAGCTGCATCTCAAAGGAGGAGGGCGTAGCGGCACAGCCTCTGTTCGTGGCGATGTTGTTCATGGAAAAGGATGCGGAGAGACCTGAGAGATGATTGGTCGTCTTGTCTTCATGCGCTAGAGTGACACTAGCGTGCTCTCTGAGTTCGTCCGGTCCCCGATCTCAAAGTCGGAAGCGATGTTGCTAACTCTCTCTCTCTCTCTCTCCATGACTCCTTCGAGTGGTGATGTGGGCATGCGACAGCCTCACCAGCGATACCTTTCGTAACAGACAGAGCTGTCTTGGCACACGAGGGTTGGAGTTTTCGCCACATCAGCGACATGAAGCTGACCGCATGGTAACTTATTCTTWGCCAGACGACTAGCCCGGCACCAGCGCCTTTCTGGAAGACAGGTTGGCGCCTATGGCGCATGCGATTGCGTGCTAGACTTGTCAGCTTGATGCTCACTTGCGAAACTGCCTGTCAAATGTTTGGACCCGTCACACTGAAAGCGGACATACCTCCAAAACGAGAGACCATGATGGCGTAGTGTGGAGGATCTGCAGATGAGCAGTCGAGTCGAGCAGGTGTTCCTGAGCTGAATCCATGGAGCCGCATATACCGACCCACCCCAGTTTCAGCTGTTAACTGCAAGTACATCCGCAGTACCAAATCAAGACCGGACGAAGATTGTGCGTCTTCGAGAACAGCCGGATTGCACAGCTGGTCATTTTCTCATAGCCACCACTTGGGTGCGACCTCGGAACAGTCGATGTTTGGTCCAAGGCCCTCCATTCTGATACTGTAGCCCGAACTTGTTCACGACTAGGCGCGGGATGATCGGCCGGCTGCGATATGTCACCTTCTAAATCAAGAACAACAAGCAAACCAAGCCTACGATTAGGGTGATTGAAGCCGAACGCACGCCTTGGCCACATGTGGAGCACATGCATTAGTGTAAGGTGCCTGCAGGCCAACGACTTGTTTCTTGTATCACATGTCGAAGATCATGAGTTCAACCGCAGCTGGTCATCGGACACTACCCGCGATATCTGGAGAAGTAACGTTTGTGGTTGGAGAATCCATTGTTCCTGATCGACATGGCCATGTCCCTGCATATGGGAGGCGAGAGCCACAATCTGGAGCATCGGTGAAGACGGACCAGTCAAGTCGTCTTTGAGCCTAGCGGCGTTGATAAATTGAAACATTTTGACCTTCCTCTTTTGGCGCTCCTCCGTAGATGTCCACATGCTCGCGAAGCCTCCTGTAGAATAATTCACAGCCAGTGTAAATTGATCCAAGGCAAGAACAAAGTCACTGACGGTCGAGCATTACGCCCATTCGACATGAGAAATGTGTGAGAACATCATACTTGCAGGTATGTTCCAGTCTCTTCTCATTATTACTACCAGGGTTCATCGCTCATGCAGTATTTTCAATATCCATCATCAATCAATATCCATACGGCTTAGCATTGTACTTTGCAAACGCAGCATCGACCAACTTCGGGAAGTTGGGCGTGCCGAAGCCAGTAACGGCATCCCATCCCTTCTGAGCGGGGAAACCGGTGGTGTTACAGCCAAAGCTGGAGCCGCTGGTGACATCGTTGAGAGCCTTGTAGGCACCGCTGTAGATCCATGGGTTGAGGAATCCGAGCACAGGCTTGCCCTTGGCGAGAAGAGCATCATTGACCAGAGCAATGACACCAGCGAATGTAGGCGAGGATGCAGAGGTGCCACCAACGGTACGCACTGAGCCCTCAGAGACAAGAGCGTCGCGGTTACTGTACACAAGTCAATATAGGGTGAGAGGATATCGTAGGAAAGAATACTCACCCTTGCGCAGCAACATCTGGGTAGCCACGACCCTTCTTGTTGTAGAAACCATTGTAGAGCCCGTTCAAGCTCTTGACGTACTGGGCGACCGTCTTCGCTTGGTAGTCAGGAGCAGGGAAATACTCGCTGAAACCAGCACCGGAGCCGAAACGCTTAACAGCGACTTCAGGCTCGAAAGCCTCAGTTCCACCAACAGCCGTCACCCAGGGACAGCCAGCCGGGAAGGCAGGAAGGAACTTGTACTGCTTGGGCTCTGTGTTGGAGTAGCACTTGCCGCTAGAACCAACACCGTTGTCACCAGACGAGAAAAGCACCGACACTCCACGAGCACCAAGCTGAGCAAACCCAGCGCAGACCTTGTTGGCGTAAGAACGTGGGATGGTCTGCTCATCGTCACCGTAGCTGGTGGAGAGGACGTTTGGAACCTTCTTCTGAGCTAGGAGGTATTGCAGGAAGACCAGGTATGGTTCGTTGGTGTTGGTTGGGGTAGCAAGGTCAGGCATGAAAGGAGGAGATCCGCCAGTCGAGTAGGCAGTGAATGGGGTAGGCCATGAGACGGAAAGGACTTGCTCAGCATCGAGGTTGGCTTCAACGTTGACTCCATTGGCGATCTCCTCTGRTGTCTGGGCACCTTGATTGTTGGTGGCATTCGCGATGATGACAACAGGGAAAGTCTTGGCGGCTTCAGCAGCCTCTGGACGGAACATCTGAAGGAACTTGTAAATGTCCGCTCGGTATGACGTTTGGTTGAGGTAGTTGGTCACGGCGACGCTGTTCTTCTCTGGAGCCTGTGCCTTGTAGTTGATGGTTCCGTATAGGGTGCGAATGCACTCTGGAGTGGTGAAACTGATGTTACAGATTTCAGACAGCTTTGACGAGCCCTTGCCAGTATAGAGGCCCTTTCCGACTTTGTCCCACCACTCCAAAGAGTGCGCTTCACCTGTTAGTGCATCGGAACCAGTAGTAGTGACGCTGCTGGTGAGATCTTTGGGGATTGGACGGAAGAATGAGTTTGTGGGCTGAATGACATCGATATGGTCATGCAGATGGATTGGGAGAGACCACTCAGGCGTGCGGTCGAGCACAGAGCCATCTGCGTGTCTGTAGGTGGAGTAGGAAGTGTCTAGGAGCTTCTCGGCCTTTTCAATGGGAATGACAACAKGGATCCAATCTTTGGAGGGTGAGTGTACAGCATCATCGATGCCATTCTCAGCCAGCCAGGCGGTGATGAGGTCGCGCGACTCGTCTGAAGGGGTGACAATGCTGGAGATTTCCTCTGCCGTCATGTGTTGGCCCTGGGAGACCGTTAGCATCTATCAGCCACACACGTTGCACCAACGATACCCACATAACGGGAGTGGCTGGGATCTGAGATCTCCATGAGGTGTTTCTCAATGACACCCTCATTCTGCTGCTTCAGACCAATTTGCATGTGGATGGTATCCGACTTGGACGAAGGTCCGACGATGGTCCAGTCGCGGGGAGCAGCATGACGTTCCTTGACGGCGTAGTTGGAGCGTGAAAGCGAAGGCAACGCGTAGGCGCCCGAAAAGGAGCCTACAAGGAGAGTGAGTTTGGCTGTAGAGATGTACATTTTGAAGAAATGTAAACAATTTCAAAACGATGGAAAGGTTGACAAGGCGCGTGAAGGAACGGGTGGACGACGCGATGCTTTTAATTGATGTCGCATCGCGGARGGGAAGGCGGGTGATAGGCAGCTTGTAGCAGGAGGTAGCACCAAGACCAGACCCAAAGAAGCAGGTATGATGCATATCTATCGTATTCTCCCACGTTTCCAATGCGGGGACTTTGCTCTGTGGTGGCCAGCCTCTCGGTCCGACCTTCCAGCCGCGAGTAGACGGTACGCATCCAGAGCAGAGTCTGGGAATATGTGAAACATGTGCACAATTCTTTAGAAATTCCAACACTCCTCTCAAGCTTGTGAGGCAGTGAGGGCGATATGCTAGGAGGCATGCCTGCAAGCATTTGCCTTGCAAGCTTCATGAGCTTATCGCAAAAGCCAATGTACGCTCGGCCCCACACGATCGAAAACGGTATAGCAATGTATAGGGCTGGTAAAAGCCCCGAGATGGCATCATTTCGTGATTCTCGATCAAATACTTTATGGCAGCACGACTGATGATGTGGTTCCAGTGGCACAGCTGAGACTGATTGTAATTCGGAAGTAAGAAGAAGTCCATGCGTCCAATTGTCATTCATTATATTCCATTACAACATGTACACCCTCCGTCCGCATCATCAAGATMATTTTTGTGCCGTCACCAATGTTTTCTGTACACCCCAACCACTGTCCCGACATGTTGGTGATTGATACCATCATCACTTCTTTCCCTTTTTCTTCCCCTTCCCTGTATCAGGAACACCTCCCAGGATGGCGTCAAAAGTCTTGCTAGCATCCACAGAATGAGTCGGCGTTCTCGGTCTCTCCATTGAGCTGGGAGCGCTTCCGTCTGGTGTAATTCCCGAGGGCAGAGGGAGRGCTTCCAACCCAAGACCAAAGCTCGAGTGTCGCTTGTTGGATGTGCTTCGATCGCTGTATACGCTTGTGGGACGTAGCGAAGCTTGCGGACCCGGCGGTTCGGGCTCATACTCTGCACCACCACTGCTCTGCTGCATTTGCAATGCTTGGCTCAAAATAGGATTTGCTGCGCACCATTGCTCCGCCATACTCCAGCAATGACTTCGTCGGTAGATTCCCTCAACTCCGTGTTCAACAACATCAGAAGGTAGTGAAACCACTCCGCCGCCTGCTCCGCCAACAGAAAACCATGTTCGTTGACCCGCGCCCGAGTTCCCAGCTCCTTGGTCTGCCCAGGGCACACCAGATCGAGGTGGAGCGCAGAGGAAGTACTCCACAGCGTGAGTCCACTTCAAACCAGGCGCATCGCATGCCAGCATGGGGAGAGCTTGCAGGACTGTATACATGAAAATCCACTGACCGACTCGCAGATCTTGAATCTCGGCAGGCGTGCAACCATGAGCGGCCCGCTTCTCCATCTCCYGGAAGGCGTTGACGAATGGAGTGGCGATTGCGTCCTCATTCCAGCTGGCGCGCAACATTTGAGAGATCTCTTCATCCTTGATCTTTTTGTTCATAGCTTTGGCGTCCTGCTTCGCATCTCCCGCTCCGAAATCTTTTCGTGTCGATCTTAATGTTGGCAACCGGGGCAAGTCGAATGGAACCGGTGGCTTCACGGGTGGTGAGGAGCGATCATACTCGGAGAGAATGGCCCTCAAGCCTCGAACAAGCGGCTCGTCTCTGGCGTCGTCCAAACTTTGGCCATCTATGGTCCTGGTAGTGAGGCTAGTTCTGTCGACGAGTAGGTCATACATTGACGCCAAATCGTTGTAAACGTCGCGCAGCACGATCCGATTCAAACCCGATGTTTCAAGCGAATTCTTTTTGCTACTAGCCTTGGGTGGCCAATCTCCATATCGTTGCTTGAGCAGACCGAGCATAAATCGGCGCATGCCAAGAAAGCTCTCCTTCCACGCATCGAACCGCACTCCCTCCTTCCTCTCAATCGATGTTTTGCTGCTCATGATTCCAGAGAAGAGGAATGGAAAGTCAAAATCTGTCATGACAAGCCGTATTGATGCGACCCGCTTGTCCAGGTCCATGGACGCTCGCACGAGCCGATTCTGGGAGATGGGCGAAATCATGTTGAACTTGGGACTCTTGAGCGCTACGAGATCGCCGTGCTTGCCAACAGCATGCGTGAAAGCTTCATTGTAGAGGAGAACGTTCTTCATGCGCTCACCCAGAACGATACCTTCAATGGTCTTCTCTCGACTAGTCCTGACGTCCGCCAGTCCAAGCTCTGTGACATAAGCGTCAAAGCTAGCGTTGCACACCTCGCCATAAGAAGAGCCATCGGCGTTGGTGAATTGGTACGATCTGAGTATTCCAGCAATGGTCATAAAGATGCTGAAGAACGAACTCCTCCGCTCCGTTGCGACTAGAGACTGCCCGCAGAGGAATGCGAAAAAGTTGCGGTAGTCCACCAGTGTTTGGAGATCCTCCATCGTGGCCCGATCGCCGGCCTTTGCTGTCGAAGTTTCCGCTGCTCCATCACTGCCGAGCTTGATGGGGAAATATAGATCTGTCTGCTGGGAGGAGTAGGAGAAGTTTGACTGTCGTCCGTTTGAATCATGTGATGAAGTGGAGCCGTTGGTCTCGCCGTTGCGTCTCGAGCTGATTGACGGAGTTGCAGGGTCGTGCTGTGACAGGCCTCGCGCACGCGTTTCCGGAGGTATTTGCCTTCGATCGCCCGATACACCCCTCGTGTCGTTGTGAAATTCACCGAATGCGAGTTTGGTGAGCACTGAAGAAGAGGCAAACACAGCAGAGTCCACCTTGAACGATGGTCCCTTGTTGGAGACCCGAGGGAAAAGATAAACTGTACAGTTGCCTTCTTCGTTCCAAAGTTCTTGCATCGGTTTCGCATTTACAAGGCCTGAAACATCATACGGCAAGTTCTGTGCGTGTCCCGCGATCCACGCAATCGGACCTTTGCTCGCATCACGATTTGTGTCCTCGCTCTTACTCCACCAATGTTGCTTCTTCTTCTGCAGCACTTCACCTCCCGGAGATGACAAGGAAGGAGCGGCATCGCCTGGCAGGACCAGCGTGGGCGTCATGGAWCGGTTGGCCGAGCGAGATGAGGGTCTCGATCTGTCTTCAGAGTCTGTCATGACATATGGTGGAGGTGGGAGCTGAGGGAGGTAMATGTCGTCCTTTTCGAGGTCCCGCAAACTGGGCAGAGTGAACTCTGGCGTCATGAGGTACTGTGTGGACTGTCTGCGCGCCTCGTTGTACGCGGGAGCTTGCTTGGATAGCTTGGAAGGTGATCGAGATCGTGAAACGTCGTCTGGTGCTGAAGACTTGTGAACTTGCGAGGTGTCTGATGGAGATAGTTTTCGAGGAGAGTCGCCGCGCGTGGAGGATTTGCTGTCGGGCTGTGCAAAGCCCGCAGCCGAGAACATGGCTGATAGTCGCCTAGACATTGTGTTGATTCAGCCCAGCTGAGAGGTTCACCAAGTAGCGCGTGAGGCAGTCAGCCGAGGGCATGTGGTGCTACCGGCGAGGTACTTTTGGGGAGTACTAGAGAGAGGGAGCAGTCCCACGCAGGAGGGAGATGGCACAAAGTATGAGAGAGGTAATGATGTGACGCTGCAGAGTGTGTGCAAGGGGTGGACTGAAGATGAATAATGTTTCAAGCGAAATAAGAAATGGATCCGGTACCCGCGAAAAGGCAGAGAGACACGCTCATAAGACCGCGTACAGCTCGACCCATGCTCGACKAGGCTACGTCAGCTTTATACCCGTCCACCCCTGCACGCCATGCGTAGTCCAAACAATGGTCGAGCGGTGGACTGAAATTTCGCGCTACAACCGCACATCACGAGGCTGTGTCCGTGTGGGTAGTGTGGGCGGCGTAGAATTGACGTCGAGGTATTGGCGCGAGGAGGCTGAAGAAAGTATGCTGATGATGTTGTCCGCCTGAACTTCAAGCGTGTAGCTATTTTAAGTTCTAAGTACGACAAGCGCCAACCTTGAAAGGTGAACTACGGTGACGAACAGCGACTCGAGGCAAATCCATCAGCCGCGTCGAAGGTGGATGCCAGACGACCCGTGGAGTGCAGAATAAGCGAAATATTGACACACAGATGTTCAAATTTCCACTCTTCCATATGCATGGCAGGATATTATCGCTTACTGTAACTGTGTGGTTCTCCCGATAGAGTAGGTGGCCGATGCTTCTCCAAGCCTTTTCGATGCCATCGCTGTTCTCGACGCCGTTGATAGTGCAGCAGAAGTGACCATGGCGAACGATGCGGACCGCAGGTCGTTCATTACACTCGTTCGAGGCTCTCCGAACCCGTTCCTCCTCCCGGCAGAGCTCATCCGAGCAGCCGCAAATGCGGTGCTCTCCGACCCTTTGGTAGCACACGACGGTCTCCTATACGGACCAGATCCCGGGCATGAGCCTTGTCGAGAAGCCGTAGCAAAATGGCTGACAGACTCACATCGACTCGATTCTCATATCGGACCGGAGAGGATATGTATTACCGGTGGAGCATCGCAGAATTTGGGGAACGTGCTGAATGTATACTCGGATCCCGGATACACGCGGGCAATATGGATAGTTGTGCCTGCATATATGCTTGTCTTCCGTACGCCAAGACTTGAATGGACAAGAGAGGGGCGAGAGACTGACCGTAAGGGTAGGGATATTCGAAGATGCTGGCTTTCATGAGAAAATGCGTGCGGTCCCCGAAGATGAAGAAGGTCTCGATATCGAATACCTACGACGGGAGATCCGAAAGAGCGAAGACAAGGCACAAGCACAAGGCAACAACACACCACACTTTAAGCCACAGCGAGAGCGGGCGAAAGTGTACAAACATCTGCTATATTGCGTGCCGTCGTTCTCCAATCCATCGTCGCGTACGATGAGCCTGCGGAGAAGGCGCGAGCTTGTACAGCTGGCAAGAGAATTTGACATGCTAATCGCTTGCGATGATGTGTACGACATGTTGCAATGGCCTGCGAAGAGTGATGAACGCCATGCCGTGGTGATGGAGACACAACTCGAAGCCACGAGCGCTGCTCATCTTCCTCGTTTGGTGGACATTGACAGGCACTTGGATGGTGGTGCAGAGCGAGTCGATGCTGATGGGTTTGGCAATGTCATTTCAAATGGCACTTTCAGTAAGATTGCAGGTCCCGGACTCCGRGTGGGGTGGAGTGAAGGAACGAGAAAACTCACATATGGGCTTTCACAAGCGTACGTACCCACAACTCTCTTTGTTCAATTCTTAGCCCAAGCCTGAGGCTGTACGAGCCAAGCCTTTGTGGAGTGGTACCTGCATCGTTAGGTGATGCCTCTCTCACCTGAGCTTCAATATCCCCGAGCAATGAWCAACAGCCACAAGATTGTAAGCTAATCATGGTCGTTGCAGTGGCGTTCAGCGTTCCGGAGGCGCTCCAAGCCAGCTTACATCGACCTACGTTGCCCGAATGGTCTCCTCAGGGCAAGTGCAGGATCACATTGTGAATGTTTTGCGTCCGGCGTATGCCTCGCGATATCGCGTTTTGCAGCAGGCCATCAAGTCCCATCTATTTCCTCTAGGCTTCACTGCTCCGCAGTCCAATCGGGACGTGGTTGGTGGGTACTTTGTATGGCTTGGTCTGCCGGCCAGGCTGAAAGCCAAAGATCTCTCCGTAAGGTGTCAAGAAGGGGAGAACGTGATGATTGCTCCAGGCAATATTTTCCAGATCCCGGGAGATGACGTGGCAAAGTTCGATGGCAACGTGCGTCTGTGTTTTTCATGGGAAGAGGAATGGAAATTGACTGAAGGCATCAGAAGGGTTGGCGTCGTTGCGAAGAAGATGCTCGATGGCTGCTGATTCGCATCAGAAACGGCAGGCCGTCGTACGACCACTAGTCTTCGCATGAAGGCAATTCCTTGGCTTGATATGATGGGWTTCGGAGGTGCTCGTCTGTCGACCAGCATGAAGCATCTCGAAATGAACTGGCAGGTGACTAGAGCGCGGGTATGTGACGAGATTCTGGCGGTTTGGCGGGAGCCTGGTTGAAGTGCGGATGCATCTAGTCCAGTGGCATTGGCGAGATCTGCGTCTGCTGTTCATCCAACTTGATCAGATCAGATCACATTGTCGGTCGGGATTTTTGTGAACGCTCCTTCCCACATCTTCAAAACATACAAAAGCCAAATTCTCATCAACATCAACATCAAAATCTCTGTTATTGCCTTCCGGTTATCGTTCCTTTCGGTAAATGCACATTCAGTGCATCAGGGATGTCATGGCAGCGCAAGCGCCTGGCTTGAAATATGGCTGGCGCGTGCAAGTTCTATTCTTATCGTACGGCACAGCGCAGAAAGAATATGGCATATCGAGGTCGATGGTGCGCAGGTTGTTGCATATTATCATTTCTTTCCAATACCCATTCAACTCAGCTGGCCTGGAGAAAGACAGTCGATTGCTATCAACCTAAAACAGAATAAGGGAAGCTTCTCGCACATTCCGGACGGACGATGGTCTAGGACAAGAAATTCGATACGGCGTATCTGCATAAGCCTGTGGCCTTGGAGAATCTTGGATCTCTTGACGAGGCATCATGCATTGGAGCCATCCGGTCATCGTTGCTCATTACAGCGGACAGTTCAAATGGCAACATCACCTTCCGTCCTCCTGGACATAATGAATCCTTTGCCTTTGAAGTGGACATCTAAAACCTACTGGGGACATGATTAGGTACCACGTTGACGAGGTATTTGCGTCTGGTTTCGATGGATCATCATCCGAGGATATTTCACAAGCAGTGTACGTCTCCTGGTTAAACGCTTCACAGATTCGCGATATGAACAGTACTGGAGACATCGCGATCCGATCGCTTGGGCCGATGATGGAACTGATGCGATGAGTATGACAACTCGGCGGGTAGAATGACCGCCGCAGTTGCTACGGCTCTCAGGTTGCAGACCATTGTTCGCGCCGGTTGGCTGTGGGCTATTTTCTCAGTCGTGCTTCTTGTGTTAGTGCCTGGCTTCCTACTGTCTGCTGTCATCGTTTCCATCAGGACACAGGTGTCGACATTGGAGAGCTCCGGTCTTGCTTCTTCACCATACAGGCTGGATGATGGCGGCTGTCAGGCATATCGGCCAGCCGGGTCGACTACGTGGAGAGCAATGCCAAAGGATTCGTAATGTCCATGAAACCGGACGCCACCACTACATGGAGGCTAGAGGGTGCTGCAAAGCGGCCCATCTGTGCCTGAGTAGGGGAGCTGAGACGAAGCACCAGATGTCTACCCTGGAGAAAGGATACCTGCTAGGATCTCGCTCATCAGCACGGCGGGGTGATCACTAGGAGTATCCCGTGTCACAGGATTGATTCTGAACATCGCGAGCGCTCTTTGCAGCTTCAGTTCCAAATTGCTCAAGTCTCACAAGCCCCACCGAGAGGAATATTTGCAGAAGCGAGCATGGTCACGCTGTCACAACCGCTGATCTGCATGTGCCGCAAACGTAAATGAGCCATGCGCCATGTACGATTGCCGTGCAAACACTTGTATCATCGTGGGTCCAGCGTCCAGGTGCATGCTACAACGGGCGAGCCAAACTTCTCCAATGTCGGCCTCGTAACCACCAGGCTGGTACTCCAAAAGGGTCGCGAGCGCCTGGTTGGATGTTTTTGTATTGGTAGCAAGGCCGGGAGCCGTTTTCTGTGACGTTTTGTCCCTGTCGTCTTTCCCGCAAGCACGAGGCTGTCACAGCGCCACGATCAACGACCACATTCGCAGCCAGGTTTGTGGGCTCGGGCGGCAACTTCAAACAGATCAAATGGACAACGACTTCGTCTTTCTAAGCCCGAGGACGATGCTTGGTCGACGGGTCAAGTTGGGCGTTGTCGCACGACTCACGATGTGGTTCCCAGGGCGCCAATCATCACGAATGACGGCGGCGGGAATCGCCGTTGCCGTCTGCCGAAAAAGGTCCGAGCGGCCGACCAAGCGCGCCTCCCTGGCGAGTCATTACAGTATTCTTCACGTCCAACGACACTTCTTCGATGGTGCACACGGAATGCTCGCCACAGTCACTATGTTGATGGCGGGTTTCAGCGCGGTTGTTACGACTAGTCTCTGTCTCAGTGGTCCCCCTTCCTGTGGCTGGCTGTAGCCAGCATTCCTAGGTACGCGGCACGAGGCTAGAAGACATGACCCTTCGTCCTTTTGATAGCTAGGTAGACAAAGGTAGGGGTGGGCATGGAGCCGTTGCACACACCGGTATGACGGTGCTCTGCCACCTGTGTGGATGGACAATGATCCGTGGCGGTAGGCGCAACGGTCGAAGTAGATATATACGGCGTCTGCAGGACAGCGAGCAAACGAATTGGAAAACTACAGACGCCCATCGGGAGGCATCAACGACATTCTGAAACGCCGTGGTTCACAAGGCGAGACCGAGACTGAACGACTGGACTACGATTGCTCCATACTGTACCAAACGGGGATTAGGTCAGTCCGCACATTTCGTTCCTGTTCCCATCCCGCATCCATCTACCTTTATCAAGGCCAACACATCCGCTGCTGAAAGAGTTCGCCGCAGCTGATCCCCTCACTTTTCCTCCGCGTGCTTCTTATTGTCAACATTTTCACCCATTGTGCTGGCGGTCACATTCACAACTGCATTGTGTGTTTTTGGTCACTCATTGTCGCTGCTCACGCGATTCACCCAACCTCCATACCAACACTCCAAATACCTCGCACTCCTTCCACCAACCTCCATTCTGCACCAGAACACTCGGTAACCACCGCGAGTCCCCTCACTCACAACTTTCAGCCCACCTGACAACCACCACCCAAACAAACAACAACACGACAACACACTCTTTGCAACCACCATCAGTGCAGGTCACTGAGATTCTGAACGCTGCAACTTCAAGTCGCACCAAGACTCACCATCCACAGAGCAAACATGTTCTCTCCCAGCAGCTTCGCGCTGCTCGCCGCGGCTCTCATCGCCGTCTTCTCCACACAACCCGCGCTCGCAGTGCCGGCGCCGGCCCCACAAGCATCAGATTCCCTAGCAGCATCAACTTCCAACTACTGGCTTGCCAACATCGAGCGGAAAGGCACAGTCTGGGGCAACAATGACAGCAGCTACTCCGTCTTCCGTAACGTTGTCACGGACTTCCAGGCCGACCCCACCGGTCAGCAAGACTCTACCGAGGCCATCAACAAGGCCATCTCTGATGGCGGTCGCTGCGGCTTTGGCTGCAACTCCTCCACCGTCCACCCCGCCATTGTTTACTTCCCGCCCGGCAAATATCTCGTCAGCAAGCCCATTCAAATGTTCTACTACACCCAAATGGTCGGCGACGCCGTTGAGCTCCCCCAAATCGTGATGGCGAGCAACTTCGAAGGCATGGCCATGTTTGACGCGGACCCTTACCAGGATGGTCACAACTGGTACATCAACCAGAACAACTTCTTCCGCCAAATGCGAAACTTCAAAATGGATCTCACTCAGGGACCCGATATAGGTACGGCGATCCACTGGCAAGTCGCCCAGGCTACCTCACTTCAGAACATCGAGTTCGACATGATCAAAGGCAGCCAGCAACAAGGAATCTTCATGGACAACGGAAGCGGCGGCTGGTGCAGTGACCTGAAGTTCAAGGGTGGCAAATATGGTGCCTTCTTCGGCAGTCAACAGTTCACCTCCCGCAACCTTGTGTTTGAGGACTGCACCACTGCAATCTACATGAACTGGAACTGGGGTTGGGTTCTCAGCAACATCACCATCACTGGTGGCACCGTTGGAATTGACATGGCCAACAGCCCATCCAACATGTCTACTGGCTCGGTTATGCTCTCCGACAGCAAGATCTCAGGCACTCAGTATGGTGTCAACACTTCCTACAGCATCGGCGGCAACCTTCCTCTCACCGGTAACACCCTCGTCATCGACAACGTTGACATGAAGGATGTCACAACCGCTGCAGTGTGGTCCGCGAAAGACCAAGCAGTCGTGGTGAAGCCTTCCATGATTGAAACATGGGCACAAGGTAGCGGCTACACCAACAGCGCCGAGAGTACCAGCGCCAACGGGTCAGTTGGCGAGATCCAGAAGCCTCACAAAGCAAAAGTCCTTCTCGACACTGATGGCAAGATCTACGGCCGTAGCAAGCCGCAGTACGAGAATGTGCCTCTTGCCAACTTTCTGTCAGCCAAGGCCAACGGCTGTGCAGGCGATGGTGAGACTGACGATACTGCAGCTGTGCAGGCTTTCTTGGAAAAGGCGTCCGCTCAGGACGGCGCAATTGCGTACTTTGATCACGGCGCCTACCTCGTCTCCGATACCATTGCTGTACCGAAGAACGTCAAGATGACTGGCGAAGTCTGGTCTCTGATTGTGGCCGACGGCAAGAGCTTCTCGGACAGCGAAAACCCCAAGGCCGTCTTCCAAGTTGGAAAGCCTGGCGATACCGGCGCCGTGGAAATCTCCGACATCATCTTCCAGACCAAGGGCGCTGCCCCAGGTGCCGTCATGATCGAGTGGAACTTGAACTCGGAAGAGAAAGGTGCATCTGGCATGTGGGATGCTCACGTCCGCATTGGGGGGTCTGCAAACACTCTTCTGTCTGAGGATCAATGCCCCGGCTGGCCCACTACCCAGCCCACTCCTCAGTGTCAGGGCGTCTTCCTCATGTTCCACTCCACGGAGAAGTCTGGTAACTTTATTCTCGAGAACTCCTGGTTCTGGGTTGCCGATCACGACTTGGAGGTCAACAACCAGACCCAGATTTCAATCTTCAGCGCACGTGGTTGCCTCATCCAGTCTCAAGGCGCTGTTTGGCTTTGGGGATCTGCATCTGAACACTCCATGATTTACAACTACCAATTCGACAGCGTCAAAGCTGTGTTTGGCGGATTCATGCAGACCGAGACACCATACTTTCAACCGAATCCACTGGTCCCAGCGCCGCTCGCCTTCAACAAGGCTTATCGTGACCCAGACTTTTCCATCTGCCCCGATGGCAGCGACAACAATGAAGTTCCCTGCAAGGATGCTTGGGGTCTCCGCGTTGTGAACAGCCAAGGTGTTCTCATCTACGCTACTGGGTTCTACTCGTTCTTCAACAACTACTCCCAAGTCTGCACACCACTCGGCAACTGCCAGGAGTACATGATCCGCATACAAAACAGCCAGGTTGACATGTACACTGTGACCACAAAGGCAGCCGTCAAGATGATTATGGATGATCGGGTCAACTCTCCCATCATCGCCGCGAAGAACCACAACGTCTTTGGCGACACAATCGCCTGGTACTCAAGCAGTCCTTCTTRATTGCACCAAAACTCGACTTTCTTCACTTCTTTTGATGACATACATTGATGACACCAGTCTCTGCACACTCCCTTTCTTGCAGGGAAGTCTTTGGAAGCTGCACGAACTGGTTGGCGAGGATAGATAGACATGACGGCATAGCGTGATGAGCATACTCCGGCGCACAGGACGTCGATGAATGAACTGCATTGGGGGATGAATGGCTGGCGTTTGGCGGGTATTGGTCCCCACTGCGACGTGGGTCGACTTACAAGGCGTTTAGTGATAGCGTTGAGAAAATGACAAAAATTAGATGATCGTGATGCCTTCTTTCCCATACATGTTTCAAATGTGATACTACTCTCTCGTAAGAGGCATCACGAATGCTCTACGGTGAGTTTGATCATAGCAGTGCCTAGTGTCTACAGTGTGAGCTCAGTATGCGGAGTGACATGGCGTGGGTGGAGAGGTCAAGAAACGACAAGGATTTGAGTCAAGCTTCTTTGGGAAACAAAAACAAGGTTCATCACGCACGTGGGYAGGGACGAAGTCCTGTTGGTCTCCACCAACAGACAGCATCACCACCGTCTTCCACAACTGCCGCGGGCTCGAGGCTCGTCTAGACGGACCCTTCGATGGCACAGCCTCTGCGATCTGCAGCCGAGTGGGACACCGATTCTTGTCCCACTGTTACTACGGTAGGATACACCAGTGGAACATTCATCTGTCTCTCTCTCTACTGTTCACTGTCTTCTCTGGTCTGCAAGGCATTCAGCCATGCTTAGATTCACCGCATTCGCTACAGCTGCCCTTGCAGCTTCGGCAGCAAGTGCTGCGTCTTTCAATGCCTCATGCTCTGCTGGATACATCAACTACACTACCATTACAGGTTACTTCCTTCAGGACGAACCCACCACGAACGCCTCGACATTTGACTATGTGAGTCTTCAAGAATGTGCGATTCTCTGGTGTACTGACCAGCTCCGAGACGACCACCAGCTTCGGCCTGATCAATCGCACATATCCGGCAACAGAAGGCCTCAATACCAACCTCACGCAATGGCAGAGCTTCGAGAAACAGGTGGAATCTCTCAATGCGGATGCACCACTCAACACGGTCTACAAGGTGATGTTCATGGGTAGACATGGGCAGGGATACCACAACGCCGCAGAGACGTACTATGGAACGCCTGGCTGGAATTGCTATTGGGCTCAGTTGAGGGGCAACGGCACTTCCACATGGGAGGATGCGAAGCTCACCTCGGATGGTGTATTGCAAGCACAGATTGCTCACGATGTTTGGAAGAAAGAGCTGGAAGTTCAGAGGATTCCTTATCCTCAATCGTACTATACTTCGCCTCTGGCTCGTTGTCTGGCCACTGCAAACATCACTTTCGCTGGATTGGACCTGCCCGTGTACTATCCATTCGTTCCCACAGTCAAAGAGCTACTGCGGGAAAGTATTTCGATCCACACTTGCGATCATCGCGGCAACAGATCTGCCATTGAAAGTCAATACCCAAGCTACGTGATCGAGGATGGCTTCAACGAGTATGATGAACTTTGGAACGGAGTCACGGCCGAGTCAGAAAGTGCCCATGAGAAGAGGATGCTGAGATTTCTTGACGACATCTTCGCCAAGGACGACCACACCTGGATATCTCTCACCTCACACAGTGGCACGATACGCACGATCCTCGATGTTGTTGGTCATCAACCCTTCAGCTTGACTACAGGAGCTGTCATACCGGTACTCGTCAAAGCAGACTTCATACCAGCCTCCGAAACTCCAACGACCTCTGTTGGATCTTTCACCACAAGCACATGGTGTCATAACGCGCCTCCAGTCACGAGCATGAAGGGCGTTGACCAAGGCTGTGTATGCCAACCCACCACCACAGCTCTGCCGAGTCTCGACACCCAAGCGCCTTTTGTTCCGGGCCAGACTGCGCCTATCAATGAGTACACGACAAGTACGACGATTTCTAGTTCGGCTGCATCTTCTACCACCATGGAGACCCCGACTGCCTCTGGATATTAAAGAATGCAGGGTGGTGAATGTAGCACGCACGTAATCCTGATCATGAAAGTATCATTCGAACAGATCTATCTTTCCTTCATTCTTCCTTCATCGCAGTCGCACGTACATTGAATGTCGGCACAAATGAGGCGAGCTCATGGCCGAATGTGGGGCGAAATGCTAAAGCCGATGATTCTTCTCCACCTTTTGCCTGTACCTTTACACTCCGCCTGCGTTCACTGAATTGCAGCACTTTTGACCGAAGTTACACGCCCAAGCCCATATACGAGCAACCGCCAAAATGACAGTCTATCACATTGGTATCATCACTTCCCTCAAAAGAGACTCACTCCAACTTCACTAACCGTTTGCTAGTCCTCTTCAAGCTCAAGCCCGGCACGCCCGCAGAGAAGGTGGAAGAAATCAAAGCGGCAGGATACGCAATGGTCGGACAAGTACCGGGTAAGCAAGCAACATCAAGCCAGCACCTTCGAGATTCGTACTGACTCTTCCTCACTTCAGGTCTATCACGGATCGACTTTGCTCCACCGCTCGAATCCACTGCACATCGCTCAAAGGGCTACGATCTGGGTCTTGTCGCCATCCTGGAGAAGCCTGAGGATGTTGCTGTCTATGCTGCTCATCCTGCACACGTGAAGTAGGTCATCTCTTGATCTGGAATCGTGCACACTCTGACATCAGCACAGAGTCAATGGCTTGCGAGAGGCAATCACCGAAGACGCCCTGGCTTATGACTTGGTATTTTGAGAGCATACGAAGGGCTGGATGTCGGAGACTCCCCTTGGGAAGCGAGCGTGAAGAAGCTCGATCAGCTTTGCGAACTGGTGCATTTTACCATGATCGAATCTGATGTCTGCTGTGTCCTCCCATGCGCGGCCACTCTTCCATTCGCATGATGTCGTGAAACATGCTGTACTACGCGGAATGCTGGGGATACCTCACACYCCGGTCGTTGCTCCAGAGTCAGCATCCGTCTCATCTACCCCATGGGGTGTTTCCGGCTTWTGAGTCGATGTCGCCGGGAAGTACGTTCGAGCGCAAAAGCTTCGAATACGACTGTTGAGAGCTTTGATCTGGCCGTCAATGATGTTCACTTCGAGCTAGAGTAAGGTGTTTGTTGAGCTGTCTGCCGTGGTGTCGTAAATTGAGTTGAGGGGTGCACTGACAGCAGAGTGAGCCAAGCGGCTTGTTGGCGCCTCTGCACCTCGCGCAACGTCTGTCCGCATCTTCCAAACATCGTCGCATTCGATATCCGAGTCGCGGAGTCCAGACTGCGGAGAGCTTGAACCGCTTGAGACAYATGCTGAGGTGATGGACGTTACAACGCGCCGGGATACGCGACTTTGATGGTGCCTCCTCACAACTCCTGGGGCAACCAGAAAAACGTCCCCAGCCAACACTCAGAACGGTCAACTCAACCTGCCCTGCAAAGCAGATCAGGTCCAGCACACTGTGCAGGACCAAACAAAGCTATTCTCTCAAAAATATTCCTACGCTCCGTCCAATGACGAGCATTCGGGATCCAGCTCGGGGGAGTCCACTCGCCATTCCGAACGGCAGTCTCGTGCACCTACATCTACGTWCTCAAGATCGTCGTCCAACTCACCTAATGCGCATGGAAACGCCGTTGGTGAACACTGGAGACCGACGAATAGGGCATGCATGTAAGACTCACTGTGCTTGCCGAACGACCAACGGTAAGTTTTCCGACTCGACCCAAAAGCATCACCTTCTGGGATGTGAGAAACCGGGAGCCGAAACATCTTGTGCGTCGGGTTGCCAGGGTGGCTTCCGTCTTTTTGTAGCGATGGAAGAAACCATCAGCACTCYATGTAAGCGTGCGAACCACCAGACTGCACTGTTCACTGGTTCTGGTCCGCGAAGATAAAGCTTCTGGTGACTGCACTATTCTTCGGCCTCCTATTCACTTCAATACCCTTTCCTTGTCATCTCATCTCATTTCTTACATTCCATTCTCAACTTCAAAAACATTAAGAACATTTCTTTTCATCTGTGCAGAATATCTCTTTCATCATGAGCGATGCAGGCAAGATGCCGGACGTCGAGATTGTACCCGGCACGGTCGTCATGAAAAATGTCGACGACGGCAACGTGAAAAGAGCCCTTGGGAATGGTTTGGTGTCAGTCAGATTGGCAAACACATCCTAGCGAATACCGTTACTGACATTCATCAGCCTCTCACCTCAGCCATCGTGCGACCTGAACGATCCCCTCAATTGGAGCACGACGTGGAAGCTCATCACCGCGACTTCGCAACTCCTCTACGTATGGGTATTGGTGTGCAGCGCTTTGTCTCTCGCGCCACTGTTCCCCTTACTAGGCCAGGAGTTTCATCTGGATCAACAACAACTATCACTCCTGACAGGAACCAATGTGCTTACCCTCGGCTTTGCAAATGTTCTCATCGTGCCCGTCGCCAACATCTTTGGTAGACGACCTGTGGCAATCTTCTTTGGGATCCTGGTTGTCCTCACCAATGTCTGGCAAGCAATCGCAACAAGCCACGAGAGTCTCCTCGCTGCACGGGCATGTAATGGAATAGCAGCGGCTACCAGCGAAACCATCATGGTGCAGACGATTGCAGACATGTTCTTCCTACACGAGAGAGCGACCTGGATGGCGGGTATGTATTGAGAGATGTCCTTCGATATAGGCCTGTTGCTGACATCAAACAGCATACTTCACTTTTTACTTCTCCGGCGCCTTCCTAGGACCTATCATCGCAGGTTCGATTGGTAGCCACTATGGTTGGCGAAGCTTTTTCTGGCTGTCCGTCGCAATGAGTGCCTTTGTAACCGTTCTTCTAATCTTCTGTTATCCGGAGACCAAATTCAGTCGCCAGCAAGATGTTGACGATGTTTGCATCGAAGTCCCGACCAAGGATGTTGAGCAAAGCCCAGTCCACGAGAAAGGTGTGACTTCGCAGAGAGACTCGGGAGTTGTGGATGGCCTCTACCTTCGCAAAGGTCGTCCCGGCAAGACGCAGTTCGCTCCTGTGACGAGACCGGAGAAGAAATGGAAGAGCTTCGTCATCCGGGATCTTACCACGCCAATCTTGGCCTTCTTCAACCCGTGAGTCCTCCCGACGTAGTTTAACAAGCCCATGCTAACCAACGCCTGCTAGGATTGTATTTTGGTCTGCGATGATGCTCGCTGGACCTGCCGATCTCCTTTTACTGTTCAACCTGACACAATCCGGCCTCTTCAGCTCTCCTGCCTATGGATTCACTCCAGAAATCGTCGGCTACACCAACTTTGCCTTCTTTGTGGGAGGTCTCTTTGGCGTCCTCACCGCTGGGCCATTGTCAGATTGGTGGGCTAGCCGAATGACCTGGCGCAACAATGGTGTTCGCGAGCCCGAATTTCGCCTACCTGCTCTATTCCCATACTGCTGCATCTTCATCATCTCACACGTCGTGGGTGCTGTTGGATATCAACGTCTCTGGCCCTGGCAGGCTATTGTCATTTGTGGATTCGGCTTCTCCGGCTTGGCTGTCACGTCCATTCCTGCGATTGCCATTGCGTATGCGATTGACTGCTACAAGCCAATCAGTGGAGAGATTATGGTTGTTGGAACAGTGCTCAAGAATATTCTGGGATTCTGTCTGAGCTACTGGGTGTTTGATATCATGGCGACAAAAGGGTGGATAACGGTGTACATGATCCAGTTCGCGGTTGGCATGTTCCCCGTGGCATTGACCATTCCGCTCTATCTCTACGGCAAGAATCTGCGAAGATGGACCAAGGACTCGAGCCTGCACCGGATGGAAAGCATGTTTTGAGGAATGATGAGATGGAAATAGAGCGTTTGTCCTTCCAAGTAGATAGATGTCGAATTCAACATGGTTATACACAGCCGCGCTGATATCTTGCGTTCAACTCTCCAATCTAGCCATGTCCGGGACCGAATTCCAGCTGTCGTGTCCCGCCTTGTCCACAACAATCACCTCTTCCACATTCCTCTTCCCCAGCCCATGTCGCGTATCGTGGAGATGAGGACAGCCCGGCAAGTCTGCGGGAAAGCGAATCTCTCCATCCAGATCCTTGACGCGAAGCTTCAATATCCACAGCTTTGAGCAAGTAGCGAAGAATAGGTCTGCGGTGATGGGCGKCTGCTGAGCTGTGGAAAGATGAACGAAGCCATCCTGAGCATCCAGGGCAGTGGTGGGGAGCGTGTCAGGTAGAGGCTGTTCGACGGGGCTTTCGAAGATTTTGTAGTAGAAAGTGTGGTCCGCCATGATGAGTCTGAGGTGTGGGTGAGAGATCGTGATGACAACGTGGGATGACTTGGCGATGATGCCTGATGGATGTACCTGAGGTTTCTCTTGTATACCGTCCCTCAACTTTCCCCATGCAGTCAGTGCAAGAGGAGTGCCTTCCCCCGCTCCAATGCTCGACCCGCCTCCCACGCACAACATCCACTTCGACGCATGTTGCGACGGCACGCGCAGGGATTATTCTCCTCCGATGCTCCACTCACCGCCACCAAACAGGGTTCTGTCAAAACAACTTCCGACACATATCGCAGCGGACTCGTGTCGAAGATCGGAGCGAACTCCCCTCAGGAGCGCTGCTTCGCCTCGTCTCGCCTCATGTCATCTCATCTGTGATGGTCACGATCCACGGAAATTCCCCACCAGACCTTCCAACTCCATCCAATATGCATCGATTCGGTACATGGCCAATGATTTCACAGCGTTTCGGAGGTTTCTTGCAGTGCAATGTTGATTGCTGGTCACCACAGACGGCGGTGAATCCCACCACGACCTGGAAGATGCTTCTGCAATGAGATCTCCCAATGCCATTGGATAGGAGCATCCGACAGTAACACTGGCACCGCTGTAGTTCCGCTGGTGGTAAGGCATGACGACGGAGATGTAATCATCACCACGCGAGACGTCAATGAATCACATAATCACAGGGCGATTCCTTCAATCACTTGCATGCATGGGTTCCTGAATCCTGATGTCCACCACGGTACTGCAAAATTCTATGCGCGATGAGGCTGCGTTGCGCACCCGAACCAGGGATAGTATCCATCCCGCGTGGCTCCATTCGCTTCGCAAGCGTACACACAGCCATACAGACGCAGTCATTTCGCGCGCTCTCAACGTGTCGTATGCACGGTATTCTAGCCGCATGTCTTGGGGATGGTGTTCCGTCTAGGCGGAAAGATTCGCGCTGGGATTGAAGTAATCCTTGTCGTGCCATGCTCGAGGACGGRCATGTGGCCAAGTGGAACGTCGGGCCATCAAATGGTGAAACTCGCAAATGCAAGCGTTGTTGCGACCGGCACACGTAGTGATACGCTCTAACAGTTCGAATTTAGCAGAAGTTGGCAGTTGAGTCGTGATGGTCTAGCTACGACTCGATCGACATGCGATCCATGAGTCGCCACATACACACCTATAACCGAGCCAATTTATACCTACTACATTCTTGCAGATATTATCGTCTTGTCGTCCCTCTGCGCACAACATAATAATAATCACTCTGCAGACACCTGCATCTGCATCTGCACCATCTCCGGACCATTGATCGACAACCAGCCAGCTCCACACCCCGTGGCGTTGCACCCGAGCTTCGAGTACATCCGTTCGTTGGACAACATGTCGTCTCCACCGTTGCCCGCGATACTCTGTCCCGGRGTGGTATCTCAAAATCCGGTACCACCCCAATCCCAACGTCCGTCGCGAAGCAGTTCATTATCTGCCTCGACCTTTTGCCTTCTCGACGCTCTTGAGCCAACCTTTGCACCTCGAGCTCGCAGTAGCTTGCCGAGCCTCGATACTCTTGCTGGAGTACTTGGGACCTCCACCTTTGACGACTTGCTTCGAACGCATTTAGGTATGATATGCCATGGTATGCGATGCAGGCCACTATCTGACTTTGAACAGGAGACAAAGACAGTATGAACGCTAGTCGGATTCACGCCACGAAGCGTCGCTCGCAGCACCAGGATGAAAAGGTCGAACCCAAGGAGAATGTCAACAATAGTGTTCGCGAACGAGTGCTCAAAGACTCACCAATCATCGCCGAATTGCGAACCAATGTGATTATCAAGGACGAATTCACTCTCGTCAAGGATCTGACGCTTCATCTCGCTGCACGTTACACGCGTAATGACTCTGCGATCATGGTTCAAGTTGATCACAGCGTGTGTCTGGCTTTGGGTGGAACCTTTGATCCCTGCTACATTCYCACCCTCACGACTGGTTCTTCGCAAATGGGCCCAATCATGAACAGACGCAACGCCGCCTTGATACAGTCATTCTTGGCAGATGTATTGGGTGTACCAGCAGAGCGTGGCGTTGTCAAGTTTCAGCCCAGTCCGGAGGAGAACTTTGCTTACAATGGAACGACTTTGCTTGCTGAGATTGAACGACGGGAGAAGCAACACGAGAAGGGCCATGGGTCCCGACGGTCTGTCGAGTGTTACAGCAGGAAGAGCACGCCGTCGCCGAAGAAGAGCGCCAGCAAACTGAATGCGGAAGTAAAAATCAACGACAAGACCATGCAGGAAGCCAAGGTGATTGAGGCAATCACGGAATCGAAGTTTGTGGAGCCCAAGACGTTGACAACCCATCGGCCAAAGACCGCCCCAGACTCGAAGCGTAAATCTGGCACGTTGCCTGTTGGTGTCTCCGCTACCATTCTCTCACCTGGTGGAGTCTTTGAATTGCCAGCTTCGGATATGGAGAGGATTCGGTCTACGCCCATTCAGCGTCAGTCAAGCGGATCCAATGGGCTACGAATGAACCCTGTGTCATCAAACGATTCTGAGTATCAGAAGAGGCCTTCTTCTGGAATGACCAGAGCTACGTCTGGCGAGTTCACCCGAGTAAAAGATAAGCGGAGAAGCAATTCACATTTGCTTTCCCTCTCAGATCCGCTTGCCGCACCTGCGCCGCCACCTATTCGAATTCAGCGCCCGATAGCACTGTCGCCGAAGGAGCACTCATTCTTGCAGAACGAATACACCAAACCTGGCCAGCAGAATCCTCGTTCTTCGAATGTCAATCGAATGTCTGCACCCATTTCCATGCGTGAGAAGCCAATGCGTATGTTGGGAGTGCGAGAGACTTATATTGAAAGCCTGATGTCGAAGCCACATCTAGCGAAAGTGTTTGGCTCTGATGGGGTCATTTCAGAGGATTCCACCCAGGAACTGACGGATTCCGAACCCACTGCCAACACAGCAAAACGTCGGTCGACCATGACCGCGACTCCAAAGATCCCCGAGTCACCGATCGAACCAAAATCTAGCGATTCAAAGTCGATCAAGTCTACTAAAAATGGAAAGCGCAAGAGTTTCTTGGCTGCGTTTAGGAGGAGTACCGTGACGGCGGCTTGAAGGCTTGAAGGCTTGAGAGGAGAGTTTGCCGATGTGATGATAATGACCATGTTTCCTACAGATTGAGGGACAAGTTGCATAGGTATGGTGTGATTTTATAGCGTGTAGAGATGGATACATTCATATTTCGACGACCCGCGTTTAATGATGGTATGCTCATGACTGTTCAATCCACGCTCACCTCTTGCCAGCCAAGATTTGGATACGAGTCGGCTCACTCTTCGTATCGAATGATTCCTGGCGCACCGATCGCAACTCATGATCCTTTTCCTCATCCATCCTCATTCCACGCGATGACGTCCCGGCAATGACTGCGTAGATTGCGAGGCCCAGTAATGAAAGCTGAATGAGGAAGCTGGGAATAGTAGTGTAGAATGCGAAACGCTGATGAAGTGGGTCAGTAAAATAGCTCCAATCTGGAATTGGAGATTTGAGAGATTGTCATTACCGTCTCATGACACAATGTGTCGAATTGGCGGGGAACATTCTCATTCGAGACATCTCGCCAACTGCACGTCCATGATTGGAGAGTGGCTTTTGAAGAGGAGTTGTTGAGGTAGGAGGAGAATGCGAGGCCGATGATTGAAATCGTCGTGCTGAGGATTGTGGTTGTGAAGATTATGAGGTTCGCGGGTAGCTGTGTTGATGTTAATGTCTTGATGTCTATGGCAGGTACTAGATGGATGCGTACTGATGGCACAAGTAATGAGACCAAGAGTAGGCCGTTGAGGATCACAATGATGACCGAAGTGCCTATCAAGGCCGAAAGTTCTCGTGTATCAAAGTGTCCGTGCCATACGGGGAGAAAGTAGGCATTGCTTTCAACTTCTGAGTTGTAGACGTCGAGCGCTCTCGAAGAGCAGCCGAGGATTGCAAGGTTGAGTCCAATGGATAGTGTAGCCAAGGCCAGTGTGGGTAGTCGCAAGCGGGCTGCCATGATGATGATGTGTATTGAAAGGGAGGTGAGAAAAGGGTGAAGAGTGAAGGGCTGTATTACCTTGCAGATGATTCCAAAAAAACATAAATCGGAGCAAAGGGAGCTCCTATATCAGCAGAACTACAAAGCTGTGCTACATCCAAATGTGCGCAGCCCAAAAATATCAATGGCAGCGCGTAGAGGCACGTCGCGCATGTAGCACGCAAAGGTTGTGTGCAGAACACATCCGAGACGCTTCAAAACGCGGCCCTCGAAAAGACGGAGATAGTAGCAGGCGCTTACGGAACCAGGACTATGAGCCTCCTCAGCTGTTCATTGGTATCGAGGAGTTATGATCTTCATGGTGTCGTTGGTTGATGGTGAAACTTGTGGATGGTAGATCTTGCCCAGCGCTTCGGCTTGTGTCGCGATTGGTCAAGCCCAAAAAGTGTTGTCCCTCGAAGCGCTTCCAGAGCACACTCGCTAGGCTTGGAAGGCTTGACTGCTGGTCCCAAAGAACACCTCGCCTCTGATGTTGGTGCATTTGGAGAAGGGATGATATGGGAAGGTTGTGGATGGAGAGGGAAGTGTGAGTAGGGGCGGGTAATGTCACCGGCTGTCCGGCTGAAATGACTCGTGGGATGGATAAGGAACATCACGTCTCTCCTAATGTCTTAACGAATCTATATCATCGCCATAGGTTCAGCGCCTTATGAATAATGTAGACGCCTCTCGCGCTTCATGTCGTACGGGTCATGAGGTGGCGGGTTTCCAAATGCATACTGAACCAGTCCTATAAGCCCAGCCTGCTTTGGCACCTGAGTTCGCCGCCTCTCTCGGTCAACGCTGTATATGCCCTGCCTAGTCAGAGACTCATATCGCTAGGTCATAGGTGACCACTGGATCCCCCAACGACGATACAGCTGCGTGGCGACGGCGATATTCCGCGTTGCGAAGACGGGCGCATCTTCGACTACTTCCCCGATCGCTTTGGTCACGAATCTCGAGGATAGAACAGCATGTGCCCACATGTATAGCAGTCATGCAGCATTGCGAGGAATGAGGCTCGCTTTGGTCTTGAAGTATCGACATCCCAGTCGATTCTATCCTTCAACACCGTGTTGTGGGTTGGTAAACCCTCCGCAGCCAGAGTGAATTCGATCACGATGTCAGAGAGCTCGACTGGCAGCGTACCACATACCGCGAGAGTGACATTCTCGCGGACYTCGCGGTGGGCTCGTTGGAGAAAGTCGTCCAAGAGTGAGATGTGGCGTCGATGAAAGCATTCAGGCCGGTCGATACCGGAATCAAAGTAGCACTCGTAGCTACGATAACTTCGGAGCAATTCTCGGAACCCACCTGCGGCACCCAAAAATTTCTGTCCTGATTTCTTTACTCTTCTCCGCCCTATTGTACTGTAGTCGCTCAAACTCGCGCTCAGGTACGATTGCCAAGACCTGGATTCTTTCATCATCCCAGGGCTCCACGACTCAAAGTTACACCTTGGCATGGCGTGGAGGAGTAGGTAGAGACTGAAGCTGAAGCATTGGTATTCTGCAGCAGGATCCTTGCTTCGCAGTAGTAGATTACGAAGCAGATTGACCTTATCCATGAAGTCTGTGGAGGCCTCGACATGCTTTGCGGCCTGTCGTCCGAGATACTCGTTCATCAGAGGGTAGAGATACCCTACAAAACGAGCTGCATCATCTGGCACTTGGAGATGTGCCGCTGTCATGATTTGCGAATAATCCAATGTGAAGATGTTGCCAGCCTCCCACCAATATGGGTTCCTACAAGCCACTGGGATGACATCGCAGTGTATACTTTGAACGATCTCAGTACACCTCTCGTGGACACGTGCTTGGATCTTCTCGATTTGAAGCTCGGCGTCACGCATGAGCTGGTCGACTTGAGCTATAGCGTCGCTGACGCGTTGCTGAGAGTTGATGAATGATTTGCTTGGACGGAAATCCTCGTCCAGAAAAGCTATGAGCTTGTTGTGTTGTTGCAGGCTCTGGTTAAGCAGGCGGTAGTCCTTTCGAAAGTGTTTGCTTTCGTCGAGAAGGGCATGCTCGGCCACAGACTGCTTGGTCCTTTCGCCATGGCCCTGTGCGAGTCCCAATCGCTGCGGAGGTGCCGCTGTTCTTCGAGACTTGCGTTGTGGTTGTTCTTCACCTGTGAAAGGACGCTTCGTGCCAGACATGTTGGCACCCAGTGAATAGAGGTGGATTGGGTAGTGCGAAGAGAGCTATCTCGCTGGGAGGCACATGTAAAGAAGCACCGTCTCTCCGTCCGTACAACGCGAAAAGGAGAGGCAGGGTTAGAGGATGTGGACCAGGATGTGGACCAGGATGTCGGGCCGAGAATACTGTGAACCGTCTACTGTAAAGGTAGCCGCATGGTAAGCCGTGAGTTGGGGGAGGCTCGATGATTACAGAATTCATGTATAGCCTGCGTCCATTGGAAAACTGGATGTCGCCGGTCGGAGATGGCAAATAGTCGAGACCGATGTGAATGTACCTATCGATTGAAGAAGTGTGAGGTCAAGGATAGACAGTCCAGGCTCACCGGAACCCAGTCCGGATCGCGTGAGACGCGTCCTCCCACGCGTTGCACTCAATAATGAGGACCGCCATCTTCCATTAACCTCGCTTATCCTCAATAAAATCCCTTGTTCAGTCACCAGATCATTTTCAAAATGACAAACAAACGGCGGAGAGCACGCGAAGATATCGGTCCACCTAGGGCGTTACCAAGAAGTTGCGTCACTCCGTCTAGACTCGAGATGCTACCGCGAGAGCCTCCGCTAGAAAGTGTATCGAAAGAATGTTTGGGATATCATACCACAGATCTGAGTTTGGTATGGGCCATAATTGATCAGTACAATGCTCCCTTGTCATTCATGCCGCCGCATGCCATGAAATTCAGCGACGTCAGAAAGAGCCATCGTCAAATCGCGGACGATCATCAAGACTGGGAAGCCCATATTTTGCACAGTTGTATTCCCAAAGACACGGAAGTTGATCCAAAATGCCTGATGACATCTACCGCCTCCCTTCCATCGCTGCTCTGACCACGGTGGGATTTACCTCGAGCACAACACCTTCCTCGCCCTGCCCTWGTCCATCTCCATCGCCAACACGTCTCAAGAACTCTCTCACCCTTCCTACATCCCTTCCGTCCTCGCCGACCCAATTCTCACTCTCAACAGCAGCCACCAACCCTTCAAGATTCCTTTCAACATCCCCCTCCCTCACACCTGTACACTTTGCCACGACTCTCCTGTACAGCGCCTCGAGCTCCGTACTTCGACTTCTCAGTTGTGCAGCATGGTGTTCCAGCTCAGCATTCTGTCGCGCAAAAGCTCTGACCCTCGCGGCAATGAGTCCCGCGGAGCCCTTCTCCAATTCCTCAGGATCGAGGTCAATTTTCGTGGAATGCGAAGACGTGCGTCTATTCCTTTTAATGCCTTCGACTTCCCTCCGGAGATTCTTCACTTTCGCTCTCGCCTCACTCCTCATCTTGACCTTTTCTCGCTTCCGTTCAAACTCCTCCCTCTCCTCTCGTTGCTGTGCGGACAAGTTCCGAATCTCAGCATTGAGCTCATCAATCCTCGCAGTGCGTCTCGCAAGGAGATCCTTCTGCAGAGCTAGATTCTCTCCAAAGAGAGACGCCAGCATTGATTGCAATTCAACATTCAAGTCTTCGCTCTGACTGGCCGACAATCCAGTCTTCGGTGTCTTGTCTTCGTCATCCTCAACCATCCTGGCAGGAGGRGCAACACTTTGCTGGCTCGATATCGCACCACTTTGCTGAGTGCTGATACCACCAATGTCCGGGTGAAAGTCCCTAGCACAGACGCCTTTGTTGTTGACCAATCCAGGGTCGGCATGAATCTCCACGAGCTGCTGAATGATGCTGCGATTCCCAATCCTCGCGACTAGATTGAGCGCTGTATTTCCAGCCTTATCTCTAGCATTCACAATATGGGAAAGAAATCTCACCAGGCTCACAGGTCCCCTTCCGATGAGTTCATCCCCTTCACCGTTGATCTGTTCGTTTTGATGGCCTGTGCCGATTCGGACAAGAAATTCCAACAGAGCTTCGAGGTAGTACTTTGCACTTCCCGACCTTCCTTTGATGCCGGAGCTTACAGCGATGTGATGGAGAATGGTCCGACCTTGGACATCCCGCACTTCAATCAGCGGGCCGAGAAGTTCGAGTACTTCCGGAAAGGAGGCCTGCTCCCAGCAGTTGTTCACCAGCACAGCGGATATCAACGGAGACTGGCCAGCGGCGTTTCCTCGCCAGATACTGGCACCCTTTTGGATGAGCAGTTTCAAGAGTGGAATCTTCGCGAGTGTGGCCGCCCAGTGGAGGGCGTTGTTCGCAGAAGCATCCAGAGGCATGTTGAAGTCTTCGTTTTGCAGCTGTTGCAGGGCGGGATGTGCGGCATAGTCGGTACGATTCCCTTGCTCTGCGAAGAGGTCGAGAATCAAGTTCATCTTTTCTTGCTGTTCATCGGTTGTGGGGCTTGGGAGGGGTGGTAGTGCAATGGGTTCGCCGGCGTTATTGACCGAGTCCTGCATCAGGGCATGCTCATAGAGGAAGCTTTCATTCGGTTCGGTGGGTGTCAAGGAGCGCATGGAGGTGTCGTATGGTAGGTCTGGAGGTCCCATGTCTTGACTATCCGGACGCATTCTTTTTCGAGGAGGCTCTCCGTTGTAATTGTCCTCTTGACTCGCAGAGAGGTCATTTTGTGATTCGCGGCGCATGTTCGATGGTCGCGGTCGGGGTGAATTGAGACGAGCAGCTTTGTTCATGGCAGCCAGAGCTACACTGGTGGTTGGAGAAATATTGGAGAAGAAGGTTCCATTGGGCGCGGTGGATCGAGGGTCCATGGAAGTGTTGGAAGTGTTGTTGTTGTTGTAGAATTTCTTGCGCTGGGCCGCCATTGCCTGTTCCTTGGTCGGTGTTTCCTGTGTTCCAGGACCACTGGATCCATCCGCACTGACATCGTAGTCCAACAGTGGGCGAAGGATGTCCTCCACCCCATATTGCCTGCAAAACTCCCTTCCTCGACGATAACTAATCCACGTCCCCTGATACTTGCCATAACCGCCCTGCACCTTTTCGTGCTCGCCCGTGAGAATCTCCTTCTCTAGCACTTTTGTTCGCTTACCTTTATCAACACCCGCGACCTTTAAGATTTGGGTGGCATTCAACCAGCCGTCGGATCGGCGGCGCATGACGGCCACTGAGCCCACTTCCAATTCATAGACGGAGACGCCGGAGTAGACGGCCTGACAAGGGTTAGCATGTCTTCTTGCGACTGATGTGTGTTGATTGTCGCACAGTGTATATCTGCGCCTCGTCGGCATATCCTCCTCGTGACTGCTTCATGGCGTGCTGGCCGAAGCTGCGCGCGTAGCCGGGGTTGGACACCGGCCCATTCGGGAAGCTCTGCGCGTAGCTGGGCGCCGGTTGGGAGTTGGAATAAGACGATTGCTGCTGATGCTGTTGCTGGTCGTAGCCGTACGAGGCCGTGGGTTGCGACGAGGAATGCGACTGCGACTGCGATTGCATGCGGTGCGGGGTGGGCGGCATCGTCGCCGGCGGGAGACTGCCGAGGGGGCGGTGGGAGCTGCAAGGGCGGGGTGGAATGCTTGGCGATTGGGGAATGTCGGGTCTCGGTCAGGAGGGCATACCTGTCGAAGGTGGATCAGGTGAATAAATGGCAGGTGTCGGAGAGACGCGTTCGGCATGCGCGACGTGTGTATCAAAGTGCGCTAACGCCGAGATTTTACCGGCATCTTGGAATCCATGCACTCGGGGAAGTTTATTGTCACCATCGACGGACCACACGACATGGAGTGCAATGAGCTGGCGTTCGTCTGTTCTTGGATTGCGGACAGGGTTGCATGATGTTGTCAAAAGGAATGCTTCTACTGCGGTGACTGGAGATGTTCCGCCTCTCCATACTCTCCGCGCCCTCCTCCGCGAATGCACCTATCTGCCGGATCCGCAGGCTCGAACCTACCTCTCTCGACACATCATCAAGCGATTTCGTGCCTATCAGGTTGCTGAGAAGCCTGTGGATCCAGTCCGTCTTCAAACCCAACATCAAGCTGCTCAGTCCGCATTGAACCAACTTCGACGCGCAAACGCTGGCGAAGAGCAGCCGCTGATCAAGACGTTGCTGTTGACATATGGACGTGTTGGAAAACGGAGATGGGAACTGATGCGACCTTTACTGCCGGCGGAAGGGCAGGATGGAAAGGGTGCCGGCAGAGCGAGGGCGGCGAGGAGTGGAGGTGAGGATGAACAGAAGCCTCTTCCGTCTCTCACTCCTCAACTCCACACCCTCCTTCTCTCACACGCTCGTGCCGACCCACCCACCTTGACCCGGCGGAATCCAACGATGAAGAATCTCACACCGGATGTGCCAAAGTTAAATTCTTGGATGAGACCGATGCCACAATCGAGGGTCCGAAATTTGACCAAGCGGTGGTATCGAGGTGCTCTGGAGCGTGTGCTGCCTCCATTACCAAAACAGGAATGGGAGAGATTGAGGAGCTTGGCCCAGGGAAAGGCCGTGGAAGATATGATTRTGCAGAGGAGAGGTGGGGTGCGGCAGGATACAGATGGTGCAGGCGTGTCAACTGCGCTTGAAGCGATTGTTGCAGGCGGGAGAGTTCCCGCGCAGAGGGTAGAAAGAGACGTCCATCGTATCACTCCACGATTCATGCGGAAGATGTGGGCAAAGGTGTTTGTTCAATGTCCACTAATGGAGTGGGATGGGCAGAAGGATAAGTGGGTCGTGATCTGGGGAGAGCATGCGCTGTGAAGATGACAGTGACAGTCCACGTGGTACTGCCTTCCTCCCTTGCATGGTCTGATTGCCAACTCATCGTTCCTGCAGTGTTCTTCAATATATTTGTTCACCTTTATCGATCGCGATCACGCGGGTGATGTCCATCCAGCACATCCTCTCGATTTTGTTATTCACACCTCTGCTCCTCATGCTCTACCACACCTAGCACAAACATATCCAAACATTGACCAAAACAACGCAATGTCTGCATCTCAGCCTTCCCACCTCTCTCCGATAATCACCCACGCAACCCGCCGTGGTAGGTTTTGTATCTCCACATCCCTCAACATGCTGATTACCTGCTACAGATATTCCAGAGATTCTCTCAATGATCCGACTCCTCGCAGCGTCTTCTACCAACACATTTCCAATCTCCGCGACCGAAGCTTCATTATCTCAAAATCTGACCTTTGCAACAACACCCACACCGACTACATTCTTCACGACCACAGGCTCCGTCACCGTGCCACAAGAGTTCTATCCATCTTCTTCGGCATGTGTTACAAAAGTCATGCTACTGCGGCACGGGGAAGAAGGGGAGGTGATTGGAATGGCAATCTACTACCCCAACTTCAGCACGTGGCGGTGTGCTGCGGGAATACATCTTGAGGATCTGATCGTCAAGGCCGAGTATAGAGGACGGGGTTTTGGAGAGATGTTGATACGGGCTTTGGCCGGGCTTGTGTTGGAGATGGATGGTGGGAAAGGGAGTGGAAGGTTGGAGTGGGTTTGCGAAAAAGGAAATGTGAGGGCGTTGCGTCTATATCAGGCACTGGGTGCCGAGAGGATGAATGGTTGGGTTGGGCTGAGGGTGGAGGGAAATGATCTGGTCGGGATGGCGGAGGGTGGGAAGACGGCCTGAGAGGGGGGGAGTCTGTTGGGAGGGATATTCATGGCGATGTTGATGTTACTAGGATAGCTTGCTTGTGAAGAGCGATTTTTCAATGATGATCGACGTTCTTGACACRGGCTTCAGTCGGAGTGTGGCCTCGATACAAGCAATGGTCTGGCGTTGCGATACATTGCAGTGCAATGCAAGGCAATGCAAGGCAAAGACGACTACTTCCTCGCAATACTATCGAAAAAGCCGTTCCGTACGTTACTTGCTACTATGCCCTTGGCGAGCAAACTGTGTATGTCGGCACGTCTTTGGAGTAGTTCCAAAGGGTGGTTTTCGCCAGACCTTGAACTTTCACGGATCAATTTGTCCTGATGGTCAAGCTACGATCTTGGCGGTATGCTCCGTGCTTATTTTGATAGACACCGTCGGCTTGATTGAGGTAGCTGTAGTAGCCTCGAGCTCTCGCAACTTCTGTCTCAGCGGTCTCGGATTTACAATGCTGATGGTCAACTTCATTCCTGGTAGTGACGCTGAGCTATTAGCGCGTGCGGGTGTAGCATATGCTGAWAGGCTCGTGATTAGAGACAGGCCTTTGCGAGTGGAAGGCGATTGTGATCAGACCGTCGGACAGCTGTAGCTGCAGAACTGTCGATATCGATGAGAGTTGTTCACCGGGAGCAGATCTCCTAAGTTATTCCCACATTGTCCCAAAGTCTCGCTCTCCGCAGGCTCGACGAACCTAGGCCTGCTGAACACCTTGCCACTAAGGTAGCAAAGAGACTTATTAATCAATCGAGAGATCAGCTCAGGGCAATGCTCCTGCTGATGACTTCTCACATCGACAGCTCTGTGTATCTGCAGTTGAAAATTCAAGCCGAAGTTCTCGGCAATGCTGAAAGAAAAACGCAACATTCACTGGGCGATACCGCCCGAAGGAACTCATAGTTCTCTACGGGGTGTGATGGGTCTGTGGTGACTATATAGAATGCTACGAGCGTGGTGGCTGAACTGTGATTAGGAAACCGAGCAATCTTCATCTTTCATTGCCCCTGAAAGCCCTTGGCGAGGATCATGGTCAAGAGCCACGGTTTCAAAGCAGCATAGAGAACTCGAAGTGGAACTCACACACTTCTTCTCGTATGGTTCGCATTGTGTACTCATCGTACCTAAGTCTTGTAGACCATACAGTGGAGGTATGTCATGACCGGGCAAAAGACTGCCCTACCCTAGCCCTAACCCTAAGTGCATACCCCCAGAGTTGTGAGAAATCGACTTTCATACCTAATTAGATCGGCTACATCCTCATGATCAGACTACGATATGTCTGACGGTATGTTCTGAAGCCTACGCACAGTAAATATTAGATGCCATGATCCTTCTGATGTTGTCGCCGTCTAGCTGTCGGAGGCATCCTCGGCCACCAACGTCACAGATTTTGCTCACATCCATGCTCAAGCAGTGAGGCCCAGGACTCGCGCAAGGGTATTCGTTTCAAAATCCAGTGATGATTCTAGATATCAAAATCGGCAATACCGATGGAATGACTTCCTCTGCGCGAAGCAATCCGTTTCTATCCTTCAGAGCTGTCGATATGAGGATTATTCACCGAGACAAGAAATCCTCAGTTATGTCCATAGTATCCTGAGGCCTCGTTCTCTGCAGGCTCGATGATTTGAAGCCTGTTAATATCCCTACTAGCAGAGTGGCCGTTAATCAATCTCGAGAGCAGCTCGGAGCGCTGCTCTTGCTGATGATTTCTCACATCGACAGCTCTGCTTCAACACATCACGAACTCGTTGCGTCACGTCATTCCACACACCCACGACGCTCGCCTGGATGAAGTTGAAGATTTCTTTGGTGATGCGCAGGTGAGGTAAGATGATGTGGTGAAGATTGCCGCGGTTGCGGAGAGATGTTGTTCTAGGGAGATGTTGTTTTGGGGAGATGCTGTCGTTGTAAGATGTTGTTGTGGAGAGAAGCTTTGACGAAATGGTGTCTTTGTGAAGAGATGTTGATCTTCTTCTGCTTCTCCAAAATGCGGATGGAATCCAGCAAGGCCTCCTTCTCCTTGCGAAGCATATCCCTCCTCTAGAAAAGTTGACCGAATTCCTCTGCAGTGTGATAAGGGGCGCGCAAGAGTCGTGCTGCGATCTAAAATTACGTAAGGAGTTAGAAATGCAATCCGTCTCTACGCCCCTTTCCGTAGACAATCTAATCTCTCCGCGGTAGGAGCTTTTGAAGTCTCCAAGGTCTCTAAGCTTGGCATAGCACAGTTCGAAAGCTAATAGGGCTGTCGGCGAGGAAAAATTTGAAGCTAACTTGAGTGTGCTACAAAATTCGCGCCTTCTTTGACCCTACATTTAATCACAGCCCTACCCGCCGAGGAATATCTAATCTAAAAGTTATAAGAGCCTGTCGCTCCCTTTCTAGACAGTTAACCACGCCGACTCGTCGAGGTCCCCGCAAGTTAAAGATTACTGCGCTTGCTTTCATCTCCTTCTCTAGCGGATGAAGTCTAGTATCCCCCCTCTCTATGTAATAGCGAAGGAAGGGGATCCGTTCGGTCGCAGATCGCGAGGGCGTCGAAGACCTGACAGCGGATAACCGCATTATCTTGAATCGTCCGCGAGAGATCCCATCAGAGCTTCTGCAAGACGGAGATGGCTTTGGCAGTGAGGACCTCTGCGATATCCACCTCTTTCGCTGCCACCTCTACTCCCTCGCCAATCATTTGGCGCACATAATCCCCGCACTCTTCTCGTTCCTCCGGATAGTTGTCTCCGCGAAGGCGGTCCACAGTAGAGCTGTAAGCTCCCTCGATTGGGTCGCTGACGGCGACGGCCATCATGCCAATCTCAACTGCGGAAGCATCGACGAACTTTTGTAGGAACACCGAGTAGTTATGAGGGGTTGTGAGCGGGCCGATGTCCTTGGATGGCAGCTTTCCCCAGGCCTCCTCCTCTGGATGCCTGTTAAGGCTGCTGTAGGGAATGCCACCTCGCTCAAACTCGATCCGCGCCTTGCCTTGCAGAGATACCGTCGTCACTTCGATGAGAGAGTTTTTGAGCCGAGCGACGCACTCCCCGCGCTTGTTCCGCATGAAGCGATAGAGACGGATCAGGTTCAGGATCGACAGGGCCGTGTCTGTGTCTTGAGTATGGTGAAGAGCCTCCAATGATTCGAGGTCCATGTCGTTGCCAAAGACGGTGTTGTAATCGATCACGTCCCAATCTGCCTGTTGAGCTCCGTTGCTAGGAGGTTGAGCCATGTTAGGCGGGACTTGCTGCGCGGGCGCGTTGACGATGTGAGGGAGATTGTTGAAGTCCCAAGTAGCTGGGGGGGGTTGATCAGGGACGTCTCCGGCATTGACAGGCGGCGCCATCGCCTCGTCGCGCACGTTTTCTAGCCACCTGGTGACGCGGACGCTTGGTGTTCCTGGCGGCATTGTTACGCAGCGCGTTGAAGACGCTGGCAGCGGAGTAGATAGACTGAATTGGATGTGAAGGAAGAGGCTGGTCGGTGGAGGATGCCGCAGGGGCTGGTCGGTGGAGGATGCCGCAGAGGCTGGTGATGCTTGAGAAGAAGGTGATGCTCAAGAAGAAGGTGATGCACACTGTCTTCGTCTGTTCCCTTTTCCTCCAACACATCACGGACTCGTTGCGTCACGTCATCCCACACACCCACGACACCTGCCTGGACGATCTTCTTTTGCGTCTTCAAAAGGTGGATCGAATTCAGCACGGCCTTCTTCTCCTTGGCGAGCTTGTCCGTGCGTTCCAACACTTGACGGTCACGGAAGTCCTCTTCGGTCGGATACTCATCGAATTGGTAAATCTGTCAAGACGTTAGTTCAGTGTGATGAATGAAGAAAAGAGTGGAGGAGATACTTACATCGGAGCCTGAGGTAGAGTTTGGGAAGAGGAAGAGTCTGAAATCATGTATGATAAGCGACCACGTAGCATAGACTTTAACAAGCGTCTGCTCAATTGGCATACACTCCTCTGGGTCTGATCTTGAAATTTAATGGGCTCACTTAGCGTAGGTGGCCACATTGCGTGTCGCGTCGTTCAAGAAAGACGGGAGCAAAGATGACCTGGGGTTTAAGCAAAGCGGCTACACCCGCTATAGGGAGGGGGCCTTTGCCAAGGCCCGGTACTTGCTCGCCACAATTGAAAAGAGGTCTTGCGAGCATCCTACGAGCATTGACGTCGCTCCTTTGGGAATCTTCGTGAGCTCTTGGTAGAATGAACTCTTTCGAACGTCGGTTTGTGATATCATCGCCGTATGGAATAGGGCGCCTTTCTTTGTTTGGTACTCATCTCACCTCCCCCTGCCGACTTCCTCATCTCACTTTCATCTATCTACTTAGATGAAGCACAACCTCACATCTTCTCGTCTCACCTTCAAAACTTCATCATCTTCCATTCTTCTTCCCTTGACAGGAACCTGCACAAAGTCTCCCTCGACCTTATTCACTGATTTTCCTACATAATGGCCCCTTTCTGCAGACGATTAGATCCCTCCGCGGCGGGAGCTCTTTTAAATCTCCGAGATCTCCAAGCTTGGCATAGCAATATCTAAAACTAACGGGACTATCGACAAAGGAAAAGTCGAAGCTAACTTGACTGTGCTACAAATTTGCGCTAGTCTACCATACAATCAGTAGAAATTACCACCTGCTGGAGCATCTATAATTTGAATGTTACAAAGAATGACCGCTTCCTTCCTCTCCGTCGCTATCTACTGCTGACTCGACCTCTTAGCATAACGAGGGTGTAGCAATATGCCGCGGAAAAAGTCGTAGGAAGGTGTTGAGGGAGTGTTTGTCAAGGATGGTGGTTGACATTGAGGTAGGGGGAGGAAAGAGCCGCAATGTTTGAGATATCTGAAAGCGAACGTGGAAGAAGGAAGGCATCAGACAATTCCATGTATGCTAATATCATTTCCGCAAGGCTGAGTCTGACATAAGGCCGCGTCTTGTCTCCTCTTAAGCGCCGAGAGTATGCTCGAAGGCTTCGTGCATATTAAAGAGGACTTGCAGCAGTAATGCGATCTTCTCCCGCAACCTCGCAACCTTCGCAGCCCTTTCCTCGATCTGCTTGTCCAGTGACTTGATCCTTGCATCCTTTTCATTGAGCTGCTCGCCAAATGCAGTGAGCATCTTTTCCTTCTCCCCCAACTCTCGCTTCAGACCAGCGTTGAGATCCTCATCTCTCTCCATCGCCACATCCAGGCCCTTTAGCCGCTCACCCAGAATCTTGAGCATCTTGTCCTTCTCCCTCAGAGTCTCATCTCTCTCCTTGAGAAGCACATCCTTCTCGCCTAGCTGTCTCTCCAAGCCGTCTTCATCGACCCCATTAAGATGCTCGTCCAGTGCCCCCATCTTTCCATCAATCGTCTCCGATTCCTTTAGCGGTAAGGTGGGTGCTGACCGTAGAGAATCTTCGAACTGCGTTAAGTCTTTGCGGACGTTTGTCCATGCTGCGGCCATGGTTGCTCTGCGAGCTGTGCGGGCCTCTGCCCGTGCAATTGCGACGTCCATGTGGTAGCAAGACGGCACTAGTGATTGATTTGTTGAAGAGCGGTAGCGGACAGAAGACCACAAGAAGAAGTAGAGTGGAAGAGGGCGATATGATTAATGTTTGGTGTTCGGGGTGGAAGAAGTTGAATACAGGACTCGCAGGTTTCTAAGCGAACAGAGAAAGGTACGACTGGACAACTTGTTATTGTGCTCGTTTGAGTCGGCCATCACGAGGAGATAATCAATGGCAAGGAAATTTTGATTTTTGAGGGCTATCTCTGACTTGGTAGTCATCATCAGTCCAGTGCTCGCTACCACCTTTCGCTTCAAGGTTTGCATAGCAAGCTCGTGTGTCGGATCAAACCGTGCTGACCTTGTAAGGCTGCCGGCTTCCATCTCGCTAATGTCTTCCGTGAAGTACAGCCTTGATGAGCCGCCCTTCACAACCGCCCATGTCTCATCCCACCTCCACCTTCGATACGCCTATTCCAGTTACCTGGCAAATGAAAAATTTCATCCTTCAACGCCAACAGAATGTCATAATACTAGCCTTCGGTTCCCTCCTGTCCTCCGCCAGGACCACCAGCTTCACCACCTCCACGGGCAATAGAAGCTTCAGATCCGCCACGAGCAACGGCAGCTTGGGAACCTTCGCCTGGAACCGAAGGATCGGTAGAGCTCTTAGGTGTGATGTACTTGCGGAGCTTGTCGTAGGTGCGACCAACCATAGCACGCAGCTCATTCAGGGCCTCGATCTTGATTTCCTCACCAGTCTCCTCGTCAACGGGGTACTTCATGGAATTGAGCTCATCGAGTAGAGTGGCGGTGGAGGAGAGCATTGTCTGCTGGACGTCCTCGTCCAAGATGATATCTCTGAGCTCCTCCAGTCCGACGATAACGCGCCGCAGCTCCGTGATGGCACTGATCTGTGACGTGCTGTTAGCGATTGTTGTCAACACGAGGCATGGGAAGGTCATGTACAAGCTCAACAGCTGGCTGGGAAATCTTAGGAATTTCCACCTCCTGCTCAGATAGGGGGATGGACTCGAGCTCGCCGTTCGCACTAACACGGGTGGGCTTGCGAGCCTTGGCAGCCTCGATCTTCTGATGGAGCACCTCGTTCTCCGTGGAGAGCGCGTCGTGCTCGTCGTCAAGAGCCTTCTCCTCTGCAGCAAGCTTCGCGGTGTAGGCTTGGCGCTCCCTGTTTAGATGTCAGTGGAAAGCGCGTCAATTGCCCACTTCACTTTGGACTTACTCGTACGTCATCTCCAGCACGTGGTTCCAATGCGCATCGGCGCTCGAAATGGTTGGAGGGGCCATTTGCGCGGCGTTTGCGTAGATGGCGAGTGGCAGCGGTGTGGTGCTGTGTGCAGGTGTGGTAGTAAAGGTTGATGCGGCGTCGCGGAAGTGGAGGCGGACGGTAGTGTGTGGTGGAGTGATGGAGTGTTGAAGGATTGATGTTGACGACGCGAAGAAGAAGTTTGCTACGAGAAGTTTGAAGAGTTTATGCGGCGACCGGGGTTAGTTCGGGCTACGTCACTGGCGTCTCGGCACTTGCCGAAATTCCGAAAAGTGAATCAAACTACCACATGCCAGGTTGACCATGCAGGCCCCACCGCGGTTTGTTCGATCAATGTGGACAACAGATGCTCCATGGCAAACACGCAGTATCACCGGCGAACGTCTTCTGCTGCTCAGCAACGGCATGGGCTTGGGTAGACCATGGTGGCTATTCGGGCCATCCAGCGTATCCCAACGCCACCAATGAGATCGACATGGGTATTTTCGTCTGCTCAACCTTGTCCTTAGATTATGGGCGTGCGCTGCTGGATAGAAGACGTCTGTTGACTTTGATCAAGATTCGGGCGCACCTTCCCAACATTCCAATCTGCCAATCTCACCCGCGCAAGTGCCCCTTTCTCTTCCAGACACCACTCTCTTCTTCTATCACCAGACATCTCAACACTCTTCTTCCATCACCAGACATTGCTCTTCATCCATCACCCATCATCAACACACATTCACGCCCTTTCACACTCCAATTAACACTCACTGCGCTCGCTTCCTGCAATGGACACCGCGACTCAGACAGACATGCGCTTTTCTCCGACCGCCTCCAATCGCTCACACACGGCAAAGCAGCCATCTCGTCAGCGTCGGAAGACTGAACTCAAGCGCAAGAAGAGCAGACTTGATGCCCTTACTCACGGTCGAGTCGCCGGAGGTAGCGCGCGAGAAGGGAGGGTCTACGAAGATGATGCGGACGATAAGATGGAGGAGAGGTCGGACATCAAGAACATGGAAGAGTAATGGGAGAAGTTCAACCTCAAAGTAAGCGACCATGACATGACCGACCTGAAACTCTGCACCAAGATTGGAGAATCGTACGCGTTCGACCAGTGGGGCAACGACTTCCACGAAGACGGCCTTCCTACCCCACACCTTCTTGAGCAATGGAGCGAAAGGAGTAAGCAGAACGCTGGCATGCGGCTGGAAGAGATGCCCAGCTTCAAGTTGTGGAAGAGCGCCAAGACGAGTCATGCGGAGTCGAGCGGCGGCGGCAGTCACTTCTACGAGTACACCCCGAGCTTGGACGAGAGGCAGATGAATGAAGCTGTGAGGGAGTATGGAGAAGAGCTAGAGATGACCACAAGCGAAGGCCGATGGTCACGTTGCTGGAACGAACATGCTGGCCGAGTATCGGAAGCTGCTTGACAAGTCGTGGAACGGAGATGGTCGAGTGTGCCACGTAGCTGAAGTGAGAGATCTACAATGGATACAATCCAAGCTGCTCCGTTTATATGCTCCTTACCTGTGAGTGTTCGTAGCTGGGGGAGGAGAAGACCGGTGTGTTCTGCATCCCATGGGAGAAATAGCGCGACCGTCACCCTCTGTTCTGCTGCAATGATAGAGAAGGGCGGACTTCTTGGACTAGAAGGTCGAAGAAGCGGAGAGAAGAGCATACTTTTTGGACCACCAGTAGAATGAAGAGGGAAGGGGTAAGGGAGAAGGGCGGAGTCAGTGGACTTTTCAGGCCAGCAGCATACGAGGCGGAGAACAGAGCGGCGAACGACAAACTCGATCAATTCTCATCCATCTTGCTACAAAGTAATCGCTTTCAAGTTGATGCTGAACTAGTCTTGGCATTGTTGAGAAGGGGTCTTCCAATGTCATCTGAAACAACATCTCGATTGGGACTAGCGCGAGATGGTAGCGCCAGATTGGCTTCTTGACCATTCTTCCACGTTCTCGAGCGATCAAACATTTACATCCACCATCTCGGATCCAGAACCATCAAGATCCCAGCACAACTTCTCTCCAGCATCACCAGATCAATCGAGTCACTCCCAAACGCCGCACATCAATCATGGCCAACCTCAAGTTTGACGGCCTCGAAGCTGCAGTCGAGATCGCGCTCTCAGGATACCACGACATTTTCCACCGCCTTGTGGAGCCGGAAGCACCTGCGTGGAACATTTCCATGCAAAGCTTCTGTACCGAGGCAGCTAAAAACCCTCCTTCCGGATGGCTGGACAACGTTACCAACAACAAGGAGATTGCACGCGACATTGAAATCCACCGTAGGCGAAACATTCCCTACAACGGCCCTCCTATCGGCAGTTTCAAGCCTCACGCGGGTGACTCCATATCCCAGCCAAAGGCCGTGAACAGACATCTCGATCTCTACATCAACAAGCTGGGAAACGAAGGTCGAAAGTCAAAGCGCAAGGCAGAAGCGGTGATGGAACAGGAAGGCGGAGGCAAAGCTGCAGAGGAGAACGATGCTCAAGAAGACGATCCCGGCGAAGAAGACAATCCTATCCCCAGGGCGCCACGCGCACTTCGACCAGTGGACGGCCCTTCAGTGGAGCGACTTCGGAAGCTGCTTCTAGGTATCAAGCCAATGGTGGAGCAGGGCATCGCCAACGCTTTTGCCAAAGACCGTTCCAGTCACCACGGTTTCGGTCCCGGCATCATCACGCCAAACTACGAGTACGACGGCTTCCGCTTCYCAGCACATCAAAAGGAAGGCATCTATCGTTGGGAACAGCTCATGCGAGCAGCACGAGGGGTGCTACTCTGCGACGAGGTGGGCTTGGGGAAGACCACCATTGCTGTCGGGGTCATTCAGCGACTTCTCGATGCAGCCACCGCCGTTGGGGAGAGCATTCTGGTCTCGATCGTCGTACCCAGTGGTTTGGTCCACGTATGGCGAGACGCCCTTGCAAGATCAAAGACAATCCGAACGGGCTTGTATAGCTCTGCCCGCGTTCGTCGTATGACCCCAAAGGAGCTGAAGAAGACCTACGATGTGCTGATCATCACCCATGGACCATACGCGAGCGCCGTCCGAGCACTTCTCCTTCGCTACAACCATCGACAAGCTATCAAGGAGGGCCTGGGGCACGTCGTTTCTGGACTCCTCAAGACGGGCTTGACCCCCGATTTGGCCTTTGACGAAGACATACAGTCGTTGGATCTCGATCTACTCGTGATCGACGAAGCTCACTGGATCAAGGACAACAGGCAAAAGGCATCAACCAGAGAGAAGAACAATCTCAACAATACTATCCTCGCGTGCATCCGCAGCTACATTTGCATTCGTCGACTGAACGGTCAGGAGTTTGATGGTGTCAAGATCGGCGACGGTCTTGGAGGTTACGACACATGGCATATTGAGAACGGTGTGAGCCACGAGTCACGCATTTTCCAGCTTCAGACCCGCGACATCTGGGATGCGAAATGGAAGCGCAGCCAGGCGCAGAAAGACCTCGCTGACCGCCTAGGCGAAGAAAACGACCTTGCTGCCGAAAACAATGACGACACCAAGGAGCGGCGCGGGATGGTCGACACCCTTGTGGCTATTAGTGAAGCCAAGATGCACATCATTCATCCTGATCTCCTACACGCCAAGTACGGTAACAAGAATGTCGACGCAGAAGACCTCACGCTTGCTCTCGGGGAGCGCGCCATTGATCCCAACGACGTCAAGCACGCCGAGCGGATACTGGGACCGCAAAAGAAGAAGACCAAGCAAATGTTGAGAGAAGAGCTAGAAGGGCTGAGCCTCCGGCGAAAGGCCTTTCGCATGGCGTTTGAGGGTCCTGACGCGACCAACAGCTGGGAGTATGATAGGATTAGAGCGGTGGTCAAGAGGGTGGAGACGAGGCTTGGGATTCATGCGACGAATGCGATGGACTTTTCTGCAGGCTCACAACGCAACGAGTACATCTCGAGGCACAAGATTCTGGTGTTTTGCGAGTACTTGAGTGCCCTTGATCTGGTCGAGATCGGCTTGGCCACGAGGGGTATCCAAGTCTTGCGTTTCGACGGCTCCATGAACACCACTGAGCGCAACGCGGCTCGAGCGAAGKTTGAAGAGGAAGGGAAGGTACGAAGTTTACCACTGGCCGCGCATACATGGCATCCGCTAATCACACTTGCTAGGACTTTTCCCACGATGCGACACTTCCAGACGAGCACCTAGTTATGCTCATCACAACAAAGGCCAGCAATGAGGGCATTTCTCTGATTCATGCTACAGATTCCATGCTCATGTCGCCAAATTGGAACCCGGCCGTGGAAGACCAAGCCTGCTCTCTCTCTTACCGTGAGGGCCAGACCAATCGGGTCACCATTTTCAAGTTCAGCAGTGAGAACTCCATAGAGGTCCGGATACAATCCGTTCAGATATCAAAGCGAGCGGCGGTCAGGAGTGTTTTGAGCGACAAGATGATCATGAAGACGGCGGGCATCATTCGCACCATGGACGACCAGGAGTTCCTCGATACGGTGAGCCCTTCTTGAGCTCTCCTTCCTGACGTTGGCTGACTGTGATGTGTAGCTTGGCTATGATCGTTGCATCAAGGTCCTGGCGAGTGGTAAGCTGGTCGTCTAGGCTCGCTGGGATGTGAGGGCAAATGATGGAGAGAAATGAACAAGGCTGGTCTTCCAGACAGACTTGGTTTCTTGGCAGGGTCGGTCTTCTCGACAGCGTCGGTCTTCCTGGCAGAGTCCGCATGGCTGGGTAGAAGAGCGGCATGCCAAGACGTTGGCCAGCGGGATGACTTTTCGGAGAGGTCAACTATTTGAGCGGCACGGAATCCAAAGAGTTCAGGTATGTCTGCCCTAGCATAACCATCAGAGTGATTCATGTACCTTATAGTGTTCATTCTCCACGGGAGTACCATCCAACTCCTCACAACCCATCGAGATTGGAAGACGAATTCCGACCGCGGACCAGACGTTCAACGTGACTTCCACATCAAGCTCGACCGTGCGACTTCCTTTTCAAGAGTTCAGTCTGGAACATCTCGTTTTCGATCACCGCATTTCCTCTTCTTCCAAACATCACCCTCCATCTCTTTCATACTCCACCCCCCCATCTCTTTCATACCCCACCCTCCCTTCCCATTAATCACCGTCACGCAGTCACCTCACACCTTCACCGCCACGCAGTCACCTCACACATTCACCGTCACACAGTCACCGTCGCTACAACATGGCGGAACCGATCGCCATCACCACGATGGACGCCGGGACTCAAACCGAGATGCGCACCTCACCGGCTTCCTTGACCCGCTCTCATCCCGCCAAGAAGCCATCTCATCAGCGCCGCGTCAAGCCGCCTTGGATCGCCGCCAGGTCACAGCAGGTGCGATGCTCCAAACGCAAGAGAAGCCTGAATCCTCACTGACAAAGTTCCAGGAAGCGCGCGACCGACTGAAGCACCCGCTGCGCGAGTCTGTTAACGTCGAGGACAACGCCCACCTACCGTCGCCAATCAGGGCGGCTTTCACGTACATTGATGAGCTCCTCGATGATGGCYAAAAGGACATCATGTCCGACGCCACAATCCCACCAGATGATGACGCGGAGCTACCCACCTGAGCATCACCCATCCAGCAAGATGAAGAGCTCGATGACGGAAAACTCCCGATGCATCGTGAGGGTGGTCCGCACGATGGACATGACCGTCTCATGCATGCCGCGGACCAGGATATGGCGCAGATGGGAGGAGCGGCGGAGGGTTCTGGTGATGTATGTAACGCTTATCCAAGAGAGGTTCAACGCTAACATTCTCGAAAAGGTCGACCGTCTCGCTCACGAGACGGAAGACCCTACCAACCAAGAAGACCGCCGTCCAATTAAGAAAAGCGAGAAGATGCGGGTCATCTACCTGTCGAGTGAGACCGAAGAAGAGGACGAGACGGTCGACGCTGCACTCAACCCTGAAGATGAGCACGAGGTCATCGTGTTGTCTAGCGATGAGGAAGATGGCGACGATAAGCACAACGAGCCGGTCATTATCGCCGGAAGCTACGTTAACGACGGCGGCGTCGTCGTCTCACTTACCAAGGAGGAGATACCGGATGAGATCGTCAGGAAGGTCGAGGCTTTCATCGAGGAGATCACCGATCAGCAGCCCCATTGGAAACACATGTAGTTCGTCGACACTTGCACTCGCCTGCGACTGTTTCAAAACAAGACCTCCTTCAAATAGTCAGTGTCTGGTCATTACGCGGCGTGTCAGACCTGTACAAACACTCGAGGACTCTGCATGCGATAGGATCGAGAGATCAGAACACTCGAGCTCGTCGCCCTCGCGCGAGAGCTGAGGGAGGGGTTGACCTTCTCTGATGAGGCCTTCTGGATTCGTTTCGACGACGGCAAGGCGCATCGCACGAAGGCTGACATGTGGTCATGAGTGGGATGGGATGATCATGGATGAGGTGGTCATGGAAGGGGTGATCCTACATGAGATGCCCATGGCTGTGATGCTTCTGAACGAGGTGCTCGTTGCTGGGGTGGTCGTAGCTGGGATGCCATGGGATGTCGAGTATCAATTGAAGAGTAGCTAGCTTGTGAGATCGGCATATGATTCTGCTTGCCGTTGTCCTCCACACGAAGAGTGATGACCTCGACTGGGTAGAGCGACAAGTAAGAGCGTGAGAGGAATGTAACACCTCGCCGACGCCTATCACCAAGTGATCGAGCTGGAGCGTTATCTACCTGCGTGATGATGGAAACTCATTCAGCACTGTCGCATTCAACACTGGCAATCAAGCGGACAAAGACAGCGGGAAAGGGTTCCTCGCAACCTGGAAATCAACGCAACAGCACCCTGAAACTGGTCTCTCAGTTGGATCGCAGGCACCTCTGCTGCTAGTAAATGTTCTAGCAGCTCAAAAGTGGTCGTTTCTAGAGAGACGAAATTCCAAGACGTGATGTAGAGCGTGAAAGAATCCTCGCGAATCAACATAGCAGCACTCTGAAACTATACTCTCTACAGAATCGTAGGCTACTCTGCTGCTGGTAAATGTTCTAACAGCTCAAAATTCGTCGTTTTTGGAGAGAGAAAAGCCCCAGGACGTGATTTAGGGTGTCTATGCGCTTACAAGGACTCTCAGGCAGTACAGGGAAGAGGAGTGTTTTGGGGCTAAACCTAAGCGGTAGTAGCTCTAGATACTGGCGTTTTCGCAGTTAGTGTGCGGATGCTAAGTGCTAGAGGCTACTGCAGCCAGGCCTAAGCTACGTTCTATACGTGCGTCTATATACTCTAAAGGGATGGAGGGTAGGGAAAAACGGCTGTACTGCCTATAGCGTGAAAAGGGCGTGTTAATTAAAGGAGAGTTGGTGCCAACTCTCGGAGATTCAGAGCGCCCTCTTACGCACAGACCCCTCTCATCTCATTAGCAAAATCGCACTCGAATCCATTGAGCAACCGAGGGCCAATGAAATTGAGATTCGCCGTCCCTCCTTGTGGTCAATCGATGACAACGCTTACGAACCGGTAGCTACGAGCACAGGAAGCAGCAGCTTTGTGGAGAGTAAAATACGATCGAATGTCTTACCTAATAATGTTTTTGTAATTGTGCTGTCGTTGTAAGAGGAACCACGATTTCTTGCATGCTGTAGTACTTCCTATGTTGAGAGTTTACATCCCGTTCTTGTTGTTAATACACGTCCCAAAGCTGTCGCCGACGTATATAGCGATGGTAGTGCTCTAAGATGCTCTCTCGATTGATCTGCGGCCTACTCTGCTAGTAAGAAGGAATCTAGTAGGCCTAGAATCGTAGGATTACGGGAGTTCTGCATGCGTTGAAAGTCCGCATTACCCTGCACGGACCTGTCAGAGGTGGAAAAATATATGAGAGCTCTTTTGAATGCGTTAGAAGCCAGCACCGACCTACGCGGACATGTCAGACGTGTGCTAATGTACGAGAGCTGTGCATGCGTTAGGAGCCAGCACCGCTCAGTAAGATCGATGTTGTCGCTCTATCTCGGGTTCTGCGCAAGGTGCCGGTTGCTGGATTCGTGTCTCAGATAGGAGGCACACCTTGCCACGAAAAGTCTGCCTCTAAAGGCACGCAACGCCGACCCGCCTCCCAAACAGCATCAATCCAGGGGCCTAACGTGAGCGGTGCCGTTCGAGACTCGCTCACCTACAAGAGCCTCGAAGAAATCACTAGCTAACCTTCACCTATCCAACAAGAAGGCGAAGAAGTCACTAGCCAACACTCACACATCCAGCAGGACGATGACAGAGACCCTAGCAACAACCCGGTGACCACTACTGGAAGCTACATGGACAAAGGAATGGTCCATTCTCTTACAGAGCAAGAGCTCTCGGATCGGGTTGTGGACAATTAAATGTCCGACAGTGAGAACATGAACTGAAGATGGAAGCATCTCTCAGATACATGCACCCGGCTGAGCCTGGGTAAGAGGACTGTGTTCCTAGCAGACTCGCACTTCGATCAAACATCCTTTAAGGCAGCTCGTAGCGGAGATTGAGAGCGATCCAGTAGGAGGCCTAACCCATAGGCTGTAGGATGTGTAGAAAACAGACGAAAATTCCGTGAAGTTCAGACTCTCGACATCCCAGGGTGCAAAATTGCTAGCCAGTGTTCGACCTTACGAGCAACACGTCCTGCTGGTATATCGCTTTCCACTTCCACGAATCTCAGTTGAAGCTCTGTCTCTATTCCTCGCTTTTGTAACCACTTCACCCATGTGTAGAACTGGACAAGGCGGACGAGTTCTCGCAATCTTTGGAGAGCGGCCTGATCGCGCGGTGACTGAGTGACTTATTAGAGAAACGCGGATCGGGCTTACTCACTCTTGGACAAGACGTTTCCACACCTTTCCGCCCGCTTGCTAGCTTATATTGTTAGATGTACTAGTCTTGAATCGATTTACATGCTTCTGCTGGATTATCTGATAATGAAATAACTAGCGATCTTCCGAAAACTATATCTGCCGTTTAACGTATCGTCACGCTTTTACCCCTTTAGTAGGATGGCACCCAAGATTCATCGCCATTGCTAGGCAGCAGCTACGTTTTGCAAAGCTAGAAGTATCGTTCTTTTTGGTAGAAATACAGCTCCTAAAAAGCTAGACAGAGGTCTTTGCGCCGAAGATGTAAGCGAATACCTCCTGTATCCTCCTAACCCTCGGTGGCATTTGTTCAGGAGAAGCATAGTAATGTCTCCGAAAAGAGTGTACACAACAGGCTCTCTGCTACATGCACTCACCGGAGCCTCTATGAGGCCGCCGGCGGAGAAAGCTTTCATGTTCATTCGGGAGACTGCTAGCGAAAACTCATAGTGGAAGTACAAGTGGTTTCCCACGACATGCGCTCGTCGGAGCCTGTTCAGAGTTACCAACTTCAAGTGGAACAGGGACGAGGATCATGCCACATGTCCGGTATGGCCGCCTGTATTGTTTTTCTCGCAGCTTCGTCCGACCTAGTAACAGTCACGCATCTTCCATGTCTCTTTAATAGAACCGCCTTAGAGGCGACGTACGATATTTTCCGTGTGGCTCTCGCTCTGAACCCCAACGCTCACGGCATACGGGCAAACTTTTCGATCGGGATGTCGGAGTAGTTATACAGATAACAAGGAATGCAAGCACATCTCGAGATATCGAGACGTTTGGAGGAAGGAGACCGTCAACGCGAATCGCCAGGCACAGATATCTGTACTAATATCATCAATGCACGCGCTTCCGATGCGCTTCAAAGTGGGGGAGAACGCAACTCGATCGTAGCAAAGCTAGACTGACTCGGATGAGAATCGAAGAGAAGCGACTTTCACCGATGAGTAGCAATGCCTTCGTCATCACGAAGAGTCGCCTGCACCTCTGGAACTGATATGTGTAGTCTGACGACTGAAAATATGCAGGGCTCTCGAGGCCAAGACGTTCGAACCTATGCGCAGAACGTCGCCAGATCGTACAAACCCTTGGATTTTTCCCCGCGGACGAGCAACTGCCAACGAGCTGCACTGAGATTTGACCAGCCGATCTACACTTCTGCGCAGTTCCTCACGCTTTACGCACAGAAAGCAGACGGTGACGAAAGCGCAATGTCTAGACTGACTGCATCGCAAAGGTGATATTGTCATGCAACTCTTCAGAGAGTGTTGAAGCTCGTTCCCCTTGCCCATTTCAATCCACGTCGAGTTTGAGGGTTCCAATGGTTGGCTCGGAAGAGTAAGCGCTGTCTATTGACTGCTCGATCTGGCAGCTCCAGACCCTGACATGTCGAGAATGCGACCGTTTTGGGTCAAGCTGAAGATGTAAACTTTGACCCTCATCTAGAAGCAAAAGGAAGGAATGACCAAGGAATGATCATACTGAGCATTGCTAGGTCCGATTGCAACATTGGACAGAAGTACACTAGACTACGGTCGTGCATTTGCAGAAGTCTAAAAGGCGCGAACTAAGCGTCGCCGGCTACAAACTGATACAGCTCTTATACGTTGCTATACTTCTTAGTTTGACATGTCGCATTAGTGCCTTTCCACTCGATTCGAACTAGGTAGACTGACGACATTTGCATAGACAAGGTCCGTCTGCCGAGGTTGTGAATGAATACCTTTTGAGTAGTTGAATCTGTGTTCCCTCGCCCCTAGGTGGCCGTAGGAGCCGCCCTTACCCGCTCWCCGTCTCTTTTGGACGTTGCCGTTCGGTTCACGTACGTAGCGCACGGTATACATCGCAGTTTTCGGCCCTTCACTGCAGAGCTAGCTACTACCGGTCGATGAGCTGGGGCAGCTTCGCTCCCTTGGTCTGAGCTCGAGCACAAAAATCTCTGGACACAAGTATCGTGTAGCGTATAAACATGTATCATCTCTTGCATTTCCGACCTCTTTTGGCGATTCACCAGAAGAGACAACGTTTCCTGGCTGAGAATAGCCAGGCTTAGGAATGTCAATGGAAGCACTTTCTTACCCCAGCTTTGTCGCCTTCCCGAGCCCTTATACATCACTCGAAGTCTTGTGTATTAGTTCCATTTTCAATCTATCGAAACAAACTTATCCCTAGCGGTGTTTAGTGAAATGTAGAAGGTAGAGAAAACTTACATCTCTAGTAATTAGCAGTCTTATAATGCAGCTTAGAACGGTTTACTTAACAGAAGAGGAATAGCAACCTAAATATAGTATCTCTTATCGTTACTACTTAGAGAAGGCTATTCGATAGCTTTAGGTAATAGTAAGTGTTAGAATGATTAATCTTCATTCTAGCTAAATATTAATCAAGGACTACCTATGCTAGCCCTAGCATAATATTCGGCTAACCTCCCCTTTTAGGAAGGCGTTGGGCGTTGGGCGTTAGGCGTTGGCTCTAGCCCGATTGGGAAGTCTCTAAACAGACCCTGAAAAAGCTTAAGTAAATGTTCAAGAAAGAATGAATCGATTAATCACGCAATTAATGCGATTAAATGCATTACTAGAACATTCTAGAGACTACGCTCTAGCTAATTAATGCATTAATTAGAAATTAAGGCTACATATAGAATATTCTAGCTCATAATCTAGAAAACATAGATATGGCCTAATCCGGCCACCTCTAGACAGGTTAAGCAACATAACGATTAATCGTCTATTTAATACATTTCACATATTCTAATCAATCCCTCAACTAATTCACATCGATTACACGCCCTGATTGACGACCCGAGTTATCTCCGAGATATCATCTATATATCTCCTAAATCCTTTCGCCAATATTTAACTCGACCCTAAGTCAAATCAACACCAGATTTTGACTTTGACATGTGAAAGACCCACTTAGCATGGGTCCGTGCCGAGACAACCCTTCACAACAACAACATCCCTTCCGAGCATATCTCCACAAAACTTCTCATCACAACGACAACATCCCTTCGAAGCACCTATCCACAACAACCTCTGTCCACAACGGCATCTCTCTAGAACGACAGCGGCCATCTTCATCACGCCATCTTACCTCACTTCCGCATCATCAAACAAAATCTTCACCATCACGTCGATCATCACACCTTCTGCATCACTAACATACTTCTCTTCCCACGAACATTATGGCGTCGGTACCACGAGCCTTGCCGCTGCTGATCTCTCCGGTCGTGATTCCAGCTGGCCTGATCTACGGCAACTGCACAAAAGAAGCGTCTCCTACCCGTTTAAACCGTTAATGAACAAATCATCCCTTTGTGCCATAATGTTGAATGGTGGCTATCCAATATATACCATCAGAGTCATCCCATTCCATCCTTTCATGTCTCTCCTACACACAAGACCGCTTGAGGGGGGCCGTGTAATAGTTTCCGTGTGGCTCTCGCTGCGATCGTACCACATGGGCAACTCGCTTGCCTAACGGCAGCAGAATTTTTACGATCTGGCGCAAAGTGTCGCCAGATCGTACGAACTCGTTTCTATTGCACATGAACGCGCAAGTGTTAACGAACTGCACTGAGATAGAAGAATCAGGTTTGCACTTCTGTGCAGTCATTTCGCGTKCCGCATAAAGGAATGAGAATTGGAGGCGCGTAGTGTCGTTGGACTACGTCGCTTAGATGACTTCGTGATACCACTGTTCAAACATTGTGAAAGCTCGTTCCCCTCGCTCGTTTCCGTACAAGATTGAGAGCGAGCATTCGGATGCGAGACTCGGGAGATTGTCTATTGAATGCCCAATCTGGCATCTCTGGACCCTGAGATGTCGAGAGCCTGAACTTTCCGGGTCAAGCGACGGTGTGAGCTTTGACCTTGTCTAGAAGCTAGAGGAAGAAACCGCTAGGGCTTAGTGAGATTGAGCGGTACCAGGCCGAATTGCAACACTCGATAAGGATGCACTGGACAKGTTTGAACACTTCTGAATGCTCGACGGAGCGGTGCCTGTTCTTTCTTCATTCAAAACTCTTATACATTGTGACATGTCTTATTTTGACTTGTCGCATCGGTGCGTTTGTCACGCGATCTGATCGCGGTAGGGCAAGGGCATTTGCACACGTCTTACATTCTGTACTAATGCCATCTCTACTGCACCTGGAAAGGCTCTTCCTGCCCAAGCCCAGCCGAGTTTAGGCACGTAAGAGACACTCCTATCTTATGTCAGGGACTTGAGCTTCTTCATTACGAAATCCGGAAAGTGCCCGAAGATGTATACACATGTCTAGATATCGTGTAAATCTACTCTGGCGGGCTTTTGAAGAGGCGGACATGCGACACGGGTGACCGAAGAAGGTATGTCAGAGCCGTTCATATAAGATCTATCCCATTAGGGCTAAACACCCTAAGTGGTCTTAATGATGTCCAAGGTTTCGCTCTCTACGGGCTTGACGTTGGAAGACCTGCCAGAATCCTTCCCACCAGCAAAGTAGCTCACAAATCAATTGAGAGAAAAGTTTAGGACGCTACCATCGTTGCATATTGACAGAAAAGTTTGTGCCAGAGCCGTCGATCTGAGGCTCATTCCATTAAGACGAATCATTATCAGTCATCTCTATAATATCCTAGTGCCTCGCTCTCTACGGGCTGAACGATTCAAGGCCTGCTAGAATCCCTCCGACTTGCAGAGTAGCCTACAAATCAATCGAGAGAGCAGTGCAGGTGCCTTCGAGCTTCGCGTTCTCGTCGGTAAGGGCACGGACTTATGGGGCCGCAGCGTTGCTTTCAGACTCCGCTTTCGCCTCCAAACTTGCAAGCTTGTCTTTGAGCTCAATTTGTGCATTATGCCACCGCTGTACATCACTCTCCAAGTTGTCTCTCTTCTCTGTGACCGTCCCGAGTTGCTTGGCGACTTCTTGTTATCGTCGGTGGACTGTTGCAACTTGGAATCGAGCACCTTGACCTCCTTCTCTCGATCCTGACAAGTCTTCTCCAAGGCTTTGTTGCGGTCGGCGACCTCCTTGTTAGCGACCCTGCTAGTCTTCCCATCCACAACAGCCCGAAGACCTTGATTCTTCAAGTTGGTAACCTTGAGCTCATCCTTGAGCTCCTCGATCCTTATTCGAGCTCCCTCGCACGTCCTCTTGAGCTCGGCATTGATCAAGGGCGCGAATCGGGCATTGGAAAAGTTGTGTGCTTGATTCAATGCCAGCGAGGGATGCGCCTGCTTCCGAGCAGCTTCTACTTCGAGACGTCGCGCTTTCAGCTTCAGTTTCAGGTCCTCGGCCTTCTTGCGTTCCATTACGGCTTGCTCATAATAGACCGTGTGTCGGGTAATATTGGTATTGGTTCCGAGCTCCCGAATTGTTGTTCTGTTATGTCGCGCGTATGCTGAAGTCATTGTGCAGGGTTCTGCTGCGTGATGAGAGGGTGGGGCCGTTGAGGTAGATGTCTGGGGGAAGCTTGAGGTAGATGTCTGGGGGAAGGTTGAGTGTATTTCCGAAGAAGGAATACTGGATGTTGATGAACGGGGAAGGAGCTGTCCAAGTTGGTCCACAAAGTCAAAGGCCTCGCTCTCTCTAGGCTCGATGATTTGAAGCCCGCTAGAATCCTTGCTATTAGCAGAGTGGCCGTCACTCAATTGAGGGTGCAGTCTAGGGTGCTGCTCTTGCTGATAATTCCTCATATCGACAGGTCTGGCTATACCGAGGCAGGCGTTAATAACGGGTAGAGACACATCGAAACTTGCTAGACCTCAATCTTATGCAGCATGTTCATGCAAACGACACTTCTATAAAGCAAATGCAGAAGAGCTCACACTGTCGACTACCCCATCCCCCGCATCTCCACAACCGCCGTCATTTATAATACATGACCACTCTTATTATGATATCCATCCTTAGAAGGCGAGGTCTTCCGGCTCCTTATCTCTATTACCGACATCTCCATTCGGAGCCATTCTACGGACAATCGCTAACAGCTCGTTATACTACGCGAGTCTGTCTTCGTAGAAGGCGTTAAGCGCCTTATTACGCTTAAGCTCCGTCTAAGCGAGCCGCTCCTCGCCCTTTTCAATCTCCTCTTGCAGCTCTACAATCTGCTTGAGCATCGTATTAGTTTCTGCTCTCACTTTTTTAACAACGGCCTCTTGCTTCCGCTCCTCTGTTTTCTTAGTCTGCCTTAACAGCATGTCGTTAAGAACCCAATCTTCGGTGCTAGACCAGGCTTCATTTTTCTGGCTATATACGGAGAAGACACTAACACCGGTTGAATATGAACTAAACCGTCTAGCGTTGAAGATGTAACCCTCGTAAAGCCGTGTGAAGAAGATCTCGCCGAGTGCTACACGATTTGGCCTGCAGCAGCAATGGATGACAAACAGCCACAGCCTAAACCTCCTAGGCCACTTCTGGTCGATAATAGCCTCGAATAGATTCATAATGAGTGCCTAGATCCCACAACCGAGTTGAAAAGCACAGATAATGTGGTTTAAGCCGTTATAGGTTCGATGGTTGTCTAGTCTGACGGGAATGTCGTTGCTATACCCCACATCGATAAGCGGTGCATCTAAAGGGTCGTCTATCTCGTCTGCTAGTATCGTGGCGAGACATTTGCGTAGATTAGCACAAAACTCCCGTCCTCTAACGATGCGGCGCGAACTAGGGCTCTTCTTAGTCTTGTTCTAGATATACTTGCGGTATAAGGGATCGACCTTCTTATCTCAAGATAGATAGGGCTTCCGGAAGCGGTCGATAGTATCGGCTATAGCACGATCTCCTCCTCCGTAGTACTATTCTACGATACTAATAACGACGAGGAGCTGATTAGGCGTTAAAGACAGGCCCTTCGTATCGGCAATCTCGTTAATGTAGATCTATACGCTACGTAGCCTTCAAATCTGAGGTGTTTAGGGGCTTRGACTAAGGATGTAGAGCTAGCTAAATTCGTCGAGCTAGTAGCCGGTGTGTGTTAACTAATTTGGCTAGCTAGCTCTATAGCTAAGGCCTAAAAGCTACGTCATATACGTGCGTTATCTAAATAAGGAATGTCTATAAGGGACGGAGGGTAGGTAAAACTAATACGTAGGCTACCGAGGGTTAAGAGAATACGGAGCTAAGTTAAATAACTTAGGAGGTATTCGGCTACATCCTCGGCGCACAGACCTTGTCCATATATGGGTGCTTGCCGTAATAAGCGCGATCCTTGAGTTTCTTAAGGATTGTCCGGAGGTGAATGTTCGTTAGGTTCTCACGTGCCCATCCGCCCTTCATCGCCACCTTCAATATCTCCGGGTCTGTCTCGACGGCGATGAGAAATCCGATGGTCTAGAGGATCTGATCGTCAACTCCATTAAGGGTCTTGCTAAAGGCAAATTCAGTCCGGAGCGTGTAGCAGACAAGCTCTAGTATGCCATTCTCATCTTCAATGTTTCGCTTTTTAAGGCGCTCCTCCTTCACAGAGGCACCCTTATCAGCGTACATGACCCTCTTGAGGGTGTCATCATTGACGATCAGCTTGTTACGAGGCGTGGAGATGGGAAACAGGCCTCGATTCTCCACGGCCTAATGACCATCTTCCCCTCCAGTGTCAGAGATGAGTTCCTCATCGTAATCCTCCACTGATGGCTGCTTCCAACGATACGAGCCTCCCGACTTGTTATCAGTGGGCTGATCAGTGGGGCGACATAGCGACGTCTCTGTGATGCGATCCGCTTTGTCGTAGTTAGTACCTTCCCCGCCACAGTCGTCTTCGTCGCTGCTGTATCCTCCTTCGGAGTCATTGTTCACTTCTGCGGCGAGCTGTTTCAGGGCTTGCTCAATCTTGTCTTCCGGTTGCTGTGAGAAGAAAAGATGCTCTTGTCCACGTTAGAGCTCCTGCTCTGGATCTTCATCGCCTCGGCTGCCGTCCTTCGGATCATCGTTGCTAAGTGAGGTCGCATTTGAGTCGCCCTTCGCCAGACCTGGAGCATCTGGCGGGGACTTTAGGGCCTTCCTAGCCAGTGTGCTAAGGGCGGCTTGCTTACGGTTGTTAGAAGAACAACTTGCCCCTCCGTCCTGTACTGTAAGTAGCTCCGAGCCCCCAAACCTCGCTCCTAGTATATTTGTGTGTACAAAGAACACGATGAAAGCACAGATGTCGTTATGTTAATTGTCTATCAGAACAAGTCATCCTCATTTATCCTTATAATATTCTAATACTCGCTCTTCGCATCCTCGACGAGCCTAGGCCTGCTAGAACCCTGACAACTAGCGGAGTGGCCGGTCAATAAATCGAGAGAGCAGTACTTGTTAATGATTCCTCATATCGAAAGCTCTGGTAAATTGGCCGAGGTGCACTTGTACATCCCGTCTTTGCGTCAAACAAAGTCAAAAGAATATCGAAGGCAATTCCCAGATGAAGCTGATGGTCGATACTATCGAGATCTATCCTGTAATCTCGCCTATCAAAGCCTACTTGCATTGACGAGACCAAGCGGTATGAAGCTATCGTTCATTGATGTTCGTCTCATTTTGTGTGCTGCAGTTATCCTCTTCCCCTATAGACCCTAGACGAGGTCCCTAAGCTGGCTACAGCTATGTGTTGCTGCTMTGTCTTATCAGTTGGTCATCTAGAGGATTACCCGAGACTTTTCTCCAACCTGCTCGACATAAGCTCGAAGTGCCTTTGGCGCTATGAGATCCACAAGCGTGCGAGCCGCTTGTGAATCTAAAAGTCCCAACCATTAGTATTGATGTAGATTCCAAGCCGCTCGAGTACTCATGCTTCTACCGCGAGGCTTCGCGGGCTCAAGACGACCACTGCCTTCCTCAGCCTCTATGCCCTCCTCTCCACCACTAGCATCCTCGCCTTCGTTCTTAGCCTCCCTRCCCTCCTCTCCACCACCAGCATCCTCGCCTTCGTTCTCAGCCTCCGTGCCCTCCTCTCCACTACCAGCATCCTCGCCTTCGTTCTCAGCCTCCGTGCCCTCCTCTCCACTACCAGCATCCTCGCCTTCGTCCTCGGCCTCTATGCCCTCCTCTCTACTACCAGCATCCATGCCCTCGTATCCGCCATCGCCGGTATATTTACCACCACTAGCCTCGATGCCATCGTATTCGCCATCGCCGGGATATTTATTACTAGTAGCCTCATTTTCCTCGTAGTATTCACCACCACTAGCTTCGATGCCCTCGTATCCGCTATTACCGGAACTTCCATCCCTACCAGCGTTATTTTCCTCGTGGTATTCACTACCACCAGCCTCGATGCCCTCGTATCCGCTATTGTCGGATCCCTCCTCACCGCCATAGGTATTAACCTCCAGGACKATCGGGTCGTCCTCGTTCTGGATCAGGCCTACTTCGATCTGTTGATCTCTACGCTCATCGAGAGAAGGGACGATCTCCACCTTGCCGTCTTTGGTCGACCCACTAGTCACCTTCATGTTCCAGATGACGAAGGGGATGGTATTTTCAATGTCCGGGTTGGTAGGACCTGTTGCAAAGATTTGAGACATCTTCAATACCTCGAGTGAAGGCTGAGCACGCTCATCGTACTCCTCGTTCTCCATCATGCGACAGAATGCCTTCACGACGGCCACGTAGACGCCGGGCTCGTCCAGGTTGAACTTTTCAGGATACTTGTTGAAGGTGGTCCACCATTCGGAAGAATCCTGGATCTTGTAACGTTGCTCGAGAACGCCATCATAGTCACCGAGCGTGTGGTCCTCGCCGTTCTCGGCAATGTTCTGATCTGTCTTGTCCGAATATCCAACGAGGGCCGCGTGGCGGTCTTGATTCCGAGTTAGTCTCGGKGCTCCCTGGATATCTTTGATCTGCTGGTTGAGGTTCGCGATGCGAGTCTTGCGCTCGCTATACGAAGGTCAGTGAAATACATGTGTTACGCTCACTTCACCGCAGGCTTACCCATCCGACATGTGCATTATCTGGCTCCAGTATGCACTACTGCTCTTTTGCGTCTCCTTGGTGTCCATACTTGCGGTAGGCGGCCACAAACGAAGAGGGAGCGGAGTAATGCGCGGTTCGTATGCGGTAAGGAGGAGTTATATGATGTTGTCGTGGGAAGGTGATGCTGTCGAAGGAGAGTGATGATGTCGCAGAGTCGAGTGAGGTGAAGAAGAAGTCGGCAGTGACAAGTTTGAGATTGAGAAAGCACAAATTTCGGCGACCGGCAATAGTTCGGTTCAAGGCGCTAGCGTTTCGGGACGTGCCGAAATTTTAGAAGTGAATGGAAATGTCACATGCGAGGGCTTCCCCCATGTTTGTGGATAAGACTATAGTAAGTATACTAGAGCCTAACATCAACTAGAGCGTGGTCTATAGGTTATCCGCTCATGGCCTCAATGTGGTGACTCGCACGCCTCGACTGATAAAGACAGCTGCCCCCCTACAATTATCATGTGATTCAAGGTGAATGTCGGCAATCCGCAATCGACCTGCATGACAGACAGAGATAAGGTTTCGCTAGCGTGCTTCACTGGATTGTTTGCTACATTGATTGTGAGATTTCTTCCACAACCTTCCACAAACATCCACGTTCCCTTCCCCCAATCCATTCTCTGCAAACTGCGCCGTCAACTTCGGTCACCAACTGCAGCTGCACTACCACGCAACAACTCACCACTTGGCCGCCGTGCAACATTGCTGCCGCCACATTCTCTGCACCGCTCAGACGCATTCAAATTGACCGCCTGTGAGTAAACCACCGCGCGGTCTGCATGATCTGTGAGGTCTCTGAGGGCACCATCACAAGACTTGCGGTCCCAAAAAATCGCAGCTGACACTGACGCTCACCAAGACCAACACGAGCATGGAGCGCGCCGAGCAGCAGTCCGAGAAGGGCATCACTCTGAAAGACAAGAGTGAGAGTGAAACCGAGAACGATTTCGAGAGTGTGACCGAGGGCGGTTTTGAGAGTGAGACCGAGGGCTATCTCGAGAGCCACGCCGGCGTTCAGTCCGAGAAGACGGCAGAGATCGAGAAGAATGCCACAATCAATGAGTCCATCAGCTACGCCAACCAGGAGTACCCCGAAGACGACGTCACCTGGACCGACGATGGGCGTTGGTACAGTGCCAGTGCGGGTATGTTCTTTGACGATTCGAGCCAGTCGTGGTACTACGATAACGGCAAYACTGGCTACGGCGACGACGGCAGTGTGCAGAACAGCTCGACCCAGCAGAACGGTGAGCCTCGGGGCGGAGAGGGCGCTCTTCTCAATCAGCAGCAGAGCAGCTTGGTCCAGCAGAACGGCGAGCCTTGGGGCGGAGAGGGCGCTCTTCTCGGCCAGCAGCAGGGTAGCACAGGCTACGAGAACAGCGAGGGTCAGGGTGCTTTTCCCGGCGAGCAAGTTCCCGCCATCACTTGCGAAGACATCGTAAGTACACCTCTACTCTTTCTGTATCATTGAGCTAATCATTCGTTGTAAAGTACCTCTACCAGAAGTCTCCTACCCCAGAAGAGMTCATGGAGTGCTTCAAGCAGGAGAAGCAGAAGAGATTGCAGGTCAAGCAGCTCCAGGACCACACCGCTCAGATGAAGATTCGTGCTGATAGGTTGGTACATGAGATTCTTCCCATCTTCGAGGAGACGGAGAAGACCATCGATGAGCTGAACAAGAGCAAGGGTTACTCTAGCGAGATGTTTGCCATCGTCTGCAAGGTCGTCAAGGTGAGTAAGGCTGTGAAGGACGAGCTGGGGAAATTCGACTTTTAGTCGAATCTGCTGTTTTGAAGCTGGCGAGGGAGGATGGCAGGGATGGTGACAAGGAGCTCCCGGAAGGCGAGGCTCAATACGACGAGGCTAAGATGAAATTTGAGCAGCTTGAGGAGTAGCAGAGGCGATTTGAGACTATGATGAGGCCTTGGGGATAGCTATTCCAACAGTATATGAGCCCGACATTTGCATAACAGACGGAGTTTAATAGCTTCAAAGTTCGCCATCATATCGAGAGAGCACACGGAGAAGAACCAGGGCATGAATGGAAAGGGGCGTAGAGTCCCACGCTTCCGTTGCCCGTAGAAGTAGGTGGTCAAGCTAGTGGCACTCGTGGAAATGGCCGAGGTGATAGCTCCTTAAGTCTGCAATCCACATCGAAGATTGGCGGGATGGAAGACMGGCAGCGCTACAAGGCCAGCACAGGTTGATCCAACACACTAGCTTGCCATGTCCAAAGTGCAAACTTTGAAGCGAAAGGTGAAAGCGAGCACAGGCTGATCATGACTACCAAGTCAGAGATAGCCCCCTAAAATGAAAATTTCCTTGCTATTGATAACTTTCCTCGTGACTTTGCCATGTCGTGYCAACCGTAGTGTCATTCGTTTGATTGCGACATACCATTTATTACAGCTTTGAAGCCGCATCCCCTGGAAAGAAGAGCGAGAGCGCAAGGCCTGGCAAGCTCTTCTATATTGATGGCAGCAGCGTCTTAATGACATGGACGGAGCATGTACATAACAACCATTTGAGGTGGCCAAGTATGGGATGCAACAGAGGCCATTGCAATACAGACGACTCCAGCACCGAGTGGGATTCCAGTAGCTCTAATGTGAGATAGAGAACACCTGGCAGAATCAGAATCAGGGTGTTTGGAATCCCTCACTTGGACAGCTCTGGCTACGATGAGTACTCCTCCCACCATCGTACCCAGCGTATCCATCCATACACCAGAGAGAACAACGATCTCAACAGCACTATTCCCGCATGCATCCGCAGCTACATTTATTTGTATTCGCCGACTGAACGGTCAGGAATTTGATTGATGGTGTCGAGATCGGCGATTGTCTCATATCGCTACGTGATGGCTCCAAGGCTAGAGTCCTTCAAGGCTTGCTGTTGTGCTCCTGGTCAATCTGGCTGGCGCTCATGCCATGCACAACCAACCATACCAAGGACGGTGACGAAGACGCTGTTTTCTGATTAGTCACCAATCGATCGCGGATCTTGCCGCGTCATGTCATCCGATCCCGACCTCGCGTTTCACAATCACCTTCAGGCGGCGGCGGCGGCGGCGACAACGCTCTCCATCCACGCTCACCACCAACACCACACAATCATGGGTGCGCTTCTATCCCTCCCGCTGCTGGCAATCCCCAGCATGGGTACCGTACGTGTCACCCATTCCTCCACCCCACCATCATCCCTCCACCACCGCCGGCGCAAAACACATCTCCACCCCAACTAACCACCATCTCAGCTCCTCACATTCGGCGCGTCCTGCTGCGGCGCAACGACATGCTCCGCTCTGTGCAGCGCGACCGGCAAATGCTCTTCTTCCATCGCCACACGAATCGCCTACGCCTTCATCCTCCTCCTCAACTCGCTCCTCTCATGGGTCCTCCTCACCCCATGGGCCGTCCACAAACTCCAGGGCATCCTCCTCGACTACGTCACCATCAACTGCGCCGGTCACGACTGCTTTGGCTTCGCAGCAGTCCACCGTATCAACTTCGCGCTCGGCCTCTTCCATTTCGTCCTGGCCATGCTCCTCCTCGGCGTCACATCCTCCAAAGACAAGCGAGCATCCATTCAAAACGGATGGTGGGGCCCCAAGATTCTCGTCTGGCTGGGCTTGATCGTCCTCAGCTTCCTCATCCCCAATCGATTCTTCGAGGTATGGGGCAACTATGTCGCATTAGCCGGCGCCATTCTCTTCCTCTTGTTAGGATTGGTCCTGTTGGTGGACTTGGCCCACACTTTTGCCGAATACTGCATTGAGAAGATTGAAGACACAGACTCGGGGATGTGGAGGGGGATCCTCATTGGAAGCACGCTGGGAATGTACTTGGGAAGCATCGCCTTGACAATCGTCATGTACATCTTCTTCGCGGGAAGTGGCTGCAGCATGAACCAGGCCGCCATTACCGTCAACCTGGTCTTCCTCCTCGGCATCTCCGTTCTATCCATCCATCCAGCGATCCAAGCATCCAACCCAAGAGCAGGTCTCGCACAAGCTGCTACAGTCTCCATCTACTGCACATATCTCACAATGTCAGCCGTAGCCATGGAGCCTGACGACAAGAACTGCAATCCGCTCGTTCGCGCTACCCCCACCCGGACCGCGACCATTGTCCTCGGAGCGGTCGTGACCTTCCTCACTGTAGCTTACACCACCACTCGCGCAGCTACCTACGGCCTGGCACTTGGCAGTGGCAAAGCTGGTGGATATGTCAGTCTTGATGCTGATGATGAGGCTGGCGGCCATGGACTCGTCGACACCCAACCTGAGAGTCGCAGAGAAATGCGTGCCGAGGCTCTCCGACGAGCGGTGGAGAGTGGCGCACTTCCAGCTTCTGCCTTGGATGACAGCGATGATGAGGATGACGATGAGAGTGCGGGCAAGCACAAGAACGATGATGAGAAGCAACGGACGCAGTACAACTATTCATTGTATCACGTCATTTTCATGCTAGCGACGGTGAGTGCTTAGGCTTCAGCTTCCAGAATGAATGTACTGACATCTCTTGCAGGCCTGGGTAGCAACACTCCTGACACAGAACATTGGCGGCGACCGTGACCTTCAACAAGGGGACTTCATTCCTGTTGGAAGGACATACTGGGCCAGTTGGGTGAAGATTGTATGCGCATGGGTGTGCTATGGCATCTTTGGCTGGACGCTCGCTGCGCCGGTTATGATGCCCGATCGATTTGAGTATTGATTCATTGATATCCGCGCTAACGAATTGTATTGAATGACTGTTGTGTTTCGATGTGATTCTTGTTCCATTTTTTGCCTACTCATTCCATTCCGGCCGTAAAAAACAAACGCTTGCAACCCGAGATCGAATCGACTCAAGGAAAAGGCCCCTCACAACCCCAACTCCATCTCAACCACAATCTTCTCATATCCGCCAAGATACTCCACATTAATCGCCTCATCCCAAGCCTGCCTGAACAGCGACCAACTCGGCACCCACCCACCAGGCCAATCATGCTTCTTAACATCTCCAAAAGCAACCAAAACCGCACCCTCCATCAACCCTGTGACACTCTCATCCYCGCAATCTTTTATAGCATTCCACAACATTCCCAATCCCTCACAATGCAATCTCTCCTGCAAAGGTTCACAAGACCCGACTTGCTGTCGTCGAGATTTGAGGGGTTTCAAATGACTCTCATTCTTGGCTTCAATCCACGTTGCCCATCCGTTTCTCTTCGGATAGGCTTCGTCTAGCGCAGGTCGAATACAATTGTCGTAGATGAGCTGTAGATCTCGATATGGCATGTGGCCGGTTCCACCGATAGGACGAGTAGGACAGACGTTCCCCTTTGGAAGGATGAGATAGAAATGCAGTTGAAAGGCCAATGCTGTACATCCCAAATGAATGTAGGGCACTTTCTCCTGCTGTTCGGTTGGAAGAGGAATACCGCTCACATACTTTTGGAAGAGGAATTCTTCAATGTGAGATGGGAGCGGTGTTCCCAGTTGAGGGGTTGTGTTGATGGAGAAGCGGCAGATCCAGGATGCGTTGAGCACTGCAAGAGAGGTGGGGAATAACAATACCTCTTTGACGTTGGCAACATCAGAGGATGGGTGTGTTGAGAGAAGGCGATTCGAGAGAGACAGACCGGGCGTGAGTGGATCTGGCCTGCTGGGTGTGGCTTTTGGCAAAGGAGACGGTGTTATGCTTCGGCGGGGACTGCTGTGTCTTGAGCTGGGCATGAAGACGTTGAGAAAAGATCCAGATGGTTGATATCTACTCGGAGTGTTAACATCATGCAGGGCATATGTTGAGGAGTCCTTACCTCAACGCTTCACTCGATGCCTTGGCCGCCAACGTGGACAACGACCTCGAAAGTCTCTTCTGGGCTGGCTGTTCGCCAATGGTTGGCAATTCTGGTCTGCGTTTAGGCATGTTGAAGATTTGGTCGTGCTAATTTTGTCTGTTCTGCTCKAATGAATTGGTTGTAGAATGTTCAGTATTGTTGGAGACCCGCAGCTCTGGATATGTGTATCTCAAGCCACAACAACACATATAAACAGTGACAACGACACAACCAAGCTCGAGCCTTCCCAACACCGCCATGTCTCGACACTGATCTATGCGGCGTCCGATGACTGACATCTCACGGGCTAAGAGGATGAAAGGACCAGGTTGTCCTCGTCTGTCAGATTTGAAAGTTGGTCAAAGGAAGTTCCTCACACGAATCCTCAGCAACGTGCCGAGAATACGGGAAGTTGGTATTCATCGTCCTGGTGATTGCAATGTTTGTCGAAAACAATATTGATAAGTGGTGTTGAATCATGGATGCTGGGTCATGCTGACTCGTGTCGCTCGCTTCTCCGACCTAGATCCTTGATCTGTCGGGAGTCAGACGGTGCCGACCAACCCGCCTGAAAAGTGCCAGTAGTCTCTCATGAGAAGATCGTCGGCCACAGCCAAGTTGGCTCCCTGAGCCATTAGCAGGCCGACGAAACGGAAAAGTCAACGAAGAAGAGAAGGGTATTCTAGCATCATGAAAGCCGGCTCTCTCACGTCCAACGCTCTATCCTTAGATCATCCTGCGTAGAATCATTCTGGACCCTCACGCCTGCACATTCTCACTCAAATACTCCAAAACTTTGTGCTTGACCACTCCTTGGTTGTACAAATGTTGCGCCAAACCCTTCACAACCGCCACCTGCTCCTCGGCGCTCAACGCCGTGATTGCGGTCTCAATCACACTTCCCACACTTGCGTGATGTACGGCGATGAAGGATTGGTAATACATAAAGGCGAAGAAACCCATGATGAACTGGCAGTCCATTCTGTCGGTCATGCCTCCATGTCCCGGGATGGAGTCACCAAAGTCCTTGATGTTGAATGTTCGCTTGAGACCTGATGCGAAGAAGCCACCAAATGGAGCAATCAAGGATGCAAAAGACGCCATGGCGAGGATATGGAATTGCATGGGCGAGATGCTGAAGGATGTCGGGAGGAAGGTCCAGTCGTGCGGAACGAATGGAAGGGTATAGCGTTGCGGAATGAAGACCGGATTCGGGGTGCAGTTGAGTCCAGTAGTGATGTTGGCGCCGAGGTCATTAACAGGGCAGGTAAAGTAGGTGCTGCGCATGAGGATGTTGGTGAAGAAGAAACCCATCAAGATTGTGCAAATCCACGCTCCAACAAAGCCTAAACATGATGATCAGTATGAGGTGAAACGTGACCAGAGATGTAACCAACCTTCAACAGTCTTCTTAGGTGACAGCTTGATGAGCTGTGTTTTGCCAAAGGTGATGCCGCAGATATACGCAAAGATATCGTTGATGATAACCAAACTGACGGGGAGGAAGAACCAGATCATTCCCTCAAAGATGTTGTTCATGATAAAGTGTGCTTGCACGACAATGAGATAAAGAGCCATGTGTGTCCAGGCGAATTGGGTGAACTGAAACTTGTAGTGACCCTTTTGAAGGGAGCCCACGAAGAAGACAAAGCCTGGATTGGACGTCAGCAAGAACACAACCTCCAAACAAGACGACTCACCCATGACATAGAGCATGAAGCTGATGAATCGGTGGTGTGTCGCGAATGGCAACAACACACGATCAATCAGCACAATGTGCTTAAAGTAGTAAATGACGCTCTCTCCATAGAGAAAGTACATGGTCGTGCCGAGAAAGTACCAATTCAACGTTTTGGTGAATCGCAATGAACGGGCCCTGCTGGGAACGTTTGAAATGGCAATGACCTCTTTGAAGGAAATGATTTGGACGGCGGTGACAATAATTATCACATAAATGTGTCCAGCGAACATGGAACCGAAGAAGATACCAATCATGGCAAAAGTCCAGATGGCACGGGTGATGAAGGACTGCTTCTTCTTCTCATACTCCGAGACATCTACCTTGGGCTGGACACGTCTTGTCAGTACAAGTATGCCCTTGGATAGGATGAATATAATATACCTTTTCGTCCTCATTCTCCGTTGCYCAGCCGCTGGCGGTGGTGTCTGTCCGCTCAATCCTCGAGGGTCTTTCATGCCTGGAGTGAAGGCCGTGGCGCGTGGGACTCTTAGCTCCCGTGCTTCTTGACGAGCTGCGTTCGTCGTTTGGCGATTCGTAATGTGATTCCGACATGTCGCTTCTGCTGGAGCTGAGTCGGCGTTCGCGATGCTGAAATTTGACGTCCTTCTTGTGGGTACCAGGCTTCGTCATCGAGTTGGCGTTGCCGTCGGCGTTGCAGGGTGATGTGATGTGGGTGTGGCTGTGCAGGCGTATGCTGGTCACGGCAGTCGGCGGAGGGGAGGGGGGATGTCGCGGATGGTGGTGTGCTGTGCGTCGCGGGTGGGGGTTGTGAAGACGGCCAGATGTTCCTCTCAATCTCACTTCGCGTCGCCGTCGTGCATTTCGCTGTTCCTTACGCGCCGAGTGGGGTTGGATGTGAAAGTGGGTGGGTGTCTCAAACCTCTTGAGCTCGCTTCAACCAGGGTTGTTTTGCGCTTGCATCTGCGAGACGATGTCATCGCCTAATAAAGTCTAAATTTATGCGCGTCGCATTGCTCGCGTTCCCTTATCACATCTAATCACTTCACTTGGCAACCCAAACAGAGATTGGCTCAGAGATTGGCTTGCACGTTGCACAAATGGCTCGGAGAGCGGAGAGGTAGACAGATGCAATGGACGAGGACTTCTTCTCCGATGACGACCTAGACCTCAACAACGATACCCTCCAAGAACTCGAACAACACGCCATCTCCTCCACCCAAGCACCAGCACCAGCACCAATACAGCATGTTCGAGCTCCCTTCAACCCTCCCCGTCCTCGAGGAGCGGCTCAACCTCCGCCTGCGCGCCGACAAGCCCACAATGCCTCCAGTTTGAATCGAGCCAGCGTCAATCGGAATCCTCAATATCGTGCCCCAGGATCCACACGCTCGCCGTCAATCGACGTGAGACCTCAACCTGCAATACCTGAAGCTCCAAATGCGCCACCTCCCAGCGCGCCGGAGCCTCCTTCCTCCGATTACGGCCTTGACGATGAAGAAGTCATCGATCTTGACGAGCCGTCAATGATCATACAACCCGCATCGGGACTCGCACACCGACCTCTTCCCCGACAGGATCTTCAAACCGATGATGAACTGGAAAATTCAACAGCTGCAGCATTTGCGGCTGCGGACGCCGAGTTGGGAAGCCAAACGTTTGGCATATGGCAGCGAGCACCGCTTTTGAAGAGTCAGCCGCATCAATCGAGCTCCATGGACGTGTCGGCATTACAGGCACGAATTGCCGAGTTGGAGGCCGAACAGGCGAGATTGAAGCATGCAGAGCAGCAGGCTCGAGAAGAAGCACGACAAAAGCAGGGTGAAATCTCCATTGTTCGGAGCAATCAAGAGAAGATGACACGCCAGTACGAATCCAGAATATCCGTGATGCAGAAGCGACATGCGGATGAGGCTGCAAAGCAAAAGGCGGAACTAGAAGCACAACGCAAGGAGCGAGAGAAGATGGAGACGGACAATCGCTTTCTCCACCACGATCTTGCCCAGGAAGCTGATCGTGCGAAGAGGGTCAATGGCACGGCGAAATCACGAGTTGGGACACAAATGGGCACTCCGCGGAAAAGYAAAAGAACTGGTCTTGGTGATGGCTTCGATGACGATGAGGTGCGTTTGATGAGTCCCAGCAGGAGTAAAGACAAGGCAAGAGACCAGACGCCCAAAGTGGGTGCGAAAAGGAAGAGGACTGCCAACGACAGCCCGGTAGCTGCGCTGTCCTTTAACCAGCAACGCCCACTCACAATTCAACACGAAAGCTCGGAACAGACTACAACATCCGAGAGTGCTCCCGCAGAGGTAGCCGTGGTGAAGAAAGACGGCAGGTACGAGTATATGCAACTCCTCCTCAATCACCGTCCATATGAAGGCCACGCCCGGACGGTGGAATCCCTGGCCAAGTATTCTTTCCCTTCTCACCCGGAAGTGGCTCTTTCTTCCATCTTTCTCGACAAGATGACATACGCGGCAGATGATGTTGACGAACAAGGGCTGCCATTGAAGATTTCCCAGATTCTGCTAGACTTGTGGAAAAGGTGCACGGAAGACTTCTCCCTGCAAACCTTTACCCCATTCTATCTCATCATAGACATGCTTCGGTTTGTACTTCGAACGGAGCTGGCGGCAACAAAGTCTCATCTTCTTGAAGAAGCAATACCCCTTTGCGTCAGATCAATCGAACAAATATCTGTTCCCATTGCACGGGCAGCCATCAATCCCATCTTCGCTTCGCAGATGGATCGACAATTTGTTTACACACTCGCCGATTTGATAGATGTTGACGAAGTTCTCGACTTTCTTTACGACATTTGTCAAGCCGCGACTCTTTCCCCGCCGCGAATAGAGACATTCTGGCAGAGAATGGATCATGCGTGGATGTTGAACCTCCTACACAAATCGCTACCTGCAAGTCAGATCACGACCATGGTGCAAATCTTGAAGACATCCGCATTTCCCGCCACCTTTGGTGTCATCGTCGCGAACAACCCTGAAAAGCAAGCCGAGCAAGAGCGACAGATTGTTGAGCGACTCACAACTATGCTCTTCGAAATCCCCACACCATGGGCAGGATATGAAGATGAAGAAGAGCCTCCATATACCGAAGCGGRGCTTACCGAACTTCACATTCTGGTTTTGGAAGTCTTCCATGAGATGTGCTCATCAACTCACGGTGGGCTGATACTGGCCCAGCATCGCAGTGTCATTGGCAGACTCGTCCGTTTCCTCACATTACAAATCAACAAGCTTTACCTTGTCACCACCTTTTCAGACAACGACCACACCCACGACCTCCAAATTCGCTCCATCAGTCTTAGTATACGAATCCTCTACCACATCCTCAGTTCGCACGGTGATGAATTCGACGTTGTGCCCAAGTTGAGAACTGTGCTGGGCGGGTACCACAAGTTCTTGATCTCAATGACGAGGGTCGCATTCAGCGACTGTTTGGTGTTCGAAAAAGGAATAGAGGAAGTCGTCATGGAAGCCGCACACGGAATTTTGGATTACATGTTGGGGCCTGAAGAGGGTGAAATGGTTATGAGAGCTGTTGAGACGCCTAGGGGAAGTCGATCGACAGTGGTAGGCACGGAAGGTGGGTCAGGCAGACAAGAGGTTGACATGGAAGACGGGTGATGATGATTGGTCCATTTGTGAAGTAATGTATTCATGACCAAGTACGGCTTCCGCATTATGATGACAAGACAGATTGGGAACTTTTCAGAATTCCTTTTCCTGGCCATCCTCCCAATGGTTTGTGATTGTGCACATCAGAGCTGTCGATATGAGGATTGTTCATCAGGACAAGGCATCCTCAGTTATGTCCACAAAGTCCCGAGGCCTCGCTCTCTACAGGCTTGATGATTCGAAGCCCGTTAGAATCCTTGCTATTAGCAGAGTGGCCGTTACCCAATTGAGAGTGCAGTTTAGGGTGCTGCTCTTGCTGATAATTCCTTATATCGACAGCTCTGGTGCACATGACGCGCGAAGACATAATTCCCCCTCTCGATAAAGTAGTCTTTTAGGTCAAGCGGGTTCCTGTCAACTTCCTGGATAGGTATGAGGGTGTGTCTATCTACTCAAAGCGTGTGACAGCCTTCATTCACTTTGACTTGCTTGCATCATGAGATTACTTTCCTTGCACTTCCGCGACTTCCTCGCATCGTGACTTCCCTTTTGCGCCTTCCTCTCCCAACCAACCGAAACCACCACGAATCATCTCGCCATCGGCCCGCGCCAACATGGCCTCATATCTCAACCCCACGCCCGATACGCCCATCTTTGGCGTCAGCGCGCTCAAGCTCTGGCTCAAGGGCGATATTACTACACCCGACTTTCTCGCATCAAACAACGGAGCCTATGCCGACAAAGGCGGCCGCGATGGCTTCGGTCTGCAAGAACTTCATCGAGCGCTCTATCTTGCGATTCTGGAGATCTCTCTCAAACTCGATCCCGAGCTGGAGTGCGCCGCAACACAGGCCTCCGGGTTCAAGTATTGCATTGCAGTGGACGTGGATGAGTTCTACGAGGGACGAGACAGCGAGGTAAGATCACTTGTGGACCTTGAACCAGCGAAGCGGGATGTAATCATATCAACATATGATCGGGACGCGGTTTGCGAGGTGCTTGAGCAGGCTAGAGAAGAGATTGGATGGTTGGAGAGCCAGGTGAGGAGGTTGGACGTGCACATGGAGAACGCGGAGAGTATGAAGAGAATCAGGTCGAGGATCTCGTTTGTGTTCAGGCCACTGGCGAGGACTTGGGAAGTAACAAGTATTGACAAGGATGATGGCATACTGGATGGAGATGAGCAAGGAGTGGGCGGATACAACGGCGAAGATGAGGAGATACTTGAGGTGGATGAGACTGAGGGAGAAGAGCATCAGATGGCGGGAGATGATGCGGAGCTGTCCGAGGCACTGAAGAAGTCGGTTCGAAAGGAGAGACTGGAACTGTTCAAAAAGGAAGTTGATGCAGGATTCGGAACGGCCAGACTTGAGGAGGATCTCGAGGAGGGAGAGGTGCAGGAGAAGACGGATAGTCCTCTGGCGGGCTTAGAAGAGGATGGTGAGATCGAGTGAGAGAAGCGTCGCTTACAGAGAGTACATAGGTGCAAGATCAGCCCTACGATAGCAAAGCGCGCGAAATACCATACCGTCCCAGGCACTCACCTGCAGCCTTAGCTTCCACGCTCTACAGTATTTGGTTTCCTGCAAGTTTCACCCCGACTCGGCCCATTCTCCGCGTCTCTGTCCAGATGCCAGCAATGATCCAGACGTTCGCATGATGGAAGTTGAAGAGCATTTATACCATCCGCTGTCAAGACGCGAATGGAATGCCAAGTGTAGGAGGACGATCGAGAGGGGCTGTGGTCTTTGTTGCATCTCACCAGGTTCCTTAGCGCGGCATTCACGCCCCATACGCGTCATTGCTCTTGCTGTCCTTGTAGGCGACGATCGGCGGTAGATTGTGTTTACCAACTCCCCATTCATCTTCTTCTCCATCTCTTGCTGTTACAGAGCCCACACAGCAGTCAACGTCTGCTTCCCAGACGACATCACCAAAGATGGACCCCGAGGAGACAACACAGGCAGCGTACGTATCGTTCCGCGTGGAATTACACCCCGCCTTGCACCCCTGTTGAATGCTCCCATCTGCGGGCGTTATTTATCCGGCACTCTCGCCCAACACCCCTCGACCTCCAAAGACGGACCTTTCACGAGGTGGTTTCAGGCTGACACTGCAATTTGATATCACAGGACGCACAAGCGGAGCAAATCTGCCGTCACTCGTGCCCTGTCACGAATACATAGTCGCGGAGACGTTCCCAAATCCACGACCAGCACCCAGACTGGCGAAATGCCCGCCGACGATACCTATCTCACTCCCTCCCGCATTTCCATGCAGTCAATACATCCACGAACGTCGACGAGTATATCTCCCAGCTCACCCACAAAGGAAGACATGAGCGATGTTCCCAAAGTGACTCCTCCGCCCGGGGCCACTTTAGAACAGTCGGTACGGCTATTCAAGGTTTTTGAGGCATTGAGAAGCGGAGATACAAGTGCCATCTCCAAGGCTACACGAGCAGACCCCGAGACGAAGCTACAAGGGACCACGATCCTACACCTGGCCATTCAATGCGCCGACGTGGCGGTGATTGAGTATGTCTTGTCTCAGAGCGAGACCAATGTCAATGTCAAAGATCGAGACGGCAACACTCCCCTCGCTGTAGCTGCATCTCTTGGAAGACTGCCGGTGGTGAAGCTGCTGCTAGAGCAAAAGGACATTAACGACTCACTCCCCAACTATCAAGGCAAGACTGCCCTAGACTTGGCCCGTAACCCGGACATTTTCCAACTTTTGCAGCTGGCACGCTCCGTGTTCATCGACAATAATGTACGGCACATCCACCAGCTGGTTGCGTCTGGCGACTACAATACCCTCGAGCAGCTTTTGAGCGATACACGCGTGCAGTCAATGGTGGACATCAACGGCCCTGAGTTAGCCACAGACCCCGCAACGACTTCAGATGGTGGTAGTCTGCTGCACGAAGCTGCTCGTAAGAAGGATACGAAGCTCGCTCAACTCTTGCTCCTTAACGGTGCGGATCCCTTCCGTAGAGACCGCAGAGGGAAGCTGGCTCAGGACGTCACCAAGGACGATCACACTCGTGCTATTCTCAAGAAGTCACCGGCAGCAGCCGCAGCTCAACGCAGCATTCAGGAAAAGACGATTCTCGGTGAAGGTTCTCAGGCGCCCGCAAGTAGCGACGCTGGCGGACCCGGTAGCAAGGACAGTAGAGAGATGAAAGGCTACCTCAAGAAGTGGACCAACTATAGAGGAGGCTACAAACTTCGATGGTTCGTTCTGGAGGACGGGGTGCTCTCGTATTACAAGAATCAAGATGATGCGGGCAGTGCTTGTCGTGGGGCCATCAACATGAAGTATGTTCAGCTCTATCCATGACATTAAAGCCCGCGCTGACGATGTTTAGAATCGCAAAGCTACAGATGGATCCGAAAGATAAGCAGCACTTTGAGATCATGGGCAGCAAGAGCTCGGTCAAGTACGATCTCAAAGCCAATCACGAAGTCGAATGTAAACGCTGGTTTTGGGCACTGAACAATGCCATCCAATGGGCAAAAGACGAGGCAAAAGAGGAACAGAAGCGGGAGAACCAAGAGGCAAGCGCAAGACATGAGCACCTCGAGCGATYGAAGACCAGAGATCTGGACACAAGCTCGCAGCTCGGCCCGCCTACAGCTACATCTCAATTCGGAGGCAGCACACTTGGCGACCACCTGAGCGCGTACGATCCGAGCGATAACGCCGATGCCGCGTCTGCACAAGATATGCGTTTTCTCGGTCGATCTGCCGCTGGGACAGCTGACGGCTACGACGACGACGAGGATATCGACGACGATGCGAGCAGCCACGAACCACGCCCTACCAACAAAAAGGATGCTTTCAGCATCACTGCGCTGTCCGCCAAATTTCAATTGGATCTTCTCGAGCAGGTTTCCGGGGCGTTGAGCACACAAAGCCGGACGAACCCAGACACGAGACTCGGCGAAGCTAATGTAATTCAAGCGCTTGCAAGCTACGAAGTCGCTGTGGGTAATCTCAAGGGCCTGCTGAATGACATGGGCCGTATCACCAAGGATCACGAGGCGTACTGGCAGTATCGCTTAGAGCGAGAGCAGAATTTGCGAAGAATGTGGGAAGACTCAATGGCGAAGGTCGCAAAAGAGCAAGAGGCACTTGAGACCCGAATTGGGGAGAGTGAGGATAAAAGGAAGAGGACGAAGAAGAGATTGCGGGAGGCGTTGGAGGGTGGATCTCAGCAAGGAACTCCAGTGGGTGAAGCGGTAAACAAGCCATTGTTGGAAGTCCCAGCCGCCGGTATCAAGAGAAGACCGACGTTAGCTGCTTTGAGTGACGACGAGAGCGACGAGGAGGAAGAAGAGTTCTTTGACGCAGTTGATGCCGGAGAGGTGGAGGTTGTGCAGAGTTTGCCGGTGCTGGCCAAGGAGCCCTCGCAACAGGCGGCCGCGGTGAAGCAGCCAGATACTGATCTCGCAAGTGCAAGCGCCGATCCTGCATCCACGAAAGATCGTCAAAACCGGCAGACCGATATCGAGAAGAGTTACAAAGGCTATGAAGATGGGCTCAGGAAGAGACTGAAGCTGGACGCAGATAACCGTCCAAAGGTTGGGCTTTGGGTTAGTATTCTCACTCCTGCGAGGCTTGCTATTACTAACCAATTCATCTGCAGGGCATCCTCAAGTCTATGATTGGCAAAGACATGACCAAGATGACTCTTCCTGTCYCCTTCAACGAGCCAACCTCTCTCCTCTACCGCGTTGTTGAAGATATGGAATACACCGACCTCCTCGACACTGCGGCTACACGATCTGATTCAACCGAGCGTCTGGTTTACGTTGCTGGGTTCGCGGCGTCTGAGTACGCTGGTACCATCGGTCGCGTTGCAAAGCCTTTCAATCCGCTTCTTGGCGAGACTTATGAATATGTCCGGCCTGATCAGGGATACAGGTTCTTCATCGAACAGGTCAGCCATCACCCTCCCGTTGGCGCGGCATTCGCAGAGAGCAAGAACTGGACATACTACGGCGAGAGTTCCGTGCGATCAAAATTCTACGGAAAGTCATTCGAGTTCAATCCGTTGGGTACTTGGTTTTGTCACATTCGGCCCGAGGATGGAAGTCCGGAGGAAGTGTACACATGGAAAAAGGTCACGAGCAGTGTTGTGGGTATCATCACCGGCAACCCTGTGGTCGATAATTACGGCCCAATGGAAGTCAAGAACTGGACTACTGGCGAGGTGTGCTACTTGGATTTTAAGCCAAAGGGTTGGAAGGCATCTTCCGCATTCCAAGTTAGCGGCAAGGTCGTCGATGCCAAGGGCGTGACGCGATGGAGTATGGGTGGGAGATGGAACGATCGCATTTACGCAAGGCTCACTCCTGGCTATGAAGTCGCGGATGTCACTGCAAAGGGAGGTGACGAGAAGGCTTTCCTGGTATGGGAAGCGCACTATCGACCTCCCATGGGCGAGATTCCATTCAACATCACACCTTTTGTGGTTACATTGAATGATCTTGCAGATAAGTTGAAGCCGATCCTTCCACCTACGGATTCGAGACGCCGTCCAGACCAGAGAGCCATGGAGGAGGGCGAGTACGACTTCGCTGCTGAGGAGAAGAACCGTGTCGAAGAAGCTCAGAGAGCGAGAAGGAAAGCCAGGGAGGCGAACGGGGAGGAGTTCGAGCCGAGATGGTTCCGAAAGGGGAAGCATGAGGTGACTGGGGAGGAATTCTGGCAGTTTGGTGGAGACTACTGGGACATCAGAGACGGTGTTGCCAAAGGAGAGAGGAAGTGGGAGGATGAGGGGCTGGAGGAGATTTTCTGATCTCACGTAGTGGATTCCGTAGCATTGATTTCGAATATACCCCAAGCCTTTCTCGCCACGCATCTTGTCATCTGCTGGAGATGGGATTGGTTCAAGAGCGTTCCCTTTTGAGGTTTCTCCGAGCATGTGAAGAACTGTCCGCGCACAATGTTCGCCTTCGAAGTAATCGATGTTCGCTCTTAATGCCCCTTCATTCAGTGTTCCAAAGTAATGACATCGAGGTCTTTGTTTTGTTGGAGTTGCCAGTCTCCTTAAAGGTATGTAGTTGTAATGTTCCATGGAACCCTTGACATACTAATTTTTGGTTTGATGACTACGTCGTTAGTCACAAGGTTGTTCGATGTCTCGAGTCTTGACACCTCACTCAACCTGTTTCTTGACCATTCTATCGTAAGAAAACGCATCCAGCAGAGGACAGACTTGCGTAGGCTCAGTGGCGTCAATTGTGGCATGAGGAACTCACACGTAAGCGCCTCAAGACGTCCTCGCGTATTGTACTGACCAGAGCAGCACATTACGAGCCCACGACATATCAGCAATACATGGGACGATGAACCGACATCATAAAGGATATTTATCTTCGCCCGTCAATTCAAGCATCAAGCCTTACAAGCCTTCAACGGGCTTGTGGTCATCGCACACTGGCTGAGTAGCAAACTTCCTGCTCGCTGGACTGGATCACAGCCATCACTTGCGCCAATGCCTTCCAACGATTCTCTGCTCCACGCCTCTGATCTACTCAAACACTACGAAGATTACGGCGTGGTGATATGCCGCACATGTCAGTTTGCGGTTCAGCCGTCTGCACTCGCAAGCCATCTGCTCAAACACCAGATATATCGAGGCGAGCGCCGAAAATTACTCTCACAGCTATGCAAACTCCAACTGAAGGATCCAAGTGATGTTGTGGACCCCCCTTCCAGCTCATCGCCCGTTCCTGAGCTCCCGGTATACAAGGGACACAAATGTTTGATGCCGGGATGCGATCATGTATGTGCCAGTGTGAAGCGCATGGCTCAGCACTGGAGTGACGTTCACGGTGAGCGGGAATCACGAAACGTGCGAGCGAGAGACTGTTGGCTTCAGACATTCTTCAGGGGCAACAAAATCCGCTACTTCGAAGTGACTGCTCCGCTCGAGTCTCATACATCTGGGCCCGGGTTTGCGTCCCCGCCGGCGAGCATAACAACCACAAACTCGGGCGGCCGTGGCGAAGAAACGGAAATCAATGGCAATGGCAATGGTAACCTCCAGCGTCAATTAGATTCTCCCCCGCCGTTGGACATGGTCGCACTACGGTACCTTCACCACTTCACCACCGTCACGAGCTTGACACTGCCCAAATCAGACATTGAGACGACCTACCACTGGTCAATAGTTGTTGTGCAAGAAGCYCTCAAGTTCCCATTCCTGATGTACGGTATTCTTGGTCTGGCTGCCTTTCACCTTTCCAGGACCAGCTCTGAAGATTCACTCGAGAAGCAACAACACCAARAAGCGTCGACCTTGTACCAGAATTGCAGCTTGTCCGACTTCCGCGATCTAACTCAACGTCCAGACTCAAGCAATGCAGTGGCATTGATAGCCTATGCTCGAGCTATCAGCATCCAGCGATGCTGCCGCATTCCGGACTGTGAGGAAGGCTACAACGATCTAAGTCAGATTGTCGAATTTTTGCATCTCATGCGTGGCAGTATCGAAACTTTGATATCACTGCAAAAGTTCCTCCCAGACGACAGCGATTTCAAGCTTCCTATCGAAGAGTTSGAGYACCTCGATCWACACAATGACCTTCCAGGAGAGGCTCCCACGAATCCTTCGAATATCCCGCCTGACTTCCTTGCACGCCTCACTACCCTCCCTTTCCGGCTGTACGACCGATTTGCCAAGACACCCCCAGACCCTTCCGAGCTGGAGACACCCAACGCCAAAGCTGCCTGGTCAGCTTGCGTGTCCCTCGTCACGGCTTTTGAACGCATGTATGCATGTCCCAAAGTGGAGGATCCTTCCGGATATTTCACAGGGTCCAGCGAYAGCGATGAGATAGCATTAGTGTGGAGTGGATTGAATTATTGGGCGCGCCACGTTCCAGATCAGTTTTTGCGGATGTTGGAGGAGAGAAATCAACCCGCGTTGATCATCTTTGCGCATTTCTGCATACTGCCGAGGAAGTTTGGAGATCGTTATTGGTTCTGCCAGGGAGTTCCGGAAAGATTCTTGGTGTGGATCCTGGCTGTTCTGGATGACGATCTGAAGGGTTTCGTTGAGGATCTGATTTGATTTGGTCCATCTTCTCTCCGTCGTATGCCATGTGCAGATAGATGGAGTGGACTGGCAGGGGTGCTTCGTTGCGACTGCACTTGCTTGGAGTTCAATTCTGCCGTAGCCCATGAACGGGCACAAGCTGGACATTCCACCCGACGTGCTGGATCGCGATCTCATGCAGTTGCGCCTCCAGTGTTGAGGCATGAACCACATCTTGAGCTCCTCTCCACAGGACTTTCTTGGCGACAAATCGATGTTCGAAGACCAGGGCATCGTAAAGCTCGGAACAGGTTGTGGATTTCGGTCGAGGTGATAAGGTGTGCAGTGGGAAATGAACCAGTTTCAATGATCTTGTCCAGCCGACTGATGATACGACGAAGGTGGTAGTGTGTATATTTGGGACCATCRTTCCAAGAATGGATGTAGAATTGGGTTGGATGTGGTATTGGCGGATGCGTGTCTGAAATGTAATAGAGATGGTGCATCATACCCTCGCGATCTTATCACATATCTTCCATCTATCGATACAGCAATCTCCAAACCTCCTCGCCAATCGCCAAAGAACTCGTCAACCCAGGACTTTCTATCCCCAAGAGATTCACGAATCCTTCAACACCCTCCTCTTTCTTGATGTAGAAATCCTGAAAGCCCTTTCCAGCGGTCGCACTCAATCTTCCCAACTTGGGTCTTATCCCTGCGTAGCCGAGGGATATCGCATCAACATCAATGCCTGGCAGGAAAGATTGAATCTCCTCGAGAGCAGCAGCAAACCTTTCACGATTCGGCGTCGGAGCGAGATCGTTGGGAGATTCTACCCACTCGACATCCGGTCCAAAGCGCATTTGTCCGCCCATGTCGAGTGTGAGATGTGTTCCCAGACCACCAAGACCCGGAGTCGGGGCGGGATAGACGAGCGTGGATGGTTTGGGATGTGATTTGGAATACGTGTAATACGTCCCTTTGGCGTAGAAAGGTTTGATGTGTCTGTCAGGCGGCAGGATCATGTTATTTATCGCACATGCGTAGAGTCCCGCGGAGTTGACGACGGTCTCGGCAGTTATGAATGTATCTTCTTCGGGAGAAGAGCTCTGAGAAGGATGCTGAGGTGTTGGAGAGGATGGCGTGGGTTCAGTCGTTCCTGCACCTGTCCAGATCTTCCATTCCGCACCCCCAGATGAAGGAGGCGAAATTCGAGTGACGGGACTACACAGCGCCAGCGTGCCTCCTGCGTTCTCAAAGTCGCCTTGTAGATGTTGCATGAAATCGTGTGAGTCTACAATCCCCGTTGTTGGAGATTCGAGAACGCCCGATTCAGCACGTACTTCCGGCTCTCGACGTTGAGCTTCTTCTTTCGATACGTATCGAATGRGAATGGACATGGACTTGGCAAAATCGTGGACTTTTTCACACTCGGAYATTTGAGCATTTGTTTGGGCGACGATCCACTTGCCGCAGTTCATGTGCGGAATCCGTTCTTTCTCGCAAAAGTCATACATCATCTCTTTCCCCTTCAAACAAAGGCGGGTTTTGAGACTGTCCGGACCATAGTAGAGGCCGGCATGAATGACCTGAGGTTTTGCATTTCAGTCTTGATGGCGCATGACGATGCTTGAGGTGTATTGGATGGAATACCTCGGAATTGCGAGAACTGGTCTCAGAACCCACCATGCTGTGCTTTTCTATCAGCACCACTTGAGCTCCCGGGACTTGTTGCAGACGGCGGGCGATAGCCAGGCCAACTGCTCCAGCGCCGATAACGGCATGTGTAAAGTCTGCTCGGACATGACGGGAAGAAGAAAAAGAGCGGACGTGAGGAAGGAGAGAAGATGTGCGGCGAGAGAACGTGTTCATTGTGGGGTGGGAATTGGAGCATACAACGCCACTGGTATGGGTAGGTATTGTTGGAGGATGGAAATGTGACTAAAGAGGAAAAGAAAGCGGAGATCATCAGATGGAGATGAAGTTTGTGAAGAAGATGAAGGCAACTCTTCTGACAGCCGTCACGTCAGCCTTTGCGCCTTGGTGCGCAGGTTATACCCGTAGTATAAAATCGGAAAGATTCAGGACATGTGTTCATACGTAGAAGCTTTCAAGTTACAGGTGTTGTCTTCGCGTTCGAAAAGATGGCGCGTGGGACGCACTTTCTAACAAGTGACGTGTCTTGAATCCATCCTCCCAAATTTAGACGTGGTCAACGTCGCCCTCCCATTTATTATTCTTCTCCCTTTCACTTTCCAATAACACCGCCGCAATCATGGCCGAATCCGCACCGCCCGAGCAGCAGGGTGCACCGCCGCCGGCACAGGAAGGACCACCATCACAGGATGGAGCACCACAACAAGGACAAGCACCCACAGGACCCGGCCAGATCCAATTCCAATTCCCTCCCGGCGCACCCCAACCCTCACCGGAACAACTGCGCGCGATGCAGCAGCAACTGGCGGCCGAGGCGGAGAAGGCGGGACTGACCATTCCTCAATATATTGAACGACTCAAGGAACAAATGGCAGCTCATCAACAACGACAAGCCCAAGCACAACAACAGCAGCAGGCGCAGGCGCAACAATCCGCACAGCCGGGTCAGCAAGTTCCCATTGCTCCCGGTCCACCCAAACCAGAAGCGCTCGCCCTCGCTGCCTTTCTTCAATCCTCCGCCGCCAACCTCAAACCCCGTACCTGCATCTTTCAAGAGAAGCGCAAGGACATGTTCAAGGTCAAACGAGCGATCCGTGCCCTGCATTCCGACGCCTACAAGAAGGCACGTGCGAAGAATCCGCTGCTACCGGAAGTAAACGATCGCGTAACGGCGGAGAACACATTCAAGCTACTGCCATTGTCGATGCTGGCGTTGCGGGTGGAAAAGATTGATCCACACGAGGGACACGACCACGGAAAGAAGAAGCGGACAAAGGGATTGTGGACTGTCAAGGTCGTTCCACAACAAGAAGCTGCGGATGAGTTCCACTATGTCTGGATATACGAGGGCGCGCAATGGAAGAACAAGCTGTACGCGGGAGGAGCACTCCTCGCCATTTTGATGGTAGTCTTCTTCCCTGTCTGGCCATACACCCTCCGTATTGGAGTGTGGTATGTCAGCATGGCGATGCTTGGACTGCTGGGTCTGTTCTTTGGAATGGCCATTGTGCGACTCATCATCTTTCTGCTCACTGTCTTCACAGTCAAGCCCGGTCTATGGTTATATCCAAATCTCTTCGAGGATGTGGGCTTCTTCGACTCGTTCCGCCCCGTCTGGGCATGGCACGAGGATGAGAAGGCTATGAAGAAGCGGAAGAAGGAAGAGCGAGAGGCGAAGAAGGCAAGGAGAGCGAAGGTCGGAGCCGGGGGAAAGGATGTCCATGGAAGTGTAGAAGCGATTCAGGAGGCTGCGGATACTGCAACAACGGGACTGGAGAATAAAGGAAACGCTGTGACGCAGAGGAGCATTCCCCAGCGGGCACAGGTGGAGGAGGCAGATGATGATTGAGTGATTGCTTATGTTGCACGGCGTTTTGGGAAGGGAAACGGGCATTGAGGACAGATGAGCTTGACAACCACAGCGTTCATGATTGCGCGGGATGGCTATCAATTGTATACCACAGATCTGGGTAGCGCTTGTTCTGGCATATCTACTGCGCACGATGGCATTTGCCTGATTAGAGGTAAAACTCGCACACTTACCGACTAATCGCTCAGCTGCAACATACTACAAAAATGCACTCAGTTCCTACAGCATATCTATACCGCCGATCTTGAGATCCTGCCGTCCACCACGGAGAAAAAGGTATGGTCTTTTCCGGACTTGCCGGATCGTCCGCCGGCCGCCAGTGAAACTCAAAATTACATGCACTTTCAACTTCGACAAATTCTGGGCTGCATGTGACAGATTTGCTCGACACGTAACTATTTCTCTTCACCTTATGGATGGAACTTCCTGCACTTCGGTGCCGTTGTCGCTCCCGCCAAAACCGCGGCACGTCAGCTCCACCAGTACCCCTGTCGAGATCACGGACGAGCGGTAAAATACGTCAGCAGCCCGCGGTTGTCAATGGATGTCGTGTTTATATTTTTTCCTTGAGTCACTCCTTCTCCTTATTTGACTTGTTAGTTATCTTGGTGTATTGCGTTCGGCGCGTCTTCTCTTCACCGCCATCTTCTCTTCCACCCTGTCAACATGGCGGCTTCCGCGATGCTCAAAGCCCGCTGTCGACATCCCGCGTATCTCTCGAAACTAGCAAAGGCGGAGGATTTGATTGAACACTTTCCACATGGAAGCTACATTGGATGGAGTGGGTTTACGGGCGTGGGATACCCGAAGATGGTATCGAATTGTACTTTTTGAGCAAGACATGGTCCACGGTGGGCTGATGTTTTGAGTCTTGCAGGTCCCTACCGCATTGGCGGATCATGTCGAGAAGAACAACTTGCAGGGAAAGTTAAAGTACAACTTGTTCGTGGGTGCTTCGAGTGGAGCGGAGACGGAGAATCGTTGGGCGCGGAACAACATGGTAAGGGTGGACAGTTTAAAGCAATGAACTCCTTTGCTAAACACTTGCAACACAACAGATCGAAAGACGAGCACCTCACCAAGTCGGCAAGGAGATTGCCAAAGGCATCAACAATGGCAACATCAACTTCTTCGATAAACACTTGTCCATGTTTCCAGTGGATCTCATGTACGGCTTCTACACCAAACACAAGGCCAACAACAGTCTGGACGTTGCGATTGTGGAGGCATCTGCAATCACAGAAGACGGCGGCATCATTCCGGGTGCGAGTGTCGGAGCGTCACCAGAAATCATTCAGATGGCCGACAAGATCATCATTGAGCTGAATACCGCATCGCCTTCTTTCGAAGGCCTTCATGATATCACTTATACAGATCTTCCCCCTCTCCGCAAGCCATATATGATTACTGCTCCTGAAGATCGCATTGGCACCCCTCACATCGCTGTCGATCCGGAGAAAGTGATTGCAATCGTGGAATCCACCTACCCAGACCAAACTACACCCAACACTCCAGAAGACGAGAACAGCAAAGCAATTGCCCGAAACCTGATCGAGTTTCTCAAACACGAAGTTCAACACGGCCGTCTCCCAGAGAACCTCCTCCCTCTTCAATCAGGAATCGGAAATATCGCCAACGCCGTTGTGGGAGGTCTCTCTGGCGGTGAAGCCAACTTCAAGAACCTCAAAGTCTGGACCGAAGTCCTCCAAGACACCTTCCTTGACCTCTTCGACTCCGGCAACCTCGACTTTGCAACCGCCACCTCCATCCGCTTCAGTCCTGAGGGTTTCGCACGCTTCTATGAACGGTGGGAAGAATATACCCCCAAACTCCTCCTCCGCTCCCAGGCCGTCAGCAACTCTCCTGAGATCATTCGAAGATTGGGAGTCATCGCCATGAACACTCCAGTCGAAGTCGACATCTACGCACACGCCAACAGTACTTGTGTAATGGGATCCCGCATGCTGAACGGTCTAGGCGGATCCGCAGACTTTCTTCGAAGTGCAAAGTACAGCATCATGCACACACCTTCTACCCGCCCGACGAAATCAGACCCTACAGGAGTGAGTTGCATCGTACCAATGTGCACGCATGTAGATCAGACGGAACACGACTTGGATGTTGTGGTGACGGAGCAAGGTTTTGCGGATGTGCGAGGTATGGCTCCGAGAGAGAGGGCGAGGGAGATTATCAAGAAATGCGCACATCCAGATTACGTCCCCATCCTGCAAGATTACTTTGACAAGGCCGAGTTTGAGTGTTTGAGAAAGGGCTGGGGTCACCAGCCTCAGAATTTATGGCACGCATTTGATATGCACAAGCACTTGAATGAAATGGGTACGATGAAATTGCCCAAATGGCAGTTTTGAGCTGGAAATTAGGGAAGAATGTTCGGTCAGAGGCTCACAGGAAGAGAAGATATGAAATGGCAATCTTCAAGCAGTGACGAAATAGATATAGACAACTCGATACMAAAATAGAGTAAGGAATGAAGAAGATGGTGGCACAGTGTGGCAAGTCGGACTGTATAATCGCAACTAGTGAAACCCTCATTCACTAACTGCAGCGCTCTGCAATAAAACAGATGCCTCAAAGGCAGCACACGTCTGCACAAMACGTCCAAGGGCCGCCGAAATTGAAGATTGCCGCCTCTCTATGTGGTGAATACGTCGACAATGCTTATGAACAGGTAGCTACAAGCATGGAAAGCAGCAGACTCGTGGAGAGTCAAATACGAGTGATTAAATGTCATCGAATGATGTCTTCGTTGTTGCAGAAAATACAAGATTTTGGCCTGCTTACAGGCAGGGCGGCAACGTTCAATTTCATCCGCCCTTGGTCCAGTCATGTGGGAGGTGGGAGATTCGGAAGCACATGAAGAAGATTCATTCCAATACAACACATCTATCTATCCCACAATTTTTTAAACCTGCTCGTTGATGAAGATGGCAGCCATTCCCTGCCCAGTACCGATACACATGGTAGTCAACAAGACCTTGGCCTTTTGTCTTCTGCACTCGCTCAGACCAGTGACGATTTGTCTCGCACCAGTGCATCCGAGAGGGTGTCCCAGGGCAATCGCACCACCACGAATGTTCATCTTCTGCCAGTCAATCTTCAGCACATCCCGGCAATAGCATGCCATGCTTGCGAAAGCCTCGTTCAACTCAACAATGTCAATGTCGTTGATGGTCAAACCCCACTGAGACAGGAGCTTGGGCACAGCGATGGATGGACCGATACCCATGATTCTAGGCGCGAGACCAGCAACGGTGGCACCAACAAACTTGGCCATGATGGGCTGACCAAGCTCGAGAGCCTTGCTACGCTTCATGAGGAGAATGGCAGCACATCCGTCTGTGACTTKCGAGCTGTTGCCTCCAGTGCTCCTGTCACCAAAGTCGGGGAAAGCGGGGCGAATCTTCTGAAGAGACTCGAAGGTGGTTCCCCAGCGTGGACCCTCATCCTTGTTGATGACAACATCCTTACCATCGACCTTGACAGTGATGGGTGTGATTTCATCGTCGAACCAGCCAGCCTTCTGCGCGGCCTCGGCACGGCGGTAGGACTCGGCAGCGTAGCGATCTTGCATCTCACGGGAGATGTTAAAGTCCGAACCGACATTCTCCGAAGTCTGACCCATGGGYTGCATGCAGTCGCGAGCTTCTTGGTTCTTGGCCATGAGCTCTTCGTCAAAGGGACGGGTGAGGCGGTCACCGCCCTCGCTCATGGACTCGGCACCCATTGCTACACCGATATCGATGGCGCCCGAGGTGATTTGGTTGGCAATGTCTTGGACGGCCTTGAGGCCAGACGAGCAGAAGCGGTTGACGGAGTAGCCGGCGGTGGTGTTGGGGAATCCAGCGGCGAGCATTGCAGCGCGAACATAGTAGGCGGCTTTGGCATCGGAGACCTGGTACATTGATCAGACGCTGATATTGTAGCCCAGRTCGCATCATCTTCACTCACGTTACCCAAGCAGATATCCTCCACAAGCTGAGGGTCGAGGTTGGACTTTCGGATGACCTGCTCGAGGGTCTTCATGACCATCAACTCCAGGTGAGTGTCCTTGAGACCTCCCTTGCGGGCCTTGCATAGCRGCGTTCGGATGGCGAGGGTAATGACAATGTCGTCGGGGTTCTTCTGCTGGCTGTGGAAAGAAACATGGACTGTCAGCTCGTCGGTTCTTGGTGGGGTCTTCTTCTACGCGCAGGAGTGGAGAAGGGACGCTGGGTTTGGCTTACATCTTGTCCACGGGCTTCTGCCCGGGAGTCAGCTGGGAAACAAACGATGAGATTCTCTGAGCGGCCATTTTGTGATTGGTGATGGGTGGATGTAAGGTCTTTGGGAGGAGGCAACAAAGGTGATATACCACCGACGATCAGATGTTAGGTACGCTCACCTCGTGGCCCCAGACACCTCGGCTGATCGATCCCTCGGCAGCTGACGGGCCCACAGCAACCAAACATCTACGGCGTGTACGGCCGGTAGTTTTGCGGTCGGACATGTACAACATCACCACCTGTCGCTGAGAATGGCCCCGGCAGAGGCGGTCGGTGTGCGTTTCTCCAATGGCTGCAGTATCTATCACACAAAGCCAAGGCGCATATATCAAGAAATTCTTTGAAGAGATAGACCTCTCCAWGCACGAATTATCCCCATCCAATGCGACAGCCTTTACCATGGTGTACGAGTGCGAGGAGCCTCTGGAGGCCGTCAAGAATGGTGCGCTGTATCAGCCCTGTCATGGTTCTTTGCAGGACATTCGCTTTTCAGACCTCATGATAGARGAGGTCATCGAGAGAGCACAGATCGCGTTTGACAGGAAAGTGACGACTTGACCTGCAGCTTGAGATGGACCACGGCGCAATGAGATGGACATAGGTCGCCTTGATACGTCTCACTGACACACTTTTGGCTTGCTACGCAGTACCTGAGAGCTCGAAGCTTTTTGGGGACGAATCTCTACCCAGCTCACGCTGCGGAGCCACGACCATGAAGAACAAACACGATATGTCGGTGACAATGCATAGCGCTTCGTCCAAGTCAATAACGATCATTACAGAGGTATAAACTCATGAGAGTGTTTCCGCGGCGCAGCGAGCAGCGCACTTTTGCATCAAGCAATGCATGCAACCAAAACTCCGCGCTCTTCAATATCAAGATAATATCCGTCTACAACATTCCGAGGACGACCATTCCAACGCCACCGAGCGCAGCAGCAGCAGCGATTGGCATGTTGGTAGCCGCAGCCATACCCTCAGAGGTGTCGGTTGCGGAGGATKCAGCGTCTCCAGCCTTGGAGGTAACACTTCCGATGGCGTTGGAGCCACTGCGGGAAGCAGATGCGATGGCGCTAGACTGGGCAGCGACGGCGGAGGTGGCAGAGTTGAGGGCCTCGCTGGCGGAAGATGCGGCCTCGCCGGTGGCGGTAGCGAGCTGTTTGGAGATGGACGAAGCCGCAGCGAGCGCCGAAGACTGCGCAGCGTAGATGAGGCTTTCGGCGTCGGCAATGATGGAGCTCTGGGCACCTTGGGCTGCAGTCGCGATGCTGAGAGCAACCGAGTTGCGCGAGGCTTGCTCCTGTGTGTTGAATACGTTAGTTGACATATCAGATGAAACGTGCTTCACGTAGAACGTGTTTGTTGACGCGTCGGAGGGTTCATGTCGCGGAACCTTACCTCGGGAGTGCCTGCGCCAGTGCTGATAGCAGACGAGACCGCAGAGATCACGGAAGAAATGCCAGATTCGATGACGTCGCCAATATCGGTGGTGGTGGTGGTCTGAGCAGCGACGAGAACGCTGAGGCCCGACAGAATGATGGTACCGGCGCGCATATTTGCTGTTTGTTTGGTTGGTATGGTTTGAAAGTTAAAAATCTGGTGGATCGAAAACTGGGTATCTTCTTCGAATTGGATGTGGCTGTAAAAAGGTCGGTGTTTGCTGAAGTGACAGTGTTTAGATGGACAGACAAGACGGACAAGAGCGAGTGTTGTTTACGGTATTGAGCAAGGCAGGAGCAGCCTCTGCCTCATATGTAACGAAACGCCCTCGCGACTCGTGCTTACGGCGAAAACGCCCAACCAAGCATTTCATTAGAATGTCGGTAACCTAACCTGATATGGCCATGTCTCGTGTTCACGCAGGGCGCCAAGGGCCCCTTTTTAGAGTGGCAACCAAGTAGAACCGGCATTCCGCCTGTCGAGTCTGGCCTACTTCACCGGCGGGATGGAGAAACATGATGGCAACGACACAATGCAATTGTGACGGCAGGAGAATTTCGTCCTATGTAGCACCTTCCATTCAGTCGCTGGAAGTTGTACGGAAGATGCCAAATCGCCAATGCCTGCCCTGACATCGTGTGATGCGAGCTGCCGTACAGTAGGGTACCGATGCTGCGGTTACACGACTGGCCAGCAAACCAACCCTGGTTGCATAACGCAGCAAGGAACTGCTTCTCCACAGTGAATCCGTCTGGTGATGTGGCATCTGCCATCAAAGTCTGCCTTGCGTCGAACACCAGGGTTAGGGTTGGGGTAGTGCAATATTGACCAACATTCCACACGTTTGGAGGAAGCATACTGTGGAATCATTCTGTCTGGTACTTTAGCTAACGTATGCTAAGAACGGCTCGCTCTTATTGGAGAGCCAGAGATCCGAAAAAGAGAATCTAAAGGGTAAGCACGTTATGTTATGCTGAGGTTTGGCGCACAGGACAAAGACTGAACGACWTGACCAACGTTTCTACCGTTGCACTGAAGGCGAGCCCTTGTTGGAATTTGACAAGATACAATGGTCAGTCGAGAGCGTGTAGCTTTGTCCACAGCTTATTGCCTGGCAATCCGCACTCTTGACTCGTCGATTGTGAGCAGTCCCACGGCCTGAGATATGCTGGGCAATGTCAAGGCGGCATGACACAGATCAAGACCGACAAGCGCCGAGTCTCGTAACACACGCTCGCACCGACGATATTGAAGACACCTTTGCTCGCTGCGCAGCTTCTGCTGATGGAAGCCTCCAAGATCATATCGGTGTTCTGACGCTGGTGGTGGCAGCAGCGACCGGAAGAGCAGGGACAGGGCTCGGGCAGTCAGCACGTCTTACTTTCAACGACAGCGAGCCGTCTCGATGCATGAATCACATCCACGCAATACCAGCAGTCCTCTGCATTCACAAGGGGTGACGACAGGATGCAGAACCACCACAAGAGACAGTCTCGGCGGTACAGTGTGCATCATTGACGGATAGTTACATCGAACGGCTAACACCCTAGCGATGGCGATGGCGACAGTAACGACTTTGATGGGCAGAGACGTTCTGCTTCAATCATGATTATTGGTCAAGATGCGGCGAAGATTGGTAAGATGGAGCCACGAAGCCGATATCGTCAAAACCAGGCGAACATGCCCGTTAAACCCAACGGACTTAAGCGCTGCGAAGTTCGGCACACAGAACTGTCCACTGTGCCATGTGCCGTTAGCCGGCTAGTGATAACGGGTTGCGGCGTGGCTACCGCATCATCGCTGGTGATCTGCGATCCTTGACAGAAGCATGTCTTCGCTCGAGAGCGGTTTGAAGCGCTCGTGAGCAAACCAATCATGGTCGATTCAAGTAAAACGTCAACCGATGGACCGGAAGATACAGTAGACGCCGACAGTCGCGAGAAACCTCAAGAGCAGGATTTGGAAAAGAACATAGCCGAGCAGTCCAAGAAAGAAGAAGCGTTCCTCGTCAAATTTGAAGATAACGAGAGCAGCAACCCCAGGAACTGGTCAAACCCATACAAGGCATGGATCACATTGCAACTCGGCTTTCTAGCGTATTTGCCCTTGGACCTTCGACTTCCAGATCAACCTACTGACGCACTGTAGTTTCACCGGCTCGGTCGGAAGCTCGATAATATCACCTGCAGCGCCGATTCTAGCAGATGAGTTCGGCATCTCCCAAGAGGTTGTCGTCCTCACGGTAGCTCTATACGTTTTGGGTTTCGCTCTGGGGTAAGCAAATATACCAGCAGGATCAGACCTCATGAACGCCCATCCCTTTGCGAACCATTCCAGACGCAGATGAAGTCATCCTCAATGATTAACTCTTTTCTAGTCCCATGATGTGGGTAAGTCGACGTATCGTAGTGCACTCGACAGCTTTCAAGGCCAACAACCACATTAGGGCCCAATAAGTGAAGTCTATGGCCGCAAATGGAGTATGCTACCCGCCGTCGCCGTCCTTGGTCTGTTCAGTATAGGCACAGCCACAAGCAGGAACGCTCAAAGTCTCTTCCTGACCCGGTTCTTTGGTGGCCTCTTCGGCTCATCTCCTATATCCAATGTCTCGGCCGCCCTGGGAGACATGTACGAGCCAAAGGCCAGAGGACTTGCCATGACGTTTTATGCTGTCATGGTTGTAGGAGGTGCGTTGACCCAGACAACGTACAACAGCGGAGTTGCTAACTGCTCCCAGGGCCAACGCTGGGACCCGTAGTAGGCAGTGCTCTTACCAACAACAAGGCTTTAGGATGGCGATCGACAATGTACGCCCAAGCAATGTTCGTAGCCGTCATGGTTCTTACCACCTTCTTCGCCATGCCGGAGGTGTATGGCCCAGTATTGCTCAAAAGGAAAGCCAAACGTGTACGAAAGGAGACCGGAGACGAGCGATTCTGGCACCCACATGAAGCCGAGAAGATTCGTCTGAATAACGTTATAAACAAGTACTTCAGCAGACCTCTCCGTATGTTGGTCACTGAACCGGTGGTAGCAAGCGTGAGTCAGGTCAATCGCAGTACAAAACATACGACTTACCGAGATTTCTAGATTGCCTGTTATGCCTCCTTCGTGTATGGCATCCTATATCTGACTCTTGAAGTCTTCCCAATAGTCTTCAGGGAGCAGAGAGGATACAGTCTAGTCTTATCCTCACTACCGTTTCTTGGTCTCTTCGTCGGTGTCCTCTGCGCTGTGGGAATAAACCTCGCCAACCAAGGCCGCTACGCAAAAGCCGTAGAAAAGAACAACGGACGTTCTGCACCTGATGCACGTCTCCCTCCAATGGTCGTCGGTGGCGTTCTCTTTACTGCTGGTCTGTTCTTCTTTGGCTGGACAGCTGCTCCGGAATATCATTGGATACTACCCGTTGTTGCGGCCGGCTTGATAGGAGCTGGCTTCAATACCATCTTCCAACAGTGTATCAACGTTTTGGTAGACACATATGGTTTATACGCCGCTAGCGCCACGGCTGCCAATACATTTTTGCGATCCTTGTTCGCTTTTGGGCTTCCGCTCGTAGCTGGACCCATGTTCCGAAACCTGGTGAGCAGCCACCACTTACGGTCGACCGTGTCCATTGCTTATTCATTTACAGGGTGTAGGGCCTGCTGCATCAGTTCTTGGTGGAATATCTTGTCTTGGACTTCCCGTACCGTAAGTTCTGTTCTCGTAGCCACCGCATCTCGATGCTGACACTTCAATAGGTTCATATTCATGGCCTTTGGGGATCGGCTTCGGAAGAATTCCAAGTTCGCTCCAGCATCGTGAATGGGCGTCGCAATGTTCTGCCATATATATACATACATACTGCACTACAGTTCTGTACACAAATGTAGGATCTGACTGACAAGAACGACTATCTTGCCGAGTATGTTAGCAGAGCCTTTGCGTCGAAAGTCCGGTTCTTTGACCGCCATGATGTCAATACTACCACCACGCCTAACGTCCGCTTTAGACAGAGCTGCCGATATAAGGATCATTCATTGGGATGAGAATGTCTCATCCATCTCTATAATATCCAATGACCTCGCTCTCTGCAGGCTCGACAATTTTAGGCTTGCTAGAATCCTCGCTACTAGCAGAGAAGTACGTGAATTAATCGAGAGAGCAGTTCACGGTACTACTCTTGTTAATGATTTCTCATATCGACAGCTCTGGCTTTAGAGCGCAGCCGATAACATATTCGCGCAAGCAAATGAGTAAGACGCAGGCGTCCAGAAAGGCCTCAGGTGGCCTGTCATTTACCACAACTCTGAGATTACATGAGCTCTGGAGCCAGGTTTTCCTTCTCGTCCAGCACCTCTACATCCCAGAGCTGTCGGTCGACATGAGGATTTTTCATCGAGACAAGACACTTCTAGTCGTCTTTATAACGTCTTTAGGCCTTGCACTCCGCAGAAAGAACGGTTCTAGAGCTGCTAGAACCTTTATTACTAGCAGAGTGCCCCGTTATTTAACGGAGAGGGCAGTTAAGGGCGCGGTTTTTTTGGGGTGATTCTCTCATATCGACAGCGCTGCTACATCCTCGTCCTCGTCCTCGTCCTCGTCCTCGTCCTTGATCTTCGCCTTTTTGGCGGGCGGACCCATCAGATCTTCCTCCTCTTCCTCATCCCACACAACAGGTCCAGGTGCCGCAATATGCGGCCAGGTATCATCTGGGCGGGTGCCTCTCGGGAGGTGCTCGTGAGCTGAGTATACTATTAATGAGCTGTCGGCACACGCCGCGGAGGGCTGGGAGACTACGGTCCGCATCGTGTTGAAGCCTTTTGGCATAGCAGTCTTCGCCTGAAGGGGCAAGATATTAGCTGTTAGCCAATCTTAGAGCTGCGAGAGTGCTCTCCGGTAGCATTGTGGCTTATCAAGTATTCGAGACGGTCGCTAACAACGCTGATATTGGATTATTCACTTACCTTCTTTCTCTTGCCTCCCTTCTTCTCCTCAGCTGGCGGCGGAGACTCAGTGACGGCGGCGGAGCGGGACTTGCGCGAGGGACGGGCAGAAGAGTCAAGATGGGCGGCAGTGGAGGTCTTGCGTGATCGCGGCATCTTTGCGTGGGAACCGAATGTCGCTACGTCTCTCCTGTCTCAGCTATTTCACTTCTAGCTACTCTTTTGCGAGACAAGTGACGCTCCTTCCTCATCGTTCCTTCCTCAGCTTGACCTCCCTCTCCCAGCCCGTTCCGATATAGCATCACCTGACCCGAACGAACGACAGAAGCGTTGTGATTACGGAATGCGAAATTCAACAGAATAGCTGTAATGAAGTCACGCGTGTTGGATTTCATATTCGTGCACCCGCCACCTATGTTTACTTCGAGTCGCTAAGATCTTTCTCCACGGTCCCGGCTTCTTGTTTATTGGCTACATCGTCTCCATCGGACGCCAACGTCGTTTCGATGAGCTTGGTCTCATAAGTGGTTGTCATCTCTGTGCCTTCGCTCTGTCTGTGCACCGGTACGAAGACCGCGTAGTACCTGGGCATGATGAAACCTCCGAGGATGATGAGGAGACCCAGGTGCGAGACGATGAAGCCGAGGATCATCAAAGGATCGTACCTCAAGGTATGGAATTCAGGGTAGGAGAAGCTGAAGACAATGGCAAGAACCGGGCCGGATATGTATCGTAGCAGAAACGGCCAGAAGGCTGGAATGGACCAGTTTTTCCCACCGCYGACGATCACATTCAAGTCGCGGCGGAGTTGATTCCCCTGTTCAACGGTCAGCGGGAGTACTCAAACAGTCTCAGAACCTCAGCCTACCGAATAAAATGCCAGCAGTGAGAACTTGCCCAACAAGGAATGACAAAGCCGCAGCGCATTATTACGAGCAAAAATGCCCGCTGCAGGACGTGTGATGACCGGAGTCTTAGCCACCAGAACGGCAATGATTGAGCTTGCGGCATAGAGGCCAACACCGGCAGCAACTCCATAGCCAGGCTCACTGGTCGCGTGTGCAACGCCAACTCCGATGAATTGTCCTCCGAAGTAGCCGAAGTTGTAGATCGCAAAGGCGGGCAATCCGCACTGACTGACTGTATCGTGCCAGCGGTATACTGTAGTTGCACTCACTACTTCGGACCAGACTACGAATATCAAAACGACATTGTTGATCCATCGATCGACGCCGTCCAGGAGGTAGTAGCCAAATTCCGTGCAGTATGGTAGGCACATCAAAAATGAGGTCAGGGTGAGTGCGGTGACGATCCATGGTCTGGACCATTTGACAAGACCAGAGTCGACGATCATCGTAGCGACCACGTCAAGCATGACGAATGCCGACGAGAATCCAAGGACGATGAGCTGGCTAAGATTAATAACTGTGCTTCACTTCTGCAAGGACAGGGATCTTACCGTGAAGAACAACAGGAATGCCCAAAACTGTGCTCTGCTCGGCCAAACAAAGTTAGCGATATCTCAGATTATCTCGAATCTTTTGTCCCCTCGACTATCTTACCCTGGCATTTGCAAAACGGCCTGCAGGAAGTCAGCATGCTGAGAATCTCAGGAATTATACCAAGAGAATCAGAGCTGTCGATATGAGAAATTATCAACAAGACCAGCGCTATAAACTACTCTCYCGATGATTGATAGGCTACTCTGCTAGTAGCAATAGCTCTAGCAGGCCTAGACCCTTCGAGCCTATAGAGAGCGAGACATTCAGACACTATAGGCATGACTGAGGATGTGGTGTCCCGACAAATAATCCTCATATCGACAGCTCTGAAGAGAATACATACCTCTGGCAGAGTAAGGAAGCCCACGACAAATGCACCTAGTCGCACACCGTCCTGTGGCCACATTCGTAGGAAGCCGACTACGCCAAACCTAGAAGCGAAGGGCAGAAGCGTTAGCAATGTCTTGGACAACTCGCAACATGGGTCATGGCTGTAGGAGCTCGAGTCTAGACACTCCGAACTGCTCTGCCTGCTTTTAGCCCTCAAGTCTACTCACACGCTAAAAGCGGCGAAGTTCTCGAAAAGAACATTGGATCCACATATGAGGAAGGCGTCCATAACAGCGTTGGAATGCTTCTGGTTGTATGATGCATATGAAGTAAAGTACTGCCCAAGTGTCAGCATATCCAACCTCAGGGACGACGCCTTGGCGAAGACATCAATACTCAACTCACCCCAAAGCCAACTCCAGTGGAGAAGAAGACCTGCCCAATGGCTGTCTGCCAGACTGTGCCATCTGCGAGCTGACTTCCTCGCCATGTAGCCCAAAGCAAGCGAATCCCTTCGCCAGCATTCTCCAGAGACACAGCTCGGCCAACAAAGATGATGGTCGTGACGATCGGCAAGCCCATGGTGAAATAGACAACCCGGCCCGTCAATCCGACACCTTTGAAGATGCTGATGAATATCAAGAACCATACAAAAGCGGACCAGCCCACAGTCTCTCCAATGAGCGCAGCACCGGGATACTTAGTGTATGCAGCAACAGCGCTATTGTCAGGTGTCAAACTGCCAGGAACAGGATCGACATTAGCAACCACATCTAGATTGTAGAAGTCGTCAATCCGGCCCTCCCATGGCAGTGGTTTCGAGAATGAATTCCGGAAATAAATCATAATCCAAGCCAGGTTGACAGTAAAGTATTGGACGACGACAAAACTGACAAACACGGATCCGAGGCCGACTCCTTTCAGCCGTCTGTTGATGTTGCTGAACGCAATTACAGAGCCGCCGCGGTAAGCTTGCCCAATCGAAATCTCCAGTATTAGAGTAGGGATTGCGATGAGGAACACAGCTAGCAAATATGGCACAAACCTGGCGAGTAGTCAGTTACACGAGACTGAACTCGCTATACAGGATGACCTACCACTGCAGTCCATAATTGTTATACACGACTGATGGGTAGCGCAGGAGGTTTCCCTGTCCCGCGCACCCGCCCATGCTGGCCAACAGAAAGGCCGCACGAGACGGCCATTGATCTCTGCCATCGGCAGACTTGTTTGGTGGAGGAGCCAACCATCTGCCGACCTTTTTGAAATATTGAACAAACACCATACCTGAATGGCTTGATGTCGAGAGATTCTCAATCTCGAAGTAGAGAGTCCGAAGGGGCCGATAGGGCCAGCTGGAAAAAGAAAACAGTGAGGTCCTTACCAAGGTACAACAGCGTGGCAGTAGTTGGTGCCTTTATTACCGCATCTTGACTTTATCGGAGCCAAGGATCCAAGGAGCTTGAGAAGCCACCTTCTTGAGGTTCCATTTTTTCCAATCCTTCGATGTCGAAGGCCAAGGCGTAGAACCATTTTCCTCCGCTGAGGTTGCGACACAGAGCACACTCATTCGCCTGTTCACACGTCAGGGTGCTTGGCGAGCAAATACCCCAGTCCGAGGGCGCCGACTTCCGTCGCAGATGGTATCCACCCGCAGCAGGTAATTTGGGAAATCTCGATGGACGTGCATGTGACGATTGCTTTGGATGCGAGGTGTGTAGGGAAAGGAGAGGTGTGCGAATGTCGCGATAGAACTTTGGTTATCGCCATCCCGAGTCTTGGCGCCGATTGGCGGGCAACGACGGCGACGACGGGGCGACTTCACTTCTCATCTTTCACTTCATCTGTGAAATGCGGAAACGGTGAGTCCCATCTCCTCTCTCACACACACTCTCTCACCTCCTCGCCATTATCCTTCACACCAAAATGGAGCCACTCAAACATGACTCCAAGATCATCATAGTTGGAGCAGGTGTCTTCGGTCTGTCCACAACACTTTATCTTCTCAAGCGTGGGTATACGAATATTCACATCTTCGACCGCCAGCCCTTCCATCAGAATCACTACGCAGAGTCTTTAGGCGCTCATGGAGCAAGCTGTGACATCAACAAGATTGTGCGGGCATCTTATGGCGGCAGACAATTATACCAAGACCTGGCCTTCAAAGCAATGCCCGAATGGAAACAATGGAATGAAGAGTTAGCTGCAACTCCTCCATCCGAACTCCCTGCAGCCCTCTCCCCAAACGTCAAGCTTTGGCATAACTGTGGGTTTCTACGTCTGAGCTCAGATGGTCTCGACGAAGAAGAGCAAACGACCCAGAGCCATTTCCCAGCCGACATCAAGCACACGCAATATCGTTTCTCGGATCCCAGTCGCAGAGAAGATGCTCGCAAGGCGGGCATTCCAGCTTCCAAGATTGATCCCTTCGGCCATTTAAAGCGTCAACTACCCACAGATGGCGTCTTGGATATGACCGCAGGCTTCGTACTCGCCAGTCAAGCGTGCACATGGGCATTGCATCTCTGCATGAAATCTGGGCATGTCGAAACGCATTTCGGTTCCAATAACGCCCTGTTATCCCTCATGAAGGACGGCAATCGTGTGAACGGAATCGTGACTGTAGAACAGGAGGCTCACTCCGCAGATCTAGTGTTCATAGCTTGCGGTGGATGGACACCTTCCATATTACCATCTACCGATCAGCTCCTCGAAACAACAGCTGGTAGCGTCCTCAGCATCCAGCTGCCAGAAGATAGACTCGACCTTTGGGAGAAGTACTCCCCAGAGAACTTTCCAGTCTGGAGCTGGAACACAAACAACTACAAGCCAAACTCAAACATAGGTATTACCCACCTCCATCTCCACAATCTGTTACATTTCACTAAATAGAATAGGCGGCATATACGGCCTCCCCGCCACACCCACAGGCGAAATCAAAATCGCCTTCCGCGGAGCAAAATGGACTTCTTACACGCACCGCACGAAATCTCATCATCCCCTCTCCTATCCAAATCCAGACCTCCATCGCATTCCCGCGGAAGCCATGCGAGTTCTCAGAGCATTCTGCGAGTCCAACATGCCCGATCTCCTCTCCCTAGACCTATCAAACATCAGATTGTGTTGGTACACGGACAGCGTAGACAATTCCTTCTTGATAGACCACGTTCCCAACACTCCAGGTCTGGTTGTAGCGAGCGGAGGTTCCGGTCATGGCTTCAAATTCCTTCCAGTCCTTGGAGAGCACACTGTCGATGTGATTGAGAAGCGAGAAACGCCTTACACTAGACTTTTCAAGTGGAGACCGATGCCCCAAGGAAAGAGGAACGGGCTTGAAGAAGGCCCACAAGGCTGGCGGAACCTGTCCAAACAAAAACTGACGGGAAACGAGCAGTGGAGGCGGCGCGACCAGGCGACAGCCAAGCTGTAATGAGTAGAGCGAGTATAAACAATGTTTCAACATCCTACATATTCCCCACAAGGATCACTTTACAAGTACTGCGACAGAGCCTCCACAAGTCCCTTTTCGCCAAGCAGCGAAAGTTGTCGTAGCGAGCAATGCTTTGTCGTCCAACGCCCATCATCTCAGAACTCTCACTTCTTGCCACCCTTCTTCTTGGTGGGCACGATTTTGAAGTTGCCATTGGCGGCTTCCTCCTTGGGCGTATCCTTGCTAGGACCCTTCTTCGCAACCTCGCTCCAGCCTCCAGCTTTGCCATCGGCGGCGACATGTGGCGATGCGCTCTTTGGGTAAGAGCTTTCCACAACCCCCTTGTCAGCCAGCTTCTTGCGACGGATAAATTCCTCGCCGAAGTGCCTGGAGTCAATGGTATTCGAAGCTCCGTGCACAGTCTCTGTGATGATCATCGTGTCATACTCGGCGGAAAGGGCGAGCAACACCCCAAAGAATTCCTCGACTGTAGAGCAGTTAGTACAGGTCAGATGTCAGCAATGTGTGCATGCKGCTTACCATTGAGACCCTTCTTGAGGTCTCCCCTCAGCGTGTCTTGAGCCCATCTGCGGAACTCATCTTGAGCGTTGACAGCAGCAGTATTGGCCATGGACGCAACTCTGTTAATGGGTGCTTTCCTAGTCGGTGCAGCAGCGCCAGCAGGAGTCAGAACAGGAGGTGCACCAGTGCTCAAGGTGCGGTTACCAGCGGGACTTGTCACTGTCGGAGCTGGCGTCTTGACTTTGCCGCTCGCACCGACAGTAGTCCAGGCGCTGCCAGTGCCCATTGGGCCGGCCTGAGGAATTGTAATCTTTCCAGCAAGATTGGCGTAACTCTTCCCTCCAGCAGGAGCTGGGACAGCACTCATGATAGTGGCTTGAGCCTGTGCGGCCGCTGCCACCATCCGTCTCTTGCGAGCTTCCTCTTCTTTCTGGATCTGAGCAAGAGTTTTGGAATTAGCAGGACCGGCAGGCTTCTGCGCAGTCTTGGCCCAAGCGGCAGGAACGGCCCCCGTTGGTGTCGCAGGAGATCCAGCGCCCCAGGTAGAGGTCGTTGGAAGACCGGGCTGAGGAGCAACGGCTTGTGCTTGCGCCTCCATTTCCCGTTGGAAAGCAGCACGACGCGCAGCGGCGGCCATTTCCTCCGCCTCAGCAGCTTTCTTGGCTTCAGCCTCCTGGWTTTCTCGAAGCGATGGTCCTCTGGGAGCCTCGGTAGGTTCCTTGGCCCATGGCGCTACGGCAACACTGGGAGTGTCAACGGATGGAGTCTGCGAGAGGTCACGCGATTCGGTCTGGAGCTGGTCAGCAACGCTCTGCCTTCCAGTCCGCTGCGCAGCTGGAGCTGGGAGGGGAGATTGAGATGGCGCAGGTGGGAAAGGCTGAGGAAGCCCTGGCTGTTCAGGCGCCGGCGAGTGCTTCGCAGAAGCGGCTTTCTGGACTTGCTCTGTCAAAGATAGCGGCTCCCGCGACTGTTCTGTCTGTGYCGGAGCAGTGTCGTTTTCAGCGGACAGTTCATGAATGCGTTGCTGTTCGGATGCTGCCATTGCCTTCTGCTGTGCCTGTTGCAGACGAGCATCGACCTGCGCTTGAGGCTGAAGCTGCTGGAATTGTTGCAGACGCTCGTTGGATGCAGGGCGTTCTTCCTCAGACTGGCGGGCATCGTGCTGAGCTTGCTCTTGTTGCAATTTGGCCCTATCTTGAAGCATCTGCTGAATCTGCTTTTCGTGGTCTTCCTGGCTGGCTTGCTGAGGTTGCTGCTGTCCTGCAAATGGCTGTCCCGGAGCACCGAACTGTCCAGGAGTAGCGCGGTTACCACCGAGATTCAACCTGTCCATCATGCCTGGAATTTCCTCCTCGCGAATGTTGCCGAGAGAGTCAACGCCCGCGCCGACAGCACCAAGGCCACCGGCTTGCGTCGAACGGAAGGAGTTGTCGAAAAAGCCTTGAGAGTGCTGGCCAGATGGTGCGCCTGCAGCGGGGCCTTGGATAGGGCTCGGCTGGTAGGCCGTTGGGCTTGTGATACTTCCAAAGCTAGGCTGCGACTGCAAGCTATGCGCGCTGCCGTGGTGATGAAGCTGACCAGCGAGCGATGGATGTCCTCCCTGCATGCCTAGGCGCTGAGCAATTTGCGCTTGAGCGAGATGCTCCTTCTGACGTGCCATGAGATATTGCTCCTCTTGCTTTCGACGCTCAAGGGCATTCTGCTGGTCCGCTGTGAGAGTAGTTCCAAAGCTAGGGAAACTAGACGCAAACGGGGGCTGTGCTCCTCCAGCGACTGGTGCAGGACCCGGAGCGGGCCCGGAGCCAGCCCAAGTCGATGYACCACCGGACGGTACAGAAGGAGCACCATGAGGGATGCCGATCTGGGGAACAAGGAAAGGCTCACGGGAGTTCCCGATGCGTCTGATCAGCTGCGCTAGAGGCTCGTAGTCCGGGTCCTCCTGCTTCTTGACAAGCAGCTCGGGGGAGAAGAATCCGGCTTTGTACCAGTCGTGCATCTCCAAGCCAGACCAAGGGCCTTGAGTCTGTCCCTGAGGATCGCGGTAGATCCATCTCATACGATCAGGCATGACCATAGTACGCTGCTGCGGAGCTGGAGGCTGGTTCGAGGCAGAGCTACCTGGAGGAAGCTGCACATGGTCTTGAGACTGTCCAGGAGCACCGAATTGAACATCTCCAGCATCCTGACGGCCGTCAAGGAAGCCAGAATTTCCAAATGGGGTGTCGCTGGCTCCACGCATGTCACCAAGTCCAGCGAACCGGTCATGACCATCACGACCATCATCTGGATGAGAATCATGTCCACGCATCTGCGCATGCATTTGATCTTGCATTGCAGACGGGAACATGCTCGACATGCCCCGACCGCCGAAAGAGCCGCCCTGATGACCCATGATGCCACCCAGGCCAGCGAGGCCAGGCGACTGCATGTCCGACATGGGATTTGAGAAGATGCCGCTACCGAAAGCATTGAGTCCAGAAGTTTGCCTGCTTGGCGTCCCAAGACCGCCCTGAGAGACAGGCCAGGCTGCAGAGCCGACATTGCCCAGCTGTCCAAGACCGCTCAGGCCTGAGAAGCCACGATTGGGACCAACACTGGAAGTCTGGCTTCGATCGCCAGGTCCACCTAATCCACCCGGCGCACGGCCCAAGTTAGGCAGCGCTCCAAGCCCACCGAGGCCGGCTAGACCTGGAAGATGAGAGCTTTGGGAATCGCTGCCATCGTGGTCCGGCTCCTCTGTCATACGGTCAACTCCATGCTGGTCGGGAGATTGATAGGGGTTGGTACCGGTCGGACTGCCCATCTGTTCATGGCCAGCAGGGTGCCCCATTCTTTGATGAGCTGGAGTCTGTTGAAAAGTGTCTCGAGCCTGGCCAAAGCCCTGCGCACCTTCAGAAGTCATGCCAAAGGCACCAAAGCCAAAGTCGTCTTGTGCGCCCTGACGGCTGGGAGTCCCAAAGCCACGATACCCTTGCCGGCCATGAGGAGGACTGACGTCAGCACCAGCAGAAAGCGCAGCACTTCCAGATGGAGCCTCCTCCGCGGCCTCGTTTGGAGCGGTATTGCCAGGTTCCTGACGATCTTTGGGGCGCCAGGACTCGTTTTCCTTGACTCTGGATAGACCAGACATACTGGCCTGTCTTTCGACCTGCCGCTGTCCAGCATCCTCGCCGCCGTCTTTGCTCAATACACCCTTGAACCTGCTTTCGGGCCGAGTACTACCAGGACCGGAACGCTTTTCGCCAGGCGTCCCGCTGTTCAGTCCAAAGTTCCCAAAAGAGCCCATTGGCGACAAGCCGGCACTTTGAGGACCAGCAGACCAGGGAGACGACGAGCCAGTGATACCAGCAGACATTTGCCCGATCGGATGCCGCTTGATACTACCAAACGGGGTAGATGACGGTTTGTCTTCACCATCGTCTGGCTTGGCGTGATCTTTATTGTCAGTCCTGCGGCGCAAAAGAGATGGCGGCGGCGATTGAGCGCGTGGTTCATCACGCCCAAAGCCTCCCGGAGAGGAGACACTGTTCGCGGGGAAAGGATACGACTCGCCAGTCTCCCGGCGACGACCAACGCCACGAGCAAGACTGGGCGATGGGAGCCCAAAGCCGCCAGGAGTCGTGGCATTGGAGATGGAGCCCTTGCGTCCCGCGATCCCATTAGAAGGCTGATTTTCCTTTTGCGCGGCCTTGGTGAGTAGGGTGTTGACAGAGGTGGTGAAGAACTGCTGCAAATGTTAGCGTCCGTATGAATAGCGTCCTACCAGATTTCACTCACATCTCGCTCCTCGTCTCCCATGTCATGCAGTCCTAGCGGGTCAATCTCGCCGTCACGGTCCCAACAAGCGTTGGGGTCGGACTGCTGATCGCGTGGATGGTCATGCCTTCCCCACCCTGCGGCATTTCCATTCGCAACGTCCGGCTGCCATCCCCCCATTAACAGATCCGGCAGCAAGTCAGCGTCCGCGGAGTGGGTCTCCTTGTACAGATCCAGCAGTTGTTCGCGGGTGTATCGCGTGTCCGGTATGGTGCCATTGCGATGGGGTGGCACATAGCGTGCCGCGTGCGAGGCCATGGAGTCGTTTGTGGCGGAGGAAGGAGTTGCGGCGCCCGAGGGACGGCGGAAGGTTTGGGTATTGCCGTTTGTTCTGCTTCGAGGCCTACAGATTCAGATGCGCCGGTCAGTGTCCATGTTCTTCAGTCTTCATGCCCCACGCTTTCAAGAGCCCTGCGCGTCGATTCAAGGTGTCTTGGCAAACCGCGTTCCTCGCGATTTTGCCGATGCGCACTCACCAGTCGGACGATTGTTCACGCGCAGAGTTTGGGTTGGAGGATTGATTGTTGATGCCGGCGGCAGCTGATGCGAAAGAGGGTGTGTGCGCCATTTCGTGTCAAGACTCGAGACGGTTTCCAAACGAGCAATGGAGGCGGGCAGGCGGGAGGGTCAGTGTGGCACTGGCGGTGGCGGGGAGATCGTAGTCGATGGAGGATCGAGATGCAGATTGTGTGAGATGCGGTACAGCGGCGTGGTGATAAGAGATGTCGGGTCTCGTGCTTGGTTCAATTCAAGATGAAGCGATTGAAGACAAGCGACACGAGTTTCGCACGGAAGAGAAGCTCGCGCTAAAAGAGCTCTACCGCTGCCGCTACCTACCGCTGCCTCCCTTGTCAAAAAGTACCTGCATGCCCTTGCGATCAACACTGCGTGATGAGATGGGATGATGAACTCATCAAGTCAGCACATGGCGAGTGTCTCTACGACAATAAGCTTCACCTTGATCATCACCATGTAATAGCAAAGTTCCGAGCCGCACGAAATAGTCTGTGGACATGAAAATCTCGACTCATGCAAAAACTACGTCATCACATGCACGCTGCCGTGGTGGCCTTGATGTCTCTGTGGAAACGTCAACGGCAATCCACAACAATACCATATATCAGTCAACGCAGTGAGAACTGTGTCCCTCGTCGGGACTGGAAGAGATTTCTTGCACATTCGTCAATGTCGTTGTTCCTTTCATTCGCCCACACGTGACAGCTAGCCATATACATATGTGGACGTAGCGAGCTGATCTTGGGGCCTCAATGAATGTACACCCACAACCCCTTAACTTCTGCCAAAACTATATCGTAAATGCATCATCGCGTGTCCACCTCCTTGCTGACAGTCATGGCCATGCCACTTCTTAATTATACTTCCAATCCCCACCCATCTGCGGCAGCATGGGTCCCAAGTATCCAGCCCCGGACGGTTGCTGCTGTTGATGCTGCTGTTGAGCGTGTGGATTCATGTGTGCAGTAACATCGGTCCTAGGCAATTGGCCCCATGACAGGTGCGCCGTGCTGTGCGTAGGTGTCTGTCCACGAACCGGCGGATAACCGGGTGTGTTGGGGTCCGACAGCGGGCTGGGCGTTGGCGCGCGCGGGCTGTGCCACATCTTCGCCGTGTCGTACGTCTGCCCAAAGCTGTTTCGCTGATAAGTGGTGGCCGAGGGATTGTAGCCCGTGTATCCTTGTTGATCCCTAAGCAGGCGTGCAGTGGCACCTTCTCGACTCGCAGTGCTAGGCAGTCCTGCCATCTGTCCTCCTGAGATCTGTCGCTGAAATTCTTGTGGGGTCTGATGCGAAACCTGCACATAACGCTGCGCAGCTGATTGGCCTTGCTGTTGCGAGACTGGCCGATACTGATCTGCCTGTGACTGGCCCAACGATGGAGATGCTTCTCGAGTGGGACCATACAGTTTAGAGGGTGGCGTCCATTGCTGACTAATGGGCCTCGCAGAGCCCTGCGAGAATGAGTTGCTGGGCGTGCGGCGAACATTCTGCTTGACCTCGTCCTGGCGCTGCAGCTCGAGTGGCTGATAGTTGGCAGAGAAACCACCCCCAATAGGGTATGGGGATTCATACTGCTTCTGACGCCGACAAAAGCTGGCCATGAGGTATGGGTATTTGTGCAGGTTCTGCACATATGCGATGTCACCTTGCGGGTTGTCGACTTTCGCCGCCGTGGGCGCCATCTGGGTACCCATTGAAGAATGGTGGCCGTGTGTATGTGGGACTGGTCGAATGCTTGCTCCTGAAGCATATGGATTAGGTGGCATGGAAGCACCATTGCCGGGCATGGTGCCAGACATCATCGACGCAGTCGACGCTGGCTGCTTCAGCGCTGTTCTCTGCTGCGAGACTGACTGGTAGTTCGGGGTGTAGCCTGTGCTCTCGAAGACGGGACGTTGCATGGTCTGAGCTCCGTGTGACTGTCGCCTGTACGACGAGTAGTCGCCCGTATATGCCGCCGGAAGTGTCTTCGAGGAGTAATATTGATCAGATGGGAATGACCGTAGCGGGGTTGGGGTGCGGCTAACATCGTTTTGCGGATAGCTATAATGCATGCCTGGTAGCTGCTGCTGCTGCTGCTGCTGGAGCTTTTGCAGTGCCGGCTGAGGCTGGCCATACATTGACGGCCGCCGATTGGCATCGGCGAGGAAGCTACGTTGGTTAGCCAAAGCTTGATAGTCCACGGCGCAAAAGACGTTCGGACTCGCTGGATCCTTGGGCTTGTAGACATACGGTTTGTCGCCATAGCGAGCGCCAGCGGCTGCATTGAGAGCAGCAGCGCTGACCGCGGGTTTGATCCGCATGAGATTTGCCGCGCCGGGCTGTGCGGGTCCCAAAGCCTGTTTGCTCTGGGCTTGTTGGTATGATGGCTTCGCTGAGACTCGCTCCAAGAAGTTAGCCCTTGCAACAATTTCCTTGCTCCCCGGCTTATCTGTAAAGAAGACTTTGGCGTCCGTCGACACCTTGGGAAGATAATAGTAAAGCTGGTCTGGGGCGGTGAAGTCGACCTTGAGCTTTTCAGCGCTCTGAAACAGCACATCCTTGTAGCCTGGCGGTGGCATGTGCAAGTTGTAGAAGTCGTGCCACTTGAACGCAGCGTCGCTGTTGAAGAGCTCGTCTTGAGTTGGCACTCCGTCTTGACGATTGGCAAGGGAGAATTTGCTCTTGTTCATGTCCACGGGCATCGGCTTGGCGGTAGGTGAAGGCTTGGGCCGGAGAGAATCGTCGGGGTCCAGCACGCAGACGTATTTGTACTCGACCTCTATTCGTTCGCTGTGCAATGTGTTAGCCTCAACCCGGCGCGTCGCAATGCCTGAAAATACATACCCTTCAGGCAGGACATCAACAATCAAGGTCATCTCGCTCGGCCGATTCTCGACCACCAGTCCACCAAAGACTTCCGCGCCAACGTACTGGGCTTGCACGGTGTCGTTTGGCTTCAATTCCTTGGCAAAGTTGTTGATACGCTTGCTGTTTTCCATCGTTTCGAGGTTGACAACTTTTGGCATCTTCGGTCGGTGGTAGCGACATCGGAAATCATAGCCCTCTTCATAGTACYCGGTGCCATCCTCGCCAAATGTTGGAACAAGGCCAGCGTCTACGAGCACACCGGCAGCAACCGCGCAAGTAGCATGGAAAGCACGAGTGCATTTCTTGGAAGAGCACTGGAAGCAAGCTCCTCGTTTGGACCGGCAAAAGTTGCACTTGAGTTCCAGCCTGGCCTTGTCGATATTGGCCACACCACAAACCTTCTGCGTGTCGTTTTCGTTGACGATGAATGTCTCTGGCGTGTAGAGAGCGCAAGACAGATGGACCTTTTTGCCATTGTCGGACGACAGAAGAGGTTCCCATGGGTTATCGTTCGGGCATACCGCACAAGGCTCACGAGTGGGAGCTCTGATCCGAATGCGAATCTTCTTCTTCTTTTTCGGGGCCTCTTGCTTCACTTCACGCTTGCGTTTCTTGGTCGGTGCTTTGCCCTTGACACTAGCCGGAGGTGAGGGCAGGTTGCCAACATCGTCGTCGTCGAGGTCGTCTTCGTCGTCCGTCTCTTCGTAGTACTCTGGAGTGGGCTCTCCGCGTAGCTTTCGCTCGATCTCGGAGACATCGACCCAAACATTGTCGGCTTCGCAGTTGCACTTGCGGGCAATGCGACCAAACTCCAACCAAGACTCGGTGGCAAAATTGACAGATTCTGCGCAATTGTATCCAATGTTGTACCCGKAGTGGTAGCCATATGGGTACGTAATGACGAATTCGCCCTCGTAATGGACAAGCTTGTTGACCTTCACGCCGTACTGCTTTTGGAGCACATCTGGCGAGATGAGATACGTCTTGTGTCGGAGAAACTGATCGCAGTTCTTGGCGTCTACCGGCCAGTTGGTCTTCATCGCTTTCTCGAATTTGCGAGCGTCTTCCTGGGAAATGCTGTACCACTGCTTGGGAGCGCCAAAATGGATGTAGTTGATGCTGTAGAGATCAACATCTTCCAGATGCCACGCAAAGGTAGCCTTCCACATTCCCATGTACAGATATGCAGTGTTGACTCCAGGCACTTTGGTACCAAGCACATCTAACAAGTTTTCCAGCTTGGCCACGTTCCAGCTGTTGGTATCGTCGTCGAAAAGCGATCCGGGCATGTCGGCGGCGTACATGGGTTGGTTGAATCCCAGACTCTTCCAGTAGTGTGTCTCCAACTCAGCGCAGCGCTCAGGAGTGTACTCCTCGAGACCATCCATGCGGTAGTCGAAGTTTTTGAATGCCTTCTCGTCGATGACATCAACTGCCTCAGAGGTGTTATTGAGTCTGCGGGAAGAGACCGACTTGTTCTGTCCACCCTTGGGCTGACGACCCTTTGCCTTCTTCGCAGGTCTCTGAGCCGGCGAGCTCGGAGTCGGAGGTGGTTTGACAGAACCCTTCCTTTTCGGCTCATCGTCTGATGCTGGCTCCTCTGTTGGAAGAGGGTTTCGACGAGGGCGTCCAGGTTTTCTCTTCGGCTTCTGAGCGCTGTCGTCGGCATCTGGAGCGACTGATCCACGAGTACGTGCAGCGCCACTCCCGCGAACAACCTTCTCCTGGTTCCGTCTCCTCTCACCACGACGGGCTGGAGGCTGGTATTGCGACTCCTCTGTCAGAGCTTTCCATTCGGGAAGATTGTAAGATCGCTGCTTCTCAACATTCTGCTGAGTGTATGTTCCAAAAGTGCCGTTGAATTCTTGCGTGATTGGATTCTTGATTCGGATAGACTTGATCGCTTGGTCCAATGCAGGCAAATTGTCGCGCCTGGCGTAAGTTAGCATGGGACGGTTATACGATTGATCACGATACGAACCATTCTTTTGGCGGAATGACTTTTACAATTCCTGATTTCATGCCTGCAAGACATGTGTTAGCCATGTCGCGAATGTGGGCTTTCAAAGATCAATCTACTAACCGTACGAGTCAATCGCTTCGACATATTTCTTGAACGACTTGAATTGCTGCATGGTAGGCTTGAAGACGGGGATTCTGCCGCCATTCGCCTCGTCCCTGTGCCTCGTTAGCAGCCTCACTCATATCTCGTCTGGAGTTCCYGTTTCAATCAAACTCACCAGTAATGGTCCGGTTTGACATCTCCCAGGTCATCATCGTCGTCCAAATCCAAGTCGCTCAATTCCGAGTCTTCCTGCTCTCCTTTCGCGTCGTGATTCATCTCTTCGCTGGTGGGAGGCGTCAAGGCCGCAGCGGCAGATTTTGCGGCGCCCTCGATCGAAGGTTTGGCGACATCGTACTCGCCAGRGTTTGTGGCCCCTGTTACCATGGCTGCCTCCATCTCGGCGGAGTATGTAGTGGGCAGGCGCGGATTCGCCGCTTCGTGGTGAGTCGAGTCGTAGGCTGGCGACCGGGCGCTGGGGGTGACTGCTCCGCACGTCGGACACGTGCAGAAATTTGGTGGTGGTCTTGTTTGAGCGCGCAATGGCGCTTCGCACGGTGTAGCAATCAAGATATTCGGGGCATGGAGAGGGATGTGATGTCGCGGCGATGTGAACTGACGTTCAACTCTTTGAAAGTGGAGGTGCGACGCAGGTCGGCGGTTCAGCTTCCGATGACGGCAGGGCTCGACGATAGGTACTCCCGTCCCTGCCTTATAACGCTATTATGCTTGCAACACGAGCTTTTACGTCCAAACGATGTTCACGGAAATGGGAGGAACATTCTGAGGTTTACAAAATTATTCTACTCAGCACAATGGCCGCCAGCAATGGCATTTCGGATGATAAATCACGTGACATTCAAACGAACAAGGTAAATAGCCTAAGTGCAGCCCGCGAGGATCATTCTAGTTCTAGTCGTGATAAACGTCGTGACAGCATCGTGTCTCAGTCTCAGTCAAGGGATCTTATCCGATGTGACACCCTTGCATCTTGCACGAGCTCCTCCAAAATCGATGGTGGGCGTTCGCTTCAAATTTACCGACCGAGGGACCTCCGGAGTCCGAACCCTCCATCTCCGGCCCTGTTCATCTTGTTGAAAGGAAGGCATCTCCCGCACGACAAGTTGCAAAGCAAAATGATCCTCGCAACGTGTAAATCTCTCCCTTGTGCACCTGGATCCTCGCAGGGAAGAGGGTACCTGCGCTAGCAATGCACGACAGATCCGCCACGTGGAGAGGCAGATCCGCGGCCCACCAGGCAAGCTCTGTGCGCCAGCAGCCACCCAGGTACTCGCGTACCGATTTGAGAGACGCCGTCTACCGAGCATCCTTGTCATGGCATCTCCAGTCTGTGCTAGATCCGCCCCGCACACGTCGACAGGAGCTTCTCCACAGCTCTCTGGTAGTGGTCATGGAAATGAAATGCACCCCTCATGCCCAAGCGCACAATGTCCGTCACGACCGCGAGGCTGCCCAAGTTCCACATCGACCAAGAGCACGTAGGTCATGGAAAGATGGCAGAGCGAGAGTTCTTGATGGTGTTCTGCGAGGAGGAGATTGATGGAGATATAGAGATAGGCAAGCCCACGCATATCGGTGCGCCCGTCACTTACTCGTTTCTGTACGAAAGGATGCCTGGCGGACGTGTACACCTCGAGCCGCGAAGGCAATACCTCGATCAGCTTTGTTTGACCTTCACGGAAAGCTGCCAAATATGGGCCCAACATTTGTCCATTGTTAAACGGGCTTTGCGGAGTTCGCGAGTCTCACCAGCTTTGATTTGATGAGAGAAGCCCGGCGGGGTATCTCATCTCATCGGAATACATCCTAATCATAAATCATACATCACCATCCCGCGTCGTTGTTCCAGTGCTAGACTTTGCCGTTTTCTGGACCACGAGGGAGATGTGTTGTCCTTTGCTCGCGGTAGTGAATGGCATCCTATTTCTTGAATCATCATCTCGCATGTCAATCTGGTCGTTTGATCCGTGGCGTGGGGGTCCAGCCTGCCTTGTCCTTCCGGCCGCTGGCAAATAAACTACCGTCTCCCCGTCTTGGAGTCCCAATCCTGTTGGCTAAGCTTTGAGCGGCAGGAGTCATGGCTGTACCTTGCCTCAACTTAGGCCCAGAGGTGAATCTCGGAGTGGGCGTTCTTCCGGGCGTAATACCCATAGTGCGAAGCTGTTCCATCCTGCCGCCGGTCCTTCGCTGAGCATCAGCCTTTTCGACCAACCTCATCAGCACATCCTCCCGCTTACTACGGTTCGCAATGTGAAATGGGTTGGGGGACTCATCGACTTTGGGCAGGAGACGCGTCGCAGCCTCACGCTCCGCAGCATCCGCTTCATCATCGCTCACCGGCACACCAAGCTCCCTAGGTGTAGGTTCGGCGTCTACAAACGCATATCCGTTCACGCGAGGGGTCTCGGCGCCTCCATAGCCAGATTCGGATTCTGTTGGCAAGGGACGTCCAGCGATGGCAGCGTCAACCGCACTCATCGACGGGCTGGCTGGTATTGCATGATCAGGTTCCACGGCTGTGCGGAATCGCGTTGCTCCATAGGTAACTGCCTTTGGGGGTGCATTCGAAGACTGCTCCGCAAGTTGAGCACGTGTTACAAGCTGATCCTCTATGCCTTCGGGCCCRAACATGAAATGATTCCGAGGGCCCTGACGGCTTGGAAAGCTGTCCACAGATGCCAGACGAGCGTCCAGGTCTGCGGATGGTCTGTTCGGTGCCAGTGCAACTCGTTCTTCCCCTACAGCATTGGTGGTAATCAAGGCGGAGTCACCCTTCACTGTTTTACTGTCGGTAGCGACCATGGCGGATGATGAAGTTTCCTTCTCTTGCAGAAGCTTCTGCTCCCTCTCCCGGTAGGCGAGCTGCCGTGCAGACGGAATCTTGTTGCCGTTGTGGAAAAAGCCGTACTTCGCCGCGCGCTTCTCGTTTTGCTTGTCCAGCAACGCGTTGAAGCTCTCGTTGTCTTCAGATGTGTATTTCGCCTGGAAAGCACCCAGTGAAAGGTTCAAGTCCACCTCTGGTTTGCGCTCTTCCGGAGCAAAATCGCTGTTTACTGATGGAGTCTGCCCCGGAGTCTCCCCAACATAGCTTCGCGGTGTATCTCCAAGCGCAGCAGATCTTCTGGGTGTAAAACTGGTTCCTCTGCCGCTCCTGCGCTGCCCATCTGGGACGGGTGTCATGACTTGCGTCAACTTCCTTCCAGCATCTCTGATCCAGTCTCTGTTATTCGAATCAAGAGCTTCCAAGTACTCTTTCTGTGCCTCCGTCTCCAATAGTCCGGGGAAGAAGTCTCGAGCAACAATATGGGATATCGCGTCAGAATACACATCCTCGTCCAGCACCTTCCCGGGTCGTTTCTGCCGTTTGAATGAAGGTGGAGGCGGAGGCATGAGAGCCGTTTCGGAATTTCGCTTGGCCAGCACCTTTGAAGGGGACGACGACATGGTGTTGAGGATGTTCGATTGGTGAGGCGACCGAGAGTGTGAAAGTACAGGCGACATCATGCGGCATGTGCAAAGCGATGAGGTTGATCTAATCATTCGGATCTAGCCGAGAACGCGCTACGGGAGGTCCTCCAAGCTCGCATGTCACAAGCACAGCTCAAACATTGGACATCGAACAACAACACCGTGTCCAACACTCATCATCGCTTCTACCAAGAATCAATCTCYCTTTCATCGTCGCAAATAGTAAGCTTCAACAAACAACGCCATGGCTTCAACCATCGTCGAGAAGGCGACGGCAGCAGTGGAGAAGATCACGGGCAGCAGCAACGGCGAGTCTAAGTCTGCGCGCAAGAAGAAGGAAAAGGCCAAGGCAGCAGAGGCTGCATCCAACACGAATGGCTCTACACCAGCAGTGCCACAAGCTGCCTCCAATGACGTCTCTGCCGTTGCTGATGCTGAAGGCTCCACGGAGCATGCGTATGTGAAGGAGCTGCAGAAGCAGATTCGAAACATCAACAAGAAGCTTGCGGGCATGCAGAAAACCGACGCCGTCGTCGCAGAAAACCCTGGTGTCTCTCTCGACGATCTCGTTGCACAACGCAAAATCAATCCCGACCAGCGATCCGCCGCGCTGAAGAAGCCTGGTCTGCAGGTCCAGCTGGCAGACCTCGAGGAGCGTATCGAGCAATACCGCAAGTTTGACTCGGACTACCAGACAAAAATCTCCAAGCAGCGAGACGATCTGAGTGCAGCACACGCCAAGGAAATTGCTTCTCTTCGCGAGCAGCTGCAGGTCGAGGCAGCATCAGCAACTGCTGGGGAACTGCGGAAGAAGCTGCTCACCTTCTCCCAGTTCCTGCGGGCTGCCGCTGCTAAGCGCACGGTTGAAGAGGAGGCGGATAGTGAAGAAAGCAGAGCATTTGAGGGTGCACTGTTGCTTGTATACGGAGGTGACTTCAAGGCTGTGGATACCGCGCTGAGCATCATTGAGGGTACCAATGAGCCTGTGCCAAGTATAGATGGTATACCTTTGCAGGTCGACTGTAAGTTCCCGTCTCCAAATCAGCGCATCACGTGCTGCATTGCCCTTTTGGAGTTCCACATTGGCTGACTTTTTGTCCCACATAGACGCACAGATTAAGAAGTCTTCCATGGCCCACGCCCCTTTCCAKACTGAAGAGGACTGGGTTGATCAAGTCGCCGAGGCCACTGAGTTAAGTGGGTCCGATCCCACCGTTGTCAATGCTGGTTTGACCGAGCTCGACGCACAAGACCACTCGAACGGCATCCAGGAAGCTCACCAAGAAGCTGTTCCCCAGGCTGGCGCAGGTGATGCATCTGCCAATTTTGCCGCGGACAGATGGGACACCAATGCCGCCGGTACTACAACTGAGAAGGGAGGCATGGATGACAGTTACGTGCATGTTCGGCGACCAGATGACGAGGTCGATACTCCAGCCGAGACTTCTACGCATCAGACTCAGGGATCGAACTGGGCTGACGATGTTCCCTCTCACGAAGCATCAGGTAACGTTGCCGCCGAGGCATGGTCTGCAGAGCCACAAGACGATGGCTGGGCCGGTGCTGAGCCAGCTGCAACCAGCGGTACTGGCGACGACGGCTTCCACGAGGTCGCAGGCCGCTCGCGTGGCCGTGGCGGTCCTCGCGGTGGGCGTGGTGGAGATGGCGAATTCCGTGGTCGTGGCGGACGTCGTGGTAACTTCCGTGGACGTGGCGATGGCGAGTTCCGTGGTCGCGGCGGCTTCCGTGGTGCCCGTGGCGAAGGCGAATCGAGGGGTGGCCGCGGCGGACGTGGTCGCGGAGGACCTCGCGGAGGTGCAGAGGGTGCCGCCACTGCCCGCTCGTAGGAAGAGTCTTGGGATTAGGCGAGCATATCTTTGCTCATCTGCTGTTGATTGCACCTGTCAGGAAAGACAATGTATCGGATCAGCATAGCAAGGAGACACATGACGGCGTTTTAGCATAGGATTGGACGACAAGCGTGCGGGGCATGGGAATGTTTGTTACTCTCTAACTCACTCCAGCGCGGATGAGCTGTATGGATTGGTTGCGGCGCTGAGCGTGGATGGACAGGTGCGTTTTATGTATACTACCTGGCGATCCTTGTATATCTACTGCACTGCTGATAGCGTTCAATCGGTATGACGAATGAGCTTCTATCTTCCACGATKTTCCCAGTTCCAGTCAACCAGTTATTTCTAAGCGAGAAGTCTCGACGACCTTTATGCTCGCCTTTAAAAGACCAACAAGTCTTCAGCACAAGCAGCTTCTCTTGCTCAGAACAACTGAATCCCTCTTCCGTCTCGCCAACAGTCTTCGGTATAAAATCCTTTCTTTGCAGCATCCTTGGGTGTACTGCAGTCAGCAGTTCTCTCAATCCTCATTGCTGAGTTCGAAGATCTGCCTCTCCAGCCGAACCTCCTGAAGCTTCAACTCTAGCAACTGGACYTTTCGCTTCTTCTGCGAAGACATTGGAGTCATGGTAGGAGAGGCTGAGGGGCTCGCATGCGCGCTGATGAACAGAGACGACCCGTTCGACGCTGGGCTGGGAGTGCGAGGCTCCCGAACTCTCTTCGAAGAAACACGGCGTGGCGTCACGACCACGGGAAGTTTGCGAGTAGTGCTGGACTCTTCCTTCGATCTCTTCGAGACAGTCAGACGGGCAGTGGTGGGAGTGGTGATGACGATCCTGTCCTCGTCCTCAACTCCGGCCTCGGGGCTCACAGGCTCTTCCGGCATCGTTCCAGGCATGGACCTTGGTGGCGTAGTGTTCAGGGCCGAGCTGCGGCGCGTGGAGGGCGCACGTGATGCAGCCCACTGCTTCTGCGGAAATGCTCCTGGCATGGTGTTCAGGGCCGAGCTGCGGCGCCTGGAGCTCGCAAGTGGTATAGCCCACTGTTTCTGCGGAAAGTGGCTGTTGGCCGCCGAAGACTTGGGGATCACCGCTGCTGGCGACTGCATGATGGCAGGAGGAGCTGCATGCTGTGCCTGAGTCTCCATCAAGCCGGGCTCTTTCTTGACGACCGCTTTTGTCTCTCCATGCATGTTCTGGAATTCAAATGTAATGGGATCTCCCTTGTCGCCCGCTAATTGCTTGAACCACTTGGGATTGACATGTTGATATGCCTCGTTGAGCTGTGCAATGTTCACCTGAGAGTCTCGCGGATCCGCCGTCCGCCGCTTGAATGTGCGACCAGCAGCCGGAAGACGGCCACGCACAAAAGACACCTGAATGCATCCACGACGTGCCTGCAAGGCCGGTGGCTTGTCGTCCACTGCTCCGAAACGCTTTGGCTCAGGTTGCGGCGATGGAATCAGGAATGGCTTCTTGGTAGCGTTCTCTGTGGTCTCGTGTATGTCCCAAAGTTTCATCTACCGGATCCACCACTGTCAGTTACGCTCATAGAATGGACTTTGGGTACAGTGGGGTGTGCATACCTTTGAGATCCTGATGACACCGGAGTTTGCATCGGTCTTCTGGATGCACAGCACCTGTGTCTCATCGCCATCCCAATCATGTTGTCTGCCGCCATTGCCATCGCGAGAGGCAATCTCAACGTAAAGACACGACGTCGCAAACCACTTGAAGTTGTTGTAGATCGTGATGCAAATCTCGAACTCCTCGCCCGGCGCAGCAACAATGCAGCCATCGATGGCTCTGATTGGACTGCCGGCCGAGTCCTCGAGATCAACCTGAATGCCGTCCTTCACCGACATTGTGTTGGAATTCGGATGTTGATGTTTTGTCGCGTCTCTTGTCGCGGGGAGATTTTAGAGCTTGAGAAGTAAACAACAACAGCGCCAAGCCGCTAAAAGTGAAGTGAAGCAATTCACCTCGAGTGGTCGCTCAGGAGCGACAGACGGTCGTCGCCCTAAATTCAGAGATATCTCTACATTAATAGCAGCGACTGAAACCTCCAAGCGATGCTGTCAGGCGAAAATTTGGGTCTCTCCCTAGGATTTTCGTGGTGTAGCTAGCTGCTCGTGAGCGTGGCTACCGATTGGCCGCGTGGAGACCCAGCGATCTTCAACAACACCGTCTCTCGGAACCGAGAGTGAGAGGGAGGTAGATGTTTCCTGAATTGTAGTGAAGCACACCACTTAATCTTCTACATCCTGCTTCTCCTCTGCATCCGACTCTTGCTTGAGCTTCTCTTCATTGAGGCGAGTGTTTTCGAATCGTGCCACGAGTTCWTCAGCATCTCGCTGGCTCTGATGTACTCGAAGCTCCTCATCAACATCATCATCTTTCTTCTCATCAACATCACCATCTTGAGACCCATGATCGGGATCTGTGCTCCCTTCGTCGTCATCTGACCAACCCTGAGGAGGCGCACCCCCCTTCTTTTTCAGGACGTCGGCCCGTGATCTAATCATCGCCTGTGCGACTTCATGCATTTCTTCCCTGGATCCCCTACGCGGAATCTGTCCGGCTCGACCTCGCGCCTCCCTTTCCAAGACCAACGGCATATGCTCTTTGAGCCATTCGATTCTCTGCTGTTCGCCGAGAGCGCGCATCATCTCATCAAATTCTTTTGGGTGTTTGGTCTTCAAAAAGTCGCAATGAGAGGCCCATAGAGCCGCTTCGATGTCTTCATCCGAGACTAGAGCTCTTTCAATGGTCCAATCCTCGGTACTATGTCTCTCGGGGTTGGTGTGGCCATTTTCTCCAAGGTCTTTCTCCGCAGAGGTGTTGTCGTTACCACGATGAGACTGATTATCCTCGCCATCCGGAATCGTAGGCCTGACCCCATTCATGGAGACAACTCCGTGGTTCTCCTGTTCGATTGGCGTAACAGAYGCCCGCTGCTCCTCACGGATGTCAGCCCTCATGGCGATATCTACATTGTGTTAGTGACTTGCAGCAGATCTTGCTCCAAACGAAACGTACCTGAGCTTTCAGACGGCATCTCATTACGAAACACCCACACGAGAGGTTTGCCATGATCTCCGGGGAGTGTGTCAATCCAGTCTTTACAGACAACTTTCGGACTTTCACCAAAGTCCATCTGCATTCCTGCATACGGCTCGGTCTTGGATGGTGTTTGATCCGAGCTTCTGTTCTCCGCGCGGCCTGTATCGAGATTTGCACGGGTCATAGAAACAACAATACATCCAGTATGCGCAATATCGTAACATTGCATCAAGTCATCGTCGTTCAAGGTGTCTATGCGAAGTCAGAATGTTGTGCAGAGTCCTTCATCCAAATTGCCTCTTGACAAAAGCGTGCAAGGCCATAATTGTTTCTTGCTTACTTTGCTGTGGGACTGGCATCGTGAAACTTTGTTCGACAGGCGATGACTTCTGGGTGCGGTTTGAAACAGGCCAAACGTAGAAGCAAGCGTGAGAGATCTTCGTGCTTTTGATATCAACAGCATCATACCAGTACGTCTGAGCCTGGCTCAATTGTTCGTCGTTGTGGCCAATAGCAATAGTCGTCCGGAACCCTCCAGCGCCATGCAATTGGACATCGTTTGGGAAGCGGATGGACATCTTGATCTTGTTACCCGGGATTGCTTGGAAGGTGCGAGTCGCCAAAGATTTCTCGATTCCTTCAAGCTGAGGGAAGACCTCATTGCCGTTCAAGTCAACAACGCCAATGAAGATACTGCTCTGTGTGGCCATGATGAAGGTGGAGATGAGAGATTCTGCGAATGAGTTCAATGTAGAGGACGGAAGGCAGCAGAATTAGTACTAAATATGTGCTTTCGCGTTTGTGTTGCGGCAAATTGGATGTTGTAGGGGAACAAGGGATTGGCACGCAAACAGGGATGGTCACACATGGGTCTTTCGAACAGTTTGGATGATTGCATTCTAATGCTAAAAGAGCGTCAACTTTCAAAAGAGAGTAGACGAACAAGCTAGAAGAACAGCACACCCGCTCTGAAGCTGAGCGGCTTTTTTCCTACCTCGATTCGCGAGTCAGATCCCTTTTTGCAGGATCCTGAACGCCAGTTCAAAGCGAGATATGTTGCCGCAGCTTCGCAGATCTGGCCAGCATCGCTCAGAAGTTCAAGAGCAGACGCAGTTACCGCGTGCAACCTGAGCAGCAGCGGGCTCATCCACAAAGACGTAGTCTCCATCATCGAGCTCGGCGGAACGACCATTGATGGCGAGGTCGTTGCTGGAAGTCGTTCCCGTGTTCGAGTTTGAAGCATTGTCTTCGCTTCCCACCGTCGGTGTCTTGTGCTCGTCGATCTTGGAAGCATCCTCGTCGTTGAGGTTCTGGACCTTGATCGGAGCGATCTCCTTGTCCGTCCTCTCCTTGGTGGTGATGCACATTTTGTTGTAGATGTCCGTGGCTCTGATCTTGTTGAGGGCCAGAGCCTTCGCCTCGTCACTGATGGATGGCTCGACCTTCATGCCAATTGCAGCCATGGCATCGCGATGAAATTCAACGGGCATGGAGGCGATCATCGTGTCCATGGTGTCGAACTTGTGTCCGGGCGGGAACCCAGGATATGACGTGCGGCCGTCAGACGTCTCCGGAGTAGGGTTACTGATTGAAGGCTTGGCATCCTTGGCAATTGCAGCCATGGCATCGCGACGGAATTCCTCAGGCAAGGACGCAATCATGGTGTCCATGGTGTCGAACTTGTGTCCGGGCGGGAACCCGGGATAGTCGGACTCGGACTTGTCCCGAGTAGGATGATCTTTGAGAGGCATGCTGCCCCGCTTCACCTTACGAAAGGTTTCACAGTATTGGTGAGAGGGAATCTCGCGTGGAGGCTCCTCAATCTTGGCCTTGGACTGGAGACTCATTTCCTTCGCGGCTTGCATTGAAGCAAGCGAAGAGTGCTGGAATTCCAGGATCTTCTGCGTTTCCTTGCGAGTGAATCGAGTGGACCGCCGTGGATGTCCGACCTCGACTACGCCTTCAGACTTCTTCATCGTCGGGAAGTCCTGCGCCGTGGCGTGAAGGCCAGCATTCCGAGCACTGTCACCGCGCTTGATCGAAGTCGCCATGTTGGAGACGTGTTCTGCGCGCTCAGCAGATACACCCTCTGCGTCGCGGAAATTGCTCTGGGTGGAACGCATCACTCGGGCTGTGGACGACTGTGGCTCCTCGACCTCGTGTTCCGGACTCGCGACATCTGCGAGCAAGTCAGCTAAATTCGTCTACTTCAACTCGATAACCACTTACGGGCAATTCTCTTGTTGCGGAACTGATACTCGGCCACGATTCCTCGATCTATCGAGCCTTCTGAAGGTCGAAACTGTTCTTGGGTAATTGGGTGTTTGAGTTTGCCGCCACGGTATTCCTCCTGCGTCATTCCGCGGGGAAAGGCGACGAGGCTCGGAGTGAGGTAACCGCGCTGAACAGAAACGTTGATAACATTGGGGTTCGTGGAGTCTGAAATGTCTTTAGGTGTTAGATTGTGTCGGACATCCAAGCTCTTGGGTACTTACGTTTAGTCCACGGGGGAGGCATAGCGAACTCTCGACCACCCTCGATGACTCCAGCGTACGGATGGGACTCATCAAATTCGTGGAACACCTGAAAGCCACGCCACTTGCTCGTCGCGTCCACATAATACGACTGTTGGGTCCATGCATTTCGCGCGCGGTCGATGATGGTGATTCCGATACGCAAGCCTTCTGCTCCTCCGAAATCAAAGTCTTCTTTGATCTTGACAATAATGCCAAAGTGGTCTCCTGGAGTCGCCTTCACCGAGTAAATGGTAGGCTTCTTGTCGACACTGATAGCTGTGTGCATCATTTTCCTGGGCGGACCATCGCCCGTGCGCTCACACAAGCGGACGGTGAGACCTGGACAGGGATCCGACATTGTTGTGGCGTTGTCGAGTTGTCGAGGTAGTGTTGTTGGTGACGAAGTGGAGGATGTGCGCGTTCGTTGTGGAGATGTAAGTAAGAGCGGGATCGGGTGGAACCGCACGCGGTTGTCTGTGMGTGCTTTGCATGTGATATTTACCAAAGAGGCCAGAGTCAGAGTGAATTGCTGGCAAGGTTCGTGGCCCGCATTTGAATGAGAAAGTGACAACAGAAGAGAAGCGAAAAGAACCTGAAGCTTCTGGAGTATTGAGCCTGCAGCTCTCAGCTGACGTTCACAGCCTTGTGGTGCAGCACAGCGTCGATCACCATGGTCAAAGAGGTCCATACGAGGAGCGAAGCAGAGTTATGGGAACATTTGGGCAAGTTGCTGGCGTTAATGTTGTTATTGGGTGATGGATATATTTCGAACATCTCGTGAATCGAGCTCACGAAGTGCTTGAACAGCGAAGAGTGAAGCGATCATTCTGTCAAATGTCAGCAAGCTCAGTGTTCTTCCCATGACCAACCGTCAGCCAGCAAGCAAATCGGATGTGTCTGGAAATCAGGATGTACATGGTACCTCAGGTGGAATATGCCACATCGATACCTAGATCACAGCGGGCTAAAATAGCGGTGGACATCCCACCGGCGCAAGAGTCAAATGGCATGGAAGCTGGGGATCAGATGAGAGAGAGAAACACATTCATAGCTGCAACGTTTGCAGAAGTATCGCCTAACTGGCCACCCTCAAAGGAACCGGATCTGCCTGCCTCACACTCATTGTCCGTAGAGACTGTGAGCATAGATCTGTTGCACAATCCAAGTTAGTTCCTTTGTAGTAGACAGGGAATGTCGGGATGGTAGGGGAAGTACAAGAAGTCAAGGACGTGGGAGGAGGGTGAATGATCAAACATACCTGTTTCTTCCTGAGATGCACCGGAGTCTCATTATCCGGCGCTCCCGGAATGTTCTTCTCCAACTTCCTGGCCAACAGTCAGTACGCATATTCCTCTCATCACCTTTTCCCACCTCATCAGATTATCCCCTTCCCCATCGACTTACAGCTTCTCAAAAACACACGCATTCAATCCCCGCTCCGCAGCCCGACACTGCCAAAGCTGCTGGTTGTTATTCTCCAAGCACTTCCAGTGCGTCCTGAAAGAATCCAAACACTCCCGGTTGATATCCTCCAGCACACTCGCCGCACAACGCGTGACCTTCCTTCCCTCCTTCAAGCATTCCGTCTCGCCCTTGCCGTTGGCCTCAGTTTTGCAGTGCATGAAGTCGTCATTGTAAGGTTTGCATCGAGCGCCGATGAAGAAGGACGCGGAAAGGAGCGGGGCGGAGGAGGCGCCGACCTCTGGGACTTTGGGGACTGAGTCCGGGAGAGGGGTGGTGTCGATGAGCACCTGCTGGTTGAATCTGGGCTGTCGGGCGGCCATGCTGTTGGTGTGGAATGTGTTGGCGTCGCAATGGTTTCAATGGCTTTGGAGGAGAGGTCCAAGACGTGAGGATAAGCGCGTAATCTGATTGGCCGATATCCGCGCGACCCGCAGGGTACAACTTCACTTCCATCCATGGATATGACACATGGCTGGATCAAATAACTACTAGGCAGGACATCACATTGATACGCTCACTTGAGGGCAATTTGCTGCTGGGACAGRTAATTTCATTGACGTCAACTCGATGCTAGTCTGGAGTCTCCTCGAGAGACATTCAATATCCGTCCAGCTTTGCTACCATTGCTGGTCGTCCATACCGTGCCGTTTTATGCAATGCAAACAAGGCCGTGAGATCTACTCGTCATCCTCCACATCGATGACAGTCTTCTTCCACTGGCGAGCAGGGATCTTGCGCTTGAACATGATGTCGATCTCGCGGTAGGAGCGATGTCTCATCTCAGGCAGCTGGAAGTATGCGACGATCAAGCAGAACAGGCCCGTGGCGCCCCAAACGTAACCACACTTTCCACCCAGGTTGCCACCGGTGGGGTTGAGCATGTACGAGGCGACTTTGTGATGTTAGTTCATGTTACAGCGAAGCGTGAGGTTGGGGGACTTACGGAAGATGCAAGGGATCTCGATGATGTAGTAGGAAGCACGACCAATACCGGTCGTCAACGGACGAAGGCGGATAGCCGATGTCTCACCAATGATGACCCACGAGGCGGGCGCAGGTCCCAGGGTGAAGAGCACAGAAACGATCAAGCCCAGAGATGCCTGTGCCAGCGCGGCCGAGTGACTCTTGGGGTCACCGATCGAAGCTGCGACGCCAAGAGCGATCAAGAGGATGGTGTTCGCAGCAGAACCCCAGAGGTAGATGGATCGACGACCGAAGTAGCTGGTAAGAATCCAGGAGAGCATGACGAAGATCATCTGCAGGGCCGAGGTAATCAGTCCGAGTGCGAATGCGGTGTTCGTACCAACGCCAGCCWCTGCAAGCGAGTCAGCATATGTATTATAGGTGGTGCATTGCAAGTTCGATACTTACGTCTGAAGAAGTAGACAGCTTGGTTGGCGATGAGGTTACCAGTGAGGTTCTGAGCCGCGTAGACACCGCAGACGATGAGGGTACGTCTCAAATCAGTGCCTTTGAACAGTTCGATGTGGTTTGGCTTCTTATCGCTCAGCTCGTTGTCAATGACACGACGCATCATAGCAACAGACTCGGTTGAGTTGACTGCAGACTTGCGGCCTAGGCGCTCGACTGACTTTGCCGCTTCATCAAAGCGTCCCTTTCGAGTCAACCACCAAGGACTCTCCGGAGAGAAGAAGATCAGAATAGCAAGAGGAGTGGGAAACATCCACTGCAGCGCAATTGGAATTCTGCGAGGTTTTGTCAGTCCAGATACTTAAGATAAGTCGAGTCGACACGCACCTGTACGCATCGTTGGACTCGTGCTGGTTGTATCTGTAGGTGACGGCGCCAACAATGATACTACCGATAGCCCAGAACATCTGGAGCATCTGAGTAGCGGGAGCACGAAGCTGAATGGGGACGATCTCACTGCCTGCAAGTTTCAAAGTCAGTGTCAATGTCTTGAACGACCTCGAGACCACATTAGCGGTCCATGAAGGTACTTACAGTAAGCAGGCGCATTGGCAATGAAGATACCCCAAGGGATGCCTTCGAGTAGCTGAGAAACGAACATGATCGGCAGCGAGTTGGCGAAGTAGAAAGAGAAGATGAAAACGTTGAGGAGCATGAGACCGGAGATGTTGGCCCAACGGTATCCAATGGCACTGGTGAGAGGACCAGCGAGGAAGACACCGATGAGCGCACCGAGCTGTCCTGAGACCTGGAGAGCAGACTGCCACTTGGTTACCACGACATACTCGCCGGTTGAGGTCAAGACGCCGTAGTCTTTGGTGAACGCGTCCAGGGCGAGGAACTGCAATCACCATTAGCGTAACACACACATCCATCAAGGGCTTAGTCACGTTGCCTAGCAGGAAGACGTCGTACGACTCCATGATCTGGTCGGGAATTGTCAGTTGTGTGGTATCATATGCTCAGCGGAAGTAAGAGACTCACAATGGTGCATGAGACGACGAAAGCCCAGAATGAGGCCATGGGGTAAGCGCGGACGGCCTGCAATACCGTCATGTTATGCTCGGCATTCTCGGCCTCGATGGCGCCCTGAAAGTAGGATGTCAGCATATGCTTTGATGATTTTGTGATGGAAAAAAGGAGAAAGGGGGNGGGGTAATTTCGAGAAATTCTCAAAGCTATCGATATGAGAGACCATCAACACCAGCGCCCTGAAAAGCTCTCTCGATTGAGTGGCAAGGATCCTACCAGGCCTCGAGTCGTCGAGCTTGCACAGAACGAGGTCTTGGGACATTTTGGGGATGACTGATGATGTCCAATTCCAATGAACGATCCTCATATCGACAGCTCCGGAAATCTTCTATGCCTTGCGCGCCTCGGTGTGCTCACTTACAGCCTTGAACTTCGCGGCATCGGTCTTCTCATCGAACACAGCCGTGTGCTCGACCTCCTCCGCATAGAGCGTCTTCTCGGTGTCGTTGCGGAGAGACATTGCAAATGGTGTTGACCTCGATGGTCGAGGTGTATTCCAGGAAGGTGGGTGTTTGTGGGAGGTTGATCAAAGACGAGCGAAGCGTGAAGTGGTCCGGGGAGTGTATTAAAAAGATGTACGTGCTTGAGCTCGGACGCGACAACCCCCCACATGCCTCGATTGACAGCTGATCCGTGGTGGAGGAGTCGGGGTCCGGGGTAAAAGCTGGGGACGGTATTTAACCGCTCGCTATGCTTGTGCATGGTCCTCCAATACCAGTGTTTGCTTTGAGCGCCACCCGTGTTCCCGTGGWCGATGCAACACCACCCCGCTTTTACCCATGCAACCACACGGAGTGAAATACTCCGTAGCCTCCAAAACCACGTTCCAGAGCCTCAGAGTTCACCGCTCGAAGCGACTGGAGGATCAGTCACGAGCTGCAATGCAGRYAAGCATGACAAGCCCGCCAAGCCGGCTCCAGTGGGGTTACGCTTTGGGGAAGCCAAGCGACGATCGCTGCTTGAACCTGCTTGAGATCGCATTCACAGACGATGAGATGCATTCTTTTCTTTCTAGATCGTTCAACTTCAGTGAAAGTGCAGATCTCTAAGCATGGTCGCACGTGGGCGTAGGGCTGCTAGTCAGGGCCATGTCAGGGGCCTTTCGACTTACAATTAACATTCCTTGCGGTCCGTGGCATTGGCTAAAAGCATGTGCTACAGGTTCGCCTGCTTCGACCCGAGTCMTCACTTCATTCTTTGGAAGCCACCCACAATTCCACGAGACGATAGCAGCGATGACTAAAGCAACAAGTGATTTCCACAGCACACATAGTCGGCTCGTGCGTTCTGTCGAAGGCGTGGCGTGCGACAGGGATTGAGGTTGCGGCGTGCTGGTGCTGCCGCTGCGAGCGTCTCAAATAGGGGTGTTCGAGGTACAGTGTGCATCGCCGTCATGCCGGGTGCAACGAGCCAGCTTCACGGTGTCTACTGCGAACCGCTCTGCTGTCCCCGCTTTTGCCTTGGACCAGATCAATCACGGTAGGCTGAATCGCTCTCACCACGGCTCTGACTCCACTAGCCCAATGTTTCAACAGAATTTGTAGAGCAAGCCTCGTCAGCTATGGGATGTCGAAAAGGTACCGAGTCGCTTACTTGGTGCATGGCAGGCAGCATGGAAGATGCTGCATGTTGCGAGAACTGAGATGCATGGCACGTTACCTTATTTACCTGGGTAAGGTACCTCCTGAGCGCTTGTTGTTATCGACGTCCTCTATGTACGAAAATGGCTAGCGCCGACGCGACTTCCCAAGCTCACGATCGCTGCTTCTCCAAGCCAAAACTTTCTACACCTCACTCGTTCTCTTGACTTCACATCGTCTTGCTGTTGTCTGCGCGAATATGTTTGGAAATACGCGACCATCCACTGGAGGCCTCTTTGGAAGCACAGCACAGCCTCAACAGACACCCACTGGCGGGCTCTTTGGAAGCACCGCGCAACCTCAACAACCGTCCACTGGCGGGCTCTTTGGAAGCACCGCGCAGCCAGCACAATCCACAGGAGGCCTCTTCTCAAACACAAACCAACAACAGCAACAACAGCCTGCATCAACTAGCCTGTTTGGCAATGCTGCTCCCGCAAGCAATACCACGGGCTTTGGAGCACAGCCCGCTGCGCAACCATCAGGCGGGCTTTTTGGCAACCAGAACAATAATAACAATAACAACAACAACAACAACAACAACAACAATGGCGCGWCTGGCAACACCTCGCTCTTCAACGCGCCGACTACGAGCATATTTGGGACACAGACGCAGCCAGCCCAAAATAACACCATGTTCGGCGCGACATCCGGGCAAAATGGAAACCAAAATCAAGCACAGAATCAAAATCAGAACCAGCAGATGGGGAGCTCCATTTTCAACCCTCAAACAGTGTCCGTCGGAACAAACGGCCATACGATGACCTATGCGCAGATGCAAAGACTGCAATTCAGCGGTACGCTACCTCAAATTCTTCCAGCAGTCCCTCCACTGACAAATTCTAGGTGCCTCTACAGTGCCCAACGAGAAGAAAATCGCCGACCAAATCATCACGCTGCGCTCGAAATGGGACCCAAATGGCACTCCCGACCAGCCCACCTCCACCATCCTCAAGACCTACCTCTACAACGCCGTGCCCAAGGAGTTTGCGCCATTCTACTACCCAGACATCTCCCGCGGCGAAGATGAGAAGAGTTGGGAGGAAGCCCTATCACAAAAGCCTGCTGCCCCGACAGTAACTGTCAACGGCGTCGAGACCCCCTCAAACCTCGCGTACGTTCCCGTATTGGTGAAAGGGTTCAAGGCGCTTGGTGACCGGGTGGAGATTCAGGCGAAGATAGTCAAAGAGATGCGCGGCAGGTTACATGAAATGAACAACTCTCTCTCCGCGGTCATGGACGCACATCAGCAGCGCATTACCGTCAGGATAGAGACGGCGAAGAAGCAGCATCAGATCCTCTCTCAGAGATGCTTGAAGCTGGCGGTCAAGGTGCAGGTCCTGCGGAATAGAGGTTACGCACTGGATGCTGCCGAAGAGAGTCTCCGAAAGACGTTGATGGGGCTGGAAAAGCAAGTCTTCGATCCTGGTTTCGTGGGACGAGAAGATGAGATCTGGGCGCGCATGGTGGCCCTGAGAGAGAGGATGCGGTGGCTGGAAGAAGAGGGCAAGAGGGTGCAAGGACAGGTCGAGCAAGCACAGAGCAGCACACAAGGTGGTGTGAGTGAGGACATTCTGGCACGGGCGAGGAAAATCTTGAAGGATTACGATGAGCAGCTTCAGCATCTCAACAAGGAGCTAGGGGAGGTGCGGAAAGAATTCATCGAGTGGGAGGCTTCGCAGAGGAGGCGTTGAGGGGAACTCGCGCGGAACTTGACTTGACGACACTGGGTTGAATGGAAGTGTAGCATTATGGGCGATTGATTGAGCGAGGCGTTGGTGCATTGCCCGGTAGAGCGCCGGCGTACTACGATGTTCATTGGTCTCTTTTCAGCTGGGTGGGCAATGTCTTCCGAGAGTTGGACAATGGATTTGCTTGCTGGACGTCCGGCACTCTTCATGAGGGATCAGCCCGGGCATAAACCGCAAGCAGTGTACCCTTCCTAAGTCCTACCCACCGCCCGTCGCGACTGTCAGGGCTTTCCCATGATCAACCAACTCCTGAGCCAGACAGCACTCGTAGGATGACCAATGTGGCCGAAATTAGTAAGGACTTCAGAAGAGCATGCAGGTGAGGTCTCGCAAGTCCTGCCAACATTTTCACGGGATCAAACTCGACAATAGGACAAAGCCCTCCTGCCCGAATTCTGGAAGCAGATATTTGATCGACGGCGAGCATCGTGTAAGATGAATATACCAAAATACCGTGCCGAAGGTGCACTTTCTAGATGCAACTGATGGGTCATCTTTGTGGTACAGCCATTACAAGAGCTCTTCCACAGCATCAGCATCGTCTTTGAGATCGACTGTCGGTAGGTCTCCTTTCCCACAGTTGAGTCGTGTTAATGGTATTTGAAGCTGCTTGCAATGCTCGTGAGGACATGTACCTTGAATCTCCTAACGGTTCCGCAAGAKTCGGCGGAGTACGAGGAATCATTGCAGATCAAGATCTTGTGACAGAAGACTGATCTGTCCTCGAGTGAATGACAAAATAACAACAACCTCCACCTTCTCACAGATAACTCGTCGGGTCATGCGCCCCATCTCCAGTCAAGTAGTCATCAGTCTTCCTCAGCTCCACCCATGAAAGCTTGCCCTCAAAACTCGCCAATGTTGGTGCGAGCCCCAGTCCACTTTGAACATAATCCGCTTCTGAGCCTCTCTCCGCCCACATGGCTACATGTTTTCTAGTGACTCCTTCTGGGTATTTGTTCATACCGCAAGCCTTCTTCTCATCTGCATGTTTTGTATACCATTCCATTACGAGCTGCAGTGTCACACCATAATCCTCGTCGGGTAGTTTGAAATCCAGCAAGTTTCCGTGCGAGTGTGTATGAGGCCGCACACGACCGAGACCATACCGAAAATCCAATTCCGCTCGTTCGGTTTTGTATTTCTCCACGGCCATGTCCAACTGACTCATTTGCGTTGGAGTCAATGGAAGAATGCCGGAATGGTATTCAAGTCTTCTCCATCCGCTGGATAGTAGCAGCGCCTTGACCGTGCCGACCGTGGCTGAAAAGCACCAAGTGTCCGGAGGCTCGCCATTTGCTGTGAGCCAGATGTTTTCCACCGATAGTAGCTCAAGCTGAAGGCCTGGAAACATCGGCAATGCGTCGCTGAAATCAAGCGTCATAAAGTAGCCTCCTTCGTCGAATGCATACACAGGGAGCGGATAGTCCACAACGTACGCATAGCGTAACTTGCATACCTTCTCCTTTGACCACTGACTGAGCACGTCGATGAAAGAGACGGTGGTGGGGAAGCGATAGGTGACCTCCGAATGCCAGCTATCGTCGATCTCATGACTGAATCGCTTGCACGCACGTCGCAAGGCCGCAACATCGGATGGAGTGCCCGGAAGTGGTGAGATGTCGCAGCTGCGACTCATTTCTGGCTCCTCATAGTCGGCGTCAGCATCCTCGTCAGACTCAGAGTCAGACTCAGAGGCATATCTTGCTGCTCCACGCTTGACTTCGATGACAAGCGACCGCCAGATTAGACGAAAGATTTTCAGTCGAAGCTCGACTGGCAGCCCAAGTAAACTCGCTCGGGCAGGCTGGGTTAATTCGGCAACCATGGTTTTTGGAGAGTTGTAGATTCAGAAGAGTGGATGAAGAAAATAAAGCTGAGAGAGGGCGAAGAGTCACGTTTATCGTTAGCTCCTTAGGGTTAGAGTTTGGGTCTGAGCCTCTCAGGCGCCCCATTTTCGATCGCCGACAGTCTAGCAAAGGGCCCTGGCATTGGGTAGTTAGCTTATTACTGTACAGCCCCAGTCCTGCATACGAAGCTGGGCGGGAAGTCCGAACCAATCCGCGTCAATTGTCGACAGAATTGAGAGTCGATTGAAATGATCCACAAAAGGATGATCAAATGTACCATGATGCTCTCATTGGCAGAAATCTCCGCTGGGAAATCGGATCCGCCCACAGCCAAAGCCCTTCATTCATCGCAATGCCGTCGTTTGAGCAATTTTGATCATGTCTTTCACCACCAACGCCCCCGCTAAATCTTCACAACGATCAACGATCGATATCATCAAGGTGAGAACATCACACCACACATGCATTCCAGTCAGGTGAAAGAGCTGTGTCCCCAAGGAAGACAGACATTGTGTGCTCGATGCGTTCGAGCGTGCTCAGCGCATGAAGCCGCCAGTCGATCGCGAACAGCATGTTCAGCTTCGAGCTTTGCATCGAATCGTTTGGCCAAACCCCTGATGCCCCCTCGTTCCAGTAGTGGTTAGATATTGGCCTGTCATCGAGGAAATCTGAAGCGAGCTGCATGGCGCAAATGATCAAGGTGTCCGCAGGTAGAGTGATTGGGGAACTGCCGGCAAATCAGTAATTTGTCTTGAAAGAGCCGAAGAACACACTCGCAGACCTACTTTGATTTTAACTCTGCCAAATCTCGCAATTCGCAAAGAATATTATAAGCCACGACGCAAACCTCGCGGGAAGTCCGCCGCCTTGCCAGGTCGATGATGTGCTGTATTCGCTTGACGTCGACATGTGGAGGGGTTCCATAGCTAGCCCTTGTCAAGTCGCCTACACAACCCGCGAAGAGTGCCGTGACGCGACGACCTGCTCGAGTCAGCCTTGAACAACAGCAGAGGGGCAGTCCCTCATTCTTTCGCTGCTGGCTTTGGGCACCCACGGTCTGCAATATCTTCGGCTTCTTCGGTCGCAGTTTCATCGAATGTTACTGCACTCCGATCCATTGGCGGTGTTGGCAATCCAGAGATCGGTCCTTGAAGGGCAAGAAAGGCATCCAGATCCTCAATCCCATCCAGAGAGTCGCAGACGCTAGTTGCAGGCGACGGCGGAAAGTCCATGTCTTGTGTTGGCCGATATTGATCACACAGGGGGTAATGTGGGGACGGCGAGGTCGATGTGTCTTTGAGGTAGCGTTGATGATCAGGTGCAGATTTTGGGGGTGCGCACGAATTTTGAGGGAAAGAACGTCTTGAATGATGTAGGCGGGCTGGAGATGAACGTGCTGTACACCTACCGTGTCTCTCCCAGCAAACAGCATGGCAAATACCGAGTCGATATGCGGCCTCAGCGCACTTGACCCAATGAGCAAAGGACATGCAGGTATGAATCGGTTATGTGCATAGCCGCAGTGGTGTATCATTAGTGGCTTGATCACCACACCGACAATTGTTCAATTCTGTTCGACATTCATCCGATATGGTTGGACAAATCTGACGTGGCAGACGATGCGATAAGGGACGAGGTCATGTGGCTGTTCATTCTACCGTCCATGATGTGTTGTCGGTGTAAAAGAAACGATAGTGGTCGGAGATGGGAAACGGTTCCGGCGATTGGGCGATTCGATCTCGAGCGCCAAGAGACACTAGAGTTACACTACCTAGGTAGCACGTCGCCGAGCGAACGGCTGCAGGCGTATGGATGGCTCTTACCTGGAGTTCCGTCTAGGAAAGCTTTGAAGCAGAAGGCATTGCTACACCCTCACCATCGTAGAGCAAACATAAGCAATCATCAAGGTGCAACGTTATCGACATTGCATGGAAACACGAAGTGGTGTGATCGTTCCATTCTGAAGCCACCTCCGTTTCCCTCCATTGCCTTGTGGTGTGGTGTGTACCCATTTCGACTCAAATGTTCCAGACGTCCATGAATGCTTAAAACTTCCGTTTCCGAGCAGGGGCAATGGACGCTGAATTGGAAGCTCTCACTAAAGTAAGCTCGAGGCACCCATTCCATCAGCTATCCTGGCAAGTACCAAGCGTGCAGGCAGGTAACGCAAACCTCTTTCTCTTCGTTATTCAATACAGCCGCATCACTCAACACCACCGAACTACAACTCCATCAACGCCATCAACAGCAGCCAGCAAATCAAACTCAACCTTATCAATTCAATACCCCGTCACCCGCGCTTCAATGGCATCCAAGCCCACAAGCGGACTATCCGGTCAATCTCACCCAAGCACCACAGTGAGTACAACAACGCCCATGCAGCCCCAGAAGTACTAAACCTCACACCACCAGCCCACTCAGAGTCAGGACCATCATACCACCCAGATCCCGAAACCAGACCATCCTACCCAGACGAAGCACCACGTTGCGCACCTACCAACAAATCACTACCAGAATGCCATAGCGGCGCAGGCATCAGCTGGCCAGTCCATCAACACCGTAGCTGCGCCGACGAAGGATGACCAGAAGCGCGAGAGGCACGAGAACCTTCTCACCAGAGCCGCCACCGAGCAGAGTGCGGGCTATCACTCCACTTCGCATTGAAGTGAGGAAGTGGGCGATCGTGACGGCGGACGGACGAGACATGGCTTGTGAGCGCGAGCGAGCGGTGGACCGAGACCTGATGTGAGATTATATTCCTGCTCGAGTGATATGGGAGGGTGACTGTTTTGGACCTTTGTACTCTACCTCCAGCATGTAACCTGTGCTGTGTCGAATTGCAAGATTTCCCTACGTATGAGACTGTCAGATCAAAAGCACTGCGACTGTGTCGCTGTTCCACTCATGTCAATTTGAAACGCAAAGGAATAGCCTAAGGAGTGGATGTAGCTAATAAAGTACCTCACCCCAAGTCTGTGCTAAGACGTCCGCCACAACCTTTGAGGCCCCTCGCTCCTCGACTGGTCTCGTAGGTCTCGGTTGCCCTCCCTCTTCGCTAATGTCACGACCGCCCGGCGCACCGATGGTCGGACTTACGGCCAAGAGTCCCCGATGGGGTCTCAGACGAAAGTGCAAAGCCGATTCCTGCTTTGGCGGTGGTCCTCGGATTCGACTTCGAACTGAATTCATGGATGTGACGCATGAATCCGAGCAAGGGACCTTGAAATTTGGAGCCCTTTGCTGTCATTGGCAGATACCGATGCATCGTAGGAAGCATCATCTTGCGCTCGATCGTAGTAGGTAACGTATTAGGCAATGTTGCCCATGGTAGGTTTCGTCGTTATGTCCTGTGACAGTCACAAATTGACAGCCGGTCAGCCTTTTGATCCCAAAGACAGAGCGCATGCGCTCCCACGCCGAGTGCCGAAGCCGCCGCCGCGACCACCACGCATCGACTTCTTCTTGTCGACGACGTATTGATCGAGTGACGCTTGGCCCTCCGGAGGAATGGAAATTGAAGCAGCAGAACTGGAGCGGTTGCCGTACCAATCAATGTCTCCCAGCTGAAGCTTTCTAGCTCGCTGCTTGCTGCGAGTGTTGCCGGACTTATCGTATCGTGGTGCGCCGTGTAGGGTGTCGAACGAGCCTGTTTCGTCAGTCAATGAGCCTTGCTGTTGAGTTGCGTCGTCAGGTGGAGGGCTAGTAGATTCAGGACTGCTGTTCTCTTCGCCGCTGGTGGTCGAATGTTGAAATTGACTCTGGCGTTTGACATAGACTTTGCTGTTGAGCGAGCCTGTACCCACGAGACGAACTTGTCCGTGTATGCGCGAAGATGGTATGTAATGAAAGCTGGGTGATTCACCGTCTTGCTGATCGTCCGTGAGATCGTAGTTGAGAACAAGGTTCTTGATTCGCTGTTGCTCCGCCTTCTCCGCCTGTTGCTGAGTGCGCATAGCAATAGCAAAGTTGGAGTCGGATGGGAGATCGATCGATCGAGTCTGAGAATGTTAGCTTGAGGCTGAATCTTTTGAATACCGCGAGACATACCTGTTGGCGGTTGCCCTTTTTGCTCAACAACGCAAACTTCATGGTGCCTGCGCCATTGGTGGGAGCCGGAACGGGAGCCGTTTCGCCACCGCTGTCTTCGGTAGCGGTAGCTGGCGTAGCCGCATCGCGCGCAGTACGGCGCATAGGAAGCGGCACATCGAACATAGTCTTGCGATCGAATTTGCGTGAGTCGACGCTTTCCGCCATCATCTTGGCTAGCTCGCGATCAAATTCTGCGTCAGCTTCCGGATCCCGCTGGTCCTCGGGTCGTGTCACTACAATATGCTCTTCGTCATCAGAATCGTCAGCTTGTGCTTCGTCGTCACCTTCTCCGTGATCATCGCTGTCAGATTTGACTTGTGTATTCTCGCCATCCTCCCCGTCATGGACGTCATCTGAGAGGTCCCCTTCACCTTCAAGATCCTCTGCTTCCTCTGGCTCCGGRAGTTTGCCAGATGCAACGTCCTGGTAGTTCTGCTTTACACCTTCGGCGAAAAGTCTTGATGCTTCGCCCAAGTCATTCAAGACGAGCTTCCACTGCGGACGCAGAAGATTGTACGTGTCTTGCACGACAAACTCGATATCCATGGGCAGGGGCTCCTTGATGTTGATGTAGAGCTGCAGGAAAGTCAGGTAGAAGTCGAGCTTTTTCTTTGCAGCACCCTTTTCAAAGCAGTGTCCACATGTCTCGAGTAGGGCGCATACTAGACGAATGCGAAAGTAGTCGTCGGGAAGATCGATGGGACAAATGTCACCCGGCTGTGCGTAGCCGTGACGGTGCCCGTAATTGAGCATCTTCCAAAGCGTATCGAAGATGAGCGCCGAGTCGACCACGCGGTACATGTAGAGCTCGCCCAAGTACTTTGCCTCGGCGATGCGGCGCTGGTTGTACTTGAAGTCGTTCGTCTCCAAGCCCACAGTTACACGCTCCTGGATTTCATCCAGAACGGTAATGGCAAAGTCGGTGTGAAAGCGGTAGAGAGCTGCCAAGGTCATGGCAAGGAGGTAGATGTTACCATACCTGATCTTTCCGGGCTTGACAAATATCTTGCGCAAGACATCCACAACTTCATCTTCTTCCCAGTGCAGCTTGCGGATCTGCTTGATGACTTTGTCCAGGCTTTTCTTGCTGAGGTCAACATAGACCAGCTTGCGCACGAAGAGGTCAAGGGTAGTACGTTCCTTTTGTTGAATTGCGGCGCGCTCCGGTGGGTTGACGTAGTACATGGCGTTCTCGATGAGCATGCGCTCCTGCTGACCAAGGTGCTGAGCGCCCTTCTTCCGTTGCAGGGTCTCCAAGAAAGACGCCATGCGAGGCGACGTCTCGGGATTCCTCAGCAAATAGCGACCGCAGTTCTCCAAAAGATTTGCGATGATCTCAATGTTCATCCGGGAGAGGTCGTCCAAGCAGACTTTGAGACAGTGAAAGATGACATGCTCGGGAACGACACCAAATTTGGTGAGCTCTGCAATGTAACGCATGTTGACCATCCGGACTTGACCGAGGAAATCCTTGGACTTACGACGCTGAAGACTTCTGAATTCATCGTCCAGATACGCAATCATCGCCTGTGGAATGTCCTGCAGATGACGACCCAGAGTGGCGACGAGCCGAGCGTAAAGAGGAAGGAGGTCTGACCTGCCTTTAGGAATATCCTCAATAGCTTTGATGAGGCGATTACGCGAAGCCTTTGAGTTGAGAAAGCAGAAGTCGATGGCGAACTGGTCGACTTGGTCTTTCGTGGTAAGCTCGTGAAGTCTGGCAAGCAATGCGTCGACMTGTGCACCCACGGTCTTGTTGGCGATGGTCATCGATGCATCATCCGCCTCAACGGACTTCTCTTTCTGTTCACCAGACTCGTCGGTCTTCTTCCCGACCTGGTCATCGCCGTCGGTCTTCTTCTTTTTGCCGTCCTCGAGCAAGATCCCAGGGACTCGATCCTTCAAGTCAACCATGTTCTCGTAAAAGCGACGTTCGTCCTCATCCTCCCAGATTCCCGCGCCTTCTGCTTGTCCGCGAAGATACTCTCCCGTCTTGACTAGACCAATGCTGCTTTCAAGTCCCGAAGAAGTGTTATCCTTTGCTGAGAGATCGGGCATCTCGGCTCCCAGAACTTCAGCAAGAGTTTGCGCACTTGAGACTAGCTTTTCCTGTACCTTGAGAGCCTTCTCGTGATTGTTCTGGCGATCTTCGAACACCTCGCCTGATTTGACGTAGGCTTCCGCATTTCGCCGTCCTTGTGAAGACAAACGCTCCTGGTCCCGTACAATATGAGCTTTCACATCGTCAAAGTAGCGAGTGAGGATGTTTTTGAATCGTTGTTGCAGTATGGGTGCCGTTAGTGGTGGATCGGGAGCAGAGCCATCGTCGTTTTCAGTTGTCGTTGTGGATTCAGCGTGACCATTCGTGGATGTCGTGGCACCATTCTCGGTAACGGTTTGACGGCTCTCTGATTTGACGGCCTTTGAGCCTAGAATGTCCCACGCAAAGGTTTTGACAAAGAGCACAACGAGTGGTAAATTCACGTGCTCGCGATCCTGGCCAAGCATATCCTTGAGTACCTCCAAGGGGAATGGTTCCGGATCGGCGGCATCTGAGCGAGATCCGTTGGTCTTGACTTTTGAAGGAACGTCGCCTCCCTTGCCTGTATCACGTCCTTTGGTGGCCTCTTCCGGCTTCGCCACGTCTTCCAAGCTTTTGAGCACTCCCACAAGCCAGAGCTCCGTAGCCACGCGCAGCAACGTACGCTGACGGGAAATTCTGTCCTTTTCTTCCCGCTCACGAACATCGGGTGCCAGTGCCTTCAATTGTGCCTTGTCCGGGGTTGCCAGGCCGCGACCAATATACCAGCCCAGGTAACTCGTGAACTCCTCCGGGCCGAATCTTTGATGGAGCGCGCTGATTATTTCGACTCCGGCAGTGATATCCCCAGAGACCTTGAGCTTTGTCAAACCCTCGAAGCAGGCGGATATGATCTCGGTGAGATATTTGTGCAGCGACAGGGATCGGATCTCCTGCAGGAAAGTGGCGACGTTGGCAGGCGTGATTGCGGTGCGTAGTCGTTTGATTAGGGCCGTATTCTTCTTCATATTCGAGTCCAGCGAGGCCTGGACCGCGAAGACGTCTGGTCCATGATGTCAGTCCTCCGTGCTGCCTATCCTGCCATATGCTTGCCTACCATTTTCTCCATTCCACGCGCGAGCGTTCAGCTCTTTCAAGTCCCCTTCTCGGCATTAGCAAGGCCAGAAGCTGGTGCACCAACATGGCAGTCTCACTCTTTCTGCGCCGCTCAGCTGCGGCCATCATCAGGTATCCGGTGGTGGGATGGTGGTGATTGAATGGTGGGGCTTTCGACTCAGCGATCGGGCATTTGAACGATGGGTTGCAGTGACAGGCTCCGCTTGTCTCGTGCTTGCATTTGGTCGGCGACGGAGCAGGTGCGAAGTTGGTGATGATATCTTGGGCTCGGTGGTGTTGTCCAAGTGGCAGCGAACAAGGGCAGCTGTTAAATCCGAAGGGGTGACGCGCAGGATGGAACCTTACCTTCGGAAAGTGTAGCAGGGGTCCATGCACTCCTGCTGACTTCGCACCTGTCGTTTTTACGACCTGCCCACTGACATCAATTTCACTTCACATTTCCCGATCATCTCTACAATTACTTAAGTATGCTCCGGTCGATTTCAGGTGTGAGATATTGAGCGACACCTCTCCAACGCTAATGTCTTTTCGAACTGTGGCCTCTACCTAGGTTTTGCCATCCCAGAGCTACGTGCACACACTTCTCGTCACAATCTCTCCTCCATTGCTTTCTGTTTGCCCCGCGCTTGGCCTACAAACCATCAGGATTAGGACAAGGGTGATTAACTGGAGCTCGTCAATGCGCAAACACGCAGCTGAACGAGAACAACACTTCCGCTGTCACCACCATTGCCGGCCTACATAGTCGAAGTTGTCTTGATTGTTGTTTTTCCCTCCCCGAGCTTTTGCAAACCGAAGAAGGGATATTCCTCTGACACAACAATCATGCGCATCTCCAGCGTACTCAACCACTTGATGCATTCCTGTGGAGAGCGAGCGATCCATCGTGGTTGCAAGAAAAGGCCAATRGAGGAGCGCTATCGTCGAGAGCAACCAGTATACAGCGACGTAGCTGTGCTAAACATTCGACACAGTTTGCTGCCTTCCAGCTTTGTCGTGATGGGGAGCTCATTTTCGCGCTCAAGATCTCGCTACATCTTCGGCAACGAGAGCCAGGCATGCTGAGCCTTGGAAGCCGTCAAGGAGAGGGCACTGCGCAGCAGCAACGTCTGTATCGCCGCGATGCTTTGTCCGGAACGATACGCCTGGGAATATTTCTCAAACTCATCGATGTCGCCCGGCGTGATGAGTTTGCAAGTCTCCGTCGGCATTCTGCTTCGACATGACGGCTGYGGATGTGGAGGGCTGCGGCGCAATGGACCATTGAGCTCCAGTCAAGCCTCGTTCTACAAGATACCATCTGGCGTGCCGCCCCCCCTCGATGCATACATCTTATCCTCGACAAATTCCTWCATCGCTTATTTTTGTTACTGTCCAATGCCATCCAGCGATCAATAGGATACCATGGAGCCGTTCCCAGACTCCCGATTGGAGTGATACCCGACAGACGGCCTGGGAATGCCTCTGAAGCCATAGGTAGCTTGGAGCTGTTCTTGGGTGCGTATTCTGATCTGTCTTTGGTATTGTGTCTGGGTCATACCTGTCTTGCTGATTAGAAGAGTGATTATTACAAAATCCAGCAGGTACTCACCATTCTCGTCTTGGCCGATAGTAGTTTGTTCCGCTGCTGGAGGGAAAAAATGGCGGCCAATTGCGTATGCAGACAAGACAGCGAATCCAGCCCCGAGCAGTACAAGGAGCACGATCCAAAACGGGGCAAAGGCATACTCCGTCTCCCGTTTGGCGAGCGACCGAATGTGCATCGCAATAGGAGCCATTGCGCCGGCGCAATGGTTTCGGCGGTTGAAAGAATGAGAGCAATCTGAAGAGCACTATACGTCCCGATACGCTGTGTTGCTTTGGAAGTTCCAAGACACGAGAGATCCACGGATGACGAGCGAGGCCACAACGTTAAGGAATGAGTCTGGTATGGTCTGCGAAGAGTAAAAGAACAGTCCACGCGACGGAATGACTCGGTTTTTGTAACATGGTCACAAGCACGACGCAGCTATTCTCGTCATTTACGAGACGCGAAGGGAACCCCGCCATCGAACGCGTGGACGAGCATAGGCATTTCGGCACCCTCACCAACAGCCGAACAAGAAACGATTGCGAAAAATGCTTATTTCCAGACGAAGTCTAACCCCTGACGAGTCGAGACGAATTGTGATCGTTGATTCGCTGCATCTTTCTGCATACAGCAAAAGCTGAAGCTGTGACGTCGTTGCCGAGACCCGAAGCACCGAAAATGAGTCTGCATAGCCCTGATCGGAACGCGGAGCATTCTTCACATGGTGCGTTGGACCAATCAAATGGGTCAATGCGACTCGAACATGTCGCCGTCGGACCCTGGGTGATGTTCGGGAATCGAGATCGCTGGCCTTCCCTCTCACTTCTGTGATCGTTGACGAAAACTTCGGCAAGGGAAGGGTTTCAAGAGCAGTGTACGTCTGCATCCCGCAGGACATGATGGTCCAATTGTCTGCCGTGTTGTTGATTGGGCCCCTTTCTATTATTCCTACACATCTACGGCCTCTCTTTACGTCGAATGCTTTCTCTCGAACATCCTAGCGCTGGTATGTTTGCGGCGAAACGAGACTCGCGCAACACTGCAGCAACATTTGGCTCTTGGTTTCCAGTAATGACTTTCAACGTAGAAAGTTAATGTACAGGCGGAGTTCTTTTGCAATGRACTTGGCCGTAGAGAATTTACATGCCACCTCGTTCTTGCACTTGAGCCTCCTCGGATGCTTTATCAACCTAGGAACGATAGCAACGTGGCACGATTTGGACCATGCCCTCCCTGCTGGGAAGAAGGAAGTGCACGAGACGGAAGATCTCTCGAGGAGTCCTCTCCGGTCTGGCTTTGAGGTACAAATTCCACCCACTGTAGATCAAGATGTCGACAAGCTCATTTACCAGTAGTGTAATCCCCAAAGAAAGACGATTGATAGTCTATTGTGCCAAGTCCTTTGATGTGAACTCCTTCTCGTGTCGATCGTTCCGTTTCGCTTAGCGTAATTCCGGTTTGGGTGCTCCTCTGCTCTGCGTTGGCGAACATTGCGTCTGTGGAATCGTTATGGTGAAGGTCATGCAGAACMGTGACTCAATGGTCTGTGTGAAAAGTACAACTCAAAGTAAAGATGCCGTCTCCCTTGACTGATGAACCTCTGCTGGAGCACTTGGTAGCTCAATCGATCGATTCACGCTACCTTTGCTAGCGTGGGCTAACCACGGATTCAAAGTGGATATCTTGAGATAGCATATACCGTTCTCACTCTATGGATGATACACGGCATCACACGTTGTTCGTCCGTACGTTGGTAGAGACCGTGTAAAGAGGTCCTTCCGCGGCAGATCACAGAACAGCGTGCCGCGTGGGTGAGAGAGCGGATCTACCTACAAATCAGTCAATTGTGGCGTTTGAGTCGCCGCTCTTCTGCACACTCCTCACGGGCCGTTATGTGCGAACCTTGTTCCTCTTGATATCACATGACGATCTGCTCTTCGCTCTGTCTGAAGGTTGTCTGTCCATCAACTCCATGGAATAATATGAAGCATATCCAAAGGTGACCTGTCGTGAGTGTTCAGAAAATCCGGAGCGGGATCAAGGAAAGCAGATCCGCACAGCCACAGCTCCCGTCCACATCACACCTCGACAGCCATCAAGCTGGCTAAACACGGGCAACCTACCTTTGACGATGCGTACGGTGCATCGCCAATTCCTTCTTCAAGGGGAAGTTGGTTAGCAAGAGTTAGTCACCGAGCGTCGCATATTCCCAATCGGCCATCGTTTTCGGGTCCTCGACTGCTGCCGCTGCGGACCCCCGCGAGCGCGACGTTTGCAACGCAGGAACGCCTTCAGCCCGTTGCACACAAACGCAAGAGTTATCCCGCCTCGCCCGTCAGTCCAGCGGAAACCGAATTCGCGGACACACCACTCGACGGTAGTCCCGGCGGGAAAGGGCTGCAAGGACTGGACGAGCGTCCTGCTACAGGTTTGGGCCATCGACCTGCAACCGGACTGAGCCAAAGGCCGGCCACCAGCGACACCGTTATTCCCGCGATCCGCACCCGTCGAGCCACGCTCACGCAGGAACAGGCGCCCTCGATCCCGATGGACAAGTACGCGCGCCATGCAGGCGACCATGCCTATGACAGCGACGCCGAGGCTGATGACGAGTTTGAGCGGTCCGTTTTCACTTCACCAATCATTGCGGGCCATTTTCAGGACGACAATTCAGACCATCCTTCAGAGTCAGAGGACGATCAGTCCATGGACGGGGAAAACGATACCCCGACGACACAGGGTTGGGCGGACAGGGATGGTCGTAGTCCAATGGGGCAAATCACAGATTGGAGCGAGGAGGAGGCTGCAAGCTACATTGCTGCATTGTCGCCCGCATTGAAGCAGTACGCACAGCGGTTCGTGGAGGAGGGTGTGAATGGCGAGGCGCTGGTTGCTCTGCAACACGATGAGCTGCGGGAATTGGGCGTGACTAGTGTGGGGCATCGCTTGACCATCCTCAAGGCAGTGTACGAGCAGAAGATGCTCGCAGGCATAAGGATAGAAGATGGGGATTACGTGCCGTTGTCGGCCGAGGGCGAAAAGGGCGAATTGACCGCAACCCAAGACGATATCACTCGCATCATCGAMTCGATACGACTGCGCGATCAGCGGATCATGTCTACCGAGGCAGAGCTGCGAGGGCTGAGACAAGAGCTCGAAAGAATATCGGAGGAGAACAAAAAGCTCAGGGAAGAGACGCTTCCGATTGTGCGGATGATGAAGGACCAGCGAACACCACTTCCAGATCCCTCGGGTGGGACCATACCCTCACCGCGAGAGGTGGATGCAGTGCGACAAGCAGAGGTAGTTCAACCCCAGAGCAAAGGCAGCTCGTTGAGCAGGAAATTCTCTACCAAGAAGCTCTTCCTCAAGTCCGACCCTACAAAGCAACACTCTCCTACACACCCGCCGCAATCACACACTCCACAGCCCAGAGAAGTCCGTGATGATGGCGGAACACATCTTGAAGCTTCGGCTGCCGCAATGGCGGCAAGCACTCACCTCACAGCCAGCATGGCGAGCCAGCACAGTCCTAACAGCGTACACGGGCAGCAACTGAGCCCTACCAGTCCTGCATACAGCGTATCAGCTGGGCAGTACCATCCTCCGGGCTCTGCAGCCAGTCGCTCCTTCCCTCGCGATGTTAACAATGCAAGGCATGACCAACGCTCATACGGGCATAACGCAGATGAGCAGTGGAATCAGGATACACGCCAGCAGCAGGACAGATCGCGACGACAAGCGCCCACTCCGAGTCCGAGGGAAACCGAAACGCCCAGCACCGGGCGAGACAGGTAAGTTGGAGCACTCTTCTCTGGTCAACGCAGCATCGCTAACATATTCCGACCTCCAGGGACAATCCCCAAGTCGAAATCTTCAAATCATTCCGCGTCAGCATCGACGATCCCTGCCGGGTCGTCCTCCCCGTAGTAAGTCAACGCCGCCGCAACCGCCGGGCTGACCACCCCATTAATGTCATACGCCAGGCGCTCAAGAGATACGACATCTCGGATGATTGGCGACAGTACGCTTTGTACATTGTACACGGCGACCAGGAACGATGCCTTGGACTGGAAGAGAAACCTCTACTCCTGTTTAAGCAACTTGATAAAGAAGGAAGGAAACCCATGTTCATGCTTCGGAGACACGCCAGTCCGCAGGAAGGGTGGAGTGGAACTACGGCGACGGGAAATATGCCGAGGGAACATCCAGAGGCCGCTAAGGTATGTTGATGCTGTTGGTGGAGGGTTTGAAAGGTCGTACTGACAGTCCACTAGCAAATTCCTGGCGGCGTATTATGAGAAGAGGTGGAATGCGGCTCATTGGCGTCAGATAGAGTCAGTAATGACGGCTTGGGATCTTAAATGAATTTGTCATGGAGATGAGGAACGGCTTGTCTCGCAACTATACAATCCAGTAGGCAGAGAATGACCAGGAACTTGGACGCAACTTATTGCGCGCGAGCAACAGCAGCAGTAGTGAGACAGATTCGTATCGACCAATCGAGGAATAAGCCGTAACCTCCCTCTGCAATGGTGAAAATTGCTCACAAAGCATCCTTCATAGATAAGGTTGACCGTGTATTGTTCCAAACTCAGGAGACCCCGAAGGCACATTTGTCGACTCCTCCCCTCGATRTCTTTAGGGGCCACTGTTCACGGAATTTCAATCATCGAGTGTCATCGTCCTTGTACTTGTGATTCCAATAGAGACGCGCATGCTTCTTCGCGCCCTCCTCGTTGATCTGTAGGTACAAAGTCAGCACACATCGCGACCATTCAATCGAAACGATCATCTCACCTGCTTGATCTCCGCCGGTGTGAGCTTGAACGTCATAGCTCTCAGGTAATCGCTGAGGCGTTGTTCTTTGCTGGAGGTGGTGATCGCGACGATGTCCTGATCGATGCACCACCGTAAACTGATCTCACCCGGACTAACGGCATACTTCTTTGCCAGAGAAGCCATGATACCATCTACTGGTCCAGGAGCAGCTTTTATCACCGCACCCTGGGGAGCGTATGCAGATGTAGCAATTCCCTGTGATTGTTAGCTCACTTCTCATCAGCCGCCTGGCGAATACTCACCTTCTCCTTGTGGTACTTTAGGAGCTCCGTGTGCTGCAGGTAGGGGTGAAACTCAATCTGGTTGATGGCCGGCGGAATGGTGCACGTCTCGAGGATCCAATCGAGATGTTCGGGAAGATAATTCGATACTCCAATGGACTTGACCAATCCCTGGTTCTTGAGCTCTTCCATCTGCTTCCACTTGGCCTGATGCTCTTCTTTGGTCTCGCCGAAGAACGGCGAGTGGATCAAGTACAAATCAAGGTAGTCCACACCGAGCTTCTTCAGGCTTGCATTGAAAGCGCTGGGAATATCCGCAATGTTCGTGATGACTTTCGAGACCACGTAAAGCTTCTCACGCGCAATGCCTGATTGGGCAATGGCGGTCCCAAGCTCTGTCTCGGTTTTGTAAACTTCAGCGCCATCGAGATGATAGTAGCCGAGTCCAATGGCTGTCTTCGCACTGTCGATGCATAGTTGGTCGAGTTTAGATTCGTCGCCAGTCTTGTACCAAGCGGTTCCAGTGCCATAGGCAAGCTGTCATTCGTTCAGCATGATTGACCATGTTGCGGGAGACGAAGAGATTATCAGATACCATAGGAATTCGATTGCCATCGTTCAGCTTAAGCTGTGGAATGGGAGTGTCTGCATGGTGAGAGAGCTTTAGAACTGTAGCATGCTTTCGATCAAGGGGATCAGCTACGCACGAATGTGAGCCATGTTCGCAAACCCGAGACAGGAGAAGATGATCGAAGGGCTAGTTCTGACTGAATTGGTGAAGAAAGTTGAAAGTGTCGAAGATCGTTTGAACAATCTGGCACTCATTGGAAATATTGAAAGGCAGCACAACAGAAGTGAAGTCGCCTTCCGTTTCTTGCGGCCCCGCAGGGCCCACATGCAGGCAGGTGGGGCAGAGAGCTGCGTGTGATATTGACATCTCATACCGACGTAGATCAGGTATTGGCTGTGAATTTCTGGCGAGTGTCACATTGCTCAAGACCAAGTCACATCAGGACCATCTTACGAACAGTCAAGATAAGGCGCCTCATCAGGAAGGCGCGCCACTGTGTAGGAAATGCAGACAGTCTCTGGCCGAACAAGCTCTATGACACGCCCGAGCGATATGTCGGCTTTTACTGGAAGAATATAAGGCTTTGTATCAAAGCAAACTTGAGTTCGGTGTCCAGGAGCGTTGTATGGGTTTCCTTTTCTCGCAATGATCGACCACTCCTTTCACCACGACATCACGAAGGGCGATCGCGACGCCTTCGCAAAGTGTGGATTCCAGTCACACTCTCGTCGTCTGGTCTTCTTCATGGAGTCTTTCCCTCGTGGGTTGGGTGCACAGGCATCACAAGGCAAACAATGCTCGCGTGGTGTAGCTCAGCAGAAAGTTGGCACGCTGGACTTCGCTCCGCTTGCGTTTTTCCACACCTGTTTCATACCCATGTCAAAATGCCATGCTTTCGCGCAGGTTACTCCCAAATGATTCGACGATGTCATGCCAAAAGTTGTCTTGGGCGTTGCTGGGCTTGCTTGGGAAATTTACCCGCTGCGTGTCGTTATATTTGACTGCGTGGTGGCCGCCGGTGACGTAGAATCCAGATTTAGGAGCCGTTGCGAAAACAAAATTGAGCTGAACACAGACCCACTGTTCGGACGCGCCTCCCGTCATCACAACTTCACCTCCTGCTTTGCAGCGGCCCTGTCTGTGCAGGCGCGACATCATCACTACCTTACAAGCAGCAGCCCGACCGCCCGAGCATCTGCGTGTCCACGTCTGCACGTCGCCAGCTGTGCCGCCAGCCGGATATCGCGCACCATCATCAAGGATCAAGCTTCAGCTTCAGCTTCCATCTTCCCCGGATTGTCGGGACTCGGACCCTCCGGAAATCTCAATTTCTTGCTTATTTTGGTACACGACCATCACGACCTTCACGACCTCACAGCCTGCAGGGCCGCACGAGACTATCTTCATTGCTCCAGGTATATACGATATACTCGCGGCGTCAAGGCGTCAAGGCGTCTTACTCTGGTAACGAGAGAACTGTTGGACTGCGAGCGCGAAATCCGAAGCCAGCGAAGCTTTGTGCATTTCAAATACTGGATAGATCTTCCYGAGAACAACCTCTACCGTATAACAGCATCGCGGTAGTCTGACTATGCAAGCTTAAGTGCATCAAAGCGGCGTCTTTCGAACAACATCCCCAGTCTTCTAATCAACATGGACTACTTCAACCAGAACCCAGATCAAGGCCGGCGGCCTGCGAGCTCCGCAAACCAGCAGGATCGCCTCAGTGCACCTCGCACCCCTGGCGGTGCAAGACGCATATTGGGAGCGCCCTCGTATGAAAGCATGAGGATGCCCTCCAATATTCGCATACGACGGCTTCCCTCTTCCAACTTCAGTCCGCAGATTCCACAAAGCGCTTCGCAGGAACATGTGCAAACTCCTTCCGCAGACGACACGGAACTCACAGGAAGAAGAAGAAGCTCCTCAGCCCCACGTTCGTTTGGTTATGGGCCCAACTTTACTGCGGCAGACCTTGCAAGGCAATCGACACTAAATGAATCGCATATGCCACCAATCCGAGAAGGACAGGCTGCGTCGCGCGGCAACTCAATGCATCCTGGATTTCCCGAGAGCCTCGATGGCTCACGCGCGTATACGCCTGGAATCAATGCCGAGGACATGGCTGCACGTACGCCTGCACCGGAAACGTTCGGTCCAACAGGTTCAGCTATGCACAGTGCTGGCAATGCGGCGCAGCGGTCGAGAGGGTTCAGTCTGAATCGCTTCAGGTCGAATACCTCGACAACTATGCATCCCAACACAAGACGGAATTCAACGATCGCGTCTCAAGATGAATATGAGTCGGATGTAATTGATCTTCTAGACCTTGTCGATCCCGAGGTGCGGACTTTGGGAACACTGACTAACCTTCAAAACTCGTTGTTCGTCCCCGATCTCGGTGGTTTGGTGAATCGACGGCCTACATACGATCTGACACGACGCCCAACAGAAGATGCTGCAGTTGTAGCACGCTCGAGAGCAGGAACTCGTACATCCAGGGGGGAATTGATGTCACCGACAAGGCCGGCTTCGCAAACTCAGACTGAACATGAACCAGAGCAGATTGAGCTSGATGGCGACATCGAGTTGCAGGACAATCGTATGACCCGTCAGATCTCGATCTCGTCAGAGGTCAGTGATTCTCACTACGCTGTACTTCCTCACGGTGTGAGTCTGGAAGGCTGGGCCGACGAAGACGTCGCGGAGCTAAACGACCATGTTCGCCACCTCATGCATTCCAAGCGTGAAGGTTTCAAGCGCTCCATGAGAGGATTTCGCCAATACGTCAGCAAGCCACTAGGCGCATTCGTTTTCATCTACGCAACGCTCGTAACGCTATTCGGTGCTGCTTGGGTCTTCGGCTTGATCGGATGGATTTACGTTGGCGACGGAAGACAGGAATATTTCATTAATGTTGTTGATCTTGTCTTGGTCGCCCTGTTTGCGCTCATGGGAGATGGGCTAGCACCCTTCCGAGCGGTCGACACATACCACATGCTCTTCATTGCACACTACCACCATCTGACCTGGAAATTACGAGAAAAGAAAAATCTACCGGACCTCGTTGATCATAATGATTTGCCTGCCAGGCGTGGCGACGATCCACCGGACAGCGACGACATTATTGATAAGGAAGAGATGGCCGAGTACTCCGTTCTCACCGTTCAACAACAGAAGCGTCTGCAATACCATCAGGCGAAGTTCAACAAGAGCCACACGTTTTACAAGCCACACGAGACAGCGACACATCACGCATTTCCTTTGAAGCTTCTGGTCGCGGCTGTTATCCTCCTCGACTGCCACAGCTTTCTACAGATAGCACTGGGTACCTGCACCTGGGCTATCGATTACCGGGTCCGACCCGAAGCTCTGACTGCAACCATTCTTTCCTTTTCAATCGCATGCAACATTGCAGCTGGTGTCGTGATTAGTATCGGCGATCACAAGACGCGCAAGAAGGATGTCCTTGAGCGGATATTCCGCCAAGGTCTCACAGAGCAGGCTTTGAAGACCATGGCGAAGCGGCACCAGAGAGGAAAGCTAGGACTGGCTGTGGATAAGAGTAAGCTCGAAAGTGGCGGCAAGGTTGCAAATGCGGCAGAAGCCGTCACAGGGACAGGGCCAAAGACTAAGAAGGCGAGGAAATCAGAAGATGCTCGCGCACAGAGCGTTCAAGTATGATTTGCTTCGCAATTGTGATTAATTGTTATTAATGGATATAATGGATCGTTCTTGTTTAGCGCTTGCGAGGCGTTGACACGAGTATAGAGTACAGATTTCGACACCGTTATCGCCTATCGGCATGCTATCAGCTGCCTCTCTGTAGCATTGGCAATGATGAACCCTACAGGTAAAGTAAATGCTTCTTGTCAACATAGTGAATGCCGTACAAGAGAATGTGATGTTGGGAGTGCTTCTGAACGTTATTATTCATACAATAATCTTGGCGGCGGATGGTGTCGCACTTTGCAAGCCGCGACGTGGCTTTGTGAAATTTTAATTTGCCAAGAAATGTGAAATGAAAGTGAATGACTGGAAAGCCAGGTGACCTCACTACCTACCTTAGAAACTTACTTTCAGAAGTTCAGAAGCTTCCGCGACATGCACAACTTCAGCGACAGACGGCAGAAAACAACATGTTGCGACCAAAGGTAGGCGCAGCTTCTTCTTGCGAAGCAGAGATCCTTCCTCGCGCTCTGGCAATGTGTGAAAATTTGGCAGGTAGGAGTGAATGGCACCATTCTTTTTCCCCTCCTCTCCGCCTTTGTCCATCAGACATCTTCTCTCGCCCAAGCACTACTCTTCATCCGCAATACAGCTTACCAGACAGACATCCCTAGCTTGTTTGATAGGTCCATTCATGGATTCGATAGAGGAAGCTCCGAGACGGACGACCCGAGCCAGGAAAAAGACCGCCAAGGGCGAGGCATATGAGGAGTCGTTGAATGGATCTTCTCCGGTAATTTCATCCTCCTCGCACACTCACATTTCGTTGATTCAACTGCTGACGCGACCGCCAAGATGCTGCCTCCAGCTGCGGAGGATAATCCTAGATGTCATTCTCGATCAGGTACGAAGCACGCTGCGAACCCACGTGCCGACAGTCCTATGGAAATGCCTGCCAGAAAGCATAGAGCAAAAAAGACTGCTGAGAAGCGGCCTCCGGCGGCCTCGAGCTCATCCGCGACAAATCCAAGCCGTGCAGATACCTACCGGTATGAGTTACCATCATTCGATGACTTGCCCGTCGGCAAAGCGATGCACTTCGATGACGGCTTTGGTGAAGATTGGGCGGATCTCGAGGCAGATCTTGACCATTTGCACGGGCACACCCAGGGACCACGGGAAACCCTTCATCAGCGTAAGCTCACTTCACCATTACCGAGAGATGCCCAGCTTCATCAACGTGACTGGCTGATCCTGCGTGCAGATGTGGCCAGCACTCTCGTGTCGCGTGCCAAAACGGCGCAAAAGGCGGGCAAAAGCTTCCAGACCTTTGAAGAAAATGAGCGGAAGATCGACAGCAAAGCGGTGAATGAAGAAGACCCTAAGAAGCGGACATTACTCATACGCAGTGCAGTCGACAATGCACTTCGACTCGCGATTTTGGACAAGCTGGCGCCGCGACTGTGCGTCGAGATCTGGGGCACGCCGTGGACGCCACGTGCGGAGGACATTCCAGCGGCCAGCATTGCTACTCTTCCGGCAGCCTATCGCCGCGAGGGTTACAAGGATGATCCGGACCGCACAGTCAGGAAACTGGGTGAGGGTGGGTTGTTTGGCAGACCAGTGTTCAGCGATGAGGATAGCGACGCATCATCGGGATCTGTGGATCTCGGTGAGCATCTGTGGAATCCTCCAGAAGAGTGATATGTTGGCCAAGGTACGCTCGTTCAGGCCGATTCACTGCGTCCTGCCATTGAGCCAGTCTCTTCTACAATGGATAGATACTGCTGCAATCCTTTGGATAATGGTCGTCGAAGTCGGTGAATACGCATTGAAGGTGTACTACACAGAGTGCCAAGCCGAACCGTAGTGGAGCGCGAGAAATGGAGAAGTTGAAGATTGCCGGCTTTCTCAGTTGTGAATCGATCACCACCCTCACGAACGGGTAGCTATGCCAGCCAGAATGAGCTGTCTCGCGGAGCGTGAAGCGCTCTACTGAACAATCTCCTTATAACTAGTCGTGTTCAGGGAGTACGACATCTTCAACTGCTGCAGATACGGCGCCAACCTTTACCTTCACCAGACCTTGACGGCTGAAGACTGCCTTCGTGGCGGGTATAGCTGCAGACTTGACCACAAGCCGTTGTAGGATCGGCGATTTGTTGCATGCAGGCCATCACTGTAATACCTTGAGTCCTCTGGTTCCGCGATGAGTCTTGCTGTGGAACAACGACGGTCATGTCCGGAGCGGCGCATGCTGGGCCGCGAGATGATGTTGAGACTCTGAAAGGTGAAGATGAGGAATCCGATGGCATCCGGGTCCAATGTTCTAGATCCTCTCCGTCTCTTTCGTGTCTCTATTCTGGGCGAGAGGAGGGCCAGCCGGATTAGGACGTCGGAAATTCTCCATATTTTCGGAATCGGATCACGCTTATGGAATGGCAATGACCGACGGTTCCTGCGGCCCGATCGATGGTGAAGAAGAATAAGATGCCCTGTGTCAGTGTGAGATTTTAGAAAGCAGTGTTCGGTCGTGCCATCGGCGACCGCTCCACTAAGGAGCTCCGCACTCACGTGGCATGCTTCTCCGCGATGTAACATTGAAAAACTGGGTTCTCCACACATGGAGCCAGTGACAACATCACGTGGATAAATGGGAGTTGTGTTCTCTTGCACGACGACACCTACAGTAGTCTTTGTGGTGTCTCGATGGGACGCCGACAGTAAGGACCGAAAGACATTTCTGCCAAGCATGCAATTCCAGCCATTAGTGTCGAGAGTGAGGGTGAGAATGGACATTGAAATGGTATAGTGACCAAGCTTCTTCAATGAAATGAGTGTCTCATTGGCCCTGGAAGATGACCTGCCCGGGATGAGGGGTGTTTAGCCGCCTCAAGACGGCCATCCATGTCGATCGTTCCGTGAAAGCTAAATACTAAAAGTAGKGTCACGGTCCACTGCAGCGTGACTTCTTCTACCACCTACGTTACCTGCAGACAAACAGAACGGCTCTGAGCTGATTCACCAACCATGGCCACCAAACATCTGCTTCTGCTTGCTTCGGCATTGATATCCAGCGTCAAAGCCGCAGAGGATCCCATTTGCCCGGACTACATCAAGTACGCCGGACAGCAACACGGCCCATTCAGCGAGGGACGCTTCAACCTCTCCTCCCAACGGCCTGTCACGAGATGTCGCACCTTCAACTCCTCAGTCGTAGAGTCGAAGATCGAAGAGGTCTCCTCTAAGATTGCGGACCCAGACTTGAGGAGACTCTTTGAGAATACTTTCCCCAACACACTGGACACGGCCGTCAAGTGGAAGGGTCTAGCGGACGGCACAGATGAGGAGCTAACGTTCCTCATCACAGGAGGTAGGTTTCTTTGGACATTGGTAGCCTTCAATTGCTGATCATGTGCTGTACAGACATCAACGCAATGTGGCTAAGAGACAGTGCCAACCAGGTACAGTCTTACCTACCACTTCTAGAGGCATCTTCCTCTCCAGACTCCTTGGCCTCGCTATACCGTGGAGTTATCAACCTGCAATCTCGTTATCTTCTGACGGATCCATACTGTAACAGCTTTCAACCTCCCACTGAGAGTGGACTGCCGCCTTCCTGGAACGAGTATGCCCAGACCGATGTGGTAACGCCTGCGTATAGTAACATGTCCGTTTTCGAGTGCAAGTACGAATTGGATTCACTCGCTGCCTTTTTGGAAGTTTCGTACGATTACTACAGTGCGACTCAAGATGTCGAATTTTTCGGCAAGTATTCGTGGGTCAGCGCAGTCGAAGCCGTTCTCAAAGTGGCCGAGGAGATGATGGTTCCAACATACCACGACGACGGTGCCGTCCAGAACATTAGCTACACTTGGACCAGACAGACAACGAGGTCCACAGAGACTACTGCCAACGGTAAGAATGCGTATTATCCTTCATACATTGGAACACGCTAAATCAGACAACCAGACGGCTTTGGCAACCCTTTCAATCGCACTGGGCTCATTCGAAGCTTCTTCCGCCCATCAGACGACACCACCATCTATCAAGGCTTCATTCCAGCCAACATGATGTTTGCCCGCTTCTTGGGAGCGACTGCGCCCATCATGAAGGGGCTTGGAAACCAGGATGCGCTCGCAGAGAAGATGTCCACGATGGCATCCGACCTCAGAGCTGCAATTACCAAACATGGCATTGTTCAGACCGCCGCGTTTGGTCCAGTCTACGCATTCGAGGTGGAYGGATACATGGGACAGACCATTAGTGAGTATCGTGAGCAGAGAATGGCCACCATCTCTGTTTTCCCATCGACTACCAAGACGGTACTAACTTTCTTTCCACCTGTAGTGGATGATGCGAACATCCCCAGCCTTCTGGCAGCGCCATTCTTCGGATACCTCGATGTCAACGATGAAGTCTACCAAAACACTCGCCGTCTGCTCCTGAGTCCAAGCAACCCTTACTACATGCGTGGACCCGTCATCAACGGCATTGGATCTCCTCACACGGATCTCGGACACAGTTGGCCTATGGCCAGTATTGTTCGTATCCTCACGAGCAGCGACGACGCGGAGATCACGGAGCAATTGCGGGAGATTGTGAGCAGTACTGCTGGCCTAGGTCTGATCCATGAGAGCGTCAACACTTTTAACGAAAGCGACTGGACACGTCAGTGGTTCTCTTGGGCGAATGGTTTGTTCGGCCAAGCMATCCTCGATCTTGACGACAGAAAGCCGGAAATTCTGCAGACGAGCTTCCAGAACTGATAGTTGGCATGAGCATTAATGGTATGAATGGTATGAATGATTGGTTGTTGTCGGAATGGACTCATGGCCCTTTAATACGTATGCTTAATATCATCAACAGACGAGACTTGCCGCGACCTAAGTCCACTTCGTACGAACAAAACCTCACATGAACCATTGAGAGAGCCCTGTAATTTCAGTACTTCCATCAAGGTCCACGTCTTGTAGTGATGGTGAACTGCGTMGACACGGAGTAACGYCCGCGGCCCCACCAGTCTACTACACGCCAAAGCGTGCGACTTTTGTGGAACTTGGCCGCAAGACGTGAACTCTGCAGACAGTGTGGCGAATCGGGGACCAGCTCCAATGGCTCTATCAGAGCTTGATCCAGCTTCAAAGCATCACTTCACAGCTTGTTCGCCGGGATCACTGCATCAATTGACGTCAGGTCGAGCTTTGAGTGTCCCACAAGGTGATGCATCTCGACCAGACAGTAGAGCTCATGAATCCTTTATAATAAGCACCAAGAAACATTCAATCTCACTTCGTCTCATTTGGCACCAACACCTCTCATCTGCAATAATCATGGCACCACAAGTCTTCTTCATCACAGGAACAAGCACTGGTTTCGGTTACGAGCTGGTGAGAAGCTCAATATATCCCTCTACCTTAACTGTGCTCTTATTGATCGTCTTTCATGACAGGTCAAGAAAGCCCTCTCTGAAGGTGACAAGGTAGTAGCCACAGCTCGAAACAGCTCGAAGTTGAGATTTGATGGCGCAAACGAGAGCAACTTTCTGGCTGTAGATCTTGATGTCACGGATTCAAGCTCAGTCGATAAAGCTTTCGATGCAACGCTGGAGAAGTTCGGCCGGGTTGATGTGGTCGTTAACAATGCTGGGTATGGTCTCGCAGGAGAATTTGAGAGTGTTTCGGAAGAACAAGCACGCACTCAATTCGAGGTGAGTGGATGCGAAAGAACATGGAACCAATCTTTTGCTGATATTTCGATCTGTAGGTGAACTTCTTCGGCCTACTACGAGTGACTCGAAAAGCATTGAAGATCATGCGAGAAATCAATAAGCCTTGCGGAGGTAGGATACAGCAAATAACTTCCATGGGAGGTCAACTTGGCGTCCCATTCTTCTCAATCTACTGTGCTTCTAAGTGGGCGGTGGAGGGATTCACTGAGACGGTCTCCAAGGAATTGAAGCCTGAGTGGAACATCAAGCTGACGTGCATTGAGCCCGGTGGTTTCCGCACGGATTGGGCTGGACGGTCCATGATCTTTGGGGATTCAAAGGAGCCGGCTTACGATCATTTGGATGCTAAGAAGTCGATGGGGGAGAGAAATGGGTGAGTGATATCTCTCTGTGGATCATGTCTCGAAACGTACTGATATATTAATTTGCAGTTCGCAACCTGGTGACCCAGTCAAGGGAGCGGATGTTTTCTGGCAGGTTGCGAAGATGGATGATCCTCCTCTTCGTATTGCTGTTGGTACGGATGCCTACGCTGGTATTCAGAACAAAATCWAGCAGTACAGCGAGATGGTGCCCAAGTATGAGAAATTAAGCAGTACGTACTTGCCGATCTCCCAATCTCCTCTTCATGCTTTACTGACTTCGTGGTATAGACAGCACCGACGTGGATGGCTACAAGAAGCCAAGCTGATTGTCTCGATGCTAGAAGAAAGCGTGTTGGTGATAGCTACGAGCCGAACGATGCTAGATGTCAGACAAACAGAAGTCGATTCAAACGATATAACAAGAACGACATTCCAATGTACTCCTTTTCGACGTTTCCATTTCAATCTACCGCGAGTCTAGTACGCAAATGAGTCTCAAGAGGAGTAAATCTTCAAATCCTCCCATTCCCATCCACGAAAACCCTCCTACTCTTAAACTTCGCCTTAGGATCCGGTACATCATCCCATTCCCTCCTCCAAGGCCCAAACATAGCCGCACTACTCGGTCGTTCCAACTCCTTATCAACCTCCATCCTCGACCCACGCGTACTAGTCGTGACGACAATCCCATCATTCCAAAGCAACAATCCCAACACAAATCTCTGCTGTGACAATAAATGCACTTTTAAATCCCTCTCCAGTAATCCTTTTTCTGCATCCGGTAAATCGTGTACCAGCTCTCGGACTCTTGTTAGCGGTATCAGGTCGAATTTGTGGACGAGCAGAAGTTCGATTTGAGGTTCTAGGACTGGTCGGAAATGAGAGGCGCGTTGGGAGTTGAGCATTAGGCTGAGAACTAAGGCTTCGATGGGGGTTAGGAATGCGAGGCCGGCTTCTTGGGCGAAGGCGATCAGGGATGGGTCGGTTTGAAACGCGGGATACTCGGCGATGGGTCTTCTGGGAATGGGACCGTTCAGGGTTAGTTGAGGGGTTTCTTGGGGTGTTGTTGGTAGGTAGGGGTTTGGTTCTCCCTTTCTCTCTTCCTCTTCGGGTACGTGAAGTCTTTTATATAGAGGAGAAACTGAAGTATTGCCATTTTCCTGCTGCGCCATTGGGGGAACAGGAACTTTAGGTTGGTTGAGTTTGTTCGGTAGGATGGTCTGGACTATGCGGCGAAATAGAGACTGTTGTTTGGGGCGTGAAGATGATGATTTTCTGGAGAGCATCTCGTAGGTGTTTCAAGTTGAATCACTGTGGTGAGCAGAAGGTCAATACATGATCATTAATGACACATTACCGAACTGCTGGCAAGAATGCTGCAAAGCCATCATCTTGTGTTCAATCCGCCTGACTGATCGATTGTGCCACGCAGCTTGCACTGCCACAGAGGAGGTTCATTCGATGGTGAATACGGCAAGCATGACTACTGCAATCATTACAATGGTGAATGCTGCGACCATTAAGGGTATCCCATCCTCTCCTCGCTCGGCTCGTTTAGTCCCCATGCCTGACTGCTTCCGTCATGTACAGTCGCTCTCCTCATATCTGTCCACAACAAATCAGCGTCCTTATCAAAATCGATCGATTGGTGACAACAAGATGGACAGACCTCGTTTGTACTTTCCGTCAAATGATCCACCAGTACTCCGGTGCATTACGCACGTATTATCCCATAAGATCATGTCTCYAGCATCCACCCAAGGTATCGCTACGACATACTTCCGCTYACAGGCATGTGCATATAGCCTCTCAATCAGCTCTCTAGACTTCTCCGAGCTCACACCTTCAATATGATGCACATGGGAAGCAATATACAAGTTCCACCTTCCACTCGCTTCGTGTTTCTGCACCAAACGATGTCGACTCATAAAGTGCTCTTCGGGTCGAATACCTGGTAGAGCCTCCGGTGCGGCCGTCTTCCGTGAATGGTACAGAGAGTGACAGGCAATGTAGTCTTGCTCTAGCAACTCTGCCTTTAGATCCTCCGGAAGATCGTCAAAAGCTGTCCGTGTATCTGCATACTCCGTAGCGCCTCCTGTTCCCTCAGGAGGCAATTCATGGGCTTTCAGAATACTGTAGCCAGCACGACGTGGGTTAAAGGAGCTGTCCACATGGAACATCCCATTGCCTTTATTCATCAAGGCGCGATGGGATTCCAGAGGCGCTATGGAGCCATCTTCATTGAGATTCGAAACATCGAAAAGCTGATCAAATGGGAGGCGGTTGACTTTGCCTTGTTTGTTCTAAGGTGTCGATTTGATGAGCACAATGTCGTCTATTCTTCAAGACTTTGACTTACATACGGACTCACGTCGTCGAGCTCGCCGAACCGAGCTGCGAAAGCGACATGTCCAGAGTCGTCGAGACTTGTACGTGGAAACCTTACGACTCCATACTAGAACCGGAAGCGTCAGTACACATGGAAATCGCAGCCTCTGCCGATTAATCGTCTGACCTACTTTTGCGATTATCGATAACACTTCTGCGAACACCTCACTGGAGATATCCCTTGAGAAATCCAGTCCCCGTACCTCTGCAGCAAACGAAGGGTGTAGTTCTGCAACTTGCAATGTAGTTGCTTCTTTGTGCATGGTGAGTACCTGGCGATGAGATGAGTATGCGAACTTGCCACCCTGATAAGAACAGGCCAAAGTGATGGTATATAGTTGGGTGAAATAAGAGGGGCCCGAAGAGGTACACCAGGTACCTACCTATCTCGGTTGTGGCAAGCTCCTCTGTAATGCCGATTATCCGGTCAGCTATTCTGATCTCATGATACGGTTGAGAGAAATATCGAGACAAAAGAGATTAAAGTATACCCCCTAGACTGTGCTGTTGCCCCCATCCATTCCATGCAGTTGCTTCATCGCGKAATCCAGCTTGCGCGAGAAGACTTCCCGAACTGCTCCAAAACACCATGCTGGCCAAATTTCCGTTCAATGCGTGTTTCTCATCTTCGTCCATGGTCTTTTGACGTACAGGCGTGATATCATCTCATCTGCGTGAGGTGTGTGGGAGAGCCTTTGGTCTTTTGACACCGCCACTACCGCCACTCTCCTCACCAATGCGCTGCCGCGATCTAGACGGGCTGCAGCTTCTCAAACGGCTTGATACAAGAGTAGCGGCTCGCCCACGTGCTCTATCTCGGGTATCGTACACCTTAGATCAAATGCTTTTGACAGGACGATTTTGAAAATCTGTTCGCAGTCAGTATTGAAAACGTGATCCTCCCCAGACTTGACATACCTTCTGCACATTGATGCTGTGACTGGTACTCGAGAAGATCAGACTAGCCTTCATTGCCTTTGCAAAGCGCTTAGCCTGTAATGAAATCTCCTCTTGCTCTTCTCGTGGAAAGTTCACAAAGTGGTCATACTTTGTTCCCACCAAGAAAGGGATGGCAGTCTTGTTGAAGCCGCGGCCCTGGCGGTACCACTCTTTGATGCTGTTGAGGGTGGATTTGCGTGTAAGATCGAACATGAAGAGGATAGCAACGGCATCGTTGCATACCAGGGGTAGCATGTTAACGAATTCGCGCTGGCCACCGAGATCCCAAATGGAAAAGGTAATTTCAGTATTCCGGATGCTGATGGTCTTTTCCATGAAATTCACGCCTGGAAGTCGTGTCAGTATTCTTCAGGCAAGACGGATTAGCGTTCAACGAGCCGTACCCAACGTTTGGATGTAATCCTCATCCCAGCTGCCCTCGACATATTTGACCATCAAGCTCGTCTTGCCAATCTGTGCGTCACCGACCATGCCCACCTTGATCACCACCGATGCATTCTTCTCCGCGCCCTTTTGCCGCTGATCTAGGCCCTGTGTTGACGCCGGTCTGCTCAGGCCGTTGCCATTGTGGAGATTGTCGGGTGTGTTGGAGTCGGAGGATGTGGAGAAAGGTCGAGTGAAGCCCGTGTCGGAGTAGGAGGTTTGCGGACGCGAGTCGTATGATGGATTGTTGGTGATGGTTTGCATTGATGCTTCCTCCAAGTTGCTCGGTACGGCGGTCTGGTCGCTGGAGTTGCTGCTGCCGGTGGCCTGGTCAGTTTCCATGTCCATGGCGGCGGCCGGCACGGAGATTCAATCTGCTCAATCTGAATCTGCCCGACACAGCGGCACGATGCTGATGCAGGTACACTCGGTTCCCTCCTGTCGGCGCGCTTCCTGCTTGCTTTTGTACGTCGAGTATGATTGGGTTGGGTAGCAAGTCAAGTCGCAGCCCGATGCACCACGAGATTGTTGCTTGCGCTGTAATACCGGACCCGGACCCGCCGCGTGTATTCCCAGTGACCTCCACGCGCTTCACGCACAATCAACCTCGTGTCAAGACGGAAAAGGAGATATTCGTCGAGGGATAGTTTGATTGAGTTCAATGTTTGTTCCTGAATGGAACCGCCCACTCAGCTCAGCCCTGTCGACACGCGCGTGAGTTTAGCCGCAGGACGCTAGCCAGAACTAGACTTTTGATGGTGGGGGAAGGAAGGCACGAATTTATTGTCGACCAGACAGAACCTTTGCGCCGCAAAACTTCTTGGTCCACTACTTTCACCTTGACGAAATACAGCCTAGATCATGTCCAAACGTGCAGCAGAAGACGATGAGCCACAAGCCCTGAAGTCGGGTGATCGGCCTGTGGCGGATGCTGGTTTGGCGGACGGTGAAGAATTTGWAGATGAATTTGAAGACGAGTTTGAAAGCGAGGACGAAATTCTGGAAGCGGGCGTCGATGGCAGACCAGATGAAGAGCGCGAGGCTGAGGAAAAGGCTGCTGGTATGTACTCTCAATCCTTGAAGATACTCATTTCTAATCAATATTCAGGAGCCATGGAGGTAGACCAAGAGACATTCATTCCAGGAAGACATAAACTGGAAGCCGGCCAGACTCTTTCACCAGATCTTTCAACCTACGAAATGCTGCACACACTCGAACCAACATGGCCATGTCTCTCTTTCGACATCCTCAAGGACGACCTAGGTGACAACCGCAAATCGTACCCAGCAACAGTCTACGCTGTAGCAGGTACTCAAGCCGCCCCAGACCGAGCAAAGGAAAACCAAATCATGGTCATGAAACTTTCCGGTCTCTCCCGCAACGAAAAAGCCGCCAACATCGATTCAGATGATGAGGACGAAGACGACGACGAGCATGGCGACTCCGTTCTCGAAACCAAGACGATCCCTTTGAACAGCACAACGAACCGTATCCGCGCTCACAAAGCTCCCCAAGCAAATTCATCCTCTCCAGGACCAACACTCGTAGCCTCAATGCAGGAAACTGGTGATGTCCTTATCCACGATGTAACCCCTCATCTTCTATCCTTCGACACACYAGGCTACCAACTCCCCACCAACGCCAACAAACCTCTTTGCACCATTCGTGCACACAAGAAAGCCGAAGGCTACGCACTGGACTGGTCACCCAAAGTCGAAGCCGGCAAACTCCTGACAGGCGACTCTGCGGGCAAGATCTTCACCACAACCCGCACAGATGGAGGCGGTTTCGTCACAGACACCAATGCCTTCACCGGCCACACAGGAAGTGTAGAAGAAGTACAGTGGTCCCCCAGCGAGCGAAACGTCTTTGCCTCAGCTTCCAGCGACGGGACAGTCAAGATCTGGGACGCACGATCCAAATCTCGCACCCACGCCATCTCAGTAAAGGTCTCCGACAGTGACGCCAACGTTCTCTCCTGGTCACATCAAACAGATCATCTCCTCGCCTCTGGACACGATGATGGAACCTGGTCGGTTTGGGACCTCCGACAATGGAAGTCTCCAGACACGGCTGCGAAGAGTAAACCCGTGGCGAACTTCAACTTCCATCTAGGACAGATTACGAGTCTGGAGTGGCATCCTACTGATGATTCGATTGTGAGCGTCTGTGCGGGAGACAATACGCTGACGCTGTGGGATTTGGCTGTGGAGTTGGATGATGAGGAGAGCAGATACACGGCAGATGTGAAGGATGTGCCGCCGCAGCTGTTGTTTGTGCATTACATGGACCAGGTCAAGGAGTGTCACTGGCATCCGCAGATCCCAGGAACAGTCATGGCGACTGGTGGGAGTGGTTTTGGCGTGTTCAAGACAATCAGCGTGTAGATGGTGGAGAATCTATCAAAAATAGAGCCCTTGCTATCGATCGACATGATGTGCAGACGAAGCGTCGCTAGCGGATGAAAGGTTGTGACAGGTACGCAAGATCTCATTGCCTCTGTCGGTGTACAGTCATATCCATGCCGCTCTATCAGATCTCGCCCAATGCAAAGATGCCACAAGATTACAATCACAAGACCGCTCGGCCCAATCGGCCATGCTTTGTCCTCTATTTCGTCCTCCCTCCAAGACAACGCCGTACAGAAACCCACGCTTGACATTGATCAATGCTTAGCAGTAACCGTCTCGCCTGTGAGCTTCTCTACTGCCTCCTTGGCGATGTCACCCAGTGCAACCATRCACACCGTCTGCCAGATACCAAGTCCGATACGCGGCGCAACACCACGGTAGAGACCCTTGATGCCGTTCTGCTTGTAAATGTACGAGAAAGTGTTACCGACTGTCATCTTTGCTGGGCGGTTCGGGTCCACGGTCTTGGACTGCATCTCCACGCGCACGACTTCGATGGGCTGGTTCCAGGCACTGAGACCACCACCAAGAGCGGAAGCGAGAATCTTCTCGGGAGCAGTGAGTTTCTGTCCATCGGTCTTGCCGTTGAAATTGCGGATTCCGTTTTCGCTGTTCATCATTAGAATGCTGCTTTTCCTGCAAAGTAAAGTGGAGGATGAGTACTCACGCGACTCTGCTCAAACCGAAACGAGATCCCCAGTTGGTGACCTGTYGCACAGCAACAGCGTTCACACCCTTGTTGATTCCACGAATTCCCTCTGCCCTGTAGATTCCCATGAACGTCGCAAAGGTGGATGGAGGCTTAACACCCGATTCCACAGCCTTGTGCTTGGTGATTTCCACCGTCTTCATGCACGTGCAGAATCCCATGGTCGCATAAGCCTGTGCCAGACCACCGGTCATACCACCTCCAATACCTGCCACGAAGTTGCTGGCGCCGAAGCTCTTGGCGTAGTACTCGGCCTCGGACGCGACGAAGAGAAGAACAGCTCCCTTGGTACTGGCTTCGATCCAAGCCCATGGGATGAGACCTTGGTAGACTATCAAACACAAGCTGTCAGCAGCATTCACTTCAACCACATTCACATGATATGGTTGCTACTCACACCCAAAGAAACCACCGCGGCTCCATACTCGCGCAACAGCACCCGCCATGCCGTCCTTACGGTTGGCAGCCATGGTGGTCTTCAAGACCTCCAGCGGCTGTCCGAGAGTCGAGACCTCGAACATGTTCAGCCCGGAGCCCAGCAGCAGATTGCTGAACTTCACGGGCTTCTTCTCCAGCTTCGTGGTCTCCATGGCGGCGGACATGCTTTGATGAGTGGGTTGCGTGAGTGATGGGCCTGACCGAGGCAGAGGTGCGGCTTCGTTGCCTGCTGGGGTGGAGTTGCTAGGGAGGAATTGTTGTCGGAGTAATTGGGAGAGGAGAGGCAGAGAGCGTGCAAGCTGTGAGCCTGTGAAGCTCCTCAACAGATAATGTCMCGAGGAGCTCTAGGTTTAGGGTGATCCCGGCGTTCGGGTATCGATGGTTGGTTGGTCTGTGGGGAGGACACGATAACGACGAGGAATCCCGGACAGGGAGTTTTAAAAAGGACCCCGAGACCGTGCGTCTCGTTACACACGTGCTGACTCGGAAAGTGATATCGCGGTGTTGCAATACTGAGGTGAGACGCACGGCACGTCAATCAGGACCTTTGCGTTTGTTGCGTTGAATCCAGCAGAACAATCGGTACCAAACGCCGACAACGCGTCCAAGACCTCAACCTCCAAGGGCTGAGAGTCCAGGGGGGCGCATTCGGTGGGTATCGGCGAGGTACATCCCGATCCAAAAATTGTTGTAGTTGATAGTAATTCAGTTGTACATAGGTCATCTAGCTGTGACAATCGCTGTAGCGTTCCACAACACCTCTATCACATCCAGCTATCAATACAGAGAATCCACAACACGCTTTCCCAACAATACCATGCCTTTACATTTCCTTCCCATAGTTTCGTACAGTGTAAGCTCATCGCTTCGACTCAATGCCACCTCCATTGCCGCCCAATAGACTGAGCGCACGCTGGATGCGACGATTCACCACGGGTCGCGCGGGGAGCTTATGGGCGGTTCAGAGCTTAGCACCAACGAGCTTGGCCCAGGCCTCAGTGCTGAAGGACTTCGGCCTCTCAATTGGGGCACCGACGGCACGGTCGATGATCAGCTGGGGCAGGACACCGATCGCACGGCTGACACCGAAGAGGACGGTGTAAAAGTTCTGCTCGGTGAGACCGTAGTACTGGAGCAGCACTCCGGAGTGGGCATCAACGTTGGGGTATGGGTTCTTGGTCTTTCCGTGCTCGGTAAGGACGCCAGGAGCGATCTTGTAGACCTGAGAGACGAGCTTGAACATGGGGTCATCGGGGAGGTGCTTGAGCGCAAATTCGCGCTGGGAGACGTAGCGAGGGTCGGTCTTGCGGAGCACGGCGTGGCCGTATCCAGGCACGACACGACCGGCCTTGAGGGTGTCCCAAAGGTACTTGGTGATGTTAGCGTCCGAGAGATCAGTGCCGACAGACTTCTTCATCTCCTGCAGCCAGTTGAGGACCTCCTGGTTGGCGAGTCCGTGGAGAGGACCAGCAAGACCGTTCAGGCCAGCGGCAAGGGAAAGCATGGGCGAGCTGAGCGCAGAGCCGACCAGGTGAGTGGTKTGTGCGGAAACGTTACCACCCTCGTGGTCGGTGTGGATGGTCAGGTAGAGACGCATAAGCTCGACAAAGTCAGAGTTCTCGGCGAATCCAAGGAGGTTGGCCAAGTTGTAGCCGTAGTCCTTGTCCTTTTGGATAGTCGGGAYCTTGCCGTCCTTGTAAACGTTGCGGTAGATGCGAGCAGCGATGGTAGGAAGCTTGGCAATGAGGTCCATGCTGTCCTCAAAGGTGTGCTCCCAGTACTCGGCCTTCTTGATGCCGCGAGCGTAAGCCTTGGCGAAAGCGGACTCGTGCTCAAGCGCGGTAACCGCGAGGGAGAACTGAGCCATTGGGTGGAGGTCGGAGGGGCAGCGATCGATGAGCTCAGTGATGAAGGATGGGACATCGGAGCGGGCAGCCCACTCAGCGGACAGGTCACGGACCTGCTGCTCAGATGGAACCTCGCCGGTCAACAGAAGCCAGAAGAGACCTTCTGGGAGAGGCTCCTGGCCGCCAGGTGCTTTTGGGRGCTGCTCCTGGCATTCTGGGATGGTCCTCCCACGGAAACGGATACCCTCCTCGGAGTCGAGAACGGATCCCTCCCACACCAGTGACTTGATGCCACGGGCACCACCGTACACCTGGTCAAGGGTGACCTCACCCACGACCTTGTGACCGTGCTCCTTTCGCAGTCTCTTGATCTGGTCAATCTTCTCGGGCAAGCTGGCGGCGAATGTCTCCTTGAGGGTCTGTAAAAGGTAAGGACATCAGTCAGCTTGAGCTCTCCTCGGCCATTTATCTTGCCATTGAACTGGACTTGTACGCACTGCGCTCTTGCTCGGGGTTGCATAGGTTCTAGCGAAAGCGGTTGTGCGAGGAGTGTTGATCATGGTGCGGCGCAGCGCCTGGCGGGAAGCTTGAATAGCAGCCATCTTGAATACCGCGAGGAGAGGGATGTATTTGAAGGTGGTGTGAGGATGAAGGTCAAGGTTGAGGATGTTGCTGCAGATGCGCAGAGACTATTCTCCTTTTAGACGTCGGAGCGGGATCGGGTGAGCGCTGCGCTTTCGCCCGTCCTGTTGGCAGTGGACACCATACACCGGAAATCAGCATGACACTCATCATGCCTCGTGATCGTTTAAACCAGTTGCATCTGCCCCTGCTCTTAAACGTTCCRAAGATGCACAAGTGTTTTGTTGCCAGACAATGAATCGACGGTGTTTTACCTTGGATACGGAGATCGGGTTGCTCTTCCGAATTAGAAAAAAAAAGAGTTTAATGATTTTTGCCGACTGGCTGGCTTTTGTCGTCACCACACCTCCTGCTCAACTCCCCATCTTCCTTTCCACAACATCATCTCATCGTGAACCAACAACATCATCCGCGCCGACTCGACTACCATCCCAGGTATATTCCAATTCACGTGCGCGGCAGGACCATCTGTTCGGCATCCATCCATCTCACCTGCCCCGCCATCTTGCAGGACGCGAGACTCGGAGCTGTCCGCTGGTGAATAGCGCAGCTTGTTCACTTCACACACCCACACACACACTAGTCGCGATTTGCACGAGCGTCCGGACGCGCTCGTCACTAGGCATAAAGGCTTTCTTCGCGCACCGTCTGCGCTCTTGACAAACAATCACCAACTCCCCCGACACGCGCCTCGGATCACTCATCCATCCAGGCGCCGTAAGCAAGCAGCTGTAGCGTCAACGATCTCTCCTTTGCGCGCAACATAGCATCCCTGATACATCCGGAAAGCCTCTCTGGGTGAGTTAAGATAAGCGGCGTCAACATAGAGACGAGACAGAACAGCGGAGCGCTGGTGATCGACTGGACACCGCCAGGACTGCATCACGTGCTTTGCAGCAGAAGCGCATTGCATCTGTGAGGTGACACAGAAAGACTCAAAGCCCTTGATCTGCACTCCGTCACCTACGTGAACCATTCAGTGTACACAGACACTGGCAATAGCTCGCGCGCGCCTTTCCTGCTGACAGTCGCTCGGTAATCACAGTTCGACGTCTGTAGACTGGTGAGAAGGCAAAGCTCCAGTCGTAGAGTGACTCTGCCATATCAACGCCCACAGGAGTAGAGTAGGCATCATCATGGGAACGCCAACCGTAAATGACCTTGACGGTCTGCTTTCTTCTTTGAATCAACTCAAGCCACCGGGAGCCAGCAAGAACAAGATTGCCTCCATCACAACGCTATGCGTAACCAACATCCAGGTATGTCACAATCACATAGGAGATGCGGTGTGCACGTCTTCATCCATTCGGATTCTCCCTCCCAACTCCCGCCCATGAGATAGCGGGGGCAAAAGCAACTAGCAAGGACTGACCATTTTCGTAGAACGAGTCAGCCATCGTGCAGTCATTCTATCGCGCGCTCAAAAAAGCACCGACCACCCACAAATTAGGTGCGCTGTACGTGATTGATAGCGTCGTAAGACAATGGATTGAAAAGGCCAAGTCATCTGGACAAGATCTTAGCATCGAAGGTCGAGGAGAGCCGGGTACATATCCGGCTGCTGTTAAGCGCGTCACCGAGCTCATGCCAGCTCTGTTTGACGACATCATGAAGGGCATCCCAGAGGATCAGAAGCCCAAGCTGGCGAACATGATCACAATCTGGGAGCGAGGTAACACGTTTCCAGCCAAGTTGCTGGCCGAGTTCAAGGCAAAGGTTAGCGGCGCGCCAAGCCAAAGTGCTGCAGCGACCCCAGTGAACGGGAATGGCATATCCGCACCCGCTCCGTCGCAACGTCAACCTGTCCAGCAAACAACCGGTGAGATATTCATGGCGCCAGTGCCTACTAGGCCCGTCCACACTCCCATCGGATTGCCACCACATCAGCTGTATGAGCAGGGCTTCCTTCCTGGAAGAATGGCACCCGGACAGGTGAACGGCGCACCAACCCAATCCAGCCAATCCACACCAATGCAGTCTGGCTTCCCACCTGTCCAACAGCAGCAGCAGCAGCAGGCGCCTCAAGCAGCACCCGCAAATGACGTGAACAGCATTCTCGCCGCGCTCTCGAGGGCAGCACCTCCCGCGCAAACCCCGACATTTCCCCCGCCACCTCAGGCTGCCGCCCCGATGCCCGCTCCTCAAAATCAGATGCCCACTCAGTACTCTACCATGTTCGGTCAGCAGCCGCAACAAGGAGGACCACCCATGGCGTATGGATTTTCCGGTTCATCAGCACCACCAGCGCAACAGCCTGCGTACCAACAACAACAACAACAATATCAAGGATATCCACCGCAGCCCCCGCCGTCTATTCCGCAGGGTTACCCGGTTGCGCCGCCACCGTACATGCCGCAACCTCCACAACACGATCCACTGGCCCCGCTCCGAGGTTTCCTCCCAGAAAACATCATCAACGATAACCAGAAGTTGATCCCTGCACTTCAGCTTCTTCAGGATCTCCAAAAAGACGGCATCCCGCCGGACAAGTGGGGACCCGTCCTGAAGGCTTTCGAGGAGCAGTACCAGCCTCCGGCACCGGCTCCCCCGGCATATGGCGGACAGCCAGATTACGGGCGCGGCAGAGGTCGCAGCCGGAGTCCAGAGCGAGGCGCCGGAGGTGGTCGCGGTGGCAGAGGAAGTCCAGTGTACGGATCATACGATGCTGAAGCCGCCCGTCGACAGGCCGAGGACAACCGCGGTGGAAACAACAATAACAACAATGGCGGTGGTGGCCGTAATCGCTTCCGACAGCGCTCGCCGATCCGCAATAGTCCTGCACCGGCTGGCGTGAATGGTGGTGGCCACGGCATGCAGCCGAAGATTATCGACTACGATGGCTCACTGCCACCCAACAACATCAAGGTGCTGTCGCGTACGCTGTTCGTCGGCGGTGCCAATGGCTCTCAAGCCGAGATCCATGAGCTCTTCGAACGCTTCGGACGTGTTCAGACATGCATTGCTAATCGCGACAAGCGTCACGCTTTCGTCAAAATGACCACGCGCACTCACGCTCTCGCGGCGAAGAATGCCATGGAGGAAATGCAAGCTCGCAATGACCGTGAGACCATGAACGTCGCTCGTCAGACCAAGTGGGGCGTTGGTTTCGGCCCGCGGGAGTGCTGCGACTACGCCAAAGGCGAGAGCATCATTCCAATTCACAAGCTCACCGAGGCAGATCTGAAATGGCTGCTGACTGCCGAGTACGGCGGTACTGGCGGCAAACAGCTCGAGGGCGGCATGGTTTTGGAGGAACCAGATATTGAGATCGGTGCCGGTGTCAGCAGCAAGGCAATGAGCAAGCGTGTTGGGCCTGACAATGCTCCTGCTCCTAAGAGACAGCGTGAAGGCGGTCGACACGGCAAGCATAACAAGGGTGGACATGGTGGACATGGTCACGGCGGTGGAAACCAGGACTATGGAGGCTACGGCGGAGCGAACGGCGGACCTCCTCCACAGTATGGACACATGGCTCGACCGGAGCCCGTTGCCGTTGCTACTCCGCCAGCTGTTCCAGGCTTTGGCTTTAGCTTGGGCGGGCTTGTACTTCCTCCGGCGAATGGAAGCAACCCTTACAGGTGAGGCATTGATTGGGCTTTGTAGCATAGCGGGTATGGGGTCATTCTTGCGTTGCATGGCATGGCGAAAATTATCACTCAGGGCATAGCGAGGCGAAGTGCATCTGGGTTTTCAAGGACGGAACGAGGGCTTCTTTGTATTGAGTTATTACCACCTTTGCTTGTTTCTTTGCGGCGTGTCACAATACGACCTTGGACTTAAAAGTTTAAAGGAATGAAAGACATTTCTTGCCCAGTTCAGCTTCTCACGCGGTACATTTAGAGCATTGGGTGTGGATATTTGTCGAATCTTGTGGTAATGCCGCTGATGATTTTGTTGGAGCGATTTCCCATGGCTGGATTGCACAACCACAACGAACGCCACTCATGTTGCAAAACGATACCGATCTCGAGGGCACATGGTACTAACATCCAAACATATCAATGAAGTACCGTACACCCGTCAAGCAWACAAAACCTCACAAGTGTGACACCTGGGCTCGACAATCACCACACCTCACTACCCCAACCCTAACCCTGACAGCAAAGCCCCTTGCCAACTCGAACATCCATATCCCCTGCCCGTCGTCATCAACAAGGATGTAAGCAACAAACGATACGACATCGACATCAACACCAACATCAAGCAAGTGACAGACACAACACAGTGGAAAAGCACGCAAGCATCATCACCATCGTTGAATAACCATTCATCTATCCTCTGAAAGCTGTTCCTTCCTGTCTCCATTGCCGCTGTTTGGGGTATCGATCGACCTTTGAAAAAAAAAGAGCACAAAACCATCAAACACCTGTGAAAAAGATTCCCCAATTCCACCATCCGTTTGAAATCCCCACACCATAACACCCAGCCAGTTCCAGAAGACGCCATGGCTTTGTGAAAACATCCAACGCCCTCAATCAAGCTTCAGCTTCAAGCTGTAGTTGATCTTCTCCGCATCCAACCACTCCCTCAGAAGCGCACATCCAGCGCGTGCGGCGCGGATGGGCGAGGTTGCAAGGCCGATGGGAAGTTTATACTGTCCGCCCAATTTCCCCACCTCCAACTTCTCCTTCACAGGAGGATTCTTTCTCGCCCGCTGACTCCATGACTTGGGAAACGAGTCCGTCAGAATGTCCACATCGAGCTTTGCATCCGCCTCGGCGGCGGACTTGGTCAGCAAAGCTTGCATCATGAAGATTTCAGGTCGGGATATGCCGTCCTCTCGATGATACTGTGTGGCAATCTCCAGCGCTCGCTGTGCAAAAACCACGCTCAGCGAAGCAGTCAGACCAGATAGGGCGGGGAATGGCTCCGCATTACGCTTGACGAAGCCCTGAAACCCTTGCAAGCTCTGCCAATTCCTGATCTCTGGTGGATGTGGCCTCGGTTCTGCAGCTTGTCCGGCTTCATCTCCACAACAAAAGCCGACCATGAAACTGAGAAAGGACTCGATGGACTTGACCGCGGCCAACTTCTGATCGATCACTGAGACGGTTCCGCCGTTCATCCTGTTACTTTGATGAGCTGAAGCGGCATGCTTCAGCTCCTTGCCCAACTTTCCGAACTGTCGTGCTTCGGCGGCCCACGCCTGCTCCTTGGCGGTCTTGCTGCTAGGCTGACTGGAAGCATGTCTCGCGATCCCATTCGGTTGAGATGTGGTACTGGTGCTGGGAGTATCTGCGGCTGCAGGAGGAGTCTGCGTGCTATTACTGTCTTGCGACCTGTCTCGTGCCATGGCGACTGCTAGCAAGTTGTTACGAGCGCTTGGCGTAGCTTGCAGCTGTGCTTTTGCAGTAGAAGGCGACTCAACCACCTGCTGCGCTGGAGTGGACGGCCCTTTGCGCGCTGCAGCCGCCTCGTCCTTCAACCGTTTCGCAGAAGGCTCATGCCTTTCCTCTTCGGGCAATTTGCGCTTCTCTATCGCTGGCGGCTTTTCAGCAACAGGCCGCTTGTCTGCCGGATTTTGCTTTGCGGAATTTGAAATGGAAGGCTTTTCCATGGGGGGTCGCTTTTCTGCGACTGGCTGTTTCTCTGTCGTCCTGTCCTTTTTGGCTGGTCCAACTTTCTGCGCGACACCCTTGACGTTGTCGTTACCACTTTTCGACTCTTCTTTCGCCTTCTCATTCGACGCCGGTCTAAGCTCATTCGCAGAGCTTTGAGACACATCGAGGTTAGAAGCCGGTACATTCTTGTAAGGCGCCACACGCATGTTGAGAATGCGTTTGATCGCAGATGCCTGAGACTTCCTATACTTCAGCTTCAACAGCAGGCGGGGTTTCTGCAGAATCGGTGAAACGCCTGGGTTGTATGCTTTGGTTTTCTCCAGTTTCGGCGCTGCAACCTCGCCGTCCTTCGACGGCACTTGCGCCTTGGGAGTAGCATCCAGCAACTTCTCAGTCACTTCCGATCGTACCGCCAGTGAGTCGGAAGCCGTGCGGAAGCCATTGCGTGGCGGCAGTGGAGATTTGCGCTTTGTAGTGTCCTTGCTGGATGTATTCTTTTTTGAATCCTCCTGGAACTCGACTTCGGCAGCAGGCGGTAGGGATGATTGCGATGCAGACGGGACGTCTACATCGTCCTCGAGCGTTTTCGAAATGTTCAATGGCATCGTCGGTGTCAGTCGCGGAGGCAGGGACATTGCTGATGATTCTTCGAGCGGCGAAAGTCGCGCTGGGAGCAGAGGAGACATTGTCGGTGATAGTCGAGGAGGCAACTTCTTCTCGTCCGCTTTGCTTTGACTTGGCACAGCAATGTTGTGTGTGGTTGCCGCCGCCCCGAGCTTCCTCTGGGGCTCTCTCTGTTGTGTGTCTTGAACGACTGTACCCTCCGTAGGTTCGTTCTCCACCGGTTTTGCTTTCTTCGCGGCTGGCCCAACATCCCTCTTGGCCGCTGCGAGCCCCCTCTCTCCATCCCTCTGATATTCCTCGAGCTCCTCTCTCTTGCGCTTCAAATCCTTGCCGGGTGCCTGCGACTCTTTCTTCTGCGCCTGCGGTGCTTCTGGCTCTGCTTCGGCGATCGCAGCTAGCATTTCCTCAGTCTCCGCCTTTGCCCTCTCCACCGGACCCTTCACAGCCGCCTGCTTACCCGGCACATCGCCTGCCTTTTGCGCCTTCAGCTCCGGAGTCGCGGTCGCCGCATTCTGCTTCTTCTTGTACGCCGCGAGGCTGATTTTGGTCTTCGGTGCTGTGCTGGGTGTGCCTGTACGCACACCCGCCTGCCGAATGCTTACGGGTTCGTCCAAACGAGTGCTATGCTGCTCGAACATTTCCTTGCCCTGTTCGTAGAGATGGAAAGTCTGATACTGGAGGCTCTCCTTTTCATTTCGGGCAAATGGCGTGTCGCGTGTCCATTGGTACCGTTGCGACGGATGATGGTTGTATCGCGCCCCATTCTCTTGCGGAATCTCGAGGAAGTAGGGATCGCTGGGCGTATGTCGTTTGATGCGCGCCACAGCCGTATTCATTGCGTCAAGGTCGGCCTGCTCGTCTTTGTTCGGCTTCCACCTGGGAACGGCGGCTGCAGCCATGATTGCGCGACGGGTGCGGGGACATCAGTTCAATCGGGGTGTGRGCCGGCAGGTTGTAGCATGAATCGAGAAGGTGAGGCCAGCAGTGCGACGCAAATGTCGCGAGTTGCCAGGCTAGTAGCGGTGTTTTTTTTTGTTTTGAGACAATAGAGACGCGGCCGTTTAATTGTCTTATTGTCCTTTTTTTCGGCCGGCTGCACACGTGGCGGGTCGTTAGCATGTGCATATCAAAGAAGTGAGGCAACGCAGGCATGGTATTGCCATGTGCGACCGCGTAGTAGAGGTAGCTCTCACCGTGGCGTGGCGCGGGCGCGGGCGTGTGCGTAGTGGTATCGATATGAGACCCCTCAACGACGCAATGCGATCTTCACCTTGACGCCGGTGTTGGGTGCGATTGATAGCGTGGAAGACGGTCGGAAGGTGTGAATCGAGCTCTTCCGATGGAAAGCAGGAGCGATGCAGCGGCCGGTTAATCTGAATGAGAGTGTTAGTTGRGTTTTGGAAGACAAGACGCCCTTTCCGCGAGTCGCAAGACGGAATGGAAGCACCCAAGTCACCAGTCACAAGCGCGGGAGCATTCGACGATCCACTGGCACAGGACAGGGCTGATGCGACCATCCAGCTTACACAGCTTTATTCCGTCATCGCCAGACTACCTCTAACATTTCAATTCACGTAACTTGCTAATAACTGTCATGCATATTCGTTATACATTACATGTGCTGTTGCATCTTCGCTCACAGGTTGAAGTCTGTTATAACTCTTCAAGACGTCTTCGAGCTATTTCGGACGACGTTCCACACGGGTATGCACATCAATCTCATCTCGGGGAAGCGTATGTCACTGTGCCCGCTCTTCTCCGAGTGCTTCACCGCTCGAGCAAGAAACGTCCAATATAATATTCTGAGCATGTTTCTGCCATGCGACAACACAGCTGTCCAGCGCGTGCGTCATGTTGTAATCAATTACAAGTCGTTCACCCAATACCGCTCACCAAATATCGAAAAAGTCGAGCATTTTGTGCTCGTTACAGTTCATCGTCTTCAGTGTCATCGTCTTTGTCCACCGCAGGCTGCCGAATAGAGCTGCTTGCTGGAGGAGCTGGCTCGCCAACCCTGGGCTTATTGAATGGAAGTTGGCGTGGCGGTGGAAGCGCCTCATCAGTATTTACGCGCTGGGATGGCTGTGACTGAGACTGCGGTGCCTGCGACCTCCGAATAGATGCTGGAGCGAAGCCGCCTTCATCATCGTCTGCATCATCCTCTCCCTCGTCTGCAGTCTCCTGATCCGAAGCCGCGGGAATCTCTGCTTCCTCTTCGGTCACAGCATGGTCGCTGTCTTCGTCAATCGCCTTGCGTTTACTTTGAGATGCACCTGCCCTGCGAGGCTTCTGGTCCTTTGACCTTTCACTTCGTACGTCTTCAGCAACACCTGGGTCGACTTTGGCATGTGAAAGAAGGCGCTGTTGATCTCTGATTTTGAGCTTCTTCTCGTTGAGTAGAGCCGCACACTTGGACAACAGGTCCTTTTCGTGATCACGCTTTGCTTTGCTTAGCTGTTCCAACTCGGCTGTGAGTCTGGCAATTTGGTTCTGTTGCTCGGTCGACGATGTTTGATACGACTGTAATTGCAAGCGAAGTAGATCCGAAGACGTAGCAGCAGCATCAATCCAATCGAAGAGTTCGGCTTCTGCATCGCTCTTCTGCAACTCGACCCGGCCAAGGGTCTGAGTAATAGCGCCGACAATCTTCCTGATGGTGATGATGAACGTGCTCTCGACGATCTCCGCCACAATGCCAACACCCTCGAGATGTGCCGGTGAGGGTCCATCAGGCCGCTCATGAAGGAGAACAAAAGCCAGTATGTCCCGCCATTCAGTGGAGGTGCCTGGAAAATGGCTGGCCTGGAGCTTGTTGGTTTCAGAGTCTTTGATCGAAGATTCGAACAAATCGCTGGTATCGGTGCCYACTAGCCTAAGGTCGAATGGGTTTTCCTCTGGCGTGATGTGCACGAGCAGGTGACCAGGTCCATTCTTTTTGGCGATCCGCAGCACCTGCGGAGATGACATGTTTTATAGACGAGATGAGTGCTGTGTCAGTGAGGGTCTTGTTAATAAAGCGAGCGCAAGGCGGCAGCCACAAAGATTTGTGAAGGGTGTCCGTGCTGGGACGAACGACGCGCTCGCGCCGCGACACCGCCTGTGCCGCATCGCGTACCGCGCCTGTTGCCGTGGAAGAAGAGTCTATCGATTCCGCGCGCAGTACGACGCGTAAACTGCCCTGTGCAAAGGGTCGATTTTGCAGATTTCAATGGGATAAATGGGGGCCGAGATTGAAGAACGAGGATGCCGGAGGTGGCAGGGGTCTCCCTAGCGCGATAAATAAGGTTTGGGAAAGCACTCCCCGACCTCTCACACGGCCAAAGTGTGATGTGGAACACTCTCTAACGAACTCGACTCTGCATGACCGCCAGCGACCTGCTTGTCTGCCCGCCCGCTGCCCTTCTGCGGAGGAGGTGTTTGCCGCCTGTCAGCATTCGGTGAAACCGCCAGCGAAACACCACGCCCAATACGGCGCGAGTCACTCTCGACAAGGTCACCATGGCGGCCGCCGACATGGAAAACTGGGACGACGACGCCGATTTCCAGGGGGAGTTCCAGGCATTCGCTGCCCAGAGCACCGGCACTAACCACAGCATTTCTTCGCGGGTCAGCGTACGGTCAGAGTCTGCAGCGGGTGATGAGGATTGGAACGTCGTGATCCAGCCCAACGACGACATCAGTACGAACCAGGCCATTCAGTCCGCCAAACAGGCCGGAATTCCACTGCCCGCCAACGTGCCCTCCAGTGCCCTCCTCGGCGGCACGATCAAGCGACTCGGCAAGAAACCATCCAAACAGCGAGTGGGAGATGACTGGGACAATGATTTGGAAATCTCGGAGCAGCCACTGCAATTGAAACCCCGTACAGAGCAAGACACTGCTGCGTTTTCAGACGAAAACATGGATGACTTTGACGATCTAGAAGGCAGTCTTGGGATACGCTTCGCTGGCACGAGGCGGGACGTGAGGGATCGAAGTGAGACGGCCTCGATGATCAGCCCAAGCCTGGGCTCTGCGACAGCAGAGAGTGATGTCGACGAGTTTGGTGGCCTTGAGCTTCCCGACGGGCCCATGGATCTGGAAGCCATGCTGAAGAAGAGACGAGCTGCCGAGGCTGAGCTATCGGACCTGTCCCAGCCCAACTCTGCAATCATAGAGCAGCCGGCTACCATGAAGGCTCACAAAAAGTCCAAGATGCACTCCCAAGATGACAACGACGACTTTTCCAATGATTTTGACTTTGCAGGCGCCGACATTCTCGACATTAGGAAACGTCCGAATAAGAACATTCAAGTCAAGTCCAACAAGTCCATGCCCGTAACCCATCGACCCTCAACTACGCTCAACTTCCATGACAAGCCTACCGACAAACCAGTCTTCAATAGATCACACATCCCCCGCCCGGTATCGGGCACGAAGCAGTACTCGAGACTTGAGCCTGTATTCGAGAGCGGAGCACCTMAAGCCATTCGAGAACGACGCCATCCTACCACCACCAGTGCACAGCTGCTTCGCTCTAAGCGTTCGATGCCGGCTTTGCGCAACAAAGGTAGTAATGGCTCGTTCCCCAAGCCCTCTGCGCCATTCCTGCCCGCAGGTGGATCAAACTATCAGTCGCATCAAAGGGCAATGCCATACCACATGAGACGAGATTCAGACCCTAACAACAGACAAGGAGCTCAATCGCCGCCTCCTCGTCCCCATTCTCGACTGTCAAACCAGATTACCCCCGATACTCCTTCGCGTGCATCAAGACATCGGGAGAATGTAGCGCCAGCATCTCTTGCACGAGAGGCTGCATCGAAACGAACACTGACCAGACCTGCAAAGAAGCGCAATTTTGGAGATGGTTCCGAGCTTGAGATCTTTGACGATCTTCCAACCTCAACTACCAAGGAGAGCAAATTTGTCAAGCAGCCCATCGCCCGCGGTCCACCAAAGCAGAGCCTTCGGAGGACTCAAAGTCGCAGCGACTTTCGTTTCCCCGTCTCCAAGCAAAACGCCGCCATACCGGACAGAATGATGACACCGGCACCTCAGACACCTTCCAGCCCCACCAAAGGCTTCCACGACGTGCATCAATCCACGCCGAGCTATCTTCGCGATACTGCTGCAAGTAGAATTGCCAGAGAGTCGCGGATTGGTAACACCCAGCGACCAAGAAGCGAGGGTCCACTCCAGCCACTTATGACGAATTGGAAAGCGCAAGTGGCTGCACGGAGCCCATACTCCAGCCCGAGCGCTCAACGACAAAAGAACAAGAGACCTGGGTTAATTTCGGGCATCGGCTCCCACATACCGAAGTGTAAGCACCTCGTCCTCACGCTTGATGTTAGACCCTGCTAATACGGAGATCACAGGCGAGAAGGGCATGGTTTACAACCCCCAGACTCTCCGATGGGAGGGCAAYGAGAACACGCTATCCCACTTTGATGTGCCTCCGATGGAAACGCCGACGCCGGACTCGCACGAGCAGGCATCATCATTCATGGATCGACGCTTGGGGTCTCCCACTCGTCCGGCATTGATCGCGCAGGTGCCGACCAGCAACGGGCACAACGTGCAAGTCCAAAATGGTATGGTCTACGATCCACAGCAGATGAAGTGGTTGAAGTTCAAGGGGGGTCGAGATGTGTCTGGACAGCTCTCACCGTCTGTGACCGATGCGGATGACGAGGAGGATGCATTCGCGGGGATTGAAGACTTGAGAGACGAGAACACGCCTCTCGCGCTGGTGAACAGCTCGGGTGGTATGGCCAGCCCCGTTTCGGTGGCCGCTGCCGGTGTTGGCGAGGTTCACGAGGAGTTTGACCTTGGCCCACGATTCATTCAACTCCAGCGGGACGAAGAGACGGCGTGGCGGCGAAAATGCGAAAGCTGGTTCTCGGCCGGCAACTCGAGACCCGACGATGGGAGATGGCGTTGGCAAATCAGAGACATTGTGCCACAGGATCTGATCGGCTTCTAATGAGGCTGGTTATTGTATATTAATATTTTTGCATTTTAACCCGCAGATATATTGCTGCATGGCGGGGATGTGGATGACAAAGTGGTTCGGAAAAAGGCGTTGGATGGTTTTGGGTGAGCGAGCGAGCGAGCGAACGAGGCAGCATGATGACCACGAAGATTTACGATCAACAAACATCGCTTTTAATACTCTACGGCGTGCTTCCTTCTTCATGTCCATCACTTTTTCAATCTGGTCTAAGATCTCGTGCGTTCGATCAATTCCAACTCGAACACGCGAACATCTCGCTTCGGACTCCTCTTTTGCCGGACGAAAGTTGAACTCTGACTTCCAACCTATCAATCCGGCCACGTTCTCGACCTGATTCCTTGGCGTGAAGAACCAAGACGGCCCAAACATCTCGGCAGACACCGATCAGGCAGGAGGTTGAGCGAAGCCTTGCTCGTCAGCCATTAGTATTTCAATCCACCACCGCGTGGGAAAGCTTGAGGCGGCTCAATGCCAAGTGGCTGATGATATCCGGCGGCGTGGTGGCCTTTTGGAACTCATGCCGGTTGGGATTATGAGTTTTCGAGCCCCGAAGGATTGCGGAGAGGTGTAACATGGCATGCATAAAGCTCATTGAGTTCGCTTTTTACCTGGGTTCTTGGACCATCAAGGTTCCCTGTCACCTGGCACTCTTTTGCTTTTTTACTCCTTGGCTGTGAGTGAATCTGGTCATTATGCAGCTCATTCGCTCAGCTGTTGCTGTGAGCTTGGTTGCTTTGGCGTCGGCGCAGACTTTCCAGAAGCTGGGGTGTGCGGAGAATGGCTGTAAGTATACCATACCATGCCTCCATACAAATGCATAGGTGGAAGGCWAGAAATTGTAATCCAAATTCATACTACGAAACCTCCAACATAGCCACCCCAGGTCTAGGGACAATGCTGACCTCAATGCCTCACCTCTAGGCATTACTCCACCGGATGCTCAAGACTTCCTCGCTGGCCAGTACTTTGACATTCGTCTAGAGGTCCATGCCAATGTCAACCAGACGAACGGAATTCCGGACGAGAACTTCACCTTCACTATTGGCAAGAAGGGCGAGGAAGCCAAGCCCGCTTCCGAGTACTTTGGAATTGAAGAGCCAGCGATCGAGAACTGGGACTTTGAGTGGTATGAGTGAGTGTATTTACTTGGACTACGACGGAAGACTTGCCTTTTAACAACAATCCAACAGAGATCTATTCGCTCGAGACGCCGATCAGCCATGGAAAGTCAACGTTGCTTCGAAAGCTTTCCGTAGAGTTGCTTTGTATGAGCCTGGTAAGAAAAAGCCATGGACTGCTTCCTGGATGAACACGCCATCTACTGCGTGCTTGCTAGGCTGTCCTCTCCTGTCGAACCCAGATTGCTAAATGAACAACAGGTGACTACGTCGCGACGCTCACGTACAATGGTACCGAGACTGCCGTAGCAGAATGGCTCGTAAGAGATATTGAGCAGGTATGTAGACGCTACGATTCCCACAGCAAACTCTCATTTACTGACGAATCTTCAGGTTCGCAAGACGAAGAGTAAGCCAATTAATGCAAGGCGATGAGATCAGATCAGGAAGCTTTTCTCTTCTCACCGTCTCAGCATATCAGCTACGATAGGGATCCTGCTAATCTGTAATAATTCAGACGTTCTGCTTTTTATAGGTGAGCAAAGACCAAGAGCAACACGACCACTGCTCGACTGACAAGTTTAGGCGATGGTATGACTACGAACATGATCACTGCTGCTCGCTTGATCGCCMACAAGACTGTCAATGGTCGTTATCAAAGTCTGATGGCCATGGTGAGTTGCCCTCAAATTCTGTTCCGATCACAATCGGACATGTTCAACGTCGACATCGCTAAAATATCGTTCCTTAGGATCAATTCCCTCATTTGGGCCATCAAGTAAGCCACCGAATCATCGAAGGGCTATCATGGGCTCTCTACCACATGGAAACTCCCAAGGCATCGCTGACACCCAATCCAGATGACGCATTCGCTGAACTCATTCATAACCGACTCGGCAAACAGCGCGACTGCATTGTACACTGGCCACAAGTCAGATGTCAACGCTCTTGGAGTGTACGTATCAGGAACTCCCATACCATTTCCCCAACATCTGCTGAATCTTCTCCCAGCTATGCCGATAGCTCACCAAACAGCCTGGACGATCCCAAGGTAGAGACCATTGCCGAGATCTTCCACCGAGTCCATGGTGGTAAGATCGGCATCGTGAGCACTGCTTTCCTTGCGGATGCTACGCCCGCGGCATTGACTGCCCACACCAGGAACCGTAACGATTACGGTGCTGTGATCGACTCTTTCATCCATGGTATCGTCAACTACACATGGACTGACTGGTCGGGCCCAGATGTTCTCTTCGGAGGAGGTGCCGAGAACTTCTGTGGTCCTGATCTTGGAGGAGAGACTTACATGGATCTCGATTACTACAAGGTCTTTACGGACGCCGGCTACAACCTTGTCMACAATGCAAGCGAGCTCAATGCAACGTCAACCAGTGAGAGGACTCTAGGAGTCTTCACCAAGTCCAACATGGCCAAGTGGCTCGATCGTCAGGTCTACACTGATAACCTCAACGGAAACGAGGATGCTCCAAACTGCGAGGGTGGTGATGCCAACACTCAACCCGGTCTCAAAGAGATGACCCTCAAAGCTATTGATATTCTTGAGACCCGTGCTGGTGATGAGGGCTGGTTCTTGATGTCTGAAGCTGCTTCTGTGGACAAGATGATGCACGTTTTGGATTACGACCGTGCTCTTGGTGAGCTCCTCGAGTTGGACGACACGATCAAGCATGCCATCGCACATCTCAAGGGGATCGATGCATACAAGGACACTCTGATCGTGGTCACTGCCGATCACGGCCACGGCTTCGATGTTTTTKGCAGTGTCGATACCAAGTACATGGATGCTCAAGAAACCGACCGTGAGAAGCGTAATGCCATTGGCACATACGAGGCTTCTGGACTGTCTCAGTACATCAACACTGGTAACCTTCGCTACTCGGATTCCAACTTCCCCTCCAATTGGGAGCCAAGATACACTCTCGCTCAGGGTTTCGGCGCGAGACCTGACGTTAGGGAGAATTTCCGCGTTCACAAGGATGGTCCAAGACTGCCAGATGGTAACATCACTGGCTTCCCCTCAGACGACTACTTCGTTAACCCCGAAGATGCCGTCGGAGGATTCATCATGAACGGTAAGCAAAGACACAAGCCAGCGAGAAGATCATGTGAGACTAAATTCCTTCCAGGTTCCCTCCCCACCGACGCGGCTCAAGGTGTCCATTCCCTAACCGACGTACCCGTCTTCAGTTCCGGCCCTTGCAGTGAGAACTTTGGCGGTGTCTACAGCTCCATTGACGTGTTTTTCAAAATCGCAGACTGCCTTGGTTTGAGTCAGGTCCCGAAGGAGGGCGAGGAATGCCCATCTTTCAAAGATGGCAAGGATAATTGGGGCAAGTATGAGTCTGACGAACAGTATGGCTACCATCGATACACTGAGAAGGCGCCTTATTATGCCAAGAAGGATACTTCCGAGTAGGATGTTGAAGTAGGATATTGAAGTGTTGATGATACAACGAACCGCGCAGAAAAGAAATGAGACATATCTTATATCTCGAGAATCTGGAAGTAGTCGAGATCTCTTGCCTTTCGCTTCATACTGTTCGTCAGGCAGCTGTTTTACAAATCGGTATGGCCAATTTCGAAGCTGCATTCACGTATCGCTTGAAAAAGGGGCGTTATCGCGCAACAATTTCTTGAGCGAGGAGTGATCTGGAAGCAGCATGAGAATTCTCACAGACAACAGCAATATCAAAACATCTCTCGCTAGGTGACACTCCCACGAGTCCTATTTAGAAGAGCAAGAATTATCAACCCACCCCTTCCTCAAATCCATCCATTAGTTCCATTTCCTAATTCCTGCTTAGACGTCAGTCCTCCCTCACACCAAGAGTATCAATCACGATGATATCTTACTCGGCTAGATTTCAAGTCTTCGTGCAGCTTTGAGAAGCATGCAATTTTTGAGAAACTTAAACGATAATGACTAGATCATTGGAACGCACCTGCATTTGAGAAGGAGGGTTGGATCTAGTAGCAATGAAGGTGATCAGCTCGGGAGATTCATCAGAGTAGTCGTCGAGGTGCCTGGTAATGGTAGCATCGTAATCCTGATACTCTGCAACATTCTCGGTTTTTGGTTTGGTTGTATGAGAATACCGATAACTGGACCCTTCAAGACTTAGGTTCATCCCTCGCAATAGAAGACCATAGAATCATCGGGTCGACACTATCAACACGCCTCATCTAGTAACTTCAAACCGCTCTCCAAGTATCTGATAAGTCTTATAGGGTCAGAGTCCTACAAGATAGCTTGACCTACGTGAACTTCAAAAGGGGCAGTCTAGAAAAGGGGTCTTCTTCACGCATATGAATTTCAAATCCATCCTACATCTCAAACATCCAATTAAAACATTACCTTCCAAAGCCTCGCTGCATGAAGCATACTTTCGTAAACTCGATTCTCTTCATCAGGTAATACTTACGCTGCGTTCCCCTTCCGCCCCTACTACCCTGAAATCATACCAACCTTTTCTTCCCCAGCCACCCCGCTCCTTCAGCATCATCATCGCTCCTTTCCGTACATGATCATCAGGAACATCTTCGCCGAGTTTGTCGACACATCGGCAGCAAGGGCGGATCTTCTTGGCGCGCCGGTTGCTGCGGTAGGAGATTACAGACGGGAGCGGCAGAGTAAAAGGCGGGAGTAGTATTTACATAAGTTCGGCCAATCTCCCCATCGCCATATAGTTGATTCTCATGGAGGTGTAGCTTCACATGTCTGACGTGCAGTTTCGCTAGAGTCATTGTAGTCGAGACACTGGTTTGAGAGTGGTTTCTGCAGTATAGTTGCTGGCTTCGTGATGATTGTTCAACTATAGGAGTCCCATCATACCAACCAAAAGGATGCTAGCCGTCTATCAGCAGATCCATCGCGATCGTAACTCCTCCAAAAGTTCTCCTGCGGAAGGCTCCCGAGCCTTTGATGTCGTCGGATCATCCTCCATCTCCAAATCGCCACCAACGATCAGCAACTAATCAGTGTCGTTCAAGAAAATGAACGCAGCACTGCGTTTTTTTTCGCGTTTTCGATCAGCMGGGATTGATTTATAGGGCTAGATCTCGAAAGCCTCGCGGAGTCTAGTCTGAGATGATCGAGACAGGTAGGAAGATGGCCTTGATGTATTGGCGTTGGCTTAGGTCTCTTACAGTTCTGCGATTTTGTCTTCTATGTTGTTGTGGCTGCGCGTCGTGATTGGGGTGGATGTTTGGATAGTGTGAGAAGGATGGTAGAAGAGTGTGGTAGAGGAGTGTGGTAGAGGAGTGTGGTAGAGGAGTGTGATAGAACTCATAGCTAGTATCGCGCAACCTGTTGTTGATATGAATATAATACCGAGACWACAGAACAAACTTTGCGTCAAAAGGGGCTAACTTAGCCAGACATCCAATCCCCCTTCCTTGAACTCATCTAGTTGGTTCAAAAAGAACACTACATAGTCATCCGCATCGTCAAGCAAATCGACTCAATAGAAACACACAAAAGATAAAGCTAGAAGAATACAGACTCCAACGACCTGCCGTCCGATTCCTGCTAGATACATACCGTCCAGGATCAATCCTCTCTACGACCTGCCTGAATCCTCCCACCAAACCACGCCATTCTTAATCATCCTCTCTCTATACCTTTCCAATAAACCAGCAATATAAGATTCTCGGCTGGAAAAGTGTTGTTGAATTGTCGGTGTGCCGCATTAGCAGCTTCAGCGGCGTCTACTGATCGTGTCTGGTTTTCAACGCATACAACCCAAGTCACCAGCTAAATAAACCCCAAACTTTATACACGATCATCTAGTAGTCGTCATTTTGATAATATTTTCTAATAGGTTTAATAGAACTTGTGTTGAAGGGTTCTGTCTCCAAAATCTTTTCCCTGATAATCAATGATCGAATACGGACGGAGTGGTATAGACAGTGAGACTCCCAAGGCCTTTCAGCACGCAAATTGCAAAGTCTTCGAATCTTGGATGATTTGTTTCAGTTCTTGGAGTCCAGCGGGTCTATGGTTAACGATGAGAGTCGTTCGGAGTGCGAAATGCCACAGAGCTGAGAGCCAGCGTACTTCGCAACAAGGGTAACGTGAATGAAGAAAGATGAATGAGATAGGGATCAAAGAGCCGACTACCAGACTCAAAAATCTAGGAATCTTTCCATCACGACCCCAATCCATCCTTGCAAAGACACTCATAGTCCCCTTAGATTCATCCACCACCCCACTCCTAAGAACTACAACTACACTGCGCCATCCTCTGAAATTTAGGCACATCCCCACAAAACCTCTCCTCCTCCTCCCGATCTCCACCCCACTCCTCCCTAAAAGGCTCCAAAGCCATACCCATGACCCTCTGCAAAATCTCCCTCTCACCCTTCTTCTCCACCCTCTCAATCAACTCATCCAACACCCAACTTCGGGGGATGAATTTCGGATTCACGGCCTTCATATCCGCGAGTCGCTGATCTCTAGCTTCGTGGGAATCTTCCCAGTCTTCAAAGACACGGCCTCGCCATTTCTCCAGCCATTTGGCGATGCGGGCGCGAGCGTCGGCTTCGTTGCCTGCGAGTCCTGAGAGGCCTTCGTGGTGGAAGAAGCGGCCTGCGACTTCTTTTCTTTGATCATCGGTGGCGAGATCGTCCATTACGATGTTGCTTAATCTTCGGAATGCGTGGTTGAAATCTAGTTCTAGTGCTTCGAGCGTGTCGAGGAATTCGGAGTACAGTTCTTCAAAGTCGGTCTCTGTACATTTCTTGAGTCCAAAGCGGGCGGTCATCAATCGTTTGTATTCGGCGAGGAAGACTGCTTTGTATTCGTCGCCGACTTGGTCGACGATGGTTTCCGCTCGCTTTATCAATTCATCAGCCTTTTCTTGACGGACGCTTTTTTCGACGAATTCGGCTTCGTCGACCCATGAGCCGGCACCGATGACTTCGCCGAGAGCTTCTCCTAGCCGTACAAGATTCCACCAGATGATGCTCGGTTGGTTCTTGTATGAGTATCTCAACATGTGATCGTCGTGGTTGGGAGTGTAATTCGGATCAAAGTTGTCCAGGAATGCAAATGGACCAAAGTCGATTGACAGGCCGAAGATGGAAGTGTTGTCCGTATTCAACACGCCGTTTGTGAATGCATATGCTTGCCAATGAGCGACCATCTTTGCGTTTCTCCGGGCAATCTCCCTGTAGAGACGTGTGTATCGGTTCTCCTCACGTTCTCCAGATCCTTGGATGTCATCCTTTGGGATCCCGCGAGCTGGCTCCAAGACATCCTTGCCCTCATTCGAAGTCACATTTCCTGGGAGAGTATCCCAGCCAGCATATACATCCTCGGCAGCGTAATCGGCCAGTTTTCTGATGAGATCTCGATCACCTCTTGATCGTGCAAGGTCAAACGTGCCAAATCTTAACCATGTCTCGGCGAAACGTGCAACAATGGCTGCAGGCTCCGTCGTCTCTCTACGAACCTTTTCCTCAGGCCCAAGTGTCAGACTCAACGCTCGGGTTGTTGGTATTCCCAGAGCATTCAAAGCTTCACTGACGACAAACTCGCGTATGCTGCTCCGTACAACAGCCTTGCCATCTGCGAATCGGGAATATGGTGTCTTGCCGGCGCCCTTTAACTGAATCTCATATCTTTTCTTGGTCGCGGGATTTGTCGTCTCAAACAGTGAAATGGCTCTTCCATCTCCCAGCTGACCAGCCCATTGTCCGAACTGATAACCTCCATAACATTGTGCCCAGGGATAGACATCCTCCTCTCCCGGCTCCTTGTCGGCGTCTATTGTTATGATCTTCTTCCCGGCCACGGTGTCCTTGAAATCTTCCGAGTCGATGGTAGAGGGATCGATGGCTAAGTCTCTCAAGGCAGCTTTGGAGACGCCTACCAATTCCGACTTGGTGAAGGGATCGGGTCGAACGAAGGTGTATGCCGCATTCTTCACCAGCCGCGGTCCCAGCTTTGCTCGCTCCGCAGCATGTGACTTTGCAGGCGTCGGGTATTCTGCATCCGGCGGTAATTTCTGGGTGAAGTTGTTGCTTTTGGGCAAATCTCGAATGCTAAACACCTTCTCGCTGCTGCTGTTGCTGATGTGATGTGCCATTTGGAAGATTCGTCGTTGTGTAGTCGCTGGCCTCGTTCGGTTTGCTATTCGATGCATACACGGAGATGTTGGTGAGCAAGAAGAGCTCCGATGTGGCAAAGAAAGGCATGTACTGCTACCGACTCGACATAGCTCGCGCATCATCAGCAACAAAGTCCGACGTCAGTGGGGCTAAAAGCCGACCCTCGGCCTACCTGCCCTGCCTATCCTAATCAATGTCTATCTGATTAAGATTAGGCGGGATGCAGTCTTGACCGTGCTTTCCTTGTAAATCGAGGCAATCTTCAACAATTCCAACGTCCCTTCCACTCACGCTAGCATTGGAAAAAACAAATCCATCTCCATTCCAATCCATCCTTCCATCTCCATCCATCCATCCATCCCACCAACAGCATTATTGCCATTCCCGCCGAATTGAAACACTGATTGAGCAACCCGCACGAAATGCTGGATATCAACAAACCATCGAATCGCATTCACGTTAATCCTGGATAATGGCCCCGAATTTGCCCGGCTACTACTTTGATGAAGAAAAGAAGAAATACTTCGGAATCCAACCCAATCACATTGCTCCAAACAATGCAAAGTACTCTCAAGCCAATGTGCAGCATGAGGAGCACCTTGCCAAGAAGCAGAAAGTAAGTCGCGAAGAAYTGAATATGGGGATCAATATCAACATCAACATCAACATCACCATGGAAGTCCTTCATCGAGAATGCTTCATGGCTGACTACCTCGGATAGCTCGAAGATAATAACAAAAAGGTCCTGAAGTCACAGACGGTGCTTTCTGCTCGGGTTTTAAAGCACTCATTACTTGGCGGAAGTGGTCTTCTTCGAGAATGCGGCAAGTCATCAAGGACTATGGTGCAGCGAGAAGATGCCTTCTTGCGAGGACTTCAAAAGAGTCGCGACAAGAATCTACACTTTCCATTCGGTCTAGTCCTCGACGCTCACTGGACTGACTCTCGCGTCGCCGTGGTCTCTAATGCCGGAATTCACTCATACGAACGAAGTGATGGACCAGTCTATACCGACGAAGGCATATGCCACGTGACCACTCCATCACTCCCATATCCACAAAACGTCATCATCAATTCAACCAACATGACGACAATCTCCGGCGTGCCGCACATTCTAGGCTGTACAAATGGTATCGGGATGAATGCCTTTCTCGTACCAATCGAAGGGTCCATCGGAGGAGGAAATCGTTGGACGGTGGACGGACTCCTCTTCGACTGCGCCGTCAATGACATTGACAACACGAAGCTTGCATTCGTAGGCAATTCCACGGTCATGACCGTCGATGCCTTTACCCATAGTGTCAGCGCATCCATCAATTTGGAAAATTTCCCGTCCGCCCGTACGAATGAATGGCCGGACGCGGTAGATGCAACGTCTGCTCGGAAGGTTGAGTGGCTGAGCGAGCATACCCTAGCTTTCGCAACCCGCGAGCATTTCGAGAGACGGCACTACAACCACCAGGTCATGCTTTGGGATGTTCGTTCCCCTACCGCCACCTCTGCTCGATGGAGACGAGAGAGCCGGATTTCCGGCCTATCCAAACCARACACCAGCGKCAACAATCTCATCGTCACTAGCAATTTCGATATTTCCATGTACGATCTGCGAGTGTTGAGGGCTGATCGACCACTCCTGACCATACGGCATCAATCCGTAGGAGATGTGACGTATCATGCGACGTACAATGGGAATCTGCTCGCTGCGATTGATCATAACATGAAAATTCAAGGCTATTCTTGGAAGACGGGCAGGTTTGTCAAGACCATTCATGCGCCGCGAGAAGAATGGTGGCAGCAGGATACGATCTTGATGAGGAGTGTCAAGTGGGTTGATGAGGCGGGTGAAGGACCGAGATTGCAGGCTTGTCATGGGAAGGAGGTGTTTAGTTATCAGATGTCGTGGTTGTGAGGAACCTTTGTCTGTTGTTCGAGATCTTCCATGCTACGCAGAGCTGTGTTGGATTGATATGGAATGTCTTTCACAATGGAGAGCGCTTTCTCGTCTCTACGTGAAAGAAAGCTTCAAAGACTGTGCTGCGGAGAGCTATATTCGGCATCTGGAATGCGATTTCGCAAGTCCAGAGTGCGTTGTATTGCAATGTAAGGAAGGAGTGATGTTCAATACAAACCGAGCTCTCCTCGGCTATTCACACTCACCCAACTGCCGAAAAGCAATGCCATATCTACCTTACCTACCCTTGCCTGCTCCACGATGGATGGACCATATCCATGTCGAATAATTTTCTAATCAAGTTAGCTGCACAGCTGAARAAAGCCAAAAAAATCACGGCAGTTGAGAATGAAGAGTCTGAACACTGTGCTTCCCACCAACTCCACTGAGATCGTCCACGACGACGCGCTCGCATCAAACTCGGAGTCATGGATTTATTCCGAGAAGCACAGCAAGACCACACACAACAAGACCACAACTAGTGGACTACATCTCTACCTTAGTCTTGCTTTTGCCCGCCCCGCCCGCCCGCTTTCCTTCCTCCGCCTAATTTCCAGTAGTACCTACCCTAGCAAGCGAGGCAAATATTTGTCCAAACAACGCCACGATTGCATTCGATTTTCCCTTAGGTGGCATTTTCTGGGACCCGCAGACGGAGTTCGGAGGAGGGAGAGAAAGTGGAGTAACTAAGGGTATCCCATATCACCAGAGCAGAGGTAGGCGGGTATGAGAGGAATAAGGTAAAAGCACCGAAGGAAGGAACCGTGTGCTGGGGAGGTATAGGTATAGGTATCGTACATTTCCTACCATCTTTCCCTCTTCTTCTTCTCTTTCCCCCCAAACACCACCAACACCTCCCAAGACCAAGCTTCTCAACCAACATGCCATCCTCCACTCTCCCCTTCCACGCCGACCACATCGGTTCTCTGATCCGTCCGGCCTCCATCTCTACAGCACAAGATCAAGCCGATGCAGGAGAAATCACCCAGGAACAACTCCACAGTATTCAAAAGACCGCCATCGCCGACATTGTGCAAAAGCAACAACGAAACAACGTCTTGGCTCTGACTTCGGGGGAATTCGACCGCAAATACTACTTTTCCGGTTTCTTCGAAAAACTCTCTGGATTTGAAGAAGTTTCACCAGTGCCGTGGTCACTTGCCCGGCTCAATGCAGCGCCAATTGCAGCATTGAAGAAAGCGGGCAAACAATACCCCATGGCAGCCATCTGCACGGGAAAAATCGAATACAAAGAATCTCCCTACTTGGAAAACTGGAGGATGTTGAGGGATTGCGTACCGCAGGAACAATGGAAAGATTGTAAATTCACCATGCCTCCACCTTGTTATTTCCATTTGAGACTCGCGGCGGGGAAATGCTACGATACGAGTTTATATGGGAGTGATGAGGAATTTTTCGGCGATTTGGCAAAAGCTTATCGGCAGGAATTGAAGACGTTGTACAGGGAGGGTTGTAGGAATGTGCAGATTGATGATCCTACGTTGGCGTATTTTTGTAGTGAGGATATGTTGGAGGGGTTGAGGAAGGATGGGGTTGATACCGAGGAACTTTTTGGCATGTATCTGAAGGCGCATAATGATGCTATTGCGGAGAGGGAGGAGGGGTTGCATGTTGGGTTGCATATTTGTCGAGGTGAGTTGGATTTTCTTGATGATGATTATGATTGATGATGATGATGTGCTAATGAAGGGGATTTTTAGGAAATTTCTCCAAGTCGATGCATTTCAGCGAGGGATCTTATGAGAAGATTGCGGAGCGATTCTTCAAGACGCTCAATTATGATACCTTTTATCTGGAATATGATAATTTGCGATCGGGRGGGTTTGAGCCTTTGAGGTTCTTGCCTGTGCATAAGAATGTTGTGTTGGGAGTTGTTACTACAAAGGTATGTTCACCCTACCTTTCTTGATGACTTGTAGCATGGATGTGCTGATACGGTGATTATAGGACCCCGAAATGGAAGACAAGGAAGTCATCAAGAGTCGCGTCCTACAAGCCGCGGAAATCATCGCCAAGGGACAGGGAAGGAGTGTAGAGGAAGCCATGGAGAATATTGGGATTAGTCCTCAGTGTGGATTTGCGAGTGTTGCTGTTGGAGCGGATGGTATGACGGAGGAGAAGATGTTTGCCAAGTTGAAGTTGGTGAAGGATGTTGCTGAGGAGTTGTGGCCTGGAAGACCTTGATTGTGATTATTATTATGATGATGATGATGGCGATGATGGCGATGATGATGATGGGAGGAGGGAGACCTTGATGGATGGGATGAGAAGGAGATGGAGAGTGGAAGAAATTCAACATGGCAGAAAGATACTGTAGGAAGAGCCGAGACGTATCGAGTAGAATCAAGCTGGACCGATATCATCAATACCACGTAGAATACTACGTCAACACACTCAAGAAGTGACTGAGATGCAGTATCTAGCCATGCGACGGATGAATGTGGGTGGATGAATCACAAGGAAATCTTCTCCGCTCTCACATGCTACTTATTTGGTGGCAGATGCAGTGTTCCCACCGCCCAGCCTAGGCACGTCGTCGGTTTTCTTAACATGTGATGGATGATGAATACCAACCAGAAAAGAGGACCTTCACATGCCTGATCGACAATGCCACWCTCGGCTGTACAGTACATACAACGATGATGATAAAGAGAAAGGGATGGTCAATCATATCAACAACCAACCGCACGCGCACTTGCCACGAGGTCATCATGTTACTGGATGCGGGTATCGCAGCAGGGCACAGCATGACTCTTGGTTGTTGAGCATCTCACATCTTTCTCAACGACATTTCATCATGACATCCATGACACAGCCCAGCATCGTATCATACTCCGCCCGACCCACGCGATTTCTTCGAAAGATGCAGAAGACCCTTGCCCGTGGCTTGGCGAGATTAGGGGACTGGATTTTTTTTTCCCGGGGCGCGGGTCGTACCGAGCGTTGCTGTGTGTTTGATGTCCGTGGAAGCGATGGGGCCAACCAAAGTTACGGTAGGTACGAAACAGCGGGGTAGGGTCCGTTGGGGAGCGGTGCATCTCCATCCATGAAGTGGTGGCTTCGTTGGATGGGCTGGATTTCTTGGCTGAATTGGAAGAAGGAGAGTTTTGTATGGTATGTAGGGATGGCGRTGTAACAATCAATGTTKCAAGTACAAGTCAAGGGAATGGTTTGGTCAGGGATGATATTTGACTAGGTTGCTGGTTMACGGCCAATGGCTGGAATTCGGGTGGGAAAAAGTCCCCCAAGTCCAAATGCAAGCTGGCTCGCGGATCAGCAGAGTGCAGGTGCGGTGTGTGAAATGTACGGCAAGGAAGGCAAGGTGCTCCAACGATCGGATGAGATCCAAGCCATGGCTTGGGTCCATGGCATCTGTCTACCTTACCTCTTTTACCTTATTACTGCACGTACGACTAGCTAGTCCATTATTTAATTGGTGAATTCGGGTCTTGTTTTATAAACTCCAGTGGCCTGACCCCTTCAACATTTTTCCTCCCTCTCGCATTTCCATTCCCATCTTGGTGGTGTGTTTTGTCTCCCTCCTCCCTCTCCCTCCTCCCTCCCAACACGATGAGTACCACAACGGCGCTGCCTCGCCAGCCCGCCATGAGACGCAATGTCACGGCCGATTCCGCTCCCTCGACGAGCAGGAACAGCAATGCCAGCACTCCCAACGATTCCCCCACCGCCTCCGCCTCGTCAACCTCTCTCTCGTCCATGGGATCCGTCGAGGAATACCAGCACAAGCCATCGTCGGGCAAGCTGTTCGACACCTACGGCAATGAATTCACCTTGCCCRAATACACCATGAAGGATATCCGCGAGGCCATCCCCAAGCACTGCTTCGAACGGTCGGCAGCGACGGGATTGTACTACGTGGCCAGGGATATCGTGCTGTTGAGCACCACTTTTTACCTCTTCAACACCTTTTGCACCCCGGAATACGTTCCTTCATACCCGTTGAGGGCAAGTCTCTGGGCACTCTACACCGTTCTGCAAGGTCTCTTCGGCACGGGATTGTGGGTGTTGGCGCATGAATGTGGCCACCAATCCTTCTCCCSCAGCAAGACGCTCAACGACACGGTCGGATGGATCTGCCATTCCGCTCTGCTCGTGCCCTACTTTTCGTGGAAAATCTCCCACGGCAAGCACCACAAAGCGACGGGAAATTTGGAACGCGACATGGTCTTTGTGCCTCGCACGCGTGAGGAGCACTCGACCCGCACAGGTGCTCTCCTTCATGAAATGCACGAGTTGATGGAGGAGACGCCCATCTACACGGCCGGCCACCTCATCGCCCAGCAGTTGTTTGGATGGCCCATGTACCTCCTCCAGAACGTCACAGGCCACAACAACCACTCCAAGCAGCCCGAAGGCAAGGGAGTTGGTAAGAAGAACGGGAATGGAAGCGTCAATCACTTCATCCCCAGCAGCCCGCTGTATGAGAAAAAGGACGAGCACCTCATCCTGCTGTCGGATCTTGGTCTCGCCATCACCGCTGGAGTCCTCTTCCTCGTCGGCAACAAGTACGGCTTTTCCAACCTGCTCGTCTGGTACTTCCTCCCCTACCTGTGGGTGAACCACTGGCTCGGTATGTTGACACACATTCCCATCGCTTTTGCACTCCCCCGACTAACGATACACCACACAGTCGCCATCACCTTCCTCCAACACACCGATCCCTCCCTCCCTCACTACACCGGTGATGCGTGGAATTTCGCCCGTGGCGCCGCCGCCACCATTGACCGTGAATTCGGCTTCATCGGTCGCAACCTCTTGCACGGCATCATTGAGACCCACGTTCTCCACCACTACGTCTCCACCATCCCCTTTTACCACGCCGATGAAGCGACCGAGGCCATCAAGCCCATCATGGGCCAGCACTACCGCGCCGACGTCAAGGATGGCAGCATCGGTTTCCTCAAAGCTATTTGGACCAGTGCGAGATGGTGTCAGTGGGTCGAGCCGATCCCCGGTACCCAGGGTGATGAGGCCAAGGTCATGTTCTTCCGCAACAGGAACGGCCTGGGTGTTCCTCCTGCTAAGCTTGAGGCCAAGCTGGACGGCGTCAAGCGGGACCGTAAAATGGTGACGGTGGAAGATGACAGTGATTGATTAGATGGTATTGATATGTGAAGAGGCGGAAAAGAGGCGGAATGAAGTGTCCTTGCCGTGTTGGGATGAATGTTGTTTTTGGCATGTTGTGTGTGCGCTTGAGCGCGGCGTTTTTTTGTTGTTGTTGTTGTTGTGAATAGAGAGAGAGAAAGAGGAGAAGAAGAAAGAGGAGGACGGGGAAAAGATTTAGAACAGAGATACAGAATGATCATGATGAAATCCCCAAGAATATAAATGAAGATTTGAAAATCTGAACTCTTGCTCTCTCCTGCTGTGTATACATCGTGTTTTGCGATTCGATTTGGAGAGGCTTGGATGATATTGATTACCTACCTACATGTTTAGGAGGTATTTGTGGGAGAAGGTGGGAGTATTTTTTAGTGCACCAAGGGAAGAATTGGGAGTGAGTGAAGTGGTGATGAGAAGGGAGAGACGGAGAGGGTTGAGGATGATCCTACGACTTAAGCATCCTCCTGATTTGATTTGGAGGCATATACCGAGTGTCAAATGGTGTAGGTTGTCGTATTAATAAGGTAGGTAGTTATCCTCCTATAGGTAGAAGAGAAGATAGGGTTCGAAGAAAAGGGAAGATAGGGATCGGATAAAAGGGAAAAGAGGTGTAGAGGTGTAGAGGTCTAGTCGATAACTCTTCGCCCTAAATTCTTACCTTTTAATACTTCCCGCCTACCTACCTACCTTTCTTTATACCTTATATATAATATGCTCTACTTATGTAGTAGTAATAATCTACTTATAGTAATAATTACGAAGCCCGCTACTTGACGCCGGGTCTCGTATCGACGTCTCAGGACCCAAGGCGTGTGTCAGCAACTCCCAATCAACAACTTACCTTACATTGCCACTTTCAAATCAAGCGTCAAGACATGAACATCTAGACGGCACCGTGCTCCCGTTTTTCAGAATCATCCGGAAGTATATCCCCAGTCCACGGGAGCTGTCGCTGCGAGGCGATCGCGTGGTGACAAGGCATGCAGATGGAACAGATCAGCAAATGGCAGGCTTCAGAAATGCTCCATGGTTGCCGCAATGTATATTCAATCGACTTCTTTCGCGTGGAATCTCCAGCAAACCGTCACTGAAGATGAAATCCTCTGAATTCGAGGACTTTTACCGTTACACCAGCGGACGGTGGCTATGGGACGAAGAAGCAAGACTTTCGGAACGATACAAGAAGTTCAATGTCCTGGGCCTGAAGCAACTCGCTGCAAAAGCCATTTGGCGCACAATCCTGCGTCAGTATTTCTAAACTCGCCGAGGGAGGGTTTAATAAAGTCTTTCGTCTCTGCATGGACAATGGTGCGGTTGTACTCGCAAGAATGAATTCCTAATCCCAATGTTGGCCCAGCGGGTGGATAAAGTCATTGCATCCGAGGTTGCTACCATGGATTTTGTGAGCCTTTCTTTATACAAATCTTCATCCTCGATGGAAAGAACGCTGACGGGTGATGGAACAGGTCCGCAATGTCGTTGGAATCCCTGTCCCCAAGGTTCTGGCATGGGATGGACAAGTCTCCAACCATGCAGAATCCGAGTATATTCTGATGGAACAGGCCGAGGGGACTCAACTATCTGACCTGTGGACGGATATGGATATCTACGACAAATTGAAAGTGGTCGACGATGTCGTCGACATACAGAAGAAATTGCAATCCATCACTTTTTCACGGTCGGCATGCCCCAGTGCTCACAGGTGGACCTGAGAACTAACACGAGAAGTCAAGATTGGGTAGTCTATACTTCACATCAGATGCATTCCCAGGCTGCTCCAAAAGTCGACATTTCCGGAATCACCTCCCTCGCAGGCAGAAAATACGCAGAGGAGCGATTCGTAATCGGACCTGTTGCAGAAAAGTCATTCTGGGAGATTGGAACTACACCCGATCGCGGCCCTTGTAAGGTCATGTCTACTCTTCTACCGAAACACGTTTTTGTTTGCTAACGGACTCCCCCAAGGGCCCGATGCTCACAGCTACCTCCGCGCACTTTCCAACAGAGAGCGATCGAAAATCTGTTTCTTCGACAGAAACAACGACAATCGACCCCTCTTCCCCAAATAATGCCAACATCCTAAACTCCCCCCAAGCCCGCCTCTCCCTCCTCGACAAATTCGACTCCATCCTTCCCCATCTCCCCCCAAAGAACCCCGCGTTGAACACAGCAACCCTCTCGCACTGGGATCTCCGCGCTCCCAACATCTTCATCCAAAACGGTCGAATCACATCCCTAATCGACTGGCAAGACACTTGCATCTCCCCACTCTTCCTACAAAACCCCACTCCGAAATTAATAGAATACCACGGAGAAGTATTGCTACGACTACCAGACTACTATGAATCCCTCACCGATGCAGCAGAGAAAGGCAAAATCAAGAACCAGGTTGAAAGATCCATCTTGTCTTGGTGTTATGCAAAGGAAATCCGAGAGAGACATCCCCTATTACAGGAAGTTTTCAACCTTCCTTTAGTTCGTATAAGGAGGGAAATTGTCCTTTTCGCTTCGGAAATTTGGGAGGGGGAGACGATTCCTTTGAGGGAATGTTTATATTTAATTCAAAGGTCAGTCACTCATTTATTTCCTTCTCTCTCTCGCTTATATTGTATAAAACCGCACCATTTCAAATTTTTGACTAACGTATATGTGTATATATATATATAGAAAATGGAACAAGTTAGAAACGGAGGTATCATGTCCGATTAATTTCGAAAAAGAGGAAATTGAAAGGCATGAGAATATTTCTAGGGATTGGAATTTCAAGGCGGATTTCTGGGAACGATTCGAGGGGTTTTTGGGGAGGGATGGATATGTTGCTTGCGAGGATTTTGAGGAGGCGAGGGGAATTTTTTGGGAGGTTGTTGGAGAGGTTGAACCAGAGGGGGAGGAGGGAGAGGGAGAGGGAGAGCGAGAGGGAGAGGGAGAGGGAGAGGGAGAGGGAGAGGAAGCAGGGAGAGGGAGGAGAGCAGGGAGAGGGAGAGGAGGGGAAGCAGGGAGAGGAGGGAGAAAGGAAGAGGTAGAGAGTAAGGAAGAGGTAGAGATTAAGGGAGAGGGTAAGAGAGAGGGAGAGATAGAGGGGGAGGGGAGAGAGGAGGGAGAGGTAGAGGGTAAGGGAGAGGCAAGGTTTGAAAATCCTACCCACAGTCGATAATTATACTACTTCTCGAGAAAGAAACTCCTCTACGTTAGGTACTATACAGAGATAGTATTAAGTACATATATATATATGAATCCCTCCTACCCTTAGCTCCTACATCCAGAAAGAAGAAAGAAAAAAAGGGGGAAAATGAACAATCTACGTATCTATCTACCTACGCACCCTCTAGTTATTCTTGATCTCTTTCGAGGGTTAGAGGGGTTAGGGATATCAGGGCGTTTATTAGGGGGTGTTCATCGGGGATTGTGTGGTTTAGATGGTGTTTAGGGTGTCGCTTTAGCTCCTCCTCCTCCTCCTTCTACGTGGGCGGGAGAGATAGACGACGAAGGATATCGAGGGATAGTAGAAAGAGATACAAGAGGGACAAACGATAAAAAGTATGTAATTAGTAGAAAGGTATACCTTTCCCCTCTTATAGAAAGACCCACTGCTCCAACTCTTCCTCTCTCCCTCTTAAGCAAAAAACGCTCCCCCCTCCTCAACCTCCCACCCCCCCCTCATCATCCTCCTTAAAGAACCCCATCCCCAAAACCCCCTCCCCCCCATCATCCCCTCCCCACAATCCAAAACCACGAAATCCGGTAAACCACTCCCACTAATCATCGGTACCAATTTCGCCACATTTCTTAATACTTCCTCCGAACTTGCCCAAACCACCAATTCCACTCCTCTTCCTCTTCCTTTGGATATTGGACGGAGGAATATCGCTGCTAGACCCCCCCGCTTTGAGGGGATTTGGTAGTGGGATTGGGAGTTGGAGTGGCGGATTGTGATTGCGTGGCCGGTGGGGGAGATTTGGATTGGGAAGTCCAGGGTTGCGGATGAAGGAGGGGGAGAGGGAGGAGGGGAGGTGAGGGCTATGGTTATTATGTTTCCCTTGGAATCATCCCACGCTGAGGAGGAAGAGGAGGAGGAGGAAGAGGAGGAGGAAGAGGAGGAAGAAGTTATGATTTGGGTATCTGCGAAGAAGTACTGGCAGAGATTTCGGGAGATTTGGAGGGCGATGGTTTGAGTTGTGGAGGAGTTTTGATGGATGATTGTGAAGGGGCCTCGGGTGCGTAGGAGGGCGTCCATTGTTCCTAGTTGTCGAGGTTGGTGGTGGTGGTGGTTTTGGGGGGAGGGTTCTGGTTTGGGGGGTGGTATTTGCCAGGTTTTGTCCGAGAGGAGAAGGATTCTGGAGGATGGTGGGATTGTTTGGCCGTCCACTGTGAGGGATTTGCAGACGTGGAAGTAATCTGGTAGACGGAATTGTCTTATGTTCCTCGTCTGTAATATACATTCCATTTTCTGTGGGTGGTAGTGTACGGAGATTTTTCCTAGTCGACCGGGAGTTTGGAGTTGGAGGATTTGTGCGCCTTGTTTAGATCCCGTGTCGCCTGGATTAGCAGTCACCAGACTAAAGTCGTGTAATTTCCACCCATCATCCTCATCCTCTTTCTCTCTCAGCGAGAGATGTTTTTCGTAGAACTCTCGAAGTGGTGGAGTGGTGTAGACTCCCTCCCAATAATGTCCCTTTCCAGAAACCTCCACAAACTCACTCTCCACACCCGCTTCCCCCAGCAACTGCCTCATAAGTCGCGAATGATGCACAGGAACATTATCATCTTCCGAACCATGTTGCAACAACACAGGAATCCCCTTCGCATTCCCCACCAAACTTTCATGCCGATAACTACTCATCGCAGCTTGCACAATCGCCGTCCGTCCAGCTTCCGCTTCGCGCCAGAGATTATAGGGGACGTAGTTTTGAATACTCGAGTAGCCGCTAAGAATTGCCGCCGCGAGGATTTTTATCCGGGTGGTGGAGGAGTGTATACCATGTCCCTTGTCCACCATTCGAATGGCCTACGACTAACCACCACTTGTTGATATCCACGGACGGACCCTTCCAATTTGTGGTGGCGATCCAGTCTGGAATCATCCGGATTGCGGCTTCGACGTCGGGGAATCCCCAAGCGTGCCAATCGTCTCCGCTCCATGGCGTTCCTCCCGTGGGAATCAAGATCCAGGCTAGGAGGTCTGGGAGGGGGGGTTGGAATTCATTTCTTCCGGAATCTGAAGAGACTTCCACACCTGCTCCGTGTAAGGCGAGGAGAATGGGGAGGGTGGCGTTGGGATGGGAGGCTGTGGTGGTTTTTGAGGGAGGGCGGAGGATGGCGTAGGAGACGATTCCTGAAGGGTGGAGGAAGGTGACTTTGTGGGGGTTCTTCTCTGCTTCGGAGGGTCGGGTTGTGGATCAGGTTGAGTTGTCGACTTTCCTCCTCTCCGGAGATGTGGTAACGTACGTACCTCTCGTACGTACCAATTCCCCATGGTCCTAGAATCTCCCACTGCTCCACAAAAGTAAACGTAGGGAGTTCTACTTCGTGTCCTGGACCTGCGTCACTCATTATGATGGATGGGGGTTTTGGAAGTAGCTCAATGGCTTCCAGACATAGAGTTTGACTTTTGACTTAATTGACTTCTGAGGCTGGTAGTTAGTCAATTATTAAGTATTCAACTACTCGAGTAGTTAGTTAGGTAATTAAGTAAGTGACTAGTTACACAAAGAGGCTGTCGCTGCTGTCGTTAATATTATTATCCTCCGCACCCCCTATAGTCTCCGCTACCTCTATTATCGCCGCTACCCCCCCTATAGTAGGTATAGTAAAGCTATAGCGGTGCTAATCCTTCGAGAGCTTAATTAACCGGATAGTGTCGCTAAGTAGCTAAGAGCGTAACTAATCGATAGTTCTTCGTGTTTTRCTAAACGTACGCTCGCTCTTAGCGGATATTACGAAAGCTAAGAKGATRTTAATAGCTAGCTRTAAAAGAGCTAGATAGGCCTGTCTTATAAACGGCTGYATCTACTACTTAATAGCTRTTRTRTTAGTTAGTAGTGCTATAGGCGGAGCGTTTACGAAACTRTCGAAATTATCGTATRTCTTTAGAAYACTAGCCTTAGCTCGAAAGCGGTCGAATRCGGAYAGCGGCTCTAGCGTATTATCGCTCTACGTRTAARGCTAGAGTTTGTCCTTATAGGATTACTAGAGCGACCTTATACGCTTTAATGCGCCTATGTACTAACTAGCCTTATCGCTATACTACTATGTCTTTAGCTATACTACTCGGCGCTCTAGATAGAGTAGTATTATAGCTATATAGGCTCCGGACACGTCTAGCAGTTTGTAGTACTTAAGAAAGAGA